GTTGAGGTTTATCGTTGTCGGTGGTTGATAGATTTCTGAACTGTTCATTTAATCCGATCATGGTTAATTTAAACAATAAGGCATATAAGTGGTTGAGTACTTACATCTCGCTGTGGTTATCTTAAAGATGTGAGCACTGTATAACTCGTCATATTGGCGCCTTTCATACAATCTTCGTAACACTGTTCCAACTTCACAATCCGTTACTTTCTCTAAGGTTAAAGTAAGTCATCATTACGTCACCTATTGGATCATACATACCGTCATGACGGGTAGAGGCGACATCATGATTATCACTGGGATCATTTGGTTCTTATGACTTCACCTTGATCGGGAATCGTCGGTTCAGTTCCGTCTCATTTTAATCCGTCATGGGGATCACGTGATACTGCGATTTATCAGTATTCTATCTCGCTATCTCCTTCGAACAAAATATCAATACTCAGTCTATCTCATAATTAAAAAACTAAGAATGAACTGCTAAGTGGCCATTCAGAAAGCTGTTGACCAGTTGAGGTTGGTCAACCTCAAAGTTGAACATAAATTCAAATTCTTCTATATACTTTCCGATGTCATGCGGGAACTTTTGAGACAGCGCAAGCTAGTTTTCTATTTACAAACATTTAGCTCACATCTTTGCTACTTTCAGCTTTAGAGGATGGCTGAGCTGATGTTCCTCTCTCATCATCAAAAAGTTCCTCAGCTGCTTTAATCGCAAATGGATCCACTGTCGTCGATTTAAACTTGCGGGCTGAAACACCAAGTCTGAATAGCTCATTTATCTCTCCAAAAGTTTTCCCCTTAGTCTCAGGTAAATCTACAACTGCCCAAGCTAGGGTACCAAAACAAAAAGCACCCCAAAAAAAACCTGCCTTGGCGCCCCAATTCCATTTTTGGGAGTTCAACTGGTATAATATCAAAACCAGGGTTACGATCGCCACAACATTGTATGAGTTACGAGCTAGAATGATTGTTTTAGTCCTCAGGCGAGACGATGGTATTTCGGACACAAGACAAAATACCACGGGTGCAATTCCCAAGTTATAGAAGAAGGCAACAACCATCAAGAGCGCTCCACTCGCCATTTTCGAGGTCTTGGTGTCCATACACCCCAAACCCCCAATAATAAAGTAAACTACACCCTGGAACACGAGTCCTATGGCATAAAGCTCAAATCTCCCGACGCGTTTTGAGAGCCACCAGGATATAAATGTTGCACCAATGCCTAAACAGTACTGGATTATACTGAACGTGAAAGACATATCTGTAGTGACACCAGCTTTCTCGTAAAAATATGTTGAGTATCCCATAAGTCCAGCACCGCAAGTGGTTTGTCCAACCCAGGCCAAGCACGCTATTCTAGTCCTTCTCCGATTGGTCTTGTCTCTTATACAATCCATGTAGCTTCCCTCCGAACCTTTCAGGTGCTTCTCCTTCTCTATGGTGAGTCTGATCTTTTCCAACTCCTTTGTTATCATGACGTCCTTTTCTATCCCTGTACCACTCAACGTCCTCTCAAGTGATCTTTTAGCTGCATCCATCCGTCCTTTCTTTACCAACCACCATGGTGATTCGGGAGCCAAAAAAATTCCCACCATAAGAGGAACCGGCCATAGCCATTGCAATGCAAATGGTAATTTATAACCAAGTTCTGACTGTGCATACCTATTTTGGGAGTTTTTCATGATTCCAGCGGCAAAAAGCTGACCAAACAACCAGCAGAGGTTAGAGTAAGTGGTCAAGTAGTATCTGAGAGCAAGAGGACATATCTCAGAAGCATATGTCACTGTTAAACCTTGAAAGCAACCCCATGGCATACCACAAAGAGCTTGGCCCACAGCAATCATTCCCAAGCTCTTGCAGAAATATAAAATGAAAGTGAACATTCCAAGGAGAAACAAAGCAAGAATCATCGTGTACCGATTGCCGATATAGCTGGTAAGGGGCCCGGTTAGCTGTAAGCCCACAATTTCACCGGCGATATAACATAAAGTTAAGCCAACCTGCCACGAAATTGAAATCTCCCATTCTCCGGATTTGCCTTGGGAACCGAATTTTTCTTTGAAGATAGGCAAAGCGAAGAAAGCACCAAGAATAGCGGTATCGTAACCTTCCATAATTAGCGTCGTGGAGACTAGCAACGACCATCCTGCAGCCTTTGGGTATGTCTTCAAAGCCTTGATGAGGGGCATCGTTCTCTCGCTTTCATTAGCTTCTTTGGCATCCAAAGTAGCATTCACTAGCCGAGAAACATTTTGGTCATTCTCGTCATCGTCTGGACTACCAGCTCCGGGAGCATGCTCCATGTGGTAGAGCTCAATGTTACTATTACTTTTCTTCGGTGTGTCCATCATCATCATAGAAGACATGCCTGGCTCAGGGGAATCCACACCCGCCGCGCTCGATTCGAGCCCGCTCTTCTTCATCCGTTTGTCTCTAAAAGACAGCAAATTCTTTTTCATAACTTAGAACTCCAGTATACTCTTGACTTTACGATTCGAAGTTCTTCATGCAACTGAGATGATGGTTATCCATTTGTATGAAACATTTGCTCACCTTAAGTAGACGACGAGAATTACCTCACGTTACCAATGTGAGCAGGCACCTGGCGCAGCAACTAGAAGAACTGGTCAATTGAACGCTCCCTGTATGCAAAGGAGGTGTCAGTCACCCCACATCGGAGTCGATTACAGTGCGTTACGGCGGCCTAACTATAGGAAGAGGTGGCAAAAACATTTCGAAAGCCAATCTCTTTCTGAATTTTGCGCTTGCTTGCGGACTTGACACGGAACAAGCCCAACGTACCCCGGAAAATCAAGCATGGTAGGCAACGTCGTACACCAGAGATCTTTTTTCCCCTTAGAATGACCGGTGCAGACTTTTTTTCTCGAGGAACGGATCCATGCAAGACTGTGGGTGACGCGGAAAAATGATACGGTATTTTTCTCGGGGAAATTTTTCAATGTTATTCTCGGGAAAATTTTTCAATACAAACAAAAAGCATTTAGAAAACAAGGGTGCAGTCTCTCTTACGTTTACCAAGCTAGATCGTCTGCGCTATTGAAACCAGATCTAAGAGACACACAATGACTTAATCTAACTTTTTAACTCCTGTCGATTTTCATATAAAAATCCGGGGCAATTGAGATCGTTTTCCATCAATGTACTACGCAATTCATAGATCAACAACTCAAAGCGCCTCGAAATGACAATTACCGAGCACCCAGAAACACAGCCAAGGTGGTGGAAGGAAGCCACAATTTACCAAATTTACCCTGCAAGCTTCAAAGACAGTAATGATGATGGCTGGGGAGACTTGAAGGGAATTACCTCCAAATTAGAATATTTGAAAAACCTGGGGGTTGATGCTATTTGGGTGTGTCCCTTCTACGATTCACCTCAGCAAGATATGGGATACGATATTTCGAACTACGAAAAGGTTTGGCCAACTTATGGCACAAATGAGGATTGTTTCGAGTTGATCAAAAAAACCCATGAGCTGGGTATGAAGTTCATTACTGATCTCGTCATCAATCACTGCTCGACCGAGCACGAATGGTTCAAGGAGAGCAGATCTTCTAAGAATAATCCAAAGAGAGACTGGTTTTTTTGGAGACCGCCAAGGGGCTATGACAGCGAAGGTCGTCCAATTCCTCCTAATAATTGGAGATCATTCTTTGGAGGTTCTGCTTGGAGTTTCGATGAGGAAACTCAAGAGTTCTTTTTGCGCTTATTTGCGTCAAGGCAACCGGATCTCAACTGGGATAACGACGATTGTAGAAAAGCAATCTATGAAACTGCAGTCGGATACTGGTTGGACCAAGGGGTTGACGGATTCAGAATTGACACAGCTGGTTTGTACTCGAAACGTCCAGGCTTGCCAGACTCCCCTGTTTTTGACATTCAAAACGAGTTTCAACACCCAAATTGGGGCTCCCATAACGGTGCTAGAATCCATGAGTTTCACCAAGAGCTTCGTCGCTTCATTGATCAGAGAGTCAAAGATGGCAGAGAGATTATGACTGTGGGTGAGGTTGCTCACGGAAACGATAATCCTCTGTACACCAGTGCTGCTAGGCGTGAAATGAGTGAAGTTTTTAGCTTCAAACATGTTGATATCGGATCAAGTCCTCACTTTCGGTATGAACAGGTGCCATTTACTTTGAAAGATTTTAAAAAAGCAATCGCTGAGAGCTTTGAGTTCGTTAATGGCACTGATTCCTGGGCAACCATTTACCTAGAAAATCATGATCAGCCCCGTAGCGTCTCAAGATTTGGTAGTGACTCACCAAAATACCGCAACAAGTCAGCCAAACTTTTGGCTATGATGGAGGGATCTTTGACAGGTACTTTGTATGTTTATCAGGGCCAAGAACTCGGCCAAATTAATTTGAAAGGCTGGCCAATTGAGAAATACGAAGATGTTGATGTCAGGAATAATTATGAGATAATTGTAAAGAAATATGGCAAGGATTCGCCACAGGTGAAGTCATTTATGCGTGGTATTTCTCTACTATCCAGAGATCACGCTAGGACACCAATGCCCTGGACTTCAGAGGGCCCCAATGCGGGTTTCTGTGGACCCAAGGTCCAACCGTGGTTCTTTTTGAATGAAAGTTATAAACAAGGCATTAATGTAGCCGATGAAGAGTCGAATGTGGATTCTGTTTTCAGTTTTTGGAGGAAGGTCCTGGAAACCAGAAAGAAGTATAAAAATGTTATGATTTATGGATACGACTTTGAATTCATTGACTTGAATAATGAAAAGCTTTTCAGCTTCACCAAAAATTTTGAGGACAAGAAATTATTCGCGGCGTTGAATTTTAGCGATGAAGAGATTCAGTTTAGTCTTCCGGAGGGATCTTCCTCTTGTGCTTTCATTTTAGGAAATTATGATGACAGAGATGGCTCGTCACGAGTCTTGCAACCATGGGAAGGCAGACTGTATTACGTTGATTAAATCATTTTTCAAGAGATTATTTTCTTCGCAGGTTAGAGATGCAAGAGAATTTCAAGAAGCATTTTTATAAAAAGGGCAAAACTATGCCCAACAAGAGATACATAATCAAATGAATATGAGAAGAAAATAGACAGGTAATTCATGACGAGCGATATCATCGAGTTGAGCCATTCCTCTTAAAAATCACATGGCCAGAAGGACAGAATAATATTGGAGATCTTCACCATTCAAACCCATCAAGATGCGATGGATGACTGGCTCCATCAATAAGCGCACATTGCCATACCACAACTCAGAATACTGGTAATGTCAAAGATTGTGTCAGTTGTGGATCTTATCACTTATCTTGCCAAAAACGGTAAGGTGATGAGAGGGAATTAAAGCACAAAAATTGTATAGAGATGATAAAATAGGAGAAGATACGTTAGGATTATCGCCCGTCATTTTGTTGAAGTAACCCTAGAGAGATGAAGCGACTGAAAACTTAACATACTTTACAAAGGAAACTATGGACCAATTAAGCGAACAGTTTAAAAAGCATTTAGCGACCGCTACCCTTAACTTGCGATGATAAAATATTACAAACTAGCGGTGATTTCATGTTTGAGTGTCTCTGGTCGGAACAGGAAGATCCCTTTGATAACAATATGCCGTTTTAGTGTTTATATCACCAAACTTTGATTCCAGTTGCAGCGATGTAGATATGAATATTTTATGACAAACTGAAACCGTTGGCGAAAAGCATAGCTTGCGAAGGAAGCTAATCGGAGGATATAAGAGAAATGTGTTGCTTTTTGGCTCTCACAGTGATATTAGAAGAGTAGCTTGTTTAGCTGAGAATGCGCAGCGAAACGGAGCAGCGGCAACTGACCAACTCAGGTATTGGGCGTGCAAATCCAAATGTGCAAGGTGCTAGTAGAGGAGCTTGAGCCAGAGGTGCAAACGAGTTGGGACAATTAATGTCGTAAGGAGCTGGCGAGAGGTGATATCGTTATTTAATTATCACGTGATCTAAGTGACAGAATAAAATTAGATGGATGAGCGACCGGTTCATGATTAAGATGAACTCATAGGAACCAAATGATTCTAGTGATGGTCATGATGTCGTCACACTCCGTCATCACTGCAAGAGTGACCTAATAGGTGAAGTAGTGATGACTCGCCGTCGATCTTAGAGTAAGTAACGGATTCCGAAATTGGAGCAATGTTACAGAAATTGTATAAAAGGAGCTGATATGACCAGGATCGTAGTGGTCATGGTCGTAAGATAGCCATGGAGAGATATAAGTACTCAATTCCTTAACATCTTTATTATTTAGATCAACTAGGAACGAGTTAAATGAGCAGTTCAGAAACCTATCAACCACCGACAGCGATTAACCTCAACAAGTATAAAATATTACTTATTTAACGTGGAAATTTCAGACTAGACGTCAAGAAGATGATGATGAGAGGTATATAAGTCATAAATAAATTTTCAAGTAGGTCTTAAAAAGTGGCTCTTCAGAATACCAAAATGAAGGTGTTGCCGTCACGTTACTATCGAGTTTTCAATATGTTCAAGCATTGTTCTGGTATATGTTTATTAGATCAAAAAGTCATTCTTTTCTGGGGTGCCGCCCGCGATGCCAATGAGCAGGTTGAATTGCTCTCTTCCTTGACCAGTGAATTTCAGGTTTTGCAGTGATGATCAGTATGTTTGGCAATAAAAGGTATTTAGGTTCCATCATTCAAAATCCAATTATCCATTTCAACGAGAGCATATCAGGATCTCATAAACATTCCAAGTACATGCTTATTCAAAACTTTTGATCGTCAAGACAATTAAAAGAGAGCGAACTTCCCCTGATATGATCTATCGTGCATATGACGACGCAATATTGGCGTAACGATGAGATAAAAATTAGACAGTAACAAAAAGCCCTTCTTCCACGATGTACCTCAGCCCACTTCCTGTTTATTTCTTTTCAAGTTAAATCTGCTACCCCATCACTGAAATCTGTTGAACATGTGGGTTGACGACCGCCTATCTCTTCCAGCCGTTTTACCAGGCTGTTACCACATCTAAGTTACCAGTAAAATGGCCAGTACTTATCGAAAAGGCCACTATTTCAGATAGAGTCAATTTTTCGTTCTTGTAACGCGGTATTGTTAATTGCCGAACCCCATGATTTTCATAAAAAATCCTTTAATGAATGATCCCGTTGCTTCCCATCCGCGGTTTAGTATTGCCCTTGAGTTTTCCAACCACTGGCAACTTGTAAACGCTTGCAGTTTTGCTTGTAACTTGAACAGTCCTAATCTTCGAAAGTTTGCCAATTGCTGAAAATTGCCTGGCTCTGATCAAATAACTCGTTCTCTTGAATTGAATTCTGTGAACTTCGTGGCTGGCCTGTGCAACTTGATTGTGACTGCCGACTTTGATCCTTTTCATCCTTTTCTTGATATCCTCTGTCATCTATATGAGCAGCGCTTCCGGAAAATGGCGAAAAAAAGGCAATTGGATCCCGAACAGCTGCGCAGACATCCTGCATTTTCGTGCTGAACTTGCTGAGCCTCATCTTATTCTTTGGGTGAAGGGATGAGATAAAGCCTGAAAGGTCGCGTAGCACTGAAAGGGTAGTACTATCTTTTTCTTCCCGGAAGATGAGACAATCAGCCACCGTGTTTGCTATGTCAAACAACTTTTCCTCAAACCCTGGACCATAAATTTTGACTTCTTCTCTGGGCATGAGCAAAACGTCGCAAAGCAGATCTTTAATTAGAGAGGCTGGAAGATCAAAATTGACACCTGAATTTTTTTGCAATATTTGTACGAAGGATTGCATATTCATTGGCACCATTGACTTTTCAGAAGAGGAAGCGCATTTACTGACAATTTTCGATCTTTTCAAAGCCAACTTCCATATAAGGATCTTCATCCAGTGAATTGAAATGGACCGGTCCACATTGCCTGCAAAAAAAAGACCAATTTTTTCCTGCTCGACGTTCAATGCAGCAAGCATGCTAGGAATTGTATGCGAAGCCGACAACTTCCCGCACCACAGTGGTCGGTCGCAATCGCGAGCACTAAGGATGTCGTCAAGGTGGGGGTTCAAAATCATGTCTGTAGTACCCGGTTTAATAGAAAAAACACTCGGGTCTAGAGAAGGGGAATTTAAATAAAAATCATTAGATTCGTGGCGAATTTCTTCGAAAAACGATTTCTCTGGAATGGTGAAAATGCGTATGAGAGCCAGAAAGCTGGTAAGCGAGGACTCGGGTTCGTCTTCAGTTCCAGCGTCGGGAATTTGGACATTTGCATCAAATGTAATCGGATAATTGGCCATAATCGAGTAATACCGTTCAGTTATTAAGAGCAGATAGAAAACTCTGCGTCTTATCTGTTGCTCCTCAAGAGAGAACTTGGAATAAGTTCTTTCTTCTTGGAGGTTACAAATATGCGCCATTGTAATTGCGCTTGAGCAGCAACGAAGGGTGATGTTTAGCAAGTCTGTATTCCGGGCAAAACATCGGTGTAGGCAATAATAAAGCATAACCCCATAAAGGTCAGGACTATTCAGATCGTCGTAAGCTGCGCGCTGATTGACGCACATCCAAGCCAAGTCCTCGGCTTTAAGAACATAAGAAGATTGCGTCTTGTTATCGTTGTGACGAAAGGTCAAATTCGTCTGAAGGTCAGCCAGCGTTGCTGCACAGAGGGCTACTAGAAAAAAGTAAGCAGTAGACTTAAAGGTCGCACTTGTGTGAAGAATTTTCCGTAGAGCTCCAAGCTGCATTAAAGGCCATGCTTTGTAAAGATTATCGCTATACAGAACCAAGCACTGGTCAATAACAGACTCTGGAAGTCTCTCTGAGCCCGACAGGAAGAAGCAATTGGAGTTTAGGCTCGAATTCACGTGATTATAGCAAATACCCTCAATGGTGGAACTGCTACCCGTGCTGCGCCCCTCCCTGGTGATGTTGTGGTCGCTTTCAAGAAGCTGTTGTTCTTCTTGTGGGCTTTGTTGAGAGAAATTTTGTTCATACTGCTGCCGTTCTTGTTGCAGTTGTTGTTTTGTCGTCGTGATCTTGTCGATGCTGCGCTGTCGCATGCTTTTGGGTCCCCTCTTTTTCGGAATCCTCAAATAAGTGCATTCTATGTTCGCAGTTTCGCATCGTGCGCATGGGGACCTGCCATCGCATTTCACTCTCCGGACGCTGCAACAGTCGCACGCTTTATTATTTGTTTGACAGCGTCTGGCACACATTCAAGAAAGAAGTTCTGCCGAGCTAGCTCGATTCCGCAAGAGTTCGGCATGATCCTAAATAGCCCCGGAGAAAGTTTGTATTCACAATTTTAGAAAAACTAATAATGATCCTGTAGATGCATTGTTGCCGTGCTTCACTATAATATTGGAAAATATGCACTTGTTCAAGCATACGACAAATTTTCAATGTCCGATGGCATGGTGGGCATTTCCATTAAAGAGCAGTGTTTGTAGGACTCTGCCCTTATTAAACTCCTTTCGAGCATCTTTTCTAAAGATTTAAAATTATTCTCTGTTTCCAAAATACGAAAGAATATTGTCCTAAATTAATGCTGCATTCTAAAGTTATCTAAATGTGGTATGAAGGACTCATTTCCTGGGACGTGTTGTCTTTACTTTTAAATGACTTAAAACGCTCTAGCTACCAATTTCTTGGATTGAATTGGCCCCGGAACCTCCGGAAATTATTGAGGTTAACCCCACCTGTTTTGATGGTTGATCATAGCTTTTTCAATTGCTTCAATTAACTTCTCGATTGTAAAACATATTGATGTTTGAAGAAATACATCTCTTCATGATTATATTGACAATATGATCAGCTTAAACCTGTTAACAAAGGAGCCTGGCATAAATATTTTTTAATGTCATTTCTATTTATCGACTGCTTCCCACGGTGGGATGAACAATAAAAATTTTTTAGCATGTGCAACTCATCGTGAAGTTTGCTTCGAATCCCATGGATTCCTAATGAGTTGGCATTCCAACTAGTTGTTCGATTGTCATTTATTTCATTGTGATTGTGATCAGGTTAATATCAATCTGAAACCACATAACTTGAAGATATCACCTACCTTAAACTTCCTCCAGCAGCTTTTTGAGAATGTTGACGTCCTCTGTTCGATTGAAAATGTAGACATTTCCATCCAGAAGTGTTCCTACTGTTAATAGCACTAGAAAGTTTAAAAGCTAAAGAATACAGGAGAGCCACTACGGCAAATTTTTGCTGGTTCTAAAGACAGGATAAGGGGGAGAATCACAATCTATACTACAACGGGGAAAGCAGATTTTATATGAGAGCTACAAACTGAATCATAAGGTGGGCACCTAATGATTAGGTACATTCCGTGAAAGATGACAAGCGTTACGAATGGTACTAGCTGGCACTAGTGTTTGGTGCGTCGGTCACAGCTCCTAATCGTGGATCCCAATCATGACTTCTTCATAATTGTAACTACTGAAATAAAAAAGTTTCATCGAGAATCTGTAAATTGACAATGGAAAAACCGCTTAACTATTCATTAAATGCTATATGGATTGTGACTCTAAATTCACCAATGCAGACACTTCTCATTAGATAATCAATTCTTCGTATGATAAGGCTATTTAGAAACTGCTACTTCTTTCCCGTCAGCCCACCTCGATGGCCTTTAAAGTTTGGTCTATCTTGCTCATCGAGCTGAGCCCAAACTTAAGTGCAGCCCTTACTCATTACCTATGCGTTGGCTATGTTAACCCTGAACCTTTGCTTTCGCTCTGCAAACTGCTGAATGCGATGAATGACCATAATATCACTCACTAGGCTAGCTCAAACCAATAACAGATATAATTCACTTTCTGTTTGAAACCGACCGATCCATGCGGTCGGGTTAACAAACCATGAGCGCTTCGCGACCATTAAAAAAAACCAATGCTGTGCTTTTGCGAGGAAAGAATAAGCTCTTTTTTGTGATCCCTCAGCAGAATACCGCAGATTGTAGTAAGGCTAAAAGGTATCAATTTCGTTCAGTTATGCCTTTTTAGCAATGAATTGTAGCTCGGCCGATTCTGTCGCACGCATAGAGGCACCTTTGTAGAGAGCATCCTCACGCTCGATAACATTGTTAAAGGCTCTCATTTCTTCTTCCATAGAGGTCTCGCAATCAATCTGTGGAATCTGGAGAACATCAATGTATATGCCGAAGCGAGCGTCAGATTCAAAAACTCCGGCTAAGGGAAACTTGCGTGAAAAACCTTCACATTGCACATTTCGGGCTCGAACTCTTCATCAACAGCGCATTTCGTTGATAAGATTTAGAGGCCTCCTCAAAACACCTTCCATGAAATGGAATCCATTCTAAGTTATAGTGTTTTGGACATTCAGTAAATAATCTCTCTCTTTCACCGTTACTGGAAAAGTGGATGGTGTAAAAGTTCCCAGCCCGTGGCCATAGCCGTACCTAAAGTGTGAAAACTTTTACTTTAACTCTGATGACCCTATCTGCCCGTAAGACATGCAGTTCACAACCATGGTAGAAAGCTCTACACCAGTTTGCTAAGATATCCTTGCGTTGGGAGCTCGATTTTAGTTCCGGGCAAGTCTGAAGAGTTTTGACTCAAAAGGCGGAGCCTTCATCCTCTTTTTAGATTTGACAGAAGCTCGATCATCGCGGCGAACCAAATTGTGAAATACCTGTCTTATTTCTCGCCCCTACGACCTCGTTAGTGTCTTAGATTTGAAAAATTAACAGATCCCCACTGTCCATCCCAACAAACGCGCGGCCGCTTGAAAACCTTGTTCGTCCGCCTAACGACCCTGAAATTTTGTTGAAAGAGGAACAAAATCTGAGAAAAATTCTCGCATCCTTCGGCCTTATGGCCTTGAAATCTCGCCTTAGATCATAGAGCTCAAAAAACTGAGCAACGATCTGCGCTAAACTGGCGTGACTATCAATATTCAAGCAATCATATCACAATGTTAAAAATAGGGCTGTCATTCACATATCAGCTCGAGCTCGAAAGCCCTCACTCTTTGTCTGAATCTACCGACCGCAGATAGTGAACAAACCACGAACCCACATAAAACTTTCTAAGTAATAAAGCAGGTTTTCATTCGTTTATGCTGCTCGAAACAGTCTTCTTTGAATTACTCATCGAATGATATGACTCTATGGAATGAGTGACTGGCTGTGGTACCGCTTTGATTGGTTACCTCTACGGAACAATAAGTCCCTCTTTGCTCATAAGAGAGTAATTTTGTGAAGAGGTCGGCGAAGACGTCGCTCCTTGACGAAATTTTTGGAGGTTTGATGAGGATGATGGTAGTATCCTTAGCATCGATTTTCAAGCCTACCTTGCCATGCTGCACGAAACAGACACATATCTTAAAGAGCTTGACCAAAACCATGTGTGGGAGAGTGGTGGCGAAGTATTTCTCAAAACAGACAAAGAGGTGTAAATCTTTTGCAGACAGTGATACGACTTCTGAGAAAACATTCAAATTAGGTCGATATCTCAATCCCATTCTTCTGCGAAAAATTCCCACCGTTTTCCTCGCGATGCCTCAACTAACAGATTAAGTGGTTCCCGTTCACTTTGAAACACGGAAAAAGTGCCAAAAACAACCAAATTTCGAATGGTGAGCGTTGCTCAACTGATTCTCTTGATGTAAGGGTTTTTTGAACGAATCTTGGAACCGAACGCGTAGAAAACGAAAGGTATGGGTATCATTCCAAGAGCAATAAAAGCGATCGTCGAACCACCCCAATTCACCCCAAGATTTTTGAAAAGCGCTGGTCCAAAGAGCGGAAAAACGCCGCCTAGGATCGACCTTAAAAAAGTATTGGCTGCAATGGCAGAGGCCGCATATCTCGTAAATGAGTCTACAAGATAATTGAGGCAGCCCTGGAAAATAACGAAGAATCCAAAGGCCATGCACGAGAGGCCTATGCAAGGTGCGATCCAGTGAATTTTCTCCTGTGAAGTCCAAGCAAAAATGAACATCCCAGCCGGCATTAACCAGCCGAACATCATCATGGGTGGAAACCTTTCCTCGGGTAAGGGGACTCCATCGTTCTTCTCAAGCAATTTTCTATATCTTAGACCTCCCCAAATGTTGGCAGTGCAACCAATCAACACACCGACTAAAACCGAAAGAATGGGAAGATTGCTGACAGTACCTTCCCAACCTCTTGTTAACTCAAAGGCTAAAGGCACGGAAGTTACGATTAAGTATAAAATACCGAACACGTAGCTAGCAAACAATGCAAGCGCAAACACAATCGGAGTGGCAAGCATCGCAAATGGCCTCAAAAGATGCACACTGAGATACTCACTAAAATCTAAATCCCACTCTTCATGTTTGGCGTGGTAAGCCCAGTTCCCAGATTGCTTACGAATCATTTTTGCCCTTTTGGCAAGAATCACTCCCTTAAAAGACTCAGAGACTGTCAAAGCCGCCACTACCAGCAGAACTCCTTGAATAATGCAGATTAGCCATAGCGGCCACCGCCATTCATCAGTACCAACTTGATATGTGAGCAAAGCTGATATAACAGGACCTACGGTGACCCCACACACAACGAACATTGCGTAGAACACCAAAGCGATCGCTCTTGTGGTAATTGGCCATATGTCTGCAATGACCCCACCAGACGAAACAATCGGGCTTCCCCCAAAAAACCCAGCAAAAAACCTTGTTACCAGCAAAGACGAATAGTCCTTGCTGCTCGCAGATCCCAATGTAAATGCCATTGATATAAAAAGTGGACCGAATACACCTACTTTCCTTCCATACATCTCCGAAAGCGGTGCAAAGAACATTGGCCCAAACGCGACACCTACGACATATAAGGTCGTACCCAATAACGCCTTTTCTCTACTCACATCGAAGTAGTCAGCCAAATGCGTCACAGATGGGGCGGTGGTTGTGGAATTGAACTGAGCCGCCAAGGTAGCAACACCGTAGATCATGGTGTGAAACAACTTTTTAGAAAGCCTCCAGTTGAGAGGATTTTGCGGATCTTTATCCTCAAAATCCACTAAGAATCCGTTTTTCGTTTCGTCATCAAATCTTTCGAGCGAACCGCTCCCGGCTGCCATATCTGACGCACTGCCACTTTTGTCTATTTCACCTTTGTCATCCTTTTCAAGATCTGTAAGCCTATCGTTGGTCGCCAGCTTTCGCTTTGCTAGCTTTGGAGAGAAACCTATGTTAGATTCACCACGTTGCATCCTCGCATATGCATGCCAAGAAACGGTGATCCAAAAAATCTTCCCTCAAACGTGCCTAATTTTATACGGATACCGCATATCCTTCTATTAGTCAACTTCCCATCATGCACCCAATAACCTTTTTTAACGTGGTTGTAAAGCAGTGCAGATAAAAAAGTGGTCTCAAATGAACGAAAGTAGTGAGCCCGAGTGACAGGTCTCCGTTTTTGCGTTCTTTTGACCGGGATAATTGACGTTTTTCTTTTATCAACTGCAAATAAAACCCTTTAATTATATGCCGTCGTCAGAGTTTGATGGCAAAGGACATAAGAAGACACAATCGCGCGATCACTTTGACTAATGGCCATCTCAAGTAGCTAAGAATGTGTTTCAAATAACAACTGGCGCAACCACCAATACGATGTCGGCACTACGGAGCGATATCTAACGGATTTTTAGATTAGTCGGGTAACCTTTATTACGTAGATAATTCGGCACATTTTTCAAATGACAACCTACTTGAGTGTACCTGCTCTTTCCTGAGTCAGCCACAAAAGATACTCATTGAAAACGGAAAAGCGTCAAAAGTGACAAAATGAACGCGAAAATGAAAAAAGGGACTTGGGCGGTTAAAGATGAGGATACTCGCCAAGTCGACAGAAAATATCAAGAAATTGCTAAGCTATAGTCAGAGGTATTTCAAAAAGTTCCATGCAAGAATTCAACATGATGCTCGAAGGGAATACAGCTCTCAGTGACCATGAAGAGTCTCCCTACGATCAGCCCGCCATGAGAGCCTGTACCCCTGAATAAACGCGATGGATGGAAAGATCCAGTCTTCGAGATCATTTAAAGGTTACTGAGTCAGAAGGGCAGAAGGTTGCCAACTGCATTCATTGTGGGAGAAAATTCTACGAAAGTAAATCTACGGGGAACCTTTCAAAGCACATAAGGAACATTCACCCTGTTAAATTTAGATCTCAAAAAGCCCTTCAATCAGAAAATCACCCGATAGGCCCCTTAGGAAAAGAATTTCTCTCTTTCCCGTCACCTGAATTGATCATTAGTGACTGCAAGCATAGTCCTGGCGCTTTTACGATGATCGCGCTTTTGACCGAAAAACTAGTGCCGATTTCGCTTGTCGACGCAGTAGCTTAGAAGTGGGGCAGCAGGGCATGCCCAGACATGTCATTTGTGGAGTCTCGAACGACTATACATGCTAAATTTGAACTCTACTCCAAATTGCTTTATGAAGCACTTATCACAGCCATGGGAAATACAGACTTAATCAACATAGAGTTTGGAGTGTGGTTAGGTGAGAATGAGCGGTCATACCTGGGTGTTTCTGCATCGTTTGCTCATAACTTATTAAATGTGGAAATACTAAACGACGTAGGAGTACAAGCACTTCTCAATAACTTTCGAGAACCCTATAACAGCCATCTTCTAGATGTTGTTGACATTAGCGAAATTCTTCATTGGGGGGGGGGACTTATTTAGCATGGTTGCGACGGTTTTAAGAAGATTTAGAATTATAGAGAAAGGTGGATCCATCACGTCCGACAACGCCATCAATACCCCGTCTCCATATCGCTTTCATGATCTTATGAAACCTGTAGGGTCTCAAGATATTAGAGTGCTTCTCAACTTTCATCACATTCCTTGCGCCAACCACATGCTCAGCATTCTCTTTCAGATTATAGTGGATACTTTAAAGAAAGATGAAAGCTTGCGAGATAGTCTGTTAAACATCGAGGCTCTAGGAAAGACAATTAGGAGAATACCATTTTTGAGGTCCGCACTCGCAGATGCTAAATTACCTATGATTCCTGCGGCTCCCGAGACGCGATTGATTTCAATTTTGAAGCAGATCTCCACATACTTGAAATACCACACCAAATACTTGGAATGGTTTGAAACGTTGAGGGCTCACCCAGGCAGTAAGCATGTTCTTCCCAAAATTGAATCTCGAATTAAACTGCCCAGCCAAACAAAGCAAGTTCTAGAGTATTTTGTCAGCTGTTGCTCTATATTTCAGTTCCTTAATAATGGCTTACAAAAAGACGCTCTGAATAATCTCCCAAACGCCGTAACCTTGTACTATACCATGAAAGAGTTCTTTGATTTATGCAGCACGGCTCCGATGGAGAGTATAGAGCAATCTCAAGAGGGCAATTTTGATGTTACTTTCATCAATGGATCGCCCGGCTTGAGTGAAGACCTGAGAGTCGTGGTTTTGAATGCTGTACTTTCTGCAAGGCCCAAATTTGAAGAGTACTTCAATCTTTTCGCCGAAAACGACATCTACTTCGTTGCAGCATTTTTAGATCCAGCCTCAAAGCTTCACTGTTTCAACGACGTTATCACAGGAAGAGAAGGAGAGCATGTTTTACAAAGGGTGGAAGTGCATGTCAAACACCATTTCGCACAATGCAGCTTTAGAAGCGCTGCTTATGCCCCATTTGTCGAACTCTCAACGAACACAGCGAAGTCAAAGAGAGTAAATAAACTCCCTAAAATTGATAGACGCCATAAAAGTTTGGTAAGAACCTCCTTCCTGGCGGGAAACAAGGCTTTGGAAGAATAGGGCAGGTACAAGGCTGATGAACAATTGTTTTCAGAGTCTACCATAGACGCGTTGGAAGGGTGGCATTCGAGGCGCTTAGCCTACCCTGACCTTTTTCCATTAGCTGTTTCAATGCTTTACACGAGGTTTAGCACGTGCGCAATGGAAAGAACCTTCTCTATCGCTGAAAACCTCTGACTAAAAGAACGTGGAGGCTTGGGAAGTTCAGATATTAGTCACATCATGCTCTTAAGAAATCGCTTTAATAATTTTGGCTTTTTTAATAAGAAGCCCGATATTTCCGAACTCAAGGGCGTCGATAATTCTTTCATAATTCTTTCAGATTTGGACTATTCATCATCAGAAGGTGAGGCTGAAGCGACATCACAATCGCATCATTAGCATAATTACTATCGAAGTTATAAATATTAAACAGTCATCAAGGAAAGCAAAAAAATTTTCGTCTATGACATTCATATTGATTTGATTGAAGTTGGGTTCAAGCGTTATTCGATTACACAGAGCATCGTATCAAAACGCCCATTCCAGACGCTGCCTACCTACAGATGGCCCTAAGCACTAGTAAAATACTTAATTACCGTTAACTGGGGAAACAAATACGACAATAATCACATTACTACAGCAAGGAAAAAACATTTCCCAAAAACCATGGAAAGTACCAAAGCATACATGTTTTAAATTGACTAGTTTTAGACTGCGCTTAGAGTTATTAGTTGAAAAGACTTCACGGCAGACGACACCGTCTGGTTGCCTTATGCTTATTAGAATCACGTGACCACAATGCCAGCGTGAAATAGATATTGAACGGGCCGTTCGCGTCCATTAGGATGCCGTGAGATTTCAAGCAATCCCAGCAATGGTCATGGAATCATGACACCGCCTTAATAAGGTTACCGGCTGTAAGATGGATGACGCGAGGTGAGAATTGACCACTCATCCTATCGATCATAACAAATGGTAAGTTGCAATGGCACTACAAGGATTGTTGTATAAGAGCGGATGATGTATCCAGCTTTACAGTGGTCATATTGTCAAAATAATCACTGAGAGAAATAAATACTCTAGGCTATCATCCTTAAAAAAGTTATTGACCACTATATTCCTCCTTAGGAATTTTTTTATTATACTCCAACTATTAATGTATTCTTGTGCCTAGCTTCATGGGCATACTATATTGTGCCGCTGTTGACTTACTCAGATATTAAATTTCGTGATAACTTGAGTGAAATGATCATATTTCCATTATACCATCCATTTCTCCCCGAAAATTTGAAACCCTTCCGAAATTTAAAGAAGTTGTATAAATAATGATAAATGAACCTGCTTAAAGCTTAGAAGTGTTCAGAACTACTCAAAGAAGAAGCGAGCATCGTGAAGACTACAGGGAGCCTCAAAATATGGAGTTTATTCCGACTGTTCCTTTAAAGTTTTTAGAACAAATGGTTCAATTGATTCATCAAAATCAATACCGCTTTCCAAAAGCTTCACATAAATATCCCTAAAGTCTGAAAAGAAGGCATCCTGATCTTTGGCGTATTTCTGGACATATTTCAAGTATTTTGGATCTTGTACTAGAGCATAGTCAGTAGGCAACATCATTATTCCGCCCTTGGCATTGTATTGCATTCTTCCTGAGTCATTCTTTTCCAATGTCCAGTCCCTCTCTAATAAGTTTCCAAAAAATTCATTAGTGAAAATGTTAGTATCATCGTCCCAAGGTCCATCGTAACCGGAGTTTTTCAAATGAGTCTTGCCCAAAATATGAGCACCTAAGAGAGCAACAACCTCCTGATCGTCGAAGCCAAACCTCTCGTAATATTTTCTGACATAAGTGGCGTCTCCTTCAGGAACTGGCAATCTTCCTTGGGCCGGCACTGTCTCTGGACCTGTGTCCACTCTTCCCTGTCTCCATGGAATTTTTGGCCCTCCGAGTTCCTGTATGGCGGTCACACCACATATAGTATACAAATCTCCATGTGATATCCAAGGAAATTCCTCATGAATAGGATCCAGGAATTTCGTGGCATTCTCTAATCCTTTGCTGAGCGGGTCACTGGCTTCTTTTTTGAATCTGAACGTCCCTCCGTACGATCCACCAGAATTATCATGTATGTTATATGTGGCGGAAGAGTGCCATGACAGACGAACCAAAACGGGCCCATACCCCGTGCCATCGTCATAATCACTCTCGCTTTTCATCTTTGTCGCAATAGCGTTATAAACGCTTTGAAAATCGGTCAACGACTTTCCCTTCTCTGGCTTTGCGATATGAACTGTTTGGGTCTGCGAACGATCATTGCTCTTTGCATCAGCTAGGTTCTGCTTAGCTGCAAACTGACTGTTCGTAAGTTTTGAACCTGTTCCATTGAGTGATTTTGTAGAAGCCATCATGCGAAGCCTTTGATTTCTGGTAGCTCTTAAGAGACAAGTGATCATCAAAGGGGAAATGAAGGGGTCCAAGGGTGTCAAGCTCAGGATATTCTCTTTTAATGCATTCCACCAAACAACCTCCTCGATCGAAAGGTTATCGCTTTGTACGTAATAGTTATACGACCGCGTTTGCTGTCGAGTTTCGATGTGGATGACATTGCCAGGGTAACGAATCATTCGAATTCGAGGATTATTTGGAAAATGAGAGATTTCTCGTTCACCAAGCTTCTATGTACCAAAAGTAGCTAATAGATGAATTTGGAAAATTCACCTCTTTGAAGAGTTTGTCTCATTACCTAATCAAATCTTTGATAGTTGTTGCTGAAGTTTTCTGGTTCGTAGTAATGTTTTCAAATGAAGTATACAAGTCGAGTAGACAAATATGAGATTAACCACCTCGAAAGTAATTTGTGGAGAATTTGCGTAATCGCTTTCTTGTCGTTGGAAAGAGTTTACGACGCATGATATCGTCTAGATGTATTACAGCTTGTCGGCATCACGTGCCCATCGAGACAGAATAAAACAAGGGAAAATGGGACTAGTGGTTGGAAATCTGACTGATCGGGAGAATTTCGGAATCTAAACAATATCAGTGACGGCGGTAGACTCACTGCAGCATCGAAACCGGGTCAGAAGATGCGTAATGAATGATGTGAAATGAAAAAGTTCTGCCATTTATCTTATTGAAAGGGACAGAGACCATAAACGGAGATGATATCACAAGAACCGTACAAAAAGGGACGATTTAGCCAGTTTTAGAGTAGTTAGATTATCAAATTACCTACAGAGAAATATGAGTAACTATGTCCGACATGATTTACAATCAAGAAAACTATGAACAAAATTAAATGATAATTTTTAGGAAGCTATCGAGCACCGAAGTCAATGACGCTAGATAAAAATTGAACCACTGCTTTTAGATATCAATCAGAAAAGACATCTGCGTCAAATGGGAGGGTTGCGAAAGATTTAGGCGTTTTTAAATGTAAAATGGCCAATTTTCCTAATCTGCAGGTCATGTTCCTCAACTGTCAGAAAAGCGATGATGATGGGGATAAATTAATGCAAAGTGAGCTCTTGATCATGTCTGCTGTCCGAGATTTGAACACAAATGGCTCATTATATAGAAAACAACCATCGAATCATATGCTGGTGCCTAATAAAAGTCAAGAAAGGTGGTGAGATATTCTACAGGCACTAACAGCTGGCCGTCTGCTCAAGTCAACTTTAATGATTGTTTGGCCTCATTATTACTGCTTAGACCTCGCAAGAGTCCGAAAGCTAACCAATTTATTATAAAGATCCCTAAATGGGGAATGCTAAATTACCGTGTGCCTTATAGAGATCTTCAACCGAGACTCTAAGGAGTCATAGATGACAGTAACACATTTACAAGAAGTGAGCGCAATTATCTTGAAATCAGTATTTGATTGTGTTCATATATTGAAGGTATGAAAGAATCCGATTTGTCACCCCTGGTGGTATCTTGGCAATACGCCAGACTCTATGTCTTTCTATAACAATTACCCAACTAATACAATTTTGCCCGTCAGTTCTTGGTTTTTTGTGCGCTTCGAGAATCGCCTGAGCAGTGTTGTTATGTCTGAGATTTCATCATGCCACAGCCTTCCTTCCCATTGACTTGAAATCGTTTTTGACTGTATCGTATGGGACCGTATCAAGTCTTACGTAAGAGATGTTTTGTAGCTGCTCAGCCGAAAATTGCTTCTCGGAGTAATACGTAAAGAACGGAACGGAACACGGATGAGAAACGGAGATGTCCATGCATGTGTAAAATAGGATAAAATATATAGGCCCTATCAAAATCATGGTATAAAATACAGTTACAAACATGCTCTAAGACAACCAAGCTAAATTGACTCATTCAAAAAATGGTTGATGAGCAAGTTTTAGTTACCGGCGCTTCGGGATTCATTGCGCTTCATGTCTTAGACGTCCTACTTTCTGAGGGATACGACGTTATTGGGACGGTCAGATCTAAAGACAAGGCAGACAGAATCGGAAAGTCTTTCAAAGAATTATATCCTTATGCAAAGCTAGAATTTTCGATCGTTTCTGATATTTCAGCACCAGGTGCTTTTGACCACGTCTTCCAAGACTATCCAAATATTCAACATGTGTTGCACACTGCGTCTCCTTTCTCGTTTGGTCTCGGCAAGAGCATGGAAGAAAGTTATCTTAACCCTGCTACCCAGGGGACGAAAGGCATTTTGGAAGCGACTCTCAAATTTGGCAAAGAGGTTAAGCATGTAGTCGTAACATCTTCCCATGCTGCAATCATGAATTTCGACAAAATTGGGGACTCTAGTTTCATCCACACTGAAGACACGTGGAATCCTATGCCTTGGGAGGAGGCCAAAAATTCCGAACTTACAGCTTATTGTGCGTCGAAAAAATACGCCGAAAAGCTCTGTTGGGACTTTTTAGAATCTCACAAGGACCAAGTTCATTTTTCCTTAACTACCGTTAACCCACCTTACGTTCTGGGACCCCAAGTCTTCGACTGGGGTTTGGAGCGTGGTTCATTAAACACTTCGGCTGAACTAGTCAATAAGGCGCTTAAGACCACACCAGATTTCGAAGGTCCGTTCGATCAACCTCAGGGTTTGTCGGTTGACGTGAGGGATGTGGCCCTGTTGCATGTACTTCCGCTGCGCAACGAAAAATTGGCTGGAAAGAGACTCCTTCCTGTTAGTGGAACTGGTGTGAAGGAACATGATTACGAAGACGGCAAATTCAACTTCCAGAAAATATTAGACACCGTTAATGCCAATTTCCCAGAACTAAATGGGAAGATTTCCAAGGGGAATTCTAAATACAGCAAGTCCTACTTGAAGACTGCAGACTTTTTTAATAACGACAAAACCACACAACTGACTGGCATCGAGTTTAAAAAGTTCGAAACAAGTATTATAGACTCTATTAAACAGATCTTGGACTTCGAAAAGAAGTCAAAGAATTGAAGATTTATAAGTTGACCTTCATCAACTTTTCGTTTCTTACATATTATCGTTATACCTGTTATTTCAAGAAAGCAATGCCAGCGATATGAAAGCCTAAATTCTGATAGTGCCGAATGCCCAAAGCTTTTGAAGATTGATTTTGTGAAGGCCTAACAAAAAGAAAGGCGCTTCACGTAAATTATACAAAGGAAATTATTCTTTTGTTCATACAAAAATGAAGGTAGAAGCTGTGTAAGTTTCCAAGAAATTAGTTTTATAGTACCAGACTAACGTTGGGGCTTATAATTTCTAAGCAATTAAGAGAACGGCTTAGTTTGGCAAAAAGTCCCAGTCGAAGAAACAATTTCATTAAGTTTAAGCGATCGGCGTGTAAGCGTTCCCTATTTAATGACCACGACTAATAAATTTAACGTGTAGCTTTTTGCGATTCTTAATAAATTGAGGGTCCTGGATAGTAATAATACGCAAAAAAATCGACGCACCGTAGTTAAAGGCTAAGGCATGATTTGTTATTCAGGATGCCAGAGTTTGATTTTAAAGCTCTTATCCACGTTAACAATGGACTTTTAAACCACTAGGATCTTCTAGTGTTGACAGAATATCTGATTCACACAGCAAGTGAAGTAAATCGAAGCTAAATACCAAACACTTCATTACGTCGATAATTAATGCATACACATACAGAGATTTAGTGGAAAAGGAGAAGTCCTTAGAAACCAACGCTCCTGTCTTAGAAAGAAACAATTGGCGACGGAGTCGGATATTAAACACATGCTTACTGAACAACTTTATTATGAATTAAACAGAAATACAAATGGCTTGGTAAGAACCTTCTCTCAGGCGTTAATTTATTTATGGCGAGAACTTCAAAATTTAATCCAGTGACGCTTATTTCAGACAATTTACGGGATTTTTCCAGTTCAAGTTCTATCACTAGTCAAGGCTTTGAAAATGTCTCACAGAAGAAAGGCATACAAATCCTTTTCAAAAATCATTTCCCTTTTATTGTTAAACTCAGGAGCGGTGGTTCCATTTCCGTAATTACTGGGTTTTGTGAACAGAATGTAAGTACTATATGCAAAATGTTGCCTTTATGATATGCTATTTGGTTTTCCTTGTTGCACCTTCATTGTCAGCGGAGCTCGCAACAGAGCTTCTAAGCTAACTGGTTAAACTTCTGGAGAAAACTTTTATCATTAGATAGGTCTATACCTAACAGCAAGATAATTGAATTTTATCAAAGGGACGCATGCCATGATTTATCCAAGCTGCAGGCGGAAAATAATCTGTTGGTCTTGACTGTAGGTCACCAGAAAACTCACAGTCTCCTATATTAGGCAGCAAGAACATCGGATTGTGAAAGTGCCTAAAGCGAGTGTTTGCTAATGGTCAATACGACTCATACCTGTGCATATCGCGCTATTGCAGTTTTTTTGAAAAGTTTAAGAGGCTCCATGGGAGGTTCTCAAGCATCAAAATTTTCTAAAGTTGATCCACCAAACTTCGAAGGATACACCGATGATGTTAAGTTACAATATCTTTTAGGGGCATGTAGTAGAACCTGAAGGTGTTTCTATTGGAGGATTCTCTCGGTTGAAAAAGCAACATGGCTGGGGTTAAGTACAAACAAAATCCCAGTTTTGACCGTTATTTTCCAGAATCGGTTGCATTGCACTTGCAAGTTGAGGTTGACTGCCAAACAAGGCCACGAACTTTTTCATGGCAGAGAAACAAATGGCAAGACTCTCAAATTGTGTTCAACTTTCCCGCGACTGCCATTGAGATGGGCATTTGTTCGGTTGAGCTTAAGTTCTTCTTCCTGTATCCTTAGTCGCCAATTGCAACACCTCTATTTCGCTCCGGGAGACTTGCTTAAACCGTCAGAAATGATAGATGTCACTTGACATGCACTTGACCTCAAATTAGAGAGCCTTCACTTGTTTGCATGAAGCTCATGATTGCGCTTGCCTTTTTTACTTGCTTTGACTGCCAAGGTATCGGGACTTAAAGTCGTCAGGGGGGAGGACCATCGCTTTCAATGCTGGAGGCAGTATGTTTGTTGACTCCCCAAACGCTATGATCATGAACAGTGGGCCGATATTTCTCTTTTTCCTTCGACGGCACAGTTCGAGCTTCAGGATATTTACTCTACACTCTCGTAATCATTCTTCACCCTTGTCGCACCTACTAGGGCAGTGTCGCTTTGTCCCAAAGCAACGAAAAAGGTTTCGTTTGTCTCCTGTCAACGTTGAACGTCGAACAATCTAGGATATGCGTTGTAAACTAAACAACTGCCTTGGCTTTTGATATGGCCCTCTGTGAGTATGGCATTGTCTAGAAAATTCATGACATAAGTATATCGTAACAGGTACAACTCATTTCAAATATATCAGGTTACTTGGCTCCAATCGTTTCATTGAAGGCGTTAAGATTTTTGTAATTGTAACATCATATGATATCGTGGCACAATTGTAACAACACACTAACTGCGTCATTTTTCGATTTAGCTTTTAGTCTCTGCTGTTTTCCGCAAAATTGTACTACTTGCCGATAATCAATTGTCGAATAGATTGTGTGGCCTCGCGGTGAGCACGCTTGGAGAATCGAACTTCGGCCTGGTCTTAATTGATAATCTCAGAGTAGAAAAACTCCAGGAATTGTACATTTCGCTCAAATGTCTCCTCTGAATCCAGGCCTGGGCCCGGTTCCTGTACGGAAGCCTTTGATATTTGTTCAGTTAAAGAGGTGGCAGAATCATCATCAATCGGGTGGAAGGACCTCTCTGGACCCCTAAGCAATTCCTCTCATATCAGTAAGAAATTCACGAAGTCATACAAGTTGATAGTCGCAACTCTGATGCAGACGGGCTATTTTACAATCTCTGGACGCGTTTGATGGCACGAAATTGTGCGCTCGCAACTTTTCAAGTTATTTTAGAAAGATATAGTAGCCGCCCGAGCTGAGAAATCGTTCTTCAAGTTTGCCAACTTTCCTCTAACCTAAACCGTTCACAATGATTCTAATAGAACGTCGCTTTGACTACTGCTTTGATTGGCCGTGCGAGCACTCAGAGCATTGCTACTTTGATTTACTCTATTTGAGCAGGATTTAATTTATCGGGTATAAAAATTGATCACTAAGCGACAATCGTCTACTGGATTTGCCGGGTTCATGAGGAATTCGTTGCAGTTTGTAGTGCTTTCTTCCGAATCCACCGAAATTTCGAGCACTCTTGACGGCCGTATGCGGCCTATGGACACGCATTCAATGCTGACTAGACATCATTGGTCTGAAGGACAGAAGCCAGCAAGTATCGGAAACACATTACAACAGAGTCTGCTATGACTGGGGACTCTGAAGACTCGAGGAGGTCAACAAAGGAGCCATCGAAGGCGGCATCAAAAAGCACTTCAAAAAGCACTTCAAAAGTGAGATCCGCCAGAGGTCGTAGAAAGAAGGGACAAAAAGCAGGCAAAAGTGAGGTTTCATTAACACAAAGCAAAGATAATGGAAGTACAGTCCATAATAGCGTCAAGCATTCCAAGGAAATCACAACTTCTAATTATTCGAAGTCCAAAAAGGTGGACCTGGGTCGTTTACTGAAAGTAAGGAATGAGGAGATTGAGCAAGCCCAGCACATACTCGGCAAAACGATATTCAAACTATTTAAAAATGGGGGTCATTCAAAAACTTTCGGGTTGGTAGTGCCCTCAACAGACAAACCTGTCACCCTGCTAATAAAGCTAACAGATGCTTATCCTCGAGAGCCAATAAAGCTGATATTTCCGCAGACTTCTGAAATTGAAAATAGGCTAAAAAGCATTTGCATCAAAAATTTCAACATTAAAGTGAAGGAGTTTTCACAACAAGGTGAGCCATTGGTAACGCAACTCAACTTTCTGCTTTCCAGATGGCGTTGCATGTGTTCTGTTGATTACCGAGCAAAGGACCAGCTACAAAAAGAACTAATGCTGCAACATAATGAATAAACTATTCCTTGACAAATACAGCCGCCGCTCCCATACCTGTCCCAACGCACATACTTACAACTCCGATTTGGCCTTCGTTGAGTTCTCGAAGAATTGTGGCTATTTGCCTCGCGCCTGTACAACCAAGTGGATGACCTAGAGCGATGGCTCCACCTCTTGGATTGACGTTATCGTGAGCTATGTTCAGCTTGTTGATGCAATAGAGCGCTTGGCCCGCAAACGCTTCATTGATTTCGAAAACGTCAATATCATTCACCGACAAATTACAATCCTTCAAAACTCTGGGTATCGCATAGGCAGGACCTACACCCATGATATCAGGTGGAACGCCTACCGTTTGAAAGGCGACGTATTTACCCAAAATCGGTAAATTTAATTGGGTTGCTACCGCCCTTCGAGTAAGAAGCACGCCTGCCACCCCATCTGATATTTGGGATGCATTTCCCGCGGTAGTAGTTCCTTTCTCCTTTATGAAAGCTGGCTTCAAGTTGCCAAGTCCCCGTGCAGTGACGCCACGACGAGGACCTTCATCAATAGATATGACTGTACCATCTGGAAGACTGATAGGTAAAATCTCCTCCTGAAAAAACCCTTGCGATACGGCTCGCTCTGCTTTCCGATAAGATTCTGCGGCAAACTTGTCTTGATCCTCTCTTGAAATGTTAAACTTTTGGCTTACGTTTTCGTTGGTAATTCCCATTGGAATCATACATTTCCTAGCCTCTTTGTTCTGCTTGAGCTCCGACGAAACATTGCCCAGGGCCTGTGGTCCATAGTTCTGGCTCATGGACTCTGCCCCTAGCGCTAGGCCCATGCTGATTTGGCCGACTCGAATTTTGTTTGCGACCTCATTGACCGCGGTAAGCCCGGAAGAACATTGTCTGTTGACGGCCTCAAAGGCCGCCGTATAAGGAATTCCAGCCCCTAAGCACGCAGCTCTGTGCTCCGTTGCTCCGGCTCCTGGGTTGAGAACATTGCCGCACGTCACGTCCTCAATCAGGCCCTTGTTCTTTTGGATTGGCTCGGGGAGATGTTCCAAAAAATTTATTAAGAATTGTTGTAATAAGTAATCAGTGTTCACGTCTTTGAATCCACCTTTAAACCCTTTTCCAATTGCTGTGCGGTAGGCTGCTACGATAACCACGTCGTCTGCTCTCTTGTCTTTGACGGTATGCCCACCGTTGGACATAAGGTGATCTTTGATCTGCGTTAATCTCTGTGACATTGTCAACTGTAAACTATACGTCTTTTTGAAACTGAGGAATGTAGTATGTGATAGGAATCTTCAACAGTCAGCTTTTGTGCCCTTTATATAGATTTTGGCTCCCTATATTACTGAATGTTTGAAGTCATCCCTCCAGCTACCCCAACTAGTCTTCATATCGACATTAACGAAAGAACAAATAATATTGGGATCACGTTTAAACGAATGGACTCTCCGCATCTTTGAAACAAAGGTTTTATTAAGTTCTTTGCGGCAAACTGAATGCAATAAAAAATTGGCACGGTGATGCCTAGTCCTAGGGTATCTCAAGGCTTAGAAAGAGGGTCCAGTTAGTTAAATGAGTAATATGCTATCACGTGATATCTTCACATACAGTCCAGAAGGACACTGGGAAGAATTCAGAAGAAAGACATATTTTTTACTGGTTTGTGAACATACCTAGATAAATTTTTTCATATCCGATTTTAAGGGCGTGTTATCCTCGAATTATTTATCCCGTTTACTTGAAAGTAGTATCTCGCGGCTACAGAGTAGGGTCTCTTTGCGAGAGCGATAAATTAGGGAACAATTTCAAGAAATTGTGCCATTGTTTACGTATGAAGTGATGTTAACGCGAATTTGATCATCAATGAAATTGTGATGAGAAGGAGTATAACAAGAATGCCAATTTGATCTCGCTTTAATCTGCGATATCCTGCGTATGTCAGGGCTTTACCATGGCCGAGAGAAGTGGATAGAACCTCATGATTATGGCAAGCGATCTTTTTCGCTTGATGGGGGTATTCTGCCGCCCAAAGGGAAGTCTGTCGCCGATGCAAAAGACTATGATTTCGTGACGCAAGGATTACAATTGGTTGGAAAGGGACTTCACAAACAGAACTCACTTAACACCAAGGAATTTCCTTACAGTGGCAGTGGCAAGAATTTTTCTACAACAGATATCCAGTTTTACGGTGAGTCCAGCAATAGGGCTAGGGGCGACCATCTTGACGCCCTTGATAAACAACTTAGCAGTAGTTTCAATCCGGGGGTTATGCCTGCAGAGGAAATTATCGAATACCATTTCAACAGGGTTCTCGCTAGCAATAAGTTCTTTTGGGGTAATATGCCCAAGGGCTGGCAGAACATGGCGCCCGCCCGGAAATGGCAGTTTGTTTGTCGAGAAAGAATAAGCACAGAGAGTGAAAAGAAAGGGGCAAAGGCGAACTCTGTACGTGATCAGGATCACCAGACTTTTAATTTTATCAAGTGCAAGCTCCAGTCGTCCAAAAAGGCTTCGCATGCTCTCCATGAGCTTGAAAGGTTACTCCGACGGAAAAGCTTCTCGATGTTTTTTCTGGCTCAACAAGGCGTCGAATTTCTCTCTGAGATTTGCGGCTCAGTTGATTCAGAAGACTTTTACGTGTTCTTGACTTGCATTAAGACTCTGATGAATTATGAAGAAGGAAGACTAAGGACACTGAAGAGCGGGCCGCTCATGCAACTTTTGTGTTCAATGCTTACACGCTCAAACATCAATGTAAAGGCTGCTTTATTATGCGGGGAAATTTTACTCGTTTTGACATACAACGACATTGATGGTAAAAATGCGGTGGTGGCACAACTAGATTCAGAGTATTGCGAATGGTTTTCTAGTATTGACAAAATTCTTACAACGCCAGTCGAGCAACTGGGCTTTGAGAAACATGTGATAATCACAAAGCCTCAGCAAATCCTGCGTAACTACTGCACGACATGTCTGTTTCTAATAAATTCGATTGTTCAGGCCTCGGCTTCCGCGCAGGAAAGATATCGCCTTTTGAAGCGATTCAAAGAGCACGAAATTCACAAGATTTTTTCAAAAATGAAACAGCTGGACTGTGGTCTCATTAATGATGAAATTGCCAAATATAGAGGATGCGAGCATGAGTGCGCATTACAAGTTAACGAAGAAAAAATGGTTTGTCCTGATATACCTTACGCAGACAGCTTGAGTACACTGATTGCTGAAACTCGAAATACTGCTTTAGAATATTCCGTTGGGCAAGTGATTCGAGTCATGTCTGAACTAGTACTGACAAGAACGTTTTCGGACTCTTTTAAACTCTTCACGCTTTTTCATTCAATCTTGGACTATTTGAAAGAATCTAACTATGGAGACGAAACTAATGACTCGAATGCCGTGTTTCGTATGTCCTTGACTCATATAATGGACAACTTGCAATCCGATGAGATAGCCAGGAGAGCAATGAACGACCTGAACGTTTGTCATAAAAAAATTGAACTTCTGGAGAAACAACTTAAATCTAAGCATCAAGGCATTGGACCATCGGCTGAAAAGCTGGTGGAAGAAACTGTTCAACTACGAGAAAATCTCCGCAAGAAAGAAGTCGAACTAAAAATCCAAGGAGAACGGTTGGATGTTTTGACTAAGCAGCGTAGAATCGAGAAAAAAAGCTACGAACAAGCATTTGCTCATAATATTGCCAAAGAACCCAAAAGAGCCAATTCTTTCACGTTATTCTCCATGTTAAAAAATAAGAGTCCGAACCAAGATACGGACCAACGGTTGAAAAGGCATCATTCTTTGTCTAGGAGTGCTAGAACAACGTCCCTGGTCAACACAATCAATTCAGAACCCGAAGATGAGAAATATCGTGAAGCAGGACAAGAAAATGTTCATGATATGAGGCTTGTTCATGCAAAGAAAACAAGTGTGGGTGAGGGTGTACTCCATACCCTCGGAATATCACCTTTTGGCTATCCACCGGAGGAAGCACTCCTCACTGTCATAGGTGGTAAAGAAACTTTAAATTCGGATTCTTCGCTTAAAAGTGAGTCAGTAAAAGACCCAAAAAAAATTGATCCTACGCGGGCACCTCCACCTCCACCTTTGCCACCTAATTTAAAAAATGCTCGAGCTCAGCCCAAAGATCCGTTGCCTAAAAGTGATATTTTCCCCAGAATTTCGGCACCTCCGCCACCTCCTCCCCTTCCCCGTATGGCGCAAGATAACCCGCTTCTTGATACATCTGGGAAAAGGCCCGTGGTAAGAAAGCTCAAACAAATACATTGGGATAAAATTGATAATGTTTCAGACACTATATGGAATCAATCTCGGGATAAATCGCAATTGGTTGCACGACGTCTTCAAGAGTCGGGAGTTTTTGATGAAATTAATGACCTGTTCAAACTGAATGATGGAAAGGTTTCTAAAACACTGTCGAGAAAGGCTAAAGAAAAAACAGTAAACAACTTGTTACCAAGGGATTTGGCTCACCAGTTCGGTATCAATCTACATATGTACTCGGGGCTTTCAGTCGAAGGATTTGTATTAAAAGTTTTGTGTTGTGACCACGACATCATCAAAAACCAGAGTCTGATGGAGTTTTTCTCTAAAGACGACTTGATCAATATTCCAACAAATGTAAAGAAAGTCTTTCAACCCTATCAAGCTGGACAAGCTCGAGCTGGCGAATCTGAGGGCCTTGAAAGGTTTGACAGAATTTTTTTGGAGCTCTGCATCAATTTGGAACCCTACTGGTCTGCAAGATCACAATGCCTCCTGACACTTACAACATATGAGCGAGATTATTACGATTTAATTTACAAGCTTCAAAAAATTGACGACGCTGTGACCTTGATTCGAAATTCAAACAGTTTTAGGCAAGCTCTCCATGTTATAGTGGAGATTGGCAATCACATGAATTACAAGCAAGCATCTGGCATAAGGCTTGGTTCTCTTCCAAAACTCGCTTATGTCAAAACAAACAAAGACAGCAACGTATCCTTTCTTCATGTCATCGAGCGTATTTTGAGAACAAAGTGCGAAGGAACTTATGATTTCATTGCGGAACTGTCGAAGGTGTCAGATTTGAAAAACTTACTTGTAGTGCAGGTCGAAGCCGGATGCCAAGAGTATCTTGAGCGGCTCAACAGAGTTCATGCCTGCATGAGTGAGGGGGTGCTCTCAAAACCTGAGATTTTTCACCCGGAGGATAGGTTTTTGGAAGTCGCCAAACCTAAAGCGGCCATTGCACGTAGGAAAGCCACATTGTTGAGAGACCAAAGCATTTTAACCAAGCGTGATTTTGATCATGTCATGAAATTATATGGTGAGGACCCAGGCGACTCAGAGTCCCGAAACTCGTTTTTTGGTCACTTTATTGAATTTCTCACGATGCTAAAAAAAGCCGCGAGAGAAAACATCGAAGAGGAAGAAATAAGTCGTCTTTATGAACAGAGAAAAAGGCTCCTCGATGAACGACAGGCTTCGGCAGAAGACGTCACTGCTAAGCCTAACGACACAAAAGAAGAAGAAGATACTGTCGATGTGCTTTTAAAAAAACTAAGAAAGGTGGGTGAGGACTCTCTCGAGAGTGGGCGAAATCGTAGAAACAGTCGCCAAAACAACCGGCAGGAGAGTGAAATCGAAAATCTGATGGATAAAAAGGACAATGACAAACTTTTGTCTCGTACTCAGTCCATGCTGACGACTACTCAGAAAATATAGTTAATTTATAAAAAGCATAGGCAACAACGGCTATCGAATATAATTTCACATTCCTTCCGAACAATACTGATGGGGTCCAGAACCAAACATTCTATCTCTTTTGACGAAACCGTTCCGCGAATTTTCACGGAACTTTAAGTGTCCCCAGGCCAAGAAAACCGGAGAAGGGCTTGTTGGAGGTGACTTCGAAGTTAAAACCATAACGCTCGCTTTAATTGTATTGCAAGACTTTCAGTCTTGAGAGATCTGTCTGTGATTACTGTATGTCAGATCCTGTCTCGGTTGCCGTGGGCTGTGCCGTCGGCATTCCATGCGGTTTGGCGTTAATTATCGCATTCATCTTCTGGTACCGAATGCAGCTGAGGTTCAAAAAAGAAGCGGAAGCTGATACTGAATCCCTGAGAGAAGAGGGCCCAATAAGCTTTGACAACTTCGAAACATTGAAACAAACAAAAGAGAGGGGAAACCGGGAAAATATAGAGAAGATTATTGAGAACTCTGGTTCATCTGAAAATACAACAAATGATGAAGAGAAAGATGGGACCAATGGGACTGCTACTGCAGGAAACTCGGGAGATGGTAAACAGCCTCAAAGATCTGGAAGCAGATATATCCCAGCTTATCGACAGAAGCTCAACCTGTCTTTGAGTAAGCGGCGAAATTCGGGGAAGGGCGATGAGTTGAAAGGCTCCCTTGATAATTCAACAACTTCTTTGGAGACGCCTCGAAATCAGAATACACCAACGACAGTGCTGGATCAAATTATCCCTGTTATGCCCATGCCAGGATCTGGGTCGGCTCAGTTTTCTACCTCCGAATTTAGCTTGCAGAATGACCAGTATTCAAGCAATGAACACCTGATAAAAAATCTTCACAATCAAGATTTCGGTTCTTACCCCAGAAGAAAGTCATCAGCCACCTTAAGCGTCATGAATCCCGCCAATCAGTCGAATTCGTCTTTACACACACGTGCGTCTTCTGTTCACTCGCTATCAAAGAAGAGTGCCGAAAATATTTTTGAGACACCAAAGAGTCAAAGCTTTGTACCATTGGAAGAGCCATCCCAAGCAGCTGACGATAAGAGCGAGATATACATGTTAAAGAATAACTACGACGTATCAAACGCCGAGGAAATTGCCGAGGAAGATCAGTATGAAAACGAGTTTACTAACTACTCGGACAACAAACGAGAGTTTATAAACAGTTTACGGCCCAGGAAGGTCTAAATAAGTGTTTGAACTGGGAGGGTTGGGATAACTCGTAAGGACATATATCCGGGTATCATGTTTTAGATAAATAACTGAATTATGTGAAAGCAAGAATCTTCTATTTTTCAATGTAAAAAAACTGCAAACTCAACTTATGTACACGTCTCTCCTATACCTTACAGTGTATTTGTGCCGCTGCTCGCGAGTAGGTCAATTTTCTGGTCGCCGACAGTGATACTCCACTCATGAATTAAAAATTCCTTGGCCCCATTTTCGCGGTCCGCAATTAACTTCACCATTCCTTGAAGGTTTTTGCTCCCCTTTATGTAGAAAGTCACGTTAACTCGTCCTGCGACTTGATTCAGGTCACCATACACCCATGGGATCAATCCATCGAAGTCGAGGTTATCCCCCAGCAATTGCCTTGTCTCAGGTGATCTTCTTAGGTGGTAAAGTGTGCTAGAAATGATAGGTGACTGTGTTTTCTCATAGTTAAAGATGCAAAGCAACGAAACACCGATTGCTACACCGAATCCCAACAATTGCGCGCGTCTTTTGAACCTATCTTTTGTAGGGTCTGGTAACTCTCTCTCTATGCGAAGAGGTCTATTCTTATCTTTAAGAATAAGCGGGGATTCAGTTGACAGAAGTCGAACACATCTCGACTCGGACTTCAAGACGTTTAGAATGCTCCTTCTCACGATTCTTGGAAGCATGATGATTTTTCAAAGCTATCGTTACTATAAAACTATACTCGAACAGCTCAACTGTTAAAAAAAAATATAAACCTTACAGAATATAATTAGAATCTTGAACCTCTTCGATAAAGCATTCAAAAAGTAGAAAATGACTTTGGTAAGTAGATGGATAACCTTGATTTAAAGCGATGTGCGAGGTTTACTAATAGTATTCAGATAGGTAAAGCTCTTCACTTTTCAGTTGATTTGGTTCTCATATCGACTTGTTTAGCTGGAATCAAGCGGAACACGGGAATAACGGTAAAGACGCAAACCATCGGTGACGATAACGTAAGAGGATATATTGGCAAGTATCTAAATATCGGAGAAAGTTGCTACGATTACACGGTCGCGACATTGGCTTCATCTCAATATTTCGTTAGAAAATGAGATGTACTTTTAGCCATATTTATATGCATATATGCAATGAAGTCAATTGGAGTATAGAATCATTAATTCTATACACGTACGTGGTCTGAAAGATAGCTTTCATGATATAACGTTAATAGTCTAACTCGGGTTGAAAGGAATATTCCCAAAGCAGCTCTCAAGATCAAGGACTGACTCCTGATGAGCGGCATTTGTGTTCGCCTTCACAGTTTCTTCATGTTCAACATTACTAGACTGCTCCTCGTAAGGATTATACAGGAACTCGTAGCTTGTGAATCTTTCGTCGGGTTCACCCTTCGAGTTCGGATGAGAATTAGGAACGGATGCCAAAGACCTTAAAGATTCCCAAAAATCAAGGCCCTCTTCTTCCCCATTGGCTGAAATCGTGCTGGGCGTGCGGTTAGAACCAATTTTCATCTTGTCTTCACCATAAGATGTCGCGACGGAAGGGTAGGGTGTGCCAGCGGAAGAAGCTGTCGACGCGGTTGGCGTAGCATTCTTTGACCTGTTTCCTCTCCCGGAGCGCTTTCTGGTCTTGTTAATACGGTTTGGAAAACTGCGACTAGTTGCGGGATTGGAGTCGGGTGAACGGCCGGTATTCGAAGAGCCCAACTTTGGCCTTACTGTAGCTGGCAAAACGTTAAAGTGATATTGCCTGCTGGGTCCAATTTCGTCTATATTTTCCTCTGGTGTCGATCGTGACCCGGTCGAGCTTGTGGGTCTCTGTCTCTGCTGGTAAAACGAGGATAACCTAGAGGAGATTCTGGGAGAGTAAAAAGCATGTGTGGCAAATTGATGGGATGTTGCAAGTTGCTCTAACGAGAGACCTGCCTCGCCCGTCATGCCGGGGAAATTAGGAGAATTAGGCATGAGTTCAGTATCAAGGCCAAATGCCGAAGGAATTCGCTCATTTTTATCGGGAGAGAATGCTTCGGGTGACATTGGAGCTAGTAAGTCATTCGCGAACGACTGTGACAAAAGAGGATTCAGTTGTGGAAGAAACTCGTAATGGTTGTGTATATGCTGATGAATCGAAATCTTCAAAGAATCCTTCTTTGCTCCTTCGATAAGCTCTTTAACTAGCGCTGAATTAGTGATTTTACCCTGTGACAATGGCTGTCCAGCAGAGTCTTTGACAGAAAACTCCCAATCGATAAGCGTACTATATGGTTTTTTCATCTGGCCGGCAGATTCTTCCCCGTTCATACCGCTTATATTCTCCTCGCCCTCTTGCCTACGTCCCGAAGTAGCTGAATCTCGCAATTCACTCCCTTTGAAATTTTGACGTGCATTATCCGTAATCTGAGCTCCTTGTTCATTGGAAGAGCCGGTCTTTGTGTGAATAGGAAGTCCTGGATTACGCAGAGACTCTTGCTTTATTTCTTGAGGAGCGCTGGTTCTCATATTAGATGACTCGGATGGGCTGGCATTCTCACTGGTGTTAGAGGACGAATTGTTGTTGGTATTGCTATTCAGCTTTAATTCCAGAGAATCCTTCAGTTCTTCAACTGTTCGTAAACCCTGACTATCTGAAGATTCCTGGACAGCCCTGACAATTACCTCTGTAGCCTTTCCCCGCATTATCATGGTAATAATCTTTCGCCAGCGATTGCGGCAAGTCAGGCTAGGTCTGGACTCCATTTCACGGGAAATTTTACGCCATCTGGTTCCATATTTCTTGACCTTGCTAATGAGCGCCAGATCTTCTTCTATGCTCCACGATCGTAGCCTATCTCGCGTGCTGGGATCTAAAACTTCAATGTAACGCTTTGCGCATTGATCCTCTGTTCGTCCTGAAATCTCGGTTGAAATCTTCAACCAGTGGGCACCCCATTTTTCAAACGATTTCTTCAACTGCTCATCTTCTTCTTCGGTCCACTTGCCCTTTTTGAGATTTGGATCTAATGAAGTGGTCCATCTTTTGCGCACGTCTTTTATCTTTCGCACATCTCCATCGAACTTCGCTTGAATTTCGTCCCATGGGATCCGCTTGCAAGCTGCATTCGACTCTTGTATTGTCTTGACTGAACTCACTCCCTCTGCATATCCTAACTGTACCAAATAAGTGTTTACTGCATTTCTCAACATCTCGTCTTCCTCCTTGGTCCACGGTTTACGCATTCCGCGCCGACAAGTCTGATAACCAAGGCTCTCTGTCACATCCAGAGGATCAATGGCAATCTTCCTGCTCTTAATGGATTCTCTGTTCATTGCACTTATAAACCTTGGGTCGTTGCAGACTCCTTGAGCCGCTGAGTTGATGATTCGGATCACACCCACAACAATGTAGCGTGCAACTCATCGCCTGAACTCTTCGCTTCTGTCATTGCTGAAAAGAAAAAAAACGTATAATAGAAAAAAAGAAAAGACCTACCTATTTCTCACGAAATGCCGTTGCTGGTGTTCATTTCGCTAAGGTCAACAAGTGGGGATGAACTAGGCGCTGAACGTTCGTTTTATTTGGAGCTCAAAATATTAGCTCTTGTTGAATTTAACAATCACTCGTCTCATTCGCTTTTTGCCCACTGAAGAAGTAATGCTATGCTGCTTTCGAGTATATAAGAGACTACGTACTTCAGCACAAGAACTGTAAACTTCCTTCGGGTATATATGAGATTATATGAGATTCTGCTGAATCCCTTCGCTTCCAAGATGTTTCATTGCTTCTTCGTGGCATGGCGTAGGCACACTTTTTTTTCCTCAGTAGATCCTTGCAGGTATAATAGTGATTTGCTACAATCTGCGTATCCAAAACCAGATTCGTTAAACTAAATGTTCTAGCACAACGAAAATCCTCTATGCTGATTTCAACGTCTAATCAATAACCAGGTAAAGTGGCAGAGCCTCACTAAAGTAAGAACGGCAAGACAGAGGCACTTTAAAGCTTTTGAGTTCGAGACTCGCATCAATTCTATGCTAGCAAGGTATTCAAGCCTTGATTGTTCTAAGCATGGTTAAAGCGAAATACATTTATGGTTTCATTAGATAATGGCAATTAAAACTTTTACTGACGTCAGCGTTCCATTGTCTTGCATTTTTTTTACTTTCTTCTCGGTTCAGAACCTCAGGGTCCCTACCGTAAGAAATCCAAATAATACACGTCATGAACGAGAGCTCGCCGCTTTGTTAGCTTGCTCTGATTGTTCCAATTTAAACTTTTGAGAAATCGAAATAATTTTTACAACTCATTTTGATCGCTACGACGATTTCCCTGTTTGAGCCGCAACAATCGGCATGATTATTTCTATATGAAAAACGAGCTCTTGTAATTTCATACAAATTGCATAATTCGATCAGTTTGAATTTCGTTTTGTCAAATCTGCTTTTCTCGACGTTCGTTGTTGCCTAAACAGCGTTGATAAGAAATCACGTGACGTTAATTTCGACATCAATAAATGGCTATTGTTCCTAAATTAAAATCATGTACCCGATATGAACTTTAGGATAAATCAGTCAAAAATACTCTGACTTTTGTCGAATGCCCGAGCTTTTCACTCCAGAATATTCAAATGAGCTATTGCAGTTTATACAGGAGATTTACTCGCAAGATATTGCGCATTTTTACCCGAGGCTGAGGCTCGAAAAGATGCTAGATCTGTTAGAACATGCCGAGTACTTGTTTGAATCCTATCGAACGTTTCTGCAGAAAAGCCAGACGGACGATGCTCTGACAGCTTACGTGGTTGGGTGCTTTTACATTTATCTGATCATCCCGCATTCGATACAATTTCACTCCCGAGACAAGTCTTATGGTATCTACACCGATTTACAGAAATACTATCGAGAAGAAGCAAACATGACAAATGTTTTGCTAATGGTAACTAAAAAGATTGAGAAACTAACGAAAGTCGAGGCTGAGGGTCGACAATATGCCACCATCAATAGGAGGAGGGCATACTCTGTCCCCCCTAAAAGTTTAGAGCAGCAGCTCGAATCGTTTTCCATGGGTACTAAAAATGCTCCTGCTCAGCACATGAAAAGAATATCCAGTATCGAGGACAACTCCACCATGTGGAGGGCGCCTGATATAACTCCTAACGACCAATTGGAGATTGCAGTGGCGACTGTGGGCTCTTCCAATTCTTCGATTCAAAATTCACAAGCAAGCCATAAAGCTCTAACATCGTTAGGAAATTCATTGGACAAGTTTGAAGGTCCTCCTTCTGGAATGACCAAAATACGACACGAAAGCACCCCAACTTTTTCTTTAAACGACGAACTTTCCGCTGTGGACGAAGCAATCAACACCGTTCGTCCTCAGGATGTTGATCGCTATGAAACGCATAGAAAGGACTCATACCACTCCGTGTATATGACGAATGACGATGGTAATGATGACTCGCTATTTAATTTGACGAGATTACAGAAACAATCACTGATCACTTGCGATCAGCTCATGGATATTCTCAATAGTAACCTCAAGCATTCTCTATTGCTCATTGACCTTCGACTACCAAGGCGGTTTGAAAGCAATCACCTCGTGGCACCTAATACAATCAATTTCAATCCCCAATTTCTGTGGGATTTTAAAAACAACCAGCCAGTGGACTCCGATAGGCAGTTGAATGATCAATTGAAATCTGACCTTTTTAAAAACAGATCTCATTTTCGTGACATCGTGTATTACACCGATATGAAAAGCTTTTTGCACTTTGACTTTGACTATCAATTATCTCTATTCAAAATTCTTTACACTTCTTCGGCCAGGCTTAGATGTGTTCCGAGAGTACTGTTAGGTGGTTATGAACAGTGGAAAAAGTTCATAGGGGCTTATTCTGCCAAGCACAATGTGCCGAAAGAGTTGTTTCTTTATAGATCTTCGTCAACTTCTCATTCAAAGTCGGCGCCACCACCCGTACCGTCAAGCATGCCACCCCCCTTGCCTCCAGGAGCGGCACCTTCTTTGCCCTCTCAGCCTGCTCCAGATCTACCTCCTCCAGATCTACCAGCAAAAGGGCCCATCTCAAAGTTGGCTTCGAAACCTCAAAAACCTGTCCATTCAATCCATTCCTTGCCACCGCAGACACCGCAGGCGCCCGACCATTCCACCGCCTTGCATTCAACTGCCGACTCCTCGCATCTGCCGGTACTTGCCAACAGGGAACACGCCTCGGTACCCACAATCGAAAGAAGCCGTAACACATATGTGGCTCTTTCTATCACTGGCTTGAGAAATCTTGGAAGTACTTGCTACATCAATAGTATGTTGCAATGCCTTTTTGCTACCAAAACTTTGAGAGAATTATTCGTGACTTCAAAATATCAAGACTATCTTACACCCTCCAAAAAACATGATCATCCTTTGTCGAAATCTCTAAATCAGCTTTTCAAAAAGATGTACATGAATGGAGGGTGTTCTGTCGTACCCAATGGATTTTTGAAAACTTGTAATTCTCTAAGACCTGATCTAAGAATACCCAACGATCAGCAGGATACTCAAGAATTTTTATTGTTTCTACTAAGTCAGCTGCATGATGAACTTTCGGACTCGCAAAAGGTTGGATCGGACTATCCGCAACTTTTGTTACATGATGACGAAAAACTCTGTGTGGATTCAAAAGAATACAACAAATGGTTTGACTCCAATCTTCAAGAAAACGGAATTTCACCCATCGATCGGATTTTTCAAGGCCAAATGGAAAATTCTCTGCAATGTCAGCGTTGTGGATACTGCTCATACAATTATTCCATCTTTTACGTTCTGTCGCTGGCCATCCCAGCTAGCACTAACGCGCTAGGTAAGAGCAAGAAGGTGAGATTAGAGGATTGCATCAACCTTTTCACTAATGATGAAGAGCTCAAAGGGGAGAACGCATGGGACTGTCCCAAATGTGGGTCAGCGGTAAGTCAAGAAGATAACAAAAAACGAAAGAGAAGATTTTTGAGCTCTGAACACAGACAAGGTACGCGCGCTAGCAGATTTTTTCAATTGCGTTCAAAAAATCGTAATAGATCAGTATCACCATATGCATACTCTGGGGCATCCGAGAAGTGGACTTCACGGAGACTCAGTACTATAAAGACCTTGAACTTTATCACCTTACCACCTGTACTTGTGATTCATCTCTCAAGGTTCTATTATGATCTCACGAAAAAAAATAGCGCGGTAATCACTTATCCATTGATTCTGAGCATCGAATTGAAGAATGGAGCCCTCGTTCATTATCGACTTTATGCGATCGTGAATCATTTTGGTAATCTGATCAGCGGGCATTATACCTCACTTGTCAATAAGAATCTGAAGCATGAGATCAGACGTGGTGAACAAAAGTGGTATTACTTCGATGACGAAATTGTCAAAAAGGATGATAACCACGGAGATTATGATGCAGGCATCATAAGTGTCTCTAGTAGCGATGTCTATGTTCTCTTTTACGAGCAAATAACAATCGGATAGATTAAGCATTATAGTTACGAATTTCCTTCAAAGATAACGACAAATTGAGCCTCGACTAGGAGAGTCTTTTATTTCGGTAAAGCATATTATTTGAAGCGCAGTCTCGCCGCAGACAATCTCACAGCTCAACTCAACAGCTCAGATATTACGAAGAATTAAAGCTTGAGCATGGATCGAGACATCAACGTTCAAATCTACAATAATTTTACATTTGCCTTCCAATCGGACAAGCTACATTTCAAATACACAGGCACAATTTCACGAAAGCTTTGCAACGAAAATTAATTTTAAGATGTATATATCACTTTCATGTTAAGGTTACGTTTTTTCGTTAGTGTCATTAAGATCGTACAATTTTGAGGGTAGAAAGCATTTATTCAAATTTCGGAGACCTGAGGCGATTTTATTTTTTTAAACACCGAACGTCTTGATAAACTCTTGGGTGTCTTTAATTTCCCTCTCCCTTCTGGATGCATCCCAATTGAGCTCATCGCCCATTACGCTCACAGTTCCAGGAACAGCTGCTAGAGCCTGCTTTGCATCCAAGAAAGCAAATCGAGTTCTTCTCATCAAAAAATCTAGAGCTGTTCGTGTATATTCGTGGTTAATGCTGTATTTGAGCTCAGCGATGGTGAATGGATACCTGAAGGAATCAAAATCAACGTTTCCAATGACAGTGACGTCTTCTCTACCACCAAACGTAACAGGTAGTTTGTTCAAATCGCCATCCTCGAGCATATCGCAAATCATTGAAGCTCTTGTACCGTAGCTGTTGGCTAGATGTTCGGCCATCTTTGATGACAAGTGGTACCTTTGTGCCAGTAGAGCTTGTAAATTCGGGTCCCAATTTTCAGCACCAGCTAGTCTGAGTTTCTTAGTTATGCAAGGTTTGACGTTGAAATGACCTTGCTTGACAACCTCATTGATGGTCTCTTCGGCCATTTCTCTATACGTAGTCCATTTACCTCCTGCTATAGTAACCAAACCATTGTCAGAAGTGAAAATGAAATGAGATCTAACCAAGCCTTGAGTCGAACCCCCCTCACCTTCTTTCACCTTTCTGGGGTCTCTGACTAAAGGTCTTATTCCGGCCCAAGCACTCAAAACATCGCTTCTTTTCACTGGAAACTTGATATAGTGTTGCAATTCTTTCAAAATGTCTTGAATGTCGGCTTCAGTAGCAGTGGGGTTTTCTGGAACCTGCTTCATGGGAATATCAGTGGTACCTGCAAGGACTTTACCTTGCCAAGGCAAGAAAAACATGACTCTACCATCGGACGTCTTGGCATCAAGTAGGCCCATGGTTTTTGGACAGTAAAACGCCGGAAGAACAATGTGGACACCCACGGACGGAACGACCATATGTGGATTGGAGACGGCTACACGAGAGCCAATCGAGGTGTGCCCTTCATTGGCAAATTGAATCAAGTCATTTCTGGGGAACCCCTTAGGGTCCTTATCCATCTGCAAAATTCGATCACTGAAAGGTCCAGTGGCGTTGACGACAACTTTGGCGTTAATCTTATACTGCTCGCCGGTCTCGCGATCTTGTACAACCGCTCCCTCAACTTTCCCAGTGGATCCATTTTTGATGAGTTGTAAGACCTCCATGTAATTTAGAACAGTGGCGCCTTTTTCAATGGCAGTAACAGCAAGTGTCGAGTTCATTCTTGAGTCGTTGAAGGATCCATCGTGGTAGACAAGTCCGGCCTTAATTTTCGAGCCATCCAGCATGGGCGCAATTTCGGTGGCTTGACCCTTGCTGACAAGGAAAGAACTCTTGAGGTTTTGAGATCCTGCAAACAGATCGTACATCTTGCATCCAACATAAAAGTATGGTACTTGCCAATAGTTGTAAACAGGGATCATGATGGGTAATATTTTGCAAAGATGGGGTGCGGTGTACAGCATGTGTCCTCTCTCATTTAAAGCCTCGATGACAAGGTCCAATTGGGCTTTTGACAATTCCCAGAAGGCCTTTTCCAGGTATCTGACACCACCGTGTGCCATTTTTGTAGATTTGGAAGATGTCCCCGAGGCGAAGTCATTCATTTCGACAAGCGCGACATTGAGACCTCTCGTGGCGCCGTCAACTGCGCAACCGGACCCAGTGGCACCGCCTCCAATCACTAATACGTCAAATTGGGCAGTTTTCGATAGTCGGTTGAGCAGCTCGCTCCGCGTGGGCGGCGACGGAGGGCGTGCAGGATTTAGTTCAGCCGTCTGGACGTCGTTGCGAGCCTCGTTATGGTAAATATGATCTTGAGCGGGCCTTAAATTCCAGCCGGCATAACCGCCTGCTGCCACGAGAGTGGTAGCAGCTATACGCCGCGAAATGGTTCTGCTGAACATACCGCGTACGACAGCAAGTCAATCACTTTTTCAAGTTTTAATTCACGAGTTGAAATTCACAATGAAAAATTTACGCTTAAATGTCTCAATGTGTGTCTTGGTAGAAGATTTGCAGATAAACATTGCTTTAACCGCCACTGCCGCCGTGCGTGCACCTTTTTATACCTTTCCACACCGGGCCAAAGCAAAAAAATCCGGGCCAAAGGAAGTTTTACTTCACCCTTGGCGAGTGGCCAAAAAAAAAAAAAANAAAAAAAAAACTTAACCTCGAAAAAGGGATAATGCCTGAAGCCTGTCCGGGCAATTCTTCACGTTTCCCTCGCTCGACGTGCAACTCTGCCCAATCACGTTGTGTTTAGATACGTACAATAGTTCTTTTCTTCCAACACCAACCGACACGGCTGGTAGCCAAACCCAGAAAGTGCACCTACCTGTCGCAATTCTCAGCGGAACGGCCAGAAATCTAGAATAAGCCTCGAATAGCCGCCTTACTAAGACCTACAGCCACCTTACGTACCACTGACATTAAGGCAGCAACCCCCATTATCGTTTCTTTTTTGCTGCGCGGCTGTCACGTTTCCTTTCCTCCCCTTATTCCCCACATTTCGTTTATTGGCGCCAGTTTTCCGAGACAGACATGACTCCGGAAGTTGGACTCCAGTGCTCGGAGTCCGATGTCACCGCTTATCATCTGCTACGTACGAATTCTTGCGATAACTCCTTATTCGCGAGTTCACTTTCTTTATGTCACGTGGAGGCGCAAATGCGGTGCTTCATGTATCGTACACAGCCCTAGCCTCGGGATGGTCAAAAGAGAGGGGAAAATATCGGCTTACTCCTGCGGATAGTAGACCTTACGTACACATCGATGGATGCGCGGAATGATACTGCGTTTTGGGAGAAAAGACTACCTTGGATACGCGGAGGAGATGAGGACTGAGCTCGAGAGGCGAAAGAAAAACTACATTTGTTACGTACAACAACAGACCTAACCTTATTAACCTCACATGTTGGAAACTGGCTTATATGAGGAGTAAGTGTGTCTAATACTTAATCCAAATGCTAGTAGAATCTTTCAGGTCTCTTAAAACTTGTCCGATCAATAAACGAACGTTGTCACTTCGGTCACGTGACTCATTATAATTTTTGTGTTGTAGGCACAGTGCTGATTAAGCAGGCAGGAGGACTTACACTAGCCGCTTATTGGCTAAGGCGTTCTCGTAGAGCGCGGAAATGGCGACACCAATGAATCTTGCATAAGTGCTTTCAGAGACGTTGCTACCGGTCTTGTCACATATTTATGTGAGGCGAACTAAAAATCACTCAATGTCGCTTTCTTCACGCTAAACTGAAAAATTAAGAGTTTGATAGGTTTAAGTGAAAACAGTTTACAAGTTCAGAAGCATTACTTAGATCTAGTTGCCTACCCAAAATTGGCCCTTTTGACCACGGTCAATTTCCCGCCGAAGCTGTCGGCTCAGAAGTACGCCAATTTCGTACCGCTCTTTCATCTTACTATCCAAATATTCTTTAAGTTTCCCTTGGGCCTCGTCCATTTTTTTCCCCTCACCTCGCGGAAGGGATCCGCGGTCTCTCAAATCGTCCAGATACTGAATTTCCCGTTGTAGCTTCGAGCACTTGGCTGTGAGATAATCGTGTCGTGCTTGAAGTTTCTGGGTCGAAGTGCCCTCGGAAACTTTTTTACTGACTGAAACCACGCGGAACGGATTAGATGGGACCCGCCGGGGCGCTTGCTCGACTTGTTCACGTCTTTTGGGCATATTCAACTGGCCCATGCCGTCTGGAACTTGAGAAGCACCCCCATTCGCATCGGCCTCTTTCAAAGGCAACTCATCTCGAGCAGATACATCTGTATCTGTCAGCTGAGCTTCTTGCCCTTGAAGCGCACTCTTCGTATCATTCAGAGCAGCACTCTGGCTAACCTCGGTCTCCGAAGCAACAAGTACCTTATCAACATCAGTTATTGCGCCCTCGTCTTTCATATTCGTGGCATTCAAAGTCGCGTTAATCCGACTCATAGTTACCTCTTCCAAGGGACCATGGCCATGTGTTTCCTTGCGGTCTTCGTAATTTTGGCTCGCATCTTTATCGACATCATCACCATCTAAAGCATTAAATTTTGCCTCGGAGCTCACATTTAAATTCTCTTCAATGACATGATTCATTTCGTCAATATTAAGCTCAATTTGAGACATTCGTTTTCTTATTTGTTCCTGATCCACCATCTTGGCTCTTTGTTTATTGTCAGTTAACGATGTTATTCTTAAAAATCAACGTCTTTATTTTTGATTAGAAACGAGTTTCCGAAGTTTTCATTGAACTGAACAAATGAACGGAGTTCATGAACAGGGTTAGAAGCCTTATCGGGGGATCAAGCAGTAATCGGAGAACACAGAATTTTAATCAAACAGACGAACCGACAGCACAATCCCAGAATTCTGCCCTCAATGAGAGCGATCAAGCTACTATGTTTGAGTCAGACATAGCGACTACGCACACCAATAGTTCTGATTCTTCGACAATAGGAGACTTCCAGCGAAATGGGTTTATTAACAGATGTCCAGTGTTTACCTCGGAGCGAAATATTCCGTTTGCGCATACTTTGTTAGGGAAGGGGTTCTATTGTTTTCCTAGTGAAGAAGCATTTGCCGTTTTCCGTAAGAACAAGAGAAGACTTGATGTGTTAGATGACGATGAAGGTCTTGGTATTCCGCTTTTGCATGCTGTGCCATCTGGTGTAATTAAGACGATCATAAGCAGAAGAGAACCCATTTCAAGGATTTATAAGTACATCCTTGTTCTTCCGAACGAGCCATCGCCAATGGAGCTGAGAGACGGCATATGCGAGTTGATTGCCGAAAACAACTCCCGAAAACTCTACAAAGTAGAGTTTTGTCAAGTTTTCAAAGAGGTAGACGTTGATTCGTGCCGCGTGGAACATAAATTTCTGTTCCGTTTGAATGAGCAGTCGCGTAACATGTTTTCCATCAAAATGGTTAACAGCATTTTCAAAAGAGGTACAGATACAAGGGTGGAAGGTCTAAATTTGAGATGGTATGGCACTTCAGGATTAGCGTCTCCCTTCGGATCTGGTCATTTCAAAGTTCTTGTCCTAGACGACGGTATGCCATCCCTCTTGGACGAGCCTACCGATGAAAGCTACGAGCGTGCTCGTAGAGAAGCCCAGCCTTTAAGACCGTTGAGACTCATGCCAATTTGGGCGTCTTACACAAACGAGACTGCGACTTATATACCGAGGAAAAGGACCTTGAGACTCGCCAACTTTTTAATCAAGGAAAATGGGGCTGAATCGAAGGGAATTAGAAATACGCCCTTGAGCACAGATATCATTACATGTATGGCCATGGTGCTACACGATCTCGAGTCGCGTAAGGATAGGAGAAATGTAAGGGCCGGATATCTCCCAACCGGAACCATGAATATAGGCCCTGCCTTCATGTAAATTACTGGTATTTTGGATTCGATGCTCCAAATTTAATTTGAATAAATCTTTAATAATATACAAAGCATAAGTCCCTGATCGGATTCCCTAAACCGAAATTGTCTCATAAACAGTCCTCGTGCTAGTGAAAGTGGTGTATGCATCGACCGATTGACTCTCATCCGTTATGAAGATTGTAGTGTATTCATAGTCCTCTTCATCAAAGTACACTGTGCAAGATCCGTCTTCGTTTTGTGAGGTGTAAGTCGATGTGGCTTCAGTAACCAGGCTGAATGGACTTGACCACGTTGAAGATCCAGATGAAGCAGTGGAGACGACACTTGAAATAGAACCTGGCGAGGCAGTTGAGGTGATGGTAGAACTGGCAGGAACTGTGGGGGTAGATCCAGAGTATGAAATGGACGACGAGGTTTGGGAGATGGACTGTTGCGAAGGACCGGATGAGCTCCCCTGTGGGCTCAAAATTGTGTTGGATGATGCTGTGGCACTTGTTGAAGAACTTGAGACGAAAGTATCAGAGGACACTGGTGTGATGCTAGTAGAGGATGAAGTGCTCAAACTCCCTCCAGAACTTTGGGCCGCCGTCTCGGCGGCTTGAGCGCTACTCGTGTATTGCACAGTGGATGCTTCAGTGACTTGTTTGGTGGAAGAACTAACGCTATTATCGGCCAACGTTATGGGCACCACCTCAGTTGTTGTGTAATACAATGTCTCCACGTATGTTGTTGCAGGCTTGATTGTGCTGGTGATGATAGCGTAGCTGTAGACAACTCCATTAGAGGTGAAGTATCTTACAGAGTCATCAGCTTTAGCGAAAACCGAAAGCAAAGCGAGAAAAGTGGAAATGAAAGCCAATCTGTGGAACATTTTGCTGTGTATTTGTTCGAAAGAAAAAGACCCGATTTGAGTAAAGGAACGACTGAAGGTGGGGCAAGTGTTAATGAATGTAACTAGTTGGTAACAACTTCAAATGGGCTCTCTTGTTCTCGTAGGTGGCTCACGAGCAGCAGCTGCGGATAATATGTCTTGAATTTAAATGAATGACTGGTTTTCGATGTAAATTTCGAGGAAACAAGCCATTGAGCTGAACGCGTTTAAATAGGTCAGTTACTTGACAATCGTTCGAGCAACAGTCAAGCCCGTTGGCTGGTAGCTGGTGTTTTGAAAACAATTACGTTTTATGCTAAGCCCTCACATAGCTAAGAGTGACAGTCCGAATAGGGGTTCAATCGACTGAGTTAGTGCGTGTGCCAGACTTGACCTACAAGCTTTTGTCAAGACATGCATCAACAGTTCAAGTTCTTCAAGCCAGCCTGGGTTTTTTTGTTTACCTTTCGCATGTATAGTAAACAATGGTAACTGACAAAAAAAGAAGTATATGCTATCATTTAATACGTAATGAGAGATGACAAAACAGAACCAGCAGAAAATACCAAAACTCAAGCTACGACGTCCAATATTTGCCCTCTGAGCCGCGGCAGTTAGTCTTGATAATCTGCAAGCTTTCGCGATTTTCGTAAGCTACGTAAGGGCCATGCAATACTATTACCGTTTATGATGCTTCTCGCATTGACTGTTCTCGCACGGTTCTTGTTCGTCACCTTGCATCCGACTGTACCACTTTAGCATGTTTTTTGGTAAGGTACCAAAAACGAAGAAGTATTCGCAGAAAAGGCAGAGGGGTTTATTCTCGGTCAAACAGCTAAAGTCGGGTCTTTGCTGAGACTTCTCGAGGTAGTAAAAATCCGACGGCTTCTGCAGAGATTGCGATTCCCGTCGGCAATATGAGGATGCCTTGCGCGATGGCGTGGATAGGGTCGAGCCTAGTTTGGAATTTCGTCGTTGTAGATCTTTGATATTGCTGTTGTTGGCCATTTCGGGAGGCAGCATGGATGAGATAAGATTATTGATATTTTCCCCAAACTCTTGTTGAATAGAGGGCAACGGAGCTTCCCCGTAGTCGAATAGTAGTTCCTCCTCGCGCATTTCTGCGAATGGGATACCTCGGGACGAGACCGGGTCCGACGGCTCGCCAGTTGCGGTATCAACAGCTAAACTTACATCGGGGCCGCCATCCACAGTTACTGATATGTCTCTAGCAACGCTAGTGTCATCCAGAGTGCCGTGGTTGTTCACCAAAACTTTGTGTACTTTCGAATTTTGGGATCCGATCTCTCCTTGCGTTACGGTATTGTTTTTTAGCACAAACTTCATGGAGCTCTGGTTCAGGTAATCTGGATCTTCCTGTATCCGATCCTGTAACAATTTTGTTAAAGCTGTGACACCTTTTTGCATCATCACATTAAAATCTACTGGCCCATCTTCAGAGACCAGCTCTATTGATGCGGTACCTTTTTCGGCCATCACGGATAATCACAGTGAACTGGCTGTGAGTTTACCTTGGTAAAAGTGATTATCTTCTCGAAGATGAGGGCATCGAAATTTTTGACACTGGATAGAACAGCGCTCTTGGAGAAACCATCACGTGACGTACTTTACCTGAGCTTAGAGAGAGCATAGAGTAGTTGCAAACGATTCGAGCATTGGTTAAACGTGAACTTTAACAACAAAGCGTAATGCACGTAGAAGGACCGTCGCCCTAGGAAAACTTCATTCGATGTGAAATCCTCCAATCGTCTGAAATGCTTCAAGATAACTACATACGCAGCGCTTTAGAATTCTAGTGTCCGCATAATTTCATATTACACGAATGGACGTCAAATCGAATTTCAAGATCACAACCCACCGTGAACCGGCGGAAAAATCTCGAGGCATTCTACCACTAGTTGACTCGAACCACTTGAAGTCTGCCTTTGCGAATTTCAAGTCTTTCTCAGCCATGAGATTCAGCTGAAATCATAATGATTATGAAGTCTGCAAGCTTTCTCATTTGATAGTGAACTATTAATGAGTCGCAGGTTAATTTCCACTTTCCAGTTCTGAGGCGGTTCAAAACTACCCTATCCTACCACGATGCGAACCGCAGTCTAATTCAATTTTAGCTTTCCGTGCTTTGGAATTCTGCTCCTCATTGCTTTTTCTGGCTACTCGAAATTCCACTTTGCTGGACTAGGAAACAAGAATAGGTTAAGCTCGAATTCTAGGTGCGCACAATACGCGGACCTAATGTCAGAGAACGATCAATGGGTCTCTAGAGGCTCCCCTCAGTGACGTCAAACTCGAACAACACAAGGTTTATGCCCCAATTGTCGAATAATGCAATGTTCGAGATATCAATAAATGGGCAAGCTTGCTTGTATTATCAGCAGGGGTTCTGACCGTCTACATTTGATCCTCTGCTGACGTGAGAACGTGATGAATGACAAGCCAACATCCATTTTGTACCGGTCTTCACATGGCACTCAATGGATGTCCTGCTTCGAACTGATGCTCACGTTCCGACTGCTTCAAGTCGATTGATAGACTCGGTCCTCCTTTGCCGAGTCACAGGGAAGCTCGCACGTGAACCAATCCGAAAATTGATTCATCGTGCGTAACGACCATTCGACATAACATATGATCAGTTTGATAGCGAATAAAGCGAGTGGGGCTTACACGGAGGGGCAACCATGTCCGAGTTATGTCAGATTAGGTCGCAGAGTTTCCCAATTCAACTGTTAGTCTGCACGCAAATCCAATTATTGTCGGGTTTCCGCGCCAATCCGACAATTTCGGATCCACGTGCCTTGGCATATAATCAATTGTGTTTTTCCACTTTAAGCATTATTGCCAAGGCGATGATGTTGTTACCAAAGCAGGTTGCATTTTTCAGCGGCATTATGCTGTCGAGCAGGCAGGCAAAAACAAAGGAAAATTAATGAAAGGGGCCCACTAAGGATAAACAATAAACCACGTTCTTTGAGCAAACAATAAATGGGAGATATTTAAAGCGAGGCTTTCAATTGAAAGCTTTCTCGTCCATCTTGTGAGAGAATTGAGGTAAAGAACTTGACTTCGGCATGTGGATCCAAGGCCTTTCAGCATTAGCTGCGTTGAATTTCTTCTCCAACGGAGCTCTTGCGACTCCTGTTGCGACTGGCGAAAGCTCATTGGAGCAACTCCTCGAGTCATCTTACAAATACAATGACGGTAGTGTTGTCGAGATGTTTGTGGACGAACTCAAAGCCCTTACAAGCACCAACAGCTCTTCGTGCAGTCAATGTGTCACGAGATTGAGTATCGGTAAGTCTTTGGCGTTGTTGAGACCTGACTTGGTCCCTGAAGTTTACACTCGCTGGTGTAAAGAAACCAAGTTTATGTCAAACACGAGCTGCGTTTCTACTTACAGCAGAAACACCGTTTCCACGAGTCAAACTGGAACAAATTTTGCGGACATGTTGACATTAATTGACCCATTTAACTATGATGGTCAGTTGTACTGTCATTACAAGGAATCTGCTTGTCCCAAGCCTTCGACGCCCAATGTGACCTTGTCGAACATGTGGTCGCCCAAGCAACCCAAACACTATGTTGCTCCAGAACCCAGTGTCAATGATACCTTTAAGGTTCTGCACATTTCTGATTTCCACATTGAGTTAGATTACACTGTAGGTCAGGAGGCGAATTGCTCTACCAGCATGTGCTGCACCCCGCACTCTGTTAATACCAAAACAAAGAAAAACGAGACTTCGCTACCCTGGAATTCGTTTTACGAATCCAAATACGATGAAAACAATACGCTTATCCAAGGGTCGTACGTCGATGCTTTTGGCAATTCGTCAATTTGGGCCCCAGCAACCACGTTCGGAAACTACGAGTGTGATGCCCCTGAGATCCTGATCAACTCATCTTTGAATTCCATTGTTGACTTCACGAAAGAGAACAACATCAGCTTTGACTTCGCCATTTTCACGGGTGACCTTGTTGACCACGATGAAATCAAATATACTGGGTACCAAATGACTGTTGACTCTGAAGTTGCAGTCTTCAGAGACATCAAAGATAGACTTGAAAGCATCCCAGTTTATTCGGTTCTAGGTAACCACGATACATTCCCCTACGGAGAGCTGGCGCCAGAAGGCATGGGCTTTTCAAACTACTTCAACTGGAATGCCGAGTTAATGGCAGACATGTGGGAAGACTTCGGATGGCTAGACGCCAAGTCCTCACAATACGCGAGGAAGCACTATACTGGTTTTTCGGTTGAAACTAAACTAGGCCTCAAAATTATTTCACTGAACTCCAATGTCTGGTACAAGAAAAACCATTATGCTTATTTCAATGCCTCGCAGCCAGATAACTTTGGGCAATTTGAGTTTTTGATTGATGAATTAAATGAGAGTGAAAGCAATGACCAAAGAGTCTGGATTATCACTCACATTCCATTCAATGGTGACAGTTTGCCGGTGCCTTCGAAGCTGTTCGCCGAGATAGTGGCAAGATTTTCTCCATACACGATTGCCGGCATCTTTTTCGGCCATACTCACTTAGACCAATTCCAAATCTTATACGCTTCCTCTGGAAATGACGCCAAACAAATTGAGAATGTTGTTAATTTTGGATGGACTTCTCAAGCTGTCACTCCATGGGTTGAAAACAACCCCTCTTGGAGATACTACACTGTCGACAGAAAAACCTTCTCCATCATGGACTCTTTCAACTATTACACTAAACTAAATGAAACATTTACTAACAATGGGGCTGAGCCCAAATGGGAATTCGAGTATTCGGCCAGGGACGGTTATAATATCTCCTGGCCGGCTACATCGCCATTGAATGGTAGTTACTGGCATGAAGTTGCTCAGAAAGTCAATCAATCCAAGGAATATAATCAAATTTACGAAAATTATGCAAAGAGATTCTCTCCGTACGTCCCAGACTGTATCAACACTTCCGATTGCGATGAAGACTACTGCTTTCTAACATCATTCACGGTGGATTCCTACGACTCGTGCATCGCAAGTTTGCCTAAACACTAGTGAATTTCCATTTCGATGATAATACCCACTATCGAAATCGGTCTGTATTCACTTCCTTGATTTTAAAGGCCTGCTCATCTTTCAGTTCTTTTGCAGTGTCTACATCCTTTTTGTGTTAAGAGCAGAGGTCTTCAATCTACGTAGTACAATTTTTAATCACAACGATAGATGATATAAAGACTTTATTCTCAAAGGAAAGCTTTTTAGGGCAATGAACTGTACGTTTATGCAGCTCTAATGAGAATATATCCATCTCGTCGATGGCTTGGATTAAGATTGCATACAAATTTTGAGAATTGCTTTTCTGCACAGAATACTTGGTACCTTATGGCACTTGGGCGTCAATTTCTTCAAATGGATCAAATACAAACTACGATCTCTTCAGAGTTCTCTGCTTTTCGGCGTTTTTGATGACCTTCTCGTCAATGAACAAGCCTTTACGCCTACGGATCATGTTCATATGCTTTCTGGCGATGTTCTCTTTGTCGGCTATGTCACCGAGGTCTTCTAACTCTTCCTCTGTGGTCGGGACCCAAAAAGGATCTAGGTCAATACATTCAAAGCCAGAAAAGACCAGTTGAGGCAGAGCAGCACCTGAAGTCTTTTTCTTAATATCCTCACTAAATCCAAAGGCTTCCACAACGGGAACTTTGGCCTCGATTTGGAATAACGGTGTACCTTCCTTCATTTCCTCTGAGGTTATTCTGCCGCGTCGCTGCTGGACCACACCATAGACTCTACCCAAAACTTCCACAGAAGCTTGAATGTCGCAGGAGTACATTGCCCACATAATTCTGGGAGACCAATCGAGAAATGTGGAATGAATGGCATCTCTTGTGGCTGTGATAAGCTTACCTGCTATGTTAGCCATGTCGACTTCGCACGAGGTGCCACTTACTTCGCTGACGTTATCCAAAATCACGCACATACCTTGAACAGGTTCCTTACTCAAAGGGCCTTCATTAACGGCGAGCTCAAAGCCATTGATGATGGAGCTTTCGTACTCAAAATGCTCTTCTTCGGCACTTGAATGACCCACTTTTCGCAGATCTCCGTTCTTTGACACTAAAAGGTTAGGTCCAGTTTTCTTTCCACCGAAAGCAGCAATGTAATGGGAGCAATTCTCCCAAATTACATCCTTTTGAGACGCTTTTGCGAAGAGATCATTTAAAGCTTCCATGAGGTTCGCATATGAATCGCTGAACGGATACACCTCCTTGCCAGTAGCGACCATCTTTTTAATATCTTCCTCTCGATCGATCAAAAGTTTCACTACAGGTTCAGGTAGAGGGACAGTTCGAATTGCGATCCTAAATTTCCCTGCCGTCACAGATTGAACTCCCCGGCCGAGAGTTGAGTTTTTGGGAGGATTCATTTCAGAAGTTTGCACAAAAGTCTCTCGATAAGGTATGGCAGGTTCTGAGGCGGTGATGTTTATTCCTGCAAATCTCTCCTTCAAGTCCTTCAGACATCTCTCGAGATGTAACTCACCAGCTGTGCACAATATGCGCTCACCGCTGTCTTCCACATACGTCTCAACGCATGGATCTGCTTGCTCGAGCAGCTTTAGTCCCCTTTCTAGTTTGGACATTTGAGTTGGGATAGCAGGCTCCAGTGCCACTTTGACGATTGGGGTCACATGTTGACTGACACTGGCAAGATTGCAGCCGCGAACGCTGGGATCAACCAGCGTCCCGCTTTTCAATACTCTACCAGCTAACCCACCGATCCCCACAATGTTGCCGGGAGGGCACTCTTTCAAGGGTACCAGTTCTTTACCCATGAAGATATAGAGAGCTGTAATCTTGGTACTTTGGATATGCTCTGAGGGGTTTCTGGGGTTGTATTTTGGGCCCAGAACAGAAATTGTTTGTCCCACTTTCAAGGTTCCGCTATAAATTCTGGCAAATCCAATCAGCACTTCGTTGCCATCGTCAGTTGTTTCTTCTTCGCACTCAAGTTCGTCTCCACAGGGTGATTGATCCACAGCAAAAACATCCTCCTCCTCGTATTCGAACATCGCAGCCATTGGATCACTGGGATCAATTTCCTGTGGCACGAATGTTTCCGGGTCGCCTGTGACTTGATCACTCTCAAAATCAGACATAGGTTCGAGCCCGTTTGCAATGGCCTCGTTTGACGATTTCGACTTTATTTTACCAAGCTCTCCATCTCTCACAAGTGGCGTGGCCACAGTGTCATTGACTCTTTCGAAGAAATCGTTACTCTTCTTATCGCCTGTACGTTTTTTAGACATTTTTTCGACCATTTCAGCGGCTTTTGCTGCCTTGAGGGCCTCTTGGCGGGCCTTCCGCCTACGTTCCATCAAAGCATAGTCCTCTACTGCACTTGGATCACTTGAAAGTGGTAGTTCTTCCTTTGGAATGGATAACATTTTGGATACAAAGGCGCAGACAGGGGCATCTCTGTCGCAATTTTTCATTCCCTCCATTAAGGCATCATCGACTAGCTCTTTTCCTGGCGAAGCCCCGACTAAAGTAGTCGCCTTCTCGAGTTGGGACTCGCTCGGAGAAGGAAGCCTATCAATAACTGTGAGTAGTATTGACGTGCTGACAGGTAACCACTGGCTCATAACCGTTCTTAAGACGACTTTGTGATCCTTGGAATGCAAGTCCCTGGGTGAAATTTTGATATTGAGCGCAGAAATGATCTTCTCTAGAACGTCTAGATTCCGCTCCAAGACAATATTTTCGTAAATCTTCCATATATTATCCAGTATCAGTGTGACGAAAAGCGGTTTCAAATTCCGCCCTTTCAAGCCTTTGCCATTTACGATTTTCTTAGTTTTGGGTTCCATATAAAAATCGCCCCACAGAACCTTTTGAAGGTTCTCTCTCTTGGCGCCTAGCTTGTGAGCGTAAAACTTCGCCAGTTGGCTAATACTAAAACCCCAGCCGTCCACAGCTGAGGAGAAAACCACGTTGTTTTTGGCAGGATTGAAATATATGTCTGAATCATCATCGTCGACAAATTGGGCGGTCTGATCATATTCAAGTTGTTCTCTCCACGATAAATCATTTAGGGACCGTTCTCCATTAAAAAAAGAAGCAATAATAGAATTTACCATTTCTATAATTTTGTTCAAATGCACGTAAGCCTCTTGGGGGGTCAATCTTAGCTCTGTTACGAGTCTATCCATCTTATTCAGCACTAAAATCGGCTTCAATTTCTCCGTCCAGCATTGCCTTAAAACAGTGATTGTTTGAGAACAGACACCCTCAACAACATCTACCAAAACCACTGCACCATCGCATAGCCTAGACGCGGCACTAACTTCGCCAGAAAAATCGATATGGCCCGGAGAATCGATCAAATTTATTAAATGTTCGTTAACCAAGGGTTCTTCTTTCCCTTCTTGTTTATGTAAAACCCTGAAATACAGCGAGATCGCACTCGACTCCATAGTAATGCCTCGCAGTTGTTCATCTTCTCTAGCATCCAGATACCGTATTTTACCGGCTAATCTTTGTGAGATAATACCGTTAGAGGCTAAAAGTGAATCTGAAAGTGACGTTTTCCCATGATCCACATGCGCAAGTATACAAATATTTCTAATGCTGTCTGCGTCTTTTTGAAGTCGTTCGAGTACTTCGGGGCCAACTCTTACCATTGTTCGCGTTTACTGTTTGCTCTATATTCTAATAGTAATTCCGATCTAAATTTTTCGACATTGAACAATTACTGTTAACCGAGGTCATCTTAAGCATCGACTCAACTGGATCACAGTCGATAGAGTCTTGAATGTCTACCATCCGTTGCCCGCAGTGCGACTCAGAGCTTAAGCGGTGTTTGATTCTACAGAATTATAGTATGGTGATCTGCCCGAATATTCAGTGTGAATTTCCGTTTAATGAGCATAAAACTCTTGACGGCATCGTTTACACCGAGGACAAAGAGATCCTGAGTTTTGCGAAACAAAGACTTGAGAATGGAGAGAAAAAGGCCCAGCAGTGAAAAGGCGCGGTAGCGAAATTTCATCGAATATTTTACACTTTACAAATTGATTGATGTATATCGATGCAGTTCACCTAGTATCGAAGATGAAAATCCGGCATGCGAGTCCGCCCGCACGCAATGAGCTAAAAGCTCTCGTTACTATACAAAATGTCCTTTTCATTGTTCACACTGACGCTAAATTCGAGATCATCGTCAGTGGTCATGTCCCATGTCTTGTAGACCATCATTAGCGCAAAGATATTGCAAATGCTACCGAAAAAAAGCCCATCCAAGTAATGCTTGACGCTTTTACAAATGGCATTAGAAAATCCATATGTGATTACCTGGCCAGCGGCTAGGAAAAAAACCCCTAGCAACGTGGAACCTGCAGCCCACGCATTACCAATAATGAAAAGCGACACAAAGAGCTGGCAAATGATAAACAGTAGCACGGCCAAAGCGTTCAGAACGTACATGACCACGAAAAGTCCCACGGCGTTTGTGGTGTTGTATTGTGACGAATGCGACCAACTGTTGAATGTGAACAGGGCCACGAGAAAGCTGACGGCAAATCCGACGAAGGCAGTGCCTCTCACGAGGAGCATTGACCGATGCGTGCCATCTTCCCATAGACGAAACCCGAGAAACCCAATTACTGCGAGAACCCAGCTGCAGGCGCTAGCGAGCGCTATTTGGACCGCGACGAAAAAAGGGTATGAGCCGGATCCTGGCGGCGAAACACCGCAGTCGACAACCAACGTAAACACAATCAAAACGAGACACAGTTCGAAGAAAAACGCGTATTCACTACGTCCTATCGCCGTGTATTTTCGCCTGATCGAGTAAATCATGAAGAGAATGACACCCAATGCCCCAATATTTACAAATGCATTTCCAATTTGAAATACAACCGTGTTAGCAACCTCTATCGATCTGGCATAGCACTGTGGTAAAATCCCGACAGTCAGGCTCCCTGGATCAAAATCATTTATCTTTTCACCGGTCGACAAGAGAAGATGTTTTTTGGATTTCACCACAGAACACAATGGAAGTGGAGTTCGAGAGCAAATTTGAACGAAGTCTCCAAATCCCATTGTCTCGAGCAGCAAATAGACCTTTCAATGATTGCGAAATCCTACTAAACACTCTGCCCAATGTTTGATTTTTTTAAAGCCCGTTTTGAATACCAGATGGAACGCGATGTTTTTTTTTCTTTTGTGAGAGTATGTCTATATATCAAAATACTATATTGAGAGAAAACGACGCGAAACTTAACGTAAGTTTCGTGAAGCAATATGACAGTGACACGTGCGTACTTGATCAACCCATCAACCATTTTGTGCGAGAGCGTAACTCACTAACCGCTCCTTTTACTACTCGGTCTTTCTTATCTAATGCGACGCCAATGGCATTGGAAGTCTTCCATAAAGGTTTTAAAATGCGAGTCATTGAAGGCGTCTACGTTTCAAGTGTGTATAATATTGTAATCCTACTGTTAAGTAGTCTGTTCTCATGGCTAGACTCACTGGCGTTACTCATTGAGTATGCTTATGCGTATAGAGCCATAATTCATATACGTTCCTTTGCGTCGAAGTGAGCATGAGCTATTATCAAGTCATAATTGAGGTTACCCATTCACAGTCCAGGTGCCCACCCAACTATGATCACTTCCCAAAAACACCGGGTCATCGACAGATGTGGCTCAAAGGTGGCAATTAATGTGAATTAATAGGTATATTTCGCCTTGTGATTGGCATACGAAACGAAATATTGGACGTTTTAATTAGGCACAGATGTCTTGTATCGTGCATCACAAACAGCTAAATAAAATTATCCTAGTCGCCTGCACATGCTGTGACTAAATATTTTCTCGAGGGTGCACGAAAAAAAGCCTATGTAATCATGTGATTATATAATGCAATGAAATCAAAACACGAATTGATTCTTTGACTTCAGGACCCATACACCTTGGTTTAAATTAAGGGAATCTTCCACCCATACATTCTGTGTTCTTTGAGACAGCTTTTTCTTGCGTAGATCGAGAGATATTTGAGCATTGCGCGAGTCCCCGCAGACCTCGTCGTGTTGGAGCTCGCCAGGCCTCTGCCTGGCGAGACTGCCCGGTACCGGACTGCGTGGCTGGAGGTTCCTGCCCACCTAGGCCGGCCGTAGTGGGACCAGACTACCACCAGTGGACTCCGCCCTGCCCACCAAGCGGCTCACTGCCTAGTCCAGACTGTGCTGCCCGTGGGCTGCCCGCTTCGCACCTGCGGAGCTTCGCGCTGTCTCGGAAAACTGCTTTACACATACTTCATTTTCATTGTAAGGCTTACTACCTACGTTGTTAAAGGAAAGGACAGAGTACCAGTTGCAATGGGTATGTTCATATGGATGCTATAATGAGGAAATTTGTGCTGTACAAAAGCTAGGAGTGTGATACTGGGTTGTTCCAGGAAAGCGCGGTGAAACGGAAAGTTCGAGAGGCCTTATGAGCGGAAAATGTTGATAACTCAAAAAGATGATGCGAGTGATGTGGATCTAAGCGTAGGATGAGGGGAAGAGTATTCAACGTGAGGCTCACGTCCGAATGGTTGAAGTGGACTGCTGTCGTTTGTGATTGCATCTGGCTTTTTGCGAGGCGGCAAGGACGTGACGAAAAAGTGATTCATTTACGATGCAACAAAGATTTAGCCACGGTCAAGCACAGCCTGATTTTTCTGCTACTTCGCGCAATGATTTCTTTAAAATTTCTCTAGAAACTACAATACTAACTTGTTGGCTCAGTTAACGTTCCAAAGACCAGAAAGACCTACTGCAAGGGCAAGGCCTGCCGCAAGCACACCCAACACAAGGTCACTCAATACAAGGCCGGTAAGGCTTCCTTGTTCGCTCAAGGTAAGAGACGTTACGACCGTAAACAATCCGGTTTCGGTGGTCAAACCAAGCCTGTCTTTCACAAAAAGGCTAAGACTACCAAGAAGGTTGTGCTTAGACTGGAATGTGTTATCTGCAAGACCAAGGCTCAATTGACCTTGAAGAGATGCAAGCACTTCGAGTTGGGTGGTGAAAGAAAGCAAAAGGGCCAAGCTTTGCAATTCTGAGTGCATTAGCTACATGTATTTGTTCATATCTATCTGTACTGAATTGTTTACGCTAACAAAGATGCTATTTTACGTCTAAGCGTTGGTTTGTTCTCACCTCTTCCAAGACTTGCGCCTCGACAGAAGCACGTGCCCTTCACACGTGATATTTGTTGATCAGATGAGGGAACGCGACCCATGACTTCTATTGATTCAGCAAGCTTCAAATCAAAGAGGTAGCAGCGAAAACAAGCACATTACCAAGCGGGGAGAATAAGGTATTTGTGAGCACCATATGTTTGGGAACGCGCATCAAAATTACGGAAATGGAAATATGAACCAGTTCTCCTCGTCCGTTCCGCGTAACGATGCATTTTCTTCATCTAATCGTTACAGTACTGCATCAAACGGGTCTTATAACTCCATGAACGTAACCAGACCGCCAGCTGCCGCTTTTAGTGCAACCTACATGCGTGAACAGAGTTCTCATCCTTCGTTGCAAGAGCATTTGCAACGCGAACAAAAAGGGGCCGTCTTCACGGATGTCCCTCAACTCAATTATCCTACGACTCCAACAAGCCACACGGGATTCTCCACTGGACTTCAGAATCCACAGGGTTTAAGTACGCCTCCTGTTGCGAGCTTTGGTGCCCCATCAAGCCTCTACAGCCACGGGAACAATTCTCAAAGTAATCTACGTGGCAACCCTCTCGCAAATCCTCACCTTTCTCCAGGGCAGTATTCGGTGTGCTCTGACTATGGAGCTGATCAGAGCTATACAGAGAGTCCTCAGCACTCTCAATATCTCAACTCCGCCCAACATCAGAGCCCTGTTCGCCGTTTAAGGGGAGGCTATGGCGTTACGACTACCAGCTCTAACAATGCCCCGACTGCATTGATGCACACGCAGTCAATCGATTCGCAGCAGCGCCAAGCCGTACCTACTTCTAACTACATGTATTTCGAGAGGCGGCCCGAATTACTATCTAAATCCACCCAAGATAGAGCTGCAGCTGTCAAATTGAAAATCGAAAACTTTTACCAATCCTCTGTGAATTATGCCATTGAGCGTAATCAAAGGAGAGTTGAGCTCGAATCTCAGTTGGTTTCTCAGGACTGGTCAGATGAGAGGAAAAATAGACAACTATCGTCGTTAGGGAAGAAAGAGTCTTCGTTTTTGAGACTTCGTCGGACGAGGTTATCTCTCGATGATTTTCAAACTGTAAAAGTTATAGGTAAGGGAGCTTTTGGCGAGGTGAGGTTAGTACAAAAGAAAGACACTGGTAAAATATATGCCATGAAAACACTTTTAAAGTCCGAGATGTATAAAAAGGATCAACTAGCACACGTGAAGGCTGAAAGGGACGTTTTGGTTGGAAGTGACTCTCCTTGGGTAGTATCATTATACTATTCGTTTCAAGATGCCCAATACCTGTACTTGATTATGGAGTTTCTCCCCGGGGGTGATCTTATGACCATGTTGATAAGATGGCAAATATTTACCGAGGACGTTACGAGGTTTTATATGGCCGAATGCATTTTAGCTATAGAAGCTATTCACAAACTGGGTTTTATACACAGGGACATCAAGCCAGATAATATCTTGATCGATATTCGCGGGCATATCAAGTTATCCGATTTTGGCCTTTCGACTGGGTTTCACAAAACCCATGATTCGAGCTATTACAAAAAGTTATTACAACAGGATGAGGCTAATGCTGCTTCGAACAATTTACAAAAACCTTCCATGGGCATCAATGCCAATGCATCTGGCACAAACCGGAACACTATGCTTGTCGATGCAATCAGCTTAACAATGACCAACCGACAACAAATACAAACGTGGAGAAAGTCGCGCCGGTTAATGGCCTACTCCACAGTCGGAACTCCCGATTATATTGCTCCTGAGATTTTTCTTTATCAAGGGTACGGTCAAGAGTGTGATTGGTGGTCACTAGGAGCTATCATGTACGAATGTTTGATCGGGTGGCCCCCTTTTTGCTCTGAGACACCTCAAGAGACTTACAGAAAGATCATGAACTTCGAGCAAGCGCTTCAATTCCCAGATGATATCCACATCTCATATGAAGCCGAGGATCTCATACGTCGATTATTAACTCACGCCGATCACAGGTTAGGTCGCCACACTGGAGCTGATGAAATAAAAAACCATCCCTTTTTCCGCGGGGTTGACTGGAACACGATTCGCCAAGTTGAAGCGCCGTACATACCAAAATTGAGCAGTATCACGGACACGAGATTTTTCCCCACGGATGAGTTAGAAAATGTTCCTGACAGTCCTGCGATGGCACAAGCGGCACGTCAACGCGAGCAAATGATGAAGCAAGGCCCAAATGCCGCTAATAAGGAGGACTTACCTTTCATCGGTTACACTTACTCGAGATTTGATTATCTCACGAGAAAAAATGCACTGTGAATCCTTTGCAAGATTCGCAATCCTAATAAACGCCTAAAAGGGTTTGTCGTAGATATAAATGTGGTTTTACCGATACTAGATTCTTGAAGATTTTGTAGATACAGCTGATTCCCAATGTCTCCTATCCAAATGGATCAACGCCAGGCGCCCAGCAACGATCTTTATAAATTCTATCTACGCTTCTTACCGACCCTAAAACCAGAAGAACCTCAACGGGGCAACTACTCCTCTAATTGAAAATTATGGGCCAATGTGAGCGATAAAAATGATGTTACTTCTGAGAACGGTGATGTGGGGGGTCGAGAGTATGAAAAGTTTTCATTTTATAGAATTGAGTTTAGACCGGGTAACCATGAAAGTGAAAGAGGGCATCTAAGATGAATGTCATATCATCATTCTTCATCAGTAGGAACAAACCCCATAATTGCTAAGCAAGTGTCCTCGTAGCTCGACATGTGCTTAACCATTGGATCTGTCAAGAGTTCGGCCTTCTATTGAGGCCCGTGAGGCATTTTTTGTAAATATATTTTGCTCCTTAAAGTGTGTAACGACTCAATTTTGTTATTAAGCATGGACAGCCAGGACAACAGGAAATAAGAGAGAAGGATTAGATAAGTTATGATATCATTGCATAATTGCAACTAGCGTGGAAACTTTATTTAGGCGAAGTTGTACTTCATCGAACAGTCGACCACGAATTGCAGCTGAGATAAACGTGTTGAGGTCTTGGAGAGAACGAATCTATTCTGCTTTCTTACCTATCACTTTCGCATGGCCTCGGTGAATTTTCCGGTAGACACAGAAGATTGACCATGCCGCCGCCGTGACGATTACGAAGATTCCGCTACGATAGGGCTCAGCGACATCTAGAAATGGGTATGGATAAACGTCACCGGCATCGGTGTCGATAAGAATTTCGAGATAGCGCTTGTAACCGAATCCCAACGCTGTTATGATGAGCCACGCGGCAAGCTTGGTGATTTGGAAGGGCTCTAGGCTGGCGAAAAAGTAGTCCGCTGCCAAATATAGCGCGGGATACAAATGCAGTGCGCAGTCTACTTTCAGGGACAATGGCATGCGCGAGCCATCTTTTACCCCATGCATGATTAAGGGCAGAAAGAACAGCCGCAACGGCCAGTATATAACAGCCACAACTGTCTCTAGGACCAAGGCCACTGGCAAAGTGAGCTGACGGGCGACGTAACGTAACCGCGGCGACGTAATCCTTTTCGGAGGGAGGAAAGCGATGAAATAACATATATTGTTACACAGCGTCGCGGCGACGGACAAATTCGTCAAGAATTGCTTGTGTCCCGCCTGTGCCAGCGACGCTGGTAATTGCACTTTTGTGGCTTGCCAGAGACCCCAGCTGGAGGTGCAGAAGCACAATAGGTTGATGGCCAGAGAAATTCGCGACATGAAGTTTATAGCTCTTGTTCCTTGCCGACTGCCCCAAGAACAAGGTGGCTTAAAGTTTAAGACTTTAGTTCAGGATCTTAGATCTGCCAACTAAAGACGAAAAATCCGGCATATCTGCAACCCTTCTTAATTCAGCGATTGCTGCTATGGCACGAGCTCCTTCGAAATTGCCGTAGGGACGCTCCGACACACCCAAGTGCAGCCACAGGGGAGCTATAGAAAACAAACCAAAAGTAAAAGTTAACTGGGGTCGGCGAACAAGGGAGGTCTTGTCATGTCATCCGATTTATTGATGAAGCCTTTGCGTCTTAAAACTACTTCCATCAACTGGTCTTGAAAATCAGCGCTCTTCAGCACCGCTACACGTCCGTGAGGCTGTAGAAAACGGGTCTCTGCGTTTAGGGGAGCTCGAGTCTCCTGATAACTTTCCTGTATAAATTACGGTCAAGTGTTGGACCCGTGGCAGCACGCCCAGGTTCCTACAAGTGTACCTACCATTTAGGATATGAAAGCAACTTAACATGAGCCCAGAGCTACTACAATTGACTTTCCACATTCATGGCACCCCCGACATTGACATCATGTCGTTGGTTCTTTTGAGCCACCAAAATCTGTCTCTGGACAGAGTTCTCAGACTAGGAAACAATTTGGGACCAATTAGGGACCAATTAGACTAAAAGAGTAAGGTAAACAGAAAACGCTGTAAACGGTGGTTCTATTATTATCCCTACACAACTGCGTCGTTTTTTCCTTCTCAAGCGAGCCATTAAAGACTAGAACCCCGTAAGAGCTCATCATCTTTTCCCGAAGATTAGTTAAGCACATACCGGTTCCGTAGCTTCCGTGGCTTGCGTGCTTCCCTGCCTGGCTTCCAACGCATCCCGGAAAAACTCCAGTGTTCTTAAGTCCGAAGACATGGGAAAACTGAAAAATAAGGTAAGTAACATAGCAATTAAGCTAGTAGGCCGAGGATAACCGTAGCTTCTGGGCCTGGTGTAGACATCCGGTGTCCCTCTTTTCACCTCATTCTCAACCCCACATCTAATACCATTCGTACCTTTCTCTACTTAGCCGTCGACACTGCCCCGGTTCTATCTTACGGGTTACCAGAAGTGCCTGCATCCTTCATATTTACAGTCGTATACGCAGGACAAGCGCCTCCGGTTTTGCTGTTGGATAGAGCGACCTCCGACTTGCAGCAAAGGTCTCAGAGGAACTCTGCAGTCGCTAGAAAATCGATCGCAAACGAAGGGATCGGCCACCTGGAAGAATTGGCAGTGTAGCACCGGAGGAACGCTCCCGCACTGTGGAGTCAAAGGTTTTCTAAGTTGAGAAGATGCTTATGGAATCGGATGTGAGCAAGCCACTACGCAACGGATGCGGTAATTTCATCTGTCATGGAAGTAATAAACTGCATTGGGTAATAGACGTTGCTGTGACGAGCTCATCCCGGCAAATTTGCTACGAAGGGCAGAGCGTACCCGTGGAAAAGGGTGGGTGTGGCTTCCGGTGCACATATAAAGGTGCTGGGCTACCAGCCTTTTGAATTTTGGGTCGTTTGTCTATCCTCTCCCCAGCTTCTCTTCGCACCAACAGGGTATTCTATAAAGCTGTTAATTTACCAATTGCAATGCGTTTTCTAGCAGTTTTATATGCCCTTATCGCCCTAGCGGCTGCTTCGCCCATCGGCTTTTTTGACGAGCTTTTCAAGCGCCAGCGCCGCGCTCCAAGTCCCGGTTGGGTGAACGCTGTGAGCAGCAACTCTAGCAACTCTAGCAACTCTAGCGGTGGCAGCAACTCAACAGGTTACTCGAACTCTAGCAATGCCAGCAACGCTAGCAACAGCTCCAGCGGTCAAGGCGGCCAGACGCTCAAGCTTCAACTGATCGTTACTGGCGGCCAACTACCGGCCAGCAGCTCGAGCTGGTCCGATGTTGAAATCACCACTCTGTTCAACTCCTCCAGAACTTTGAACTCTAGCCAATTGTACGAAGTGGGTAAGACTGTGAACACCACCTTGTCTAACAGCAGTTACTCTGGAGTGGCTGTCTTGGCCAACGAAAATTCCTTAGAATCTCTTGGATTCTTCCTCAGCGTCGTTGCTGACACCAACAAATCTGTTGTGGTTGGCAAGAAAGCTGCTGACATCGTCAAGGTCGCTAACACTACTTACGCTGCAAACCGTGGAAGCCTTGTCTCAAGTGACGGATACATTTACTCGGGTGCAGTTTACGACCCATTCAGCGCCGGTTGGGGTGCTATCGGTGCTGTGTACAGTGACGCGGTCTCCTGGTTGTATTCTCCTGCTAACGCCACGTTGGTAGCCACTGATTCTAGCATCAGGACCAACTATTCCAACTTTACCAATGTTGACGTTTCGAACAGCAGCCTCCCAATAGTGCCAATTGTTTACGACGGTGACTACGACTCCTCTCTTTTGAGCTCTTTGAGTGGGTCCGTTCAAGGTGTTGTCATCGTCTCTTCCGGCAATTCGACTACTTCGACTATCACCTCCTCATCTCTACCTATCGTTTTCGCTTCTTACGACGAACCAGTGTGGCCTACTGATGTCCCAATGGGAGCAATTGCTGGTGGTTACTTATCTCCCGTCAAGGCTCAACTACTTCTAACTATTGCGCTTGTCAACGACGTGACAAGCTCATCATCTCTAGTCAGCGTGTTCCCATGAGATCTATGTCTCTGGTTAATTTCACAGATCGTAATGAATTTCTAGTTCGTCATTAAGGAAAATACCCAAAGCCTGCTTAGTACATAGGCGTTTGTATGTTTAATTAAAAATTAAAACCAATTATCAACCCAATGGTCTTTTAGTTGTATGTCAAAAACTTAACTCAAAACATTAAATACCCGATTCAATCTTGAAAAAAACCGTAAAAAAACACTTATTAAACGACTTCAAAATGTTGAGTAGTCGCGATCCTTTGAAGCATGATTGTAGCATAAATCTTGCGTTGTAGAATGGTAATAGACTTTGAAAGTGTTTTACTAAGAACGATGTCTTTCACAATACAATAGGAATCAAGTTTTGGACCGGCTAGAGTTGTATTCCAAGATTTGCTTGACCGTGTCCCGCACCGTTGTCTCAAAGTGTTTGAACTCAATGCCTGTGAGTCTGCATGTGATATCATTGTTGTAGTTTGTCACTTTGTCAAGATATTGCTTGTTATTCTGGAGTTTACCAACTGGGACTTTGCCTTTCAATTCGGGGAAATTCTTGTGAATGACTTCCAAAATGCGTTGTAAATTCCATTTACCATCCTCGTAGTTCTTCCCTCTGAGTCCCGTGCCACATATTGGTATAAGCCGCTGGCCGGCTAAGTTTCCATTCCTTAATGGTAACATGTGAACTAGCGCTACGTCGCGCACATCAGAGCACAGTCCATTTGGAAAATCAAAGGGACCTTCAAAATCAGGAGGAAGCTTGAGAGCACTATTGATCATCTCGGCGGAAAAGTTTAGCTGATTTCGGTCTAGCCCCCATTCAAAAATTTGCGGTCCAAAAACTAAAGGTGGATTTATTGAAGTTAACGTCCACGGCAATTCGTCCTTGTTCTTCTCGTAAAAGTCCCACGCATACTGTTCGGCCAATTTCTTGGCAGCTGCGTACGCTTCCCGAGAATCTTCTTGCGCATTTTCCCAAGTAATAGGGTTCCAACTCTCTTCAAAGTTGATAAAGTCGGGATCATTTGCGCGCGATTTATTGTTGACAGCAACAAAAGACGAAGTAATCACTACGTGTTTAACATTTTTACCTAGTCGTTGCGTGGCTTCCAAAATATTTCTTGTACCGTGGACCGCCGGAATCAGATAACTTTGTTCCAAAGTGACACCTTCACCTAGGGACACAGGACATGCAGTATGAATAACGTGCTGCGTGTCTGGATGCTTCTTGAAGAGCGCGTCAAAGGCGCCATTGACCCCAATATCAGGCACAATTTCCACCTCCAAAGTCGCGTATGGATAGTAATGCTCAAAAGCGTAGAGGAGCTTCTCTGCCTTTTCCTTGCTGCGCACGGTTCCAATAACGTGGAATCGCTCTGAAAGCAAGATGTTTACGATATGAGAGGCAACAAAGCCTGAAGCACCGGTTACTATGACTTTTTCATCCATTCTCAGGAATCAGCAGGCAGTTAACGAATTCTTGAGAGCATAATGTTCGAAATACGTTGTAATTGGGGCTCCCTTATATATACTCTCGCGTCACTAGACAATGAAGGCAAAGGGCTTGGGGTAAATCATCATTATTTTATGCCGGAATGGTTCCCTTATGCCGTGAACACCTATTCGCAGAGCCTATGGGTTTCTTTTAAGCTTAAGGGAGGGGGGGGAGGTAGTGGAGGCTAGGGTAGAGGACATTTGCTACGGAAAGAAATTGCCTATATCACTTGTTGGGGAATCTGTCGCAGGGAAATCAAGACAATGAAACGCGGACTGTGGGAGGGTTACCCAAGGGAACTTCGCAGGCAAACTACGGAGTATCTCAACATTTAATGATTAATGGAACTGTGGTGGTTCGTAGTCGTACGCTCACCAAGTCACTGCTACCACACAAAGCGATCCAACTATAATACGATCAGCACGTGACTACTGTGACAGATTTCCAATAATCTCGCGACTGCAATTTGTGCTAGACGTGCGCGGCGGATAAAGAATCCTTTTCTTACGCCATCGAGAATTCTTCGATTGCATTTTGCTGGTTCCCAAACCTGGAGAAGAACCCTCGGCGAGTTTATGACGAATCCAGTAACTCACAAATCCAGTCTCTTTTCACGAATTTCAATTTTGACACTCTTGGCGAAAGATCCCCTAACTCCAATCTGGTTGAAGGATGATTAAGCTATCTCGTTACTGGATGTCGTCTCTCGCTGTGTCGCTTTCTTTTCAGACCACGGAATTCATGGCAGACTCGCGTGTCTAAGTATTTGCGTACAAAATGATCATAATCCATGTGCTTGGTTGACGGCCGGAGTTTGTCCAATGGATTCGCGATTCGTAACCCTGTGCAGCTGGAGACGATCAGCACATGAGCAACGACCACCAATAGAGCATTTTAGCTCTCCTGGGAGGTTGATCCCGAATGGTTGGCTTAGTTTCTATCGATTCGACTTTGCACACGTGATCATGAACTAATTTAAAATCACGTGATCACGTTGGCGTGAAGGCAGGCGACTAGCAAGGCTTCCGGGGCGTTATTCGTTGTCCCTTCCCCTGACGGGACTATCGGCGAAAACGTGGTCATGCAGATTTCGGTGTCTGCCGCTCGAATCTTCTGTGAACCTCCCGCATCATCCGCGTCCATTGTTACATTATTTCAGGCACGCCCAGAGATGCCATTCGTAGAAAGCCATCTCAAAAAAACTGTGCCGCAGTTTGCTTATCTGCTTTTCTGAAAAGCCACCGGGATGTTTTCGGCAGATTCTGTGACCATGACTGCCACAGCGGATCCGCCACGTGACGAAATCTCTATGGAGCGACACTGGACGATATCAGTACTAAGAATCTCTAGACCACGAAGTAGCCAGACCGTCACATCATTTCTACGCGACGCCTCCTCTTCTACAGTCTTGTGCACATCGAATTCCAATGTCTCCTCGCACTCCACCCTTACCACCACTACACCTCTAAAATGGTTGCAAGATGTGCACGGGAACGAAGATTACCTTCCGTCAGAAACACGCTAGGTAACAAGCAGAAGACCTAGACAGAACGGCTTCCCGCTGCCTGGTCAACAAACACCGTAATAGGATAACCCAAAACAAGAAAGAATTTAGTATTATGTAAGGCACCCAGGATTAAACGAGCTAAACAACACCCCAACACCCCAAGGGTCCATCAGAGTAAAATTAAGGGTAAATAGTTCAGGGCCCATTGGTGTCCCCTTGCCTCTGGTCGCTGTCCCTTGTCGTAGCAAACCGATTTCTTCTGCGAACCATAATCACCCCTTTAATGCCCCGACCGCCTGGATGACTAAATCTTAGTGTAATTAGTAGGGAAACTGATTATGGTGAACTTAAGTGTATTTAACGTTTCTTTTCGTTTTTGGTGATAATTCGTCGTGCATGCAGTCAATTGATAAGCATCTATGCGTGAAAAACAGAAAAAAAGAATCTCTTATCAGACTAAAGCGGTATCGTTCGTTTCTGGTTGGACGCTGACTATCTACGGAAGCTGAGGGCGGTAGAGGGGGGCGATGCTTTGGTGCATTGCGGTTCATTGTCATAGGATTTTCAAGTTGTATATAATGTAATGCGCTAAGCGAGTTTCGAAATCGTTGGAGAGGTGGAAACCTTTTCAAAAAATTGATTTCGCTCCGTAGAAGTAACCTCAAGCTTCCGTCAAGTTTTCATAGAGTTTACCGATATGTCTCTCAATCTCACGGGAACACCCAGTACTTCTGGTACCGGCGGTAGTACGCTGGACACGGATCTAAACACGGCGTATGACCTTGCAAACATGGTTTGGGTCGGCACTGCGGGTGCACTGGTTTGGATCATGGTTCCCGGTATCGGTCTGCTGTACTCGGGTCTGTCGCGTAAGAAGCACGCCCTGTCCCTTTTGTGGGCCTCGATCATGACCTGCGGTGTCGTCTCTTTCCAATGGTTCTGGTGGGGCTATTCGCTGGTGTTTGCGCATAACACTCGCGGAAATGGATTCATCGGGACTCTCGAGTTTTTCGGTTTCAAAGACGTTCTTGGCGCGCCTAGCTCCGTCTCCACGGTCCCTGATATTCTGTTTGCTTTTTTCCAAGGTATGTTCGCCATGGTCACCGGTATCTTGATGGTCGGTGGTGCGTGCGAGCGTGCTAGACTCATGCCCATGATGGTGTTTTTGTTCCTCTGGATCACTATTGTCTACTGTCCCATCGCCTGCTGGACCTGGAATGCCGAGGGGTGGCTCGCAGTTTTCGGTGCGCTTGACTACGCCGGTGGCGGCCCTGTCCACATCACATCCGGCCACGGTGCTCTGATCTACGCCATGATCTTGGGTAAGAGAAATGACCCTGTGGCCAAGTCCGGTATGCCCAAATACAAGCCTCACTCCGTCACCTCTGTCGTTTTGGGTACGGTTTTCTTGTGGTTTGGTTGGTTTGGCTTTAACGGTGGTTCTGCCGGTAACGCAACCATCAGAGCTTGGTACTCCTGTGTTTCTACCAATTTGGCTGCTGCTTGCGCTGCTTTGACCTGGATGTTCATCGACTACTTCCGTTTCGGCCGCAAATGGACCACTGTGGGTTTATGTTCCGGTGCCATTGCCGGTTTGGTCGGTATCACCCCAGCTGCAGGGTTTGTCCCAGTCTGGGCCTCTGTTATTATCGGTATTGTAACCGCTGTCGGTTGCAACTTCGCCGTTGACTTGAAGAACTTATTACACATCGATGACGGTATGGATGTCTATGCGCTCCACGGTGTTGGTGGTGCTATTGGGTCTGTCATGACCGGTATTTTCGCGGCTGACTACGTCAACGACTCTGCTGGCGCTGCTGCTGTCGCAATTGACGGAGGTTGGATCAATCACCACTACAAGCAAGTTGGTTACCAACTTGCTGCCATTTGCTGTACCGTTGCATGGTCCAGTGTTGTCACTGCCATTTTGTTGCTAATTATGGACAGAATTCCATTCTTGAGGTTGAGATTGAGACCAGAAGAAGAAGAATTGGGTACCGACAGCGCTCAAATTGGTGAATTCACTTACGAAGAGGATGCTGTCTACATTCCAGAGCCTGTGAGGTCCAAGGTTTCTGCTCAAGTTCCAGAACCTCCAACTGGCATCGACGACAAGATAGCTCAAAACGCTGCATCTGACGGAAGTATATCAACAGAAAATGAAGCAAGAGGTAAGGAGAAGGTCACAATTTAATTGGAATTTTCCTACACTTGCATTTAGATCGACAACACATCTCTACAAGTAATGTAATTAATAAATATCTGGCCATAAATAAAGAACACTTACACTAATAGTTCAGCAAGATGATCATGTTATGAACTGGGCAAAGCCAAATATAAAAAACTGGACTCCAAATCGAGTTGTTTCCCCCGTGTGAGTTTTGTCATTTTCACCTGATGTCTACTCTCTCACCTGATCTGCCCTTACTATGAACGAGTTAATAGAGTTACTTATGAAAAGTGACCTTTATCATCAGAGCTTAGACCCTAAGAACATCATCATCAAGATAACTAGTAAATCGCATCATGAAGCTTCATGTTATCATAATTTCGTTACTATTGGCCCTCATATCCGCGAGGGAAGCAGGTACGTATTCTTCCGATGATGGCCTGATCAAACGAATTTTACTAACCTTTAAGTAGTTCCTGTGGAGTCATACATTTTGACGCTAGAGAGCCAACCCCTTTCAATTGAAAAGACCTTGACAGATCTTCAAAACGTTGTCAAAAGCGCAGGCGGAAAGATCACCCATGAGTATTCTTTGATTAAGGGGTTTTCTATGGAGGTTCCTAAGACCACAGCGAAATCCATTCTTAAACATCTAGAAATGGTGGCTTCCAGGGCAAGATGCAAACTGAACTTGGAACCTGATCAAGAGATACACGCCAACAGTGTACATGGTCTTTGATGGCCAAAATGGGTTATTGGCGTGTTAAGGTATTTGGGTTTAGATTTAGGAGTGTTTAACGCTATGGAACCATGGAGCAATGAGAATTATATGTACGTTTTTATCTTTATTTTAAATTTATGACCTGATATGAGGAATTAGTGTAATCAGCGCTCTAAATTGATATTGTCGCCGAATTTGGCATATAGCTGAGTTTTCAACTCGCTGATACGACTGTCGATTTGTGACTCCTTGTCTTCAAGTTCTTCAATCATTCTGTCAAACCGTTCGGAGTCCTTTTCCAGTTGCTCCACGATCTGGCTTTGTTTCATGAACACGAACGCTTCCCCAATTTTGTATTGAATTTGCTCGTCTTCGTCTATCAATTCTATCTCAAGTGATACATCGTCCAAATATTCTTTCTCTTGCTTGACGTTGCTCAATTCCTGGGCAGTAGCATCCTTTCTCATTATTAACTTGGAAAACTCATTTATCCTTTGCTGATCTTCAAACAGCACTTGAACCTGGTTCTTTTTACCTTCTGGAAGCTACGTGTTTAAAGTTAGTCTCTTTGAAGCTTCACATAGAAGAGAAAGACGGGACATACTAGCTCCATTATTTGACTTCTTTGATGGAAAACGGCTTGGTTGTTATCAGATTTTTGTAGGGACGCTGTTCATAAATCCTCCTCTAACCGAATTTTTTTAGTATTTCTCCGCTAACTCATCAACCAGCTCAGCGAGAGAACTGAAATCCTCACAAGATCCATGAAGAGACATTTAGGCCTTTGAAAATTTTCACGGACATTGAAAGTTCCAAATCGAATTTAGGAAGCTTTTTCGCATTTATGGTAAAATACTGGACTTTTATGTAAGTGCTTATGGAATAGCCTGATTACAAGTAACTAAAACTCATCGTATAGCCGTTCGATGCCTTTCCCTAGTCTTTTGGCAGCTTCTATCAACTCTTCATCATCTTTGGCATGTGCGAAAGTGATGCGAAGGAAGCTGGACCTCTCGAAAGATAGTTCTGGATTGACGGCCATGTCGGATCCCAACACAACTCTGACACCTTCTTCGCGAAGTTTGTAATTCAGCTCAGTGCTTGCCTTTGTACGGGTCTCGGTTGTGACCTTGTCGAACTTTTCAAAGTTTATCACCACGCAAGCAAACATCCCCGCAGAGGGCCCCAGGACCGTGAAAAGTCCCTTGCGATAAGCATCGGTGTCGTACAAGGCCTGAAACAAAACGTTTCTACGATGTGTGTATTCGCCAGCAACTTTCATGAGCCAGTTGATCCACGCATCCTGAGGCGTAGCGTAATTCTTTGCCCAAGCGTTGATGACGTTGGCAACGACGGCTTGCGAGACACCGCTTGGCGCCCGGGTCGTCACTTCGGAAAGTTCTAAAAAATTGCGGAGCAGAAACTTGTTGGCAACGATGAACCCCAGACGCAAGCCTGGCGCGAACATCTTTGAAAACGTCTCAAGTCTGACTACGCGCCCGCTGTGGTCGATGGTAACGAAAGACTTGGCTAAAACTTTGTCGCAGTAGTCTTGTGCGCTATACTCGCCCTGTTTGTAGGCGTTGTAAAGCGGGTCTTCGGACCTGTATGGCGCGAGCTTCAGATACCCATAGGGGTCGTCCTCGATTATCAGCAGGTCGTGTCTCTCGGCCAGTGCGTAGATTTCACGGCGCTTGTTTTGCGACAGAGTCCTCCCGGTAGGATTTTGGCCCGTGGCAATGGTGTACAGCAATTTCGGCTTGTTGAGATGTGCATAGGGCCCCGATTGCCAGTTTTCGAGCAAGTTGCGCAAATACTCGACATCAATGCCTTGGGTCTCTGGATCATTCGTGAGATTAACTTTGATCGGGACAACTGAGGCGCCGGTCGCCTCTGCGTTGGAAATCGTCGGAGTGAACGTAAACTCTTCGAAAAGTGCCGTTGTATTTTCGTCGCAAAGCGTCTCAAACACCTTAAACAGTCCGTCTCCAGACCCGTTGTTCATAATTACGCCCCACTCGTCATACGCGGGCGGATTGAGCCGAGCAACGAGATCGCGACAGAAACCCAGTAGTTGCGGATGCCCTTCGGTCGACGTGTACTGCAGCGCCGCTGCAAGCGGCAGGGCAGATTGGCAGTCGGGCTCGTACCTCCACACGTCGACTACAGACCCGCTGTCGACTTTGTCCTTGACGAACTCGCGTTCGCAGAAGTCGGGGTCGGTCTCGGGGACGCCTGCGTGCAGTTTTTTTGATTTTTTGGTGTAGCCCAGATGTTGGAACGGGTCGCGGACAACGTTCAGATGCATGGATTCGAGTGGGAAAAGGCCCTCGTTGGGCATCCCAGGTGCCAGTTCAATTGGATCAGGGTGTGGCTTGACGTGTTCTGGAAGACTGCCGGCCCAAAACGATCGCAGCTTGCGGCGCGCCATTCTGTGCGAAAGAAATGGGGCAAAATGCGTCTCTAGGGATTTGTAGTCCATTGTGGGTCTTGAATTTGGGACTGAATTTGGGACTGAATTTGGAACTGACTCCGGAACACAAACAGCGTCTGTTTTGATGGCACCATTTATACCTGGTCTCAAATCGCATGCGCTCTGTGCTGTGTCAGCTTTCTGGGTGCTTTATCACAGCTTATCTCAGAGGCCTTCAGGCTGATGCCGTAGTTTACCGTTTTAACTCCGATGGGGTCTTGTTTTGTACGGCAGGCAGCGAAAAAAAGAGAAGTGCGCTTAGAATAGTGGTCACGTGACCGCCACCCCCATGCCGAGTAGCAAATGGGTAACTCGGGGTAACCTCCTAGAAGCGGTAAAGGTAAGCCGAGATGCAATGTTGTCGCTTTCAACGTTCACAAAGCCAACCAAATGCCGACGAAGACTTGGCAATACGTGGCGGGTCCGAGTGCAACGAAAAAGCAGGCAGGATGGCTTTTCTTTTATCGCGGTACGCTGCGATTGAGAACCCAAATGACAAGCTGACAGGAACATGCTCTATAAATAACGACCTGCCCATCAGTTGCCAACAATAGCATATCTATTTTAAAAGTACCCCGACACAACCTCGTAATAAACGAATCGCGTCCGGTACTCCCCCGTGTACGGCCAAACTAGCGGGCGACCTGATTTACGTGAACAAACGACTAACCGGGTCAGAACGCCGAGATCCGTTCAAAGTGACGGCACTCGCGAATCGTCCCCTGCTGTTACCCTGCCCAGCCAGAACCGCTTCAGCGCCTATGGACAGAGTTCCGGTGCCCAAGCACGACTGTACATGACTACTTTGAAAACCACTAATAGTTAACTAATGCAAAAATCTGAAAATACACCTACCCTAGCCGCCGGCACGTGATCTATACACGATTACCGCGGGCTTAGAAATCGCCTCTCACGACAGCCCTCCCGCCACATGGGCATGCACCTGCTTCCTTTGCCGCCCAGCTGCTTGGCACCTCTTGCGTTTCTCTGCTGCACTCGTGGAGATACAGAATGACGTTGACACACTGTAACACGAAAAAACACGTCCCCAGCGCGCAATGGGCCGCGACGGCGCACCATACGCTGCGCTCGCATTCTAGCAACGAGATCCTGGCGCTCTGCGCCAGTATCTCGTCACTGCCGCCAGCCAGCTCGCCCAGGGCGCTAGCCGCGCTGGCCACGGGTCTAGCGGCAAGCTCTGCACGCACCGCGCCGTACACGTGACACAGCCGCTCGAGCCCGCGCTTCACTACTGCGAGCCCCGCGTAGCTGGACATGAGCGAGAACCAGCAAGTGTAGTAGCGGCGTACGACGACCGACACGGCGGAGATCACGAGACACGCGCCCGCGCAAAGCACTGTATCTGGCGCAGCCTGCCGTAGCAGCAGCACCAGTGAGAACAAATGCAGAGAAAGACAGACCCCGCATAGAACCTCTGTAAACCACGGCCGCGCCCGCTGCGAGCACCGCGGGCACTGCGGGCACTTTTCGACGGCGGTAAGCATGTTTGTCTCCGAATGGTTGCAGACTTAGCTCTTGGTGTCTTGGCTCTCTAAAGCTCTCTTCTCTTATCTGCCGCATCGATGCGCGCCGAACTTGGCTATTTTTGTATTCTCCCCACCTCGGGCTTTGTGCACCGACTTGCATCGCGTCGGAGAGATGCCGCAGCCACGTGCGTCTGTGCCCTGGGTGAAAAGACAGATGTGGATCAAGCCACTCCTCGCTGTCGACGAAGAAGGCACGCGGTTACGTATGCTGCCGAAATTGGGCACGTGCTGCGAACGACGACCGTCGCGCGCGACGGTCGCGACGGTAATATACATATTGGTTAATTAGACCACGGGGATGCAGTTATGAGGCATGTGGGCCCTGGCGCCCACATGTATATATACGTAGCGTAGCTGCGACAGCAGCTGCGCGCGGAGAGCGGCAGTCGACACGCCCAGCACGCCCAGCACGGCGACCCTTGCCCAAAAATGTCCGCGTCCCTCTCGCACTGCAAACGCACCACAGAAGACTCCGATCTCATCTTCCAGTTCAGCACGCCGCTCGGGCCCGCGTGGGCCTCCGAGGCCGCGTCCAGTTACCCGGACTCACAGACAAGCACGGTTATCGCGTTGGACGACGCAGTGTCGGATGCGGCCTCCACGGCCGCGTCTCAGGCACCGTCGTACATACAGGCACAGGCACAGGCACAGGCACAGGCACAGCCACGCACCAACGACGCGACCAGGCTCGCGCTGGCGCAGACGCGCGTGCTGTCGCACTACAACAACTACTTGAACGGGACGTTCGGAGACGCGGCGCAGCGCACCGCGCTGCGCCCGGACGAACGCCGGCGCATAGAAGAGATGGTGGACGCGATCTGGCTGAACCGCGGGCCGCTCACGGAGGACCTGTTCGAGGACTCCTCCGACGAGGACGCCGAGTAGCGGCCGCTGCAGGACCAGCGGCGCAGCGACGCAGACGTGCGCTCAACTTTCATACCGCTTCACTACATAGTACACACGCTGACCTAATCCGCGATCGCCTCGTACTTAGCGACCACGCGCTCGATCTGGTCCAGCAGCTCCGTCTTGCGTTTGTCGTCGCACCAGGAGCCGCGGACAGCCGCGCCTGCGACGCGGGCCCACGTCTGGCGCGACCAGCCGAAGGCCTGCTGCACGGCTACGTAGTTGTCCAGCACGTAGCCGCCGAAGTACGCCGGGTCGTCCGAGTTGAGCGAGAACGGTACACCCGCGTCCAGCAGTTTCTGCAGCGGCAGCTCCCGCACATGCTGCACGACCTGCAGCCGCACGTTCGACAGTGGGCACACCGTCAGTAGCGTGTCGCTGGAGGCCAGCCGTGCTACAAGCGCTGCGTCCTCGACGCAGCGCACGCCGTGGTCGATTCTCTGCGCGCCGAGCAGGTCAAGCGCCGTCGTGACGTACGACGCGGGTCCTTCTTCGCCCGCGTGGGCCGTCAGCCGCAGCTCCGGCTGGAACCGGCGTGCCTGCTCGTAACATTCTGTGAACAGCTCCGGGGGAAAGGGCCGTTCCGCGGAGTCGAGCCCCAGGCCCTGAACCGTGCCCGATTCAAAGAACGGCTGCGCGCTTTGCACGGTCGCCAGACACTCGGGCACGGGCAAATGGCGCAGCAGGCACATAATCAGCTTGGACGTGACGCCGAGCTCCGTTTCGGCGCGCTCGCACGCGCGCCGAAACCCGCCCACTACGGCGTCCAGCGCCACACCACGCGTGGTGTGGCTCTGCGGGTCAAAGAACATTTCTGCGTGGCGAAGACCCTGTGCAGCTGCGCGCTGGAAATAAGCCCAGGCGAGATCGAAGAAGTCCTGTTCGAGCAGTAGAACGTTGGTGCCAATATAGTAGAAATGCAAAAAATCCGCGAGGTCTGCGAACCGGTTGTAGCGCTCGTGCAGGGCCTCGGCGGAGCTTGGGAAGTCTGCCGGAAGCGAGACGTTGTTGCGCTTTGCGAGCGGGAACAACAGGTCGGGCTCGAGGGTGCCCTCGAGGTGGACGTGGTGCTCGCACTTGGGTAGCTCGCGCAGAAAGTCGCGCATGGTCTGAGAGCAGGTGTAGTCGGACATTGAGTGCTGCGGACGAAAGGAGCATCGGCGTGCGGGGCCCGCGCGATGCTCCTCGAAGATATATGCGCCAAGTGCTGCGCGGCGGTGGCCGATGCGGCAGAAAAAAAAAGACGAAGCAGAAAAGCAACGTGAGGGCAGATAGTAGCGGCACGTGACGGGCGGGTCCCCGTTTCGAGGACTCGGTGTGAGTCGTTTTCTACGGCGAGGGGAACCCCCGGGAGAGGTCTGAGGGGTTCCGCCGGCGGCTAAAGCGCGGTGGCGACTATATAAGGGCAAGGGGTGAAGCGACATACAATAACACGGGACGCCCCCGGGCTTACCCAACATACACTACATACGCTACGCGAGGCAACTGCCAAAGGCAACACAGGCGCCAGACACGTGCTTGGGGGCGACCCTGATCTTTCAGAACGCGCTCGCCTCTCCGGCTTTTTTTGTCAGAAGAGACTGGTGCGCGTCCCGACAAGTCCTGGCTTTGGCCCCGGCTTGGACGCCGCTGGCTGCCGCCAGCGGCTGAAGAATCACATGGTACGATGGCAGTCACATGACCATCTCGAGAAAGGACACAAAGGAAAGAACATTGCACATGGCGGCGCAGCCGTTTGTACGAACAGGAAAATTTTTTTTTTCCTCCCTCCCTCCCTCGTGAGGGTACAGGGTGGTCCGTGGTGGTGGTGACATGGATCCCGAAAACGACAACAGGAGGTCTCAAAAATTTCGGTACACAATCTGCAGATTAGGTATTGGACGAAGCTTGTGGCTAAGCACAAAAGAGGCGAGAAGCGCGAGCCCGAGCGTGACTATCAATAGGTAAGACACGTCACTCACCCAAGCGCACTTGAGCGGGCCTTAACACGAAACCAGTGAGTAGCGAACAAGTGTCACAACGTTGGGACACACCGCGCAGATTGACATCGTACCGACTTTTCGTTTCGGAGAACAAAGCCGGGAGAAGACATGAACGGTGTTAGTGGCTCTGCGTCGCAGCACGGGGCCAGCTCCAATGCGGGCAGCGCGCGCGACGATTCGACTATCGTCGGGCTTCACTACCGGATCGGCAAAAAAATCGGCGAGGGCTCTTTCGGAGTCCTTTTCGAGGGAACCAACATGATTAACGGCGTTCCCGTCGCGATTAAGTTCGAGCCCCGCAAATCCGAGGCGCCACAGCTCAAGGACGAGTATCGAACTTACAAGATTCTCGCGGGCACTTCTGGAATTCCGCAGGCGTACTATTTCGGGCAAGAGGGCCTCCACAACATCCTGGTGATTGATCTGTTGGGTCCCTCTCTGGAAGACTTGTTCGACTGGTGTGGCCGTCGGTTCTCGGTCAAGACCGTGGTGCAAGTCGCGGTCCAAATGATCACATTGATAGAGGACCTACATGCGCACGACCTCATTTACCGCGACATCAAGCCGGACAACTTTTTGGTCGGAAGGCCGGGCCATCCAGATGAAAACAAAGTTCATTTGATTGATTTCGGTATGGCCAAACAATATCGTGACCCCAAGACAAAGCAACACATTCCTTATCGTGAGAAAAAATCCTTGAGCGGAACTGCTAGATACATGTCGATCAACACTCATTTGGGACGCGAACAATCGCGCAGGGACGATATGGAGGCGCTGGGTCACGTCTTTTTCTACTTCTTGAGAGGCCAACTTCCTTGGCAAGGTCTAAAAGCGCCCAACAACAAACAGAAATACGAGAAAATTGGCGAGAAAAAAAGAGTCACCAATGTGTACGACTTGGCCCAAGGATTACCTGTTCAGTTTGGTCGTTATTTGGAAGTGGTTCGCGGATTGGGATTTGAGGAAACTCCCGACTACGAAGGGTACCGGAAATTGTTGCTCTCCATCCTAAACGACATGGGTCAAGAAGCTGACGGTGATTATGACTGGATGAAATTGAATGGTGGACGCGGTTGGGATTTGAGCATTAACAAGAAACCAAACTTACATGGTTATGGGCACCCAAATCCACCTAATGAAAAGGCCAGACGACACAGAAACAAATACAACCAGCAACAACCACTAGATGGGCCTACCCCTTTGCGCTATCAACCGCAGAATCATCAGAATAGCCAACACCAGCAATCTCAACAACAACCACAGCAGCAGCAGCAGCAGCAGCAGCAGCAACAACAAGCCCAGCAACAACAGCAACAGCTTTCACAACACGACACGCCTATCAACGGTTCTCAACAGCAGTTGCAAAACAGACTCGACCCGACTTCGTATGAAGCCTATCAACAACAGACTCAGCAAAAATATGCTCAACACCACCAGAAACTTCAACAACAACGCCGCATGCACAATTTCTCCAATCAGCAACCATCGCAGCCCTACCGCTCTCAGCAACCGCCAACTGTAAAGCAGCATTTGCAGTCGTCCGGTGCCAATAACGTCGACGTGATGGATCATCGTTCTGCAGCATCCGGGAAGGGCTTTTTCAGTAAAATGGGGTGCTGTTGATTCTGAACTCTTTCCAACTAGCCTAACCTTTGGTCTCGTCCCTGAGGGCTTGTATGACGGCATTATTTCATCAAATTTGAGGATGAAGACAGAGAGTAGTTGCTTTGATCCACCCGACGTGCTCTCGTAAAAGACCCATGGTTGCTTTACAACAAGAACAGATAATTGGTCATTTCAACAACAAAAAAATAAATATGCTTTTGAAGCTGTATAAAATGTATTTTTTCCTTTACATTGTAAATTTAGATTAAGCTTTTTGTCCTGGATCCTACTTCTAAAATTTGTTTTGCTGAGTCGACAATTGTCTCTTCAAAGGGTTTGAATTCGACTCCGGTCAGTTTTGTCGTAATGTCGTTATTGAAAGAACTGTGATTTGCCAAGTACGGCTTGTTGTCGATGATTTTTCCTTTAGGAATCTTTCCTCGAAGTTCAGGGAAATTCTTGTTCAAAATGTCTAACGTCCGCTGCAAATTCCACGAGCCATCCTCATAGTCCTTGCTTTTCTGACCAGTTCCGCTTACCGGGAACAATCTTTGTCCAGCAAGCTTTTCGTTACGCAGAGGTAAAACATGGAGTAGCGCAACGTCGCGGACGTCGACGGCAAGGCCCTTCGGAGTGTCGAAGGGACCCTCAAAGTCTGGTGCCAGATGAACAGCTTTGCTGACTATCTCCGCAGAAGTATTAAGCGTGCCTCTCTGAACACCCCAATCAAACATTTGCGGTCCCATAACGTAAGGTGGGTTTACGGTCGTTAATGTAAAATTGATCTCGCCTTTGTTTTCTTCCAAGAAGTCCCAAGCAAGCTTCTCCGCGAGCTTCTTGGATGCCATATAAGAGCTACGCTCATCCTCCCTGGCCTCTTTCCATTCAATTGGATTCCAGGTTTTTTCTGTGTGTACGAAAGATCGATCACCCGCATGTGCGATGTTAATGATAGCCGCAAACGAAGATGTGAGGACGAACCGCTTAACGCTTTTACCATATTTTTTGGTCGATTCCAAAATATTCTTAGTCCCTTGAGTAGCCGGAATTAAAAAGCTCTCTTCCATGCTCTTGTCTTGCCCAAATGAAAACGGTGACGCTGTATGAACGACATGCTGAATGTCGGGAATGCTTTTAAACGTCTCGTCGAAAGCTCCTGAAGCTCCAATGTCAGGCACAATAACAAGATCAAGCTTGCAATATGGATATAGCTTTTTGAAAGATTTAGAGATCCGATCAGCCTTGTCTTGCGATCTGACAGTGCCAATCACGTGGTAACCTTCAGAAAGAAGAGCGTCTAATAGGTGAAGTGCAATAAAACCAGAAGCACCTGAAACCAGCACTTTTTCGTCTGACATGGTTTGATATAATTCACTTTCCACGTTCAGCAAAGTAAAGTAGGAAGGGTTCTAACAACGGCGTTCATATAGTAAACTTGGACTGATTTTGATTATTAATATCGCAGCCCAAATCAGAACGCCCGTGAACTCGTAATACCATGTTACAAAGTTGCAACCAACCAAGATAGCTGTTAGGACGGAACTTTACTTCCCCTAATTAAGTAAATTGTGTCTCCGTTTTTAATGCTAGTGGCTACCCGGGCTCCAGGGTCTAGGAGACTAGGGCCCCTGGAAGTTTCCCGGTAAAGGTACAATTTGTCTTCCGAAGCGGAATTAACATCTGTATTGTGATTTAGCACGTCTAGTTGGGCCGCCACGTAGTCAAGAGCGCGTCCAACGGGCCAGATCTTGTTGATGAAGAGTTGTCTGCGACGGAGCTCGTCTTTGGCCTCGACAACGAAACAGTATACGTAAACCCGGTTTTCAAGTGGAATTTTGTTGTCACCTTGGGCAGTTTTCTTCAGTTGCGCGATCAAAAGTAGCTTGTTTGCGGGGGATTTCTTGTTAGTAGAGCCTTTTTGGCCCGTAGCTGCAGCACTGGAACTTTGACGCGTAAAGAATTGCTTTAGTTTGGCAAGTGCCCTTGCTTTGCCTGCTTGTTGTAGTTGTTCGCGGACCGACGGTTGTGCATTTGCTGGAGCAGGATTCTGGTTGACCCTGATATGGCCCTTCTCGGGCAAAAGAGAGGTGAAATAGCTTTCTCCATCGCCAGAAGGCTTGGACGGTATTAAGTTCACACTGGGGCCGTTTTTGGTCGATGGTGCGATGGCCGATACGCAGTGATGTGCTTCTTTGGTCCTGTGGGATGAGCAAAACTGCTTCCCACACTGAGAGCAGTTGAACGGCAAGAAATCCAACTGTCTACAAAACGCACAATGTGTCCCCACGTCTAGCATCCCAACCTCTTTCGTACTCATTTTGATGATTTTGTTAAATAGCTGTTAAATATCTGTTCTTGCTAAAACCTGGGCTCGAGGAGTTCTTCGGCCAAGTTGTCAACTTGTCTAATCACTCCAATCCCCTAAGTTGCCACCCTTCGAGTTTCTTATACCAGGAAAGATATCCGTTAATTTGTCATCTGCAGAAGAACTTTCACTGGAGATGCTATTGTTCTTTGACGTTCGAAAAACTGAGAATAATAGACAAGACAAACAGTTGATCTATACACCAGAAAGCTGGGGACGAAGGATATTTTCTTTCAACTAACAATGATATATAACTGAATCTAGCCCCACGTAGCTTGATTTCAAGATTTTAATGCTTAATCGATGGAAGGAGACTTGGAACTTAATGTTTTCGAGAAGTTGATGTTTCTGAATGTTTACGTGACACGAAACCACAGAACTTCAGATCCATCGAGCAGTCCCATAAAAATAATTTGTAGCTACGTAAGATCTATGATTTCGATGGCAAATGTTGTAGCGGGCTCGCTCTCGGTTTCATTTTCACTCTCACTATCGACTAATACGTAACCAAGCTCATCTTTGGCAGGACTGAGATTTTCGCTCGTTGCTGCACCCCTCTGGGCACTCACACACCACTTGGAGTCTTGTGCACGGTTTTCAGCTGCCCAAGAAGCCATTTCCGCAGGTGTTCTGCTTATGGATCCTGTAGAAATTGCACCCCCCAGACGACGTCCCGAGCTCGTTGTAACTGAAAGTTGCGACCGCGATCTCGTGCCCAGTTTTCGACCTTTACCAACAAATGCGTCATACAGGCCCTTCTGCTCTATAACCCATTGCCGTCCTGTGAACTCGTCCAACTTGCGGTAGAAACTGGCGTTATGAGGTCCGAAGATGTTGTGCGTCAATTCGTGCAGCATCACGCCCAGTATGCTCTCGCGCGACAAAAAAGTCGCATCGTTGTAAGGGTCTCTTAACCTAAGCATAATTTTAGCCCCACTGTTTACATTCATACCCAATAATCGTTTGTTTCTAGGGTAAAATTCCACCAACTGTCTTACTTTCAACCCATTTTCTCGCATCAAATAGGAAACCTGATGTGCAATGTCTCTTAATATTTCAAGTGCATACTCCTTCTGAACTTTGCTCTGCAAAACGGCAAGCTCGTCGATATGCTTGTTTGTCTGTATTGTCATTTATCATTGAACAATGAATGAACGGTTAGAGAAGATTAAAAACCCAAATAGAGCTCAATGTTGTTCAATTGTACACATCGAAAAGCCCAGGTAAATACCGACAACAAAACTAGCCCAAAATCGGTCACTCTTGTATGGGTTTCCTACACTACTTTATAGCTTATTTTATATTGAATCCTCGTACAGTAAGTTGGTGATTTTTCAAAACTTGTTAAGCCATTGGTAACATCATTCGTAACCAAGCCTCAGGTTGAAAGACGAGTCTGATCGAAGCATAATCACTTGACAAGCCAATCGATTAGACCAAGATGGCAAAGAAACGGTCCAATGTGCCCAACGGCAATTACAGTAACAGTACTGAGTCTATAAGCAGCCTGACTAAACCACAGCTTTTCGGTATTTACGACGCGGACGTGGTGAATAACGAAGATACGGAAATCTACGAAGAAGCACGTAAATCGGTCGGAAAATTCGCCGACGGTCCCAAACAGTTTGGGAAAGAGTCAGGAAGTAAGAAAATGTTTTCTATGCAAAGATTGGGCCACATCGTATTTTCAATTGCGTTTTTAGGTGTGGCAGGCATCTCATACAACGAATTGAGCAAACAACTCCACGACAATCATGCTTTGCATCCGGAATTTGCGTCGCGGCCTCTGGCACTGGGTGTCGAGATATGTCAAAAACTCAGCTTTGGATACGTTCCCACTTGGATGGCGTATGCGCTTGAGGGCATCGTTTTCGGGTCTTTGCTACCTTTGATCGACGTGGTGTACGGGAAACCCGTCAGAAGCAGTTCTTTCACCTCCGTGCTTAGAGCTGTAAACGCCATGCTCGGGGTCGCGTTTGGTATACGCAAAATTGAGTGGAGCTCATCGCTGCAGGCGAGTGGTGCGTGGTTCTTGTTGAACATCGTACTGTGGATGTTTTTCGATGGGACGTTGTCCATGCTCATCGGATGTCTGGGCATTGGGACCGTTGCATGTGCTACGTCGTTCTACGACATTACCGAATACTCACATTTTCTTTATTTCATGGACTTTTACTTCCTTGGGCTTCTATTGTTCGGCAAAATGGGCAGATACCTCTACGGCCGCTGATACGCTTTGGAATTTGGGACCAACCTCTGAATTTTGTAGCGTACTGTACATATAATATATATACACCCAAAAAAATCTCTACTTACCAGGAGAATGTGGCGGCGGCCCACTCGATATGCTGCCTTGTCTTCGCAGGTCCTGGGAGTCGATATTTCCGGCACTGCTGCTCAATCTTCTCTTGATGATGCTTTCTCGGAGTCCGCTCGGGTTCGTGACGGGAAGGTGGCTTTTACCAGCATTAGGATCTAGTTCATCGGAACGCACACCAGCCTTGCTGAGTGCATAGTCTCCACTATCGAAGTACTTTCGTTCGTGGAGTTTGTGTTTAAAGAGATCCTTCTTGGACGGCAATCTCCCATACATTTTAAATAATTTGAGTTCTTGCGGTGTGAGCTTCGACGTGTCTACGTCGCTCGCAAGATCCGTCCGACTCGCTGTGGGCGAAAGATCTCCCTCTTTGTTCATTTTCAAATCAGTCGCAATACTTAAAGATGCCTTTCGTGATCCTCTTCACCATCAAGTGCAAAACTTGAGAGCGATAGCCCTTTTCCTTGAATTCTTATCCCATTCCCATGCCAATCATTGATTTTGACTAGTTTTCGGAGTCACGTTGTACGTACATCAAGCACCATTCCGATTTTCCCTTCAAACGTGCACGGATCTGCCGAATTTCAACGGGTTCAAGTGCTCAAGATAGCTTGAATATGTTCAGTTGATTCTTCTGCTTTTGAGACTTCTCATAGGAAGGTTATCATATCCCTAGATATTTTGCACTAAAATGCCAGATCGGAAGATTGACAAAATTACTGAGAAGAATCCTCAAGAGAATTCTGATTATATAGAAACCGTAACATGCAGGTTCTGAGTCTCAAGGAAGTAGTACTTGCCCGGGTTCCAGCTGTGTCTTTAATATCAATTTACGAAATGGTTGGAAAGGTATCATATGGCACGAAACAGTCGTTCTAATTAACCATGGTATTTGAACATCCATGAGTGAACAAGTCTTGAAGCTAAGAACCGCAGAGCGGCACGATAAGCAGATACCAAGCCATGTTCAAGGCGCTGCTGGCATTTTCAGTGCTGGGAACCACACTGGGAAATGCTCACACCGATTTATCTGGTCAAAAAGTGTGCAGGATTTATACTAATGACAGCTCCAAACTAGTCGAGGAGATGCGCCAAGTCTATGGCGGAGAGATCGACATTTGGGCGAAAAATGAAGAGTTTGTAGATGCTTGTGTTCCAGCTGATGTGGCGTCACAGGTTTCTGGGTGCAACGTTATGATTGAGGACCTGGATAGTGCAATTAAGGAGACATATCCTCAGGGTACGACACAATTTTCTGGTGTGCAGTCTACCTTCGACATAGCAACCAGGAAGGTGCATGACATTTTCTTTGAAGAATTCCGAGATCTGGACACGATTTATACGTGGTTAGACCTTCTCGCCCTTACGTTCCCGGAGCTTGTCAAAATCGAGTGGGTTGGACAGACGTTTGAGGGAAGGGACATGAAAGCGCTGCACATAAGCGCAGATAACAGAGAAATGAATCCTGACAAGAAGACAATTGTAATCACGGGTGGTGTGCACGCACGGGAGTGGATAAGTGTAAGCACGGCGTGTTACATGATCTACAACTTACTCACAAAATATGGCAATAACAAGAAGGAAACCAAGTATTTGAACCACCTCGATTTTTTGGTGATACCTGTGTTCAACCCCGATGGGTATGCTTACACGTGGACCCATGATCGTTTGTGGAGGAAAAACCGGCAGCAAACTTATTTTCCCCGTTGTTTTGGTATCGACATCGATCATTCATTCGATTTTCATTGGACTGGCGCCGAAGATATACCGTGTAGTGAAGATTATGGTGGAGATTCACCATTCGAGGCTCTAGAAGCCGAATCTTGGAACAATTACATTAATGAAACGAAGAGCGAATACACAATTCATGGATACCTTGATCTACATTCGTATTCACAGGAGATATTATACCCATATGCATATTCCTGCGAAGCATTACCAAGGGATTTGGAAAATTTGCTGGAGCTTTCTTACGGAATGGCAAAAGCTATCAGAAATAAATCAGGCAAGTCTTACACTGTGTTGTCGTCGTGTCAGGACAGAGGCTCCGATCTCAAACCGGGGCTTGGATCCGGATCGGCTCTGGACTATATGTATCACCATCGTGCACACTGGGCTGTACAGCTTAAGCTTCGTGATACAGGAAATCATGGATTTTTGTTGCCTCCAAAATACATTGTGCCTGTGGGTAACGAGGCATATGCAGCTTTGCGATATTTCTGTGAGTTCATCTTGAACCCTGAATTATAAAAGAGTTACTCCACCAATGACTGCTTCAAGTCCAGAACTCGCAACCTATCATAAATGGGTACCCGTCTGTTGAACAGCAGGACCGCTATCATGGTAATCAGAATATATAGTATGGTAGAGTACAAGTCAACTGGGATGTTCATTTTAAGGTTCACCACGGAAACATTTAATGGAATCGATTTAGCCGTGTAAGCCGGATAAGAGAAACCTTTGGTTTCGAGTTCAACGAAGACTCTTGCGTTCTCTCCATCTATAGTACCATCAAATGGTGTGTTATGAGGTACCACTTTGTAGTTAGCGTTTTCGATCGAAACTGGATTCAAAGCAGTCCAGCAGAATTTTATCATATAACTTTGACCAATCTTTAAGTTCTGCAGTTCAATGGCGTATCTCTCATCAACGGGAACCTCAAATTTCTGTGTGCGATGATTGTCGTTTCCTAGATCAATTGTAGGATGCGTAACCTTCAACTGACCCGAACTGGGCGGGAAGTCCGCGGGAAGAGAGATAATCAATGTCTCTGTGTTGGCTAGAGCTAATGCAAGACTTGCCAAAAGCCATAGGTATTGTATCAGCATTGTTTGGTTAAAACGGTCAAGAATTTTTGAAGATGCCATCATGCTATTAAGGAAATCTAAAAGTTAATTAACTACTCAACAAGAAAAGCCAGCACAAACAAGCAATAGAAATGGCAACCGAGCCCAATGATGACGAGTTGTATTATCGATTCAAGCAGGAAGTTGAGAGAGTCGAGCTTTTGGCCTCGAATGAAGAAGAAGAGAAACAAGAAAGTGGGTTTGACCCTCGAAGCGTGAGACCAGACATCAGACCGGCTCAACATTTTGTGAACTATCGCCGAGCCGAAAACGTTGATACCGAAAACATGATACCGAATCTACACTCGAACGCTGAATGGCAGCGCCTTCCCTTTTTCCAGCGAAGAAGATACCTTCAGGTCTTGATGCGGAATTTATTGATGCTAGATCATCTGTTGGTGGCTCTTTTACTCCCTTTCTCTACATACAACATCCTAAAAGTACTTTTCAGTGAGGTGACGTTTTCCGAGTACGACTTTGCGGCTGAGATATTAAGGTACTGGCGGACGACTCAGGTGGTGGATGATCAAAGCGTATTACAAGGATTATTGCCAGACGGTGCGCAGCTTTTGAATAAATTCCACAATATTGTGCTGTTGTTCTGCGTTCCTGCGTTCGATGCATGGAATTCTAACTTTGGGAGTTCACTTTACGCTGCACGAGTGTTCTCAGCGTCCATCAAATTTACAACACTCGCGCTGTATCTCTCCTACGGGATAACAGCAAGCACCTATCTGTGTTTCGCAACCTTCTTCTTTAGCCTATGCTTTCTGATCACCTTTTTCAGGCGATACAAATATGTGGAGCGGGTCTTAAGCTACATGTACCAGACCTCAGGCAAGGTTTTTTGAAACAAGAGATGCTATGCGCACTTAATAGGAATTTACTGTTCGCCACCTCGCCATTGACGTTAGGATGAGCTCCAGGAGCTCGTATCTCAAAGATTGATAACGCATTGGTTTAGCCATTCCAGTAGAAAACTTAGTGATAACTAGCGACGACCAACGCTATCGGGATTATGTCATCAGAAAGGTGTTTCCGAACACAGTTATCATTTTGCGTCGCAATAAAACTACTGGGTTAGGCAGTCTTTATCGAGCTTAGTTCCTCTTCACTAAATCGTCTGATGAGCCTATTGACCTTCACCTGGCAAAGAGTATAAATGCTAGACAAAACTTTCCAATAGTCTCGGCAATTGATTGAGTTGTGATAGCTATCACTCGTCACTCAAAAATGAGATTTCAGAATATCCTTTTTGCGTTAGCTGTAGCTTGCTCTACAGGGTATGGTTTTGAGAATGACGCTCAAGATGAGCTTGAACAAATGTGGGGCCAAGACTGGCCATTCAGCGGATTGCAAAGTTATGCGCACTTGCCCTACCACAAGTGTCTACTCAACAAGAGTTTAGACTTTGACATTGGAATCATCGGAGTTCCGTTTGACACAGCAGTCACTTTCAGACCCGGAGCGAGATTCGGGCCTCAAGCAATCAGAAAATCATCTCAGAGACAAACTTCGATGCGAGGATTCAATTTCCGAGCTGGTATTAATCCGTATGAAAGTTGGGCCAAAGTGATTGATTGTGGAGACGTTCCCGTCACGCCCATGGACAATCATTTAGCACTCGAAATGATGACTGCGGCCTACGACAATTTACTCTCAAGAGAATCTACTTCAGATCAGACAAACATGCCTCCACGACTTGTGTCTTTGGGTGGCGATCATAGCATCATTCTTCCTATTTTGCGAGGGCTGAAAAACATTTACGGCCCGATATCGGTCATTCATTTTGACTCGCACCTCGATACCTGGGCGCCAAGCAAGTATCCTTCCTATTGGCATAGCGACGAGTCTCAATTCACGCATGGATCGATGCTTTGGCTTGCGCACCAGGAGGGCCTGTTGGCCCGCGACGCTAATGTGCACGCCGGCCTTAGAACTAGACTCAGCGGTAATGGGTGGGAAGACTACGAGGAAGACGATGACGTTGGGTTTCACCGCATTGAATGTGATGATATTTTTGAGCTTGGTATCGACGGTATCGCTGATCGGATTTTGAGCGTGGTCCCCAAGAATGGGCCAGTTTACATCAGTATTGACATAGATGTTCTAGATCCCAGCGCGGCTCCAGGGACAGGGACTGTTGAGGTTGGAGGATTAATGACGAGGGAGCTCATTCGCATCCTCCGCAAACTCGAAAACCTGAACATCGTTGGCGCAGACATCGTCGAAGTCTCTCCTGCTTACGACTCTGCCGAAATTACCTCACTTGCCGCATCCCAATTGGCTTACGAACTGATCACCAGCATGGTGAAAAAGGGTCCATTAGATCCATCCATTATCAATTACAGCGTTCAGGGAGAATCGGGTCGCAAACAAGCCGTTTTCGACGCTACTGGTTTTTGAGCAAATGAAGAACATTTTCAGAATTACATGAAATCTACAAGGGGGCATCGTACACTACAGACATCAGAAACCTAAAGGCTTACAACATTCTCAAGCATCGTATAACACATCGAGGCCTCTTTTTCGTATTCGGCAATAACTGAAGAATGCAAGAAACCTCGGTAGCATTCCTGCTTCGAAATCGATCTAAACTCAGTAACAGTCCATTGAATACCTTGGAATGTTATAATACCTTTCAATTCGTACACTATTTAGTTAATGACACAGATGCTCTTCTCATGGGAGTTTCATGCAACGAACTCTACCTTTAGGGTTCTTGAGATAGCCTCGAAGTTAGTTAAAAGTGATAAGAACATATCTTAATCCCAGGACTTGGACGAAAGTGGAGAATTCAATTTTTAGTCACGAGACTAAATTATAACAGAGATTTGATGATTTGATATTTGAACTTTATCTACTAGAGCATTGGTTGAGTTACCTGAGAACTTAGTTAGTCTAATCTTTATTGTATTCGTCGCAACTTTAGTACTTTCTTACGAAAACGATTTCGAATTTTACGAGCACTATTGACGGCGAGATTCGTCCGCAGTGCTGTTTAAAAGGCAATTCAATTGAACCAACACCCTCACCAGATTTGGCAGGTTAAACGCAGCGTATTAGTTACTTTTAAAGACGGCCCTTATCATCACGGCCAGTTGGAAGGAGACGGTAGCTACCAGAACTTTCCGAGCCCCAGGATTTGGTGTGTGAAGAGCTCTCACAACAACTGACGGGCGTTTTAGAGCGGTTGTTCGCGTTTTTTGCATACACTCAAACAAAGCAATGAGCGTCGTCGCCTCAACCAAGCATAACTATACAGGTGTGAGTGAAAAACAGGTAGGAAAGTCACCCTCGTCGAGTATCTCGCTTTCGTCGTCGGAAGGTGCAAGTATGGCGACAAACATCGAACAGAATTCCAGAATCGCAAAAAATCAGCTTCCGAGAAGTGCGAGTTTGGCAAAGGAATTGAGTAATGAGACTGATATTATGGCTTGGATCGACCCAATCCCAGCCAAGCCGCCTAGCTACAAAGTGTGCAACGCGAATCGTAGGATTCGCTTCCCAGTGTACGAGCAAGAATCGGATGGAATTCTTCCAGCTTATTCACCAGGTGTTGAAGCCATCACAGTAATTTCTATGAAAGCAGAATGGCTTTCTCCATACGAGCACTCTCCGTCTCGTGGCTGGAAAAATTTTATTATGGAACTAAACTCGACCCAGGTCAATTTTTATTGCATAGATCCGTCCCTTACCAGGAATATTCGCAACTACTGTAACGGGAGAGCACATTTTGGGGGCGAAGTTATTGAACCTGCTTTAGAATACGACGCTCATCAATCCTTTTTTTCATCGTTGGGCTCAAAAAGTACTTATCAATTCAACAAGCAAGATCAGGAGTGGATTACGAATAAAGTCAGGAGTGATGCAAAGAAATACTTGACTGATGACCGTCTATTCAAGTCATTTTCACTTCAATTTGCAAAATTTGGCATCCCTACCGATTACAACAGAAAAACCTTTGTTCTCAGGCTACGGTGTGAGATGGAACAATTTCTACTCAACTTCTCTCATGTCGATGACATGATCATGTGGAGCGTTTATTTTAGTATAGGAATTGGAATATCACTGGATTTGGACTTCAGGGAACTGCCCTCGTATCGTACTGTACCTAGAAGGAGAAGAAGACGAAGAAGAAAAAGACAAAATGGAACTTCACATGCCGGTGAAATTTCTGGATTTAGGAGGAGCCCCGTCGGTACACCAATTGAGAGACCGATCTTGCATCAAAAATTAAGCTCTGGGATTTTGGGTCTGAACTCGAAAGGAACTAAGTCGAGCAAATCTTCCGGATGCTCCTCCAATAGCCGAAGGGGAAGTGATGGATCAATCAAATCCAAGCTCAAGAGCTTTTTCGGTAGTGACAAAAAGAGTCCGCGGCCTGTTTTAAGATACGCACATTCCAGGACCCAAAGCGTTCGAGCCTTGAACGCCGTAACCGAAGATGACGAAAACGAAGAATCACCTTCCCCCTTTTCAGCGTCGAGCTCTCCCAAAAAATCGGCGAAGACTTTCGAAAGGCCTGCTTTGGAGCAGCGTTCGAAGTCAATGGGAACGCAAGAAAACGGCAAAGTAGCCGGTGACTATTTCAGCATGGTACCTCCATCTTATCACGACGATACACCTTCAGGAGCGTGTTCTCCTATTTCGCCATGCAGTGATATGTTGCATGGCACTGAGGCCGCCCCCTCTGGTGGATTGCAAAAGCAAGTTGGTTACCACAATAATATCGCATTGCAACGCGAATTGGAGGAACTTCAGCAGGTAATTATGGAGCACAATGAAACGGAAGAAGATGTTCAACCCGATTATGCTGCCAACGATAATGATGATGACGACGATGATGATGACGACGATATAAGAGACGACGAAGAGGAGGACGACGGTAGAGAAGATGAAGTTGAGGATGTCGATAGCATTCGGAGGAGCGCTGGCGGGGCGGCCTCTTCAATTTATCAAGAAGAAGGAATTTTTCATGACAGTGAGGATGATTTCATTTACGTGATTGACAGGAATGACGAATACAGAAGAAGAGCTTCATCTGTCACCAGCAATTTGAGTAGTACGCCGTACGGGAGTGACGGTGTAAAATGGCGTCCCAGTAGGAAGGAGATGTCGAGAAGAAGATACATTAGAGATTCCTTACGCTGTATCAAACCATTCTCAGACGAAGAAGAATGGCTTGGAAAAGTCGCTGTTCGCCCTGTGTCACCTCCCACTTTTACGACGATAAATGTCCCTTTTGCTCTTTTTGCAGTTGGTCCGGGAAAGGGCACACATCTCATAGCTCCTAAAACGTCGAAAACAAAGAATGGAGAAAAACCCGACTGGACCAAATGCAAAAATCATTTCGTGAAAGCCTATATTGTTGGTCCGGTAGGTCTACTGAAAGCCAGAGCACGGATTTGACATGAGGTGGAGACCCGAAAAATCATGTACCACACTTCATTTATTATCAAATACTGATTTTTTTCAAAGAAAGGTCAGGAAATAGATGAGCCAGTTTTGGCTTGTTTAGAACGACTACTTGCCAGACAAAAGAGAAAGAGTGTAAGTTGGCGGCAACACCATTTTTTATCAAAAAGATTTTAATGCGCATATTTGGTAAATATGATAAATACAAAATTGTTCCAATCAACGTATTTGTCAAGCCTCGACCAAATTTTGCCAACGAAGCTGCTTAAGAAAAGACGACAGTCATGGGTCATATATGGTTGAATTCAATGTATGTGTGTTAAATCTCAGGCAATCATACCCTCAGTGGTAAGGTAAAAGTGATATAAGCTAAAAGTAACGAAGCGTCTGTGCTTTAGCAAGTAAATCATGCGATAACGCATTGAGGGTCACAGCCCCATCCTCTGACAATGTAGTTGTCTTTCTTGTCAGAAGAGTCCTTCTTGGTGGCTTGAGTGGTTGGCTGCATCTGTGAAGATTGGGATATGATTTTGTTTCTGGGAAATTGTTTGATTATTGAGACAGAACAGACAAAATTGGAATTCAAATAACGTCAAAATTTTGCCACAATTTATACTTTTCGGATGCTCGAGATAGCGGCACTGGGGTCTCAGTAACGTATCGTCCGTAAAACGGTGCCCTGACAAGTATGATACGATCTACCACATATTAAATATGCGAGTTCACCAATTACCCAGTTAGGCGATATTAATGGATAAAAGCCATAAGCTTTAGGATGAACCCCAATCGGCGAGCTTGAAAAGCGTACTCGAACCCCTGATAATACATCACCTCAATGGGATAACTGATGCGGGAGTCCCTGGTTTCCGTTTGCGAGCCTCATTCAAGTTGTCATTCGATCACCTTAATTTAACGCATCATCTCATTAGAGCATTAGATATGAGGTCAAAAGGCTGAAAACTACCCCAAAAAGGATCATACGCACCTTGTGAAAACTGTTCGCATCCTGAGGATCAAACTCTAGCGCTGCGAAGATTTGCTCCTCCTCAAATGATCCACTAGAATTTGCATTGATCGAATTTTGGATATTTCGGAAAACAGATCTTACTGAAAACCACAAGTTAGTACAGTTTCTTGTCTTTCTTTCCAGTACAGATGCACTTGCTAACATACTGATACCAACGGGATCTGCTTGACTGAAGCTATAACTTGATATGAGCTTTGCAACTGATAACAAAAGAGCACATATAACCACAAGAGAAACGAATTCATTTGCCCCTTTCGGTATTCCAGAACGATTTTTTAACGAAGTCATTATCACATTGGTGAGCTACCAGATGTGTGGGACCTGTCTAATCGTAGCTTGCTTTGATTGAAATCAGATCTAAAGGTTCTCAAATTGGTTGAAACTGATCAATTTTAAAGCTCCTTGAGCTGTTCTTGTTGAGTGAAGTGATCTTTATTCAAATTCAATAGCGTGATTTTGTCGTTTAATCGAAATTTCAGCCGTGTCAATGAACCCTTCGCTTGATCGATATCAGTTTGACCTTTGGCTGAAATGATTTTGAACCCACTTAAAACGTAAAGTAGCGGGCGGTTCTTGAAAAAAAATCACTACAGAAGCCTGACCGACACCTTAAAATCTCGAAAAGAGGAAGTATACAGAAAGGCATTGACGAACCATGGAGCCTAAAAGAACGCTCAAAGAAATCTTGAATTCTGAATACGTTGACGAGGACTCTAATGAAGCTTCCAGCGATGACAATGATGGATTGGGCGTTTCTGAGGGCCCGCAGCAGGATGAAAGCGTAGATCCGTCTATGTGCATAGAATGCAAGGATATGAGCACAGAAATGATTTGTCAGGACTGTCAAGAGCACTTTTGTGTTGTCTGTTTCGAAATGATTCATCGAAATGGACGTCGGAAGGGTCACGAATACATCAAACTGAGCAATGATAGTACCGGAAACACTCCAGAGAGTGAAAAACAGGAACAGAAACTTCAAGATTCGCAAAATGTTGATCCAGCTGGTGGAGTTGCAGACTTGAAAGAGACAGAAATGACCAATGTTGATGGATCGGCGTTTACAAAGGAGGCAAGCATGTTGGACCAAAAAATGCTGGCCATGCTAGCAAAACATGCCCATTACATCCCTATGAGGCTTACACCAGAAGAACGGCATCTTCTACGACTCTTGGAGGCCGCATTACACGTCTCGGAGTATACGGATCGTGTAGATATACTTTCTTATAAATCCAAGGCGAAGCGCATTGTCGAGCAATTGAAAGAAATGTGCTCTGTTTTATGCGGACTGGTTATCGCCTCGAACCTCAAAACAGGTCAAAGACTTTTAGAAATGAAGAACTTTAGCGACAACGCCTCCTGGTTCCAGGACATCTTCGAGATTGGAAGACGTTACAAGGTCATGAACCCAGAGAAAATGAGAGATTCTTATGGTAAATTATGTTATATGGTGATGGATTCACGTTTACCTCAAATCGAAGAGCACATGGAGTTCCATCTTTTCAAGCCAATCAAAACTGTGAGCTCCTTCTTAGAATCGAAGAGTCAAGATGAGGATCGAAAGCCGCTTGGTATTTTTGAGGATAAATTAATTCTTTACGCCACATCGCAAATTTCTCCAGTGGGTAGAAGTCGCGCAGAGATTAATCGACTGATTCGGCAAAAGGAATCAGCCATCGAGCGTTTGGCTTCAAAGTACAGCAACAGTTGCTGCTCAAAAGAGGACATTCGCCAAGCTCTATACTCAATTGGTGATTACAATGCGTACATTAACCTAAATCGACGTCCTGTCATGCGGATGCTCGAAAGGCTCGAACTATTTCAGGACCCTGCTATTGAGTCGAAATATTCGCTTGGGATCCAATATGGCCGCAATGGCGCGCGTTTAACACACGATCATAAGAGACAGATAAGCTACGTACACCAGTCGCTTACGTTGTGGTCCATCATTATGCGTGAAATGATCCATTTGTGGTACATCGCGGATCAAGATTTGTTCAGTCCTACCGAGTACCGATTGACATCAACAGGTCAAGGTTTGAATCGTATCAAAGCATGCCCAGTTTTGTACAGAGAAATGCATAAGATTTTGAATGAAAGTCGCAGCAAATGCGACACCTGGGTAGGATCGTCTGTCGTCCATTTGGGCGATGATGCAGTTCCAAATGCTTTATTCTTTTTGGACAAATACACTCAAATTCCCTCGATTTTGATTCCATTTGATCAAACTTTGATGAAGATAGATTGCCTTGCCGAAAATGATTCTCAGATAGAGACATACATTAATGAGAAATATGGTTCGGTCGAAGATTTGAAACTCACTATTTTACAAGATGCGTTTGCACATATGTTTGATGGATCAGGTGCAGATAATTTTTACATGAGTGGCTCCTGCATAGATGGAAGGCTGACGTCGGCTTGGAACCACACTAACATGATATCGAAGAAAGATTACTACAATATCTTCTTGATGACAGGGTTTATTGGTTTTAATGGCACTGAGGGATTCTGATCTTCTAAGATCAGGAGCAAAAGTTATTTTCCTCTGCTCAGGAAGTTATTCAAGTTAGTATTCTAGTCAAGGCCTTGATTTGAATCCAAATTCGAGCCTCAGTTCAATGCTTACGGCAACAACCAGAACCTGACAAGATTTAAGGTTAGACCTTAAGGAAATGAAACAAGCGCAATAATCGATACATAACTCTATAACGCTCTCGCCAACGTATCTTTTATACCGAATGTATATCACTAAATGCAATAATATCTGTCACCAAAGTCACCAAGGCCTGGTACCAAGTATTTGTTCTCGTCCAAGCATTCGTCTACGGCACCCGTAACGATCTTGACATCTGGGAACTTTTCATGGTAACTGTCGACACCTTCTTTGCTGCAGATCAGATTGAGGAAAAAAATACGGTCTTGCTTGACGCCTCTCTTGAGAAGAACGTCTGTTGCCATCATTGCGCTGCCACCAGTGGCTAACATGGGATCTAGAAGGAAAACATATCTCTCAGAAATGTCATCGGGCAATTTTTCGTAGAACAAACGGGGAAGTGCGGTTTCTTCGTCCCTCTGAATTAAAATTTTACCGATACGGACAGAACGGCAGCATTCTCTCAAACCCTGTTCCATGGATTCACCTGCTCTCACGATGGACACACCGCAAATTTTGCCCAAAAACGATACACCTTCAAAAGTCTGATTGGTCGCTGTTTCTACACTCTTTGGAGTCACTGGCAACTGGTTCAAACCTTCTTCCACGAGCAATCTGATAATCCTGTCGGAGTAGAAAATGAAGTCTGGTCTTTTGGTTTGCGCGTCTCTGATAATGGTATAAAGACCCAACAATTGGTTGGTCTGGGGGATTAGGATAACATTCTTGAAAGGTTCAGTAGACATTAGAGCGGAGTGTTCCGTGGGGGTTGACATTTCTTGATTTAACGGAGATTCTGTTCTTGAAGGTATCTATCCTTATACAAGCTGATACGCTTTCCCTTCGATGAGATACGCTTTTGAAAAATTTTATAGCCGACGGAAATACCTTTTCTCCGACGACAATAAATGGACCCTGTCCAGCGTTTACGCTCGAAAGTCTGTCAAAGAAGGGACATTGACAAACGCGGGTTTAGCACGATGAAGAGTGTGATAGCGTGACAGCTCCGCCTTATTTGTTTTATTTCCGACGCTGAATTGATCTTGTTCAATGGAGGTTCTGAATTCCCGAGCAGTTGTCACGTAGCCAGCTATGAGCGCTCCCACACGGCTGTTTAGTGGTTGCTAACGATTTTGGTTTTACACTATATTCTGCTAGTTTGGTAATGTGGTTTTTCTATTATACATGACGCTGTAGACTTATATCACTCCAAGTGTGGGTTCACGATGCATTCTGAGCCGTCGGCAGGACTTAAGGTCAGAAGCATGGTTCCCCTCATAACGACAAGTCCCAATTCTCTGGTGCTGTCCTTCTTTATAACCGTATCGTCTTCTTCGTCGCGCATGTATTCGACAGTCTCGTCGAGCACCAAATTCATCAATTGATCGTAGCCCTTCAACACGCCCACGACAAGCCTTCCACCCATCAGCTTAACGCGCACGTGCTTGTCTGTGTACTTGCCCAGGTTGATAATCGCCTCCCTCTTCGGGCCTTCGAATTTTCTCTTTTGGTGTTGATTACTCTGAGTATGGGACCTGTTAGTATCTTAATGAACATTTAAAGGACCGATTTTGAACACACAAAAGTCGTGAAAAAAAGATCACGTAGATGAAGTCTGTCGTCTATTCCACGCAGACTGTTTATTTAACACATACAGGCTCACTCATGCTGTTTTGAACTCGCAATGGATGTTGTCTTGGGTTTCTACAACTACAAGGTTTTTTCTCTAAACATTGAAAAATTAAGCTCGTCGAAGTCCACCAGTTATCGATATAAAACCAAAGTTGTAGAACCAATGGTACAAATACTAGTACAGTCCGACCTATGCTCGGTGGTCAAGGAAATTTCAATGGACACGATATGGGTCCAATTATCTGAAAAACTCTATGAATTGAGCGGTGTGCGCCCAGAAGATATGCGGCTCACCATCTGGTGCAGTAATGGCTTGAAACACGAAATCAACAATGAAACGGTGCGACGCGCCGACCAATGCATGAAAGACGTTTTGGAACAGCCCGCGGAGCGTATAACAGTCGTGGACACGAATCAGAACTCGATTGCGCAACAATTGACTGCAGGCTTGAATGCGATAGACGGCAGCAGCGACGGTGGAGCTTCTGTGGGAACTTACCAGCTACCAGAGGACGAGTACGTCAGAAGACAGGACTCAGTCTACGCCTGGAAAAAACAAAATCAACTGGGCAGATTTAGCTCGCAGTATTCGGACAAAGTAAAGAAAGCGCGGGACGCTCAAGTCGCACATGCCACCACGCTTTGTTTGGACGAGAGATGCTCTGTGACGTACGCAAACGCCCCTGAGCGCAGAGGCTGGCTTAGGTACGTCGGAAAGGTACCCGAAATCAACGATATCGATTGCTGGTGCGGCGTCGAGCTCGACGAACCGTTGGGTCGAAACGACGGCACTTTCGACGGCCACACTTATTTTGGACCCGTTCGCAAGAACTACGGCGCTTTTGTCAAACCTCTGAGCGTGAGGACGTGTTCAAGCTTCGTGCCGGCGGTAGACGATGAACTGTGCGCTTCTGATAGCGAGATATAGCGTTTTACCGGCATTAGGTCACCAACATCGTGGTGGTCACGTGTACGCTTCGTGGTATTTTTCGCATTATTAACACAGTGCAACTGTAGAGGGACAATCGCTTCACTAGAGCGAACAACGTTTTCAAACGGATAGAGGCTCCCGCATTCGATTCCGTCACCTGCAAGCATGGAAATTGTTGAAAGAGTTTACAATAACGTCGTTGACACGTTCGCGGGCCTTGATCCGCTCCACGTGATCCGTCTTGTTGTGATTGTCGGAGGTTACATAATGATGCGGAACGTCGCGCAGAAGTATCTTGCCAAGAAACAGCTAGAGCACAAATTGAAGGAAAGCGAAGCTGCCAAGCAGAATGGGCAGAGCGTGAACGATTCAACTACTGAGCTCTTAGATGCGGCTGATGAATCTGATGCGACTTTCGGATGGGGCAAAAAAACACGCAAGAGAGTTCAAAAACAACAGCAACTTCTCGAGGAGCGTCTTGAAGAACTCAAGAGAATGCAAGGAGAACAGGACGATGACAAGGACATCGAAGATCTTCTGGAGGAATGAGTAGATGAGTTGGAACAGAGGGATGTATATAGTATTAAGCTTATGTAATCTATAAGGCATCCGTACGATGAGATAAACCAGATGATCTGATCGCTTTTTACGCAATATGCCAAATTTTTATGGTGTTGTCCCATGAGACTGGCGAAGAGCGATGAGTTGATCTTGAACTGCGAATTCAAGCGTTGGTTGGGAGTCGGTGCTTATGAGTTTCCAACGTGGTGGTCGAGACAACGCTTCGAGCTCTTTTAGCAAAAACTTGCCCTTTGGTTTGAGCTATAGCGATGTTGGTGTTAATGAAACGACGGAGCTGCCGTCAGTGGCTTTACCTGTAAACGGGCCGGTAACCGGGAAGGAAAGAACGGTGTCTATTACGAGTATAAACTTTATGAAAGCGGTGCGAGATGGGCCCTTTTATACGGGCTCGATTGCGTTGGCTGTGAACGGATCTGGTAAGCAGAAAGCGTATTTCGATGAGGAAGGCACCAATGATGGGATAGAACGGTACTCGGACCGGTATTTAAAGAAAAGAAAAATTGGTGTGTCAATAGACGAGCATCCCTTTCATTTGGAGCTTTTCCCACAGGAACTTTATCAAGGAATGGGAATCAACAAGAAAAAACTGCTAGCGCTCTCGAGTTTAAAGAAAAGCGACGACGTTTTCACGGGCTCGAAGGACGGCGAGGCCGAAGGCTTATCTATGCTGGAAAAATTGAAGGAACTAGCTGAAGAAGATGAAGAAGAAGGTGTTGGTGCCGCTAGAGAACACGAAAACGAGGGCGAAGAACAGGATGACGAATTCGATGACGATGACGATGACGACGATTACAACGCAGAAAAGTACTTTGATGACGGTGATGATGACTTCGGAGCTGAAGAAGAATATGGCGATGAGCCTGCGTTTTAAAGTTGGCGTTTATGTTTGTATTCATTCACGTCTCGATACGTAAAAAGTCATGCCCTCGAATACCGCGGCTTGCTGGGGCATCACATACTCCTTAGGCTTGTTTTACTTTTTGCATTATATCAAATCAAAATCTTGGACACAGGTAACTTTCTAATGGGTAGCTGCATTGCCAGAAATGAGTTTCGGTCAGCTTTGGCAAGCACTGTATCTATGGGAAATATAGAGCATACTAATATTTAATTTCCTTCATGCGAAGTCATCCATCTAATGATTTACTGTCCTTATTGCCAAGCGTGCGCAACAATCGAGAGCTATCCTCTCAAATTATAACTCAACAGTGCTGAGCTCATGCATTTATGCTTTTTTTACTATAAAAGACCCTAACTTTGTAGCGTTAAATTGGTTCCGCCGAGGAACTTGTAGTGCTGTTTTCGTTCCTCGATAACCCTCCTATTACTAATTTTTGTAGTGTATTTATTATGCATTAATATTGTCTCAAATTGAATTTGTTTCATTCTTATGTGTCTGTTGTTGATTTTACACCCCTCATACGTTCAGAGATCTGAGTGGAATGCCAACATGCTGTTAAGTGGATGGAGGTGGTCTTCTTCGTGGAGGCGAAGGGGATGAATTCCTTGACCTGAGCGGTGAGTCAGTAGGTAGTGGAGGTAATTTTGGAGTTGCTGGTCGGCTATGCATACTTAATTTACCGGACACATTTTTTGGAATTCTTGGCATCGAAGGCGGTGTGCCATTAGGGATTGTTGATGTTCGCTCAAAACGTTCAGGCCTATTGTGGTCAGCGTCCCTATCTTCAGGGTCGACTCCTACTACTTTTTGAAGTGCTTCAAGGTCAAGCCTGTTTCCCTGATCAAGAATGTCACTTGAAGGATTTTTAATGGATTTCCATTTTTCCTTGAGCTGCTTCAATTTGGCAAAAAGAGGCTCAGTAGTACCCGTGCTGTTTACGGTCGAATGACTCTCTTGCGAGTTATGAGTAGTTTGTGATTCGTTGGTGGCGTTTGTTGAAATGGAGGACGTAAAATCGACTCTTGGGCCTGCTGTCTGAGGGAAAATTCTCTCTTCGTGGAAGTTAGGAGTCTCTTGACGAAGACGAGAGGCGTGCATATAGCCCGTACTTGTCTTTACAGGTGAATTGGTCTCAAAATTCGGTAATTTTGAAGGCAAAGGTGGCGGGCATCTCTCAGATAGTGAAGCTTCAAAATTACTCTCCTCTTCAGCTTCCGGTAATCTCGCCTGAGATGTAAGTACCACAGGATGAAATGTTAGCTCCATGTAAACTTTTCCTGCCTCTTCAGATCCGAAGAACAAAGGAAACCAGTCGTCGTGACCATCTTCTGGATCTTTGTATAGTGCTGGCGTCAAGTCGACTTCGCATTGTCCGATAAGTTTTGGAGGAGATCTATCGTCAAACAGCTCAACTGACAATGTTGGTTTCACATCAGGAGTCAGATCAAATTTAGTGTAGAATTGGAATTTTGGCGTTTGACCCCCACGATATGCTACTTCGGATGCCTCTGTCATATGACCAATTCTAAGTCGAACAAAAGGGCTCTGCTTGTCCATCTTCCGAAGGTTAGGGAGATCTTTTGCTCGACTTACATATACTTCGATAACACCATTGGCTCCACCAAATATATTATTAGGATACTCTTGCATGGTTCGCAATCTTGTATTTATGAACTCTATTCGATCGAGTAACGAGATTTGGTGATGCCGTGTTTTGACATAAAATCAATAAGCACGTGATCAACTTTTGGCACCTATAACGTCGTTAGTTCCAAGTCTAGTCAGAGGCGGTCTTTCATATCCTAAGCTCTGTATCGGCTTTGTTGAGATGTTCGACCGCCTTTATTGTCCCTATCTTGTTCACTGGTACGTAGATTGCCGAATTGTCTTTTCATAGTTTTTTCCTCGTTTCTGCCGGTATTTTTAAGAGACCCGTGCGGTTTTGACGAGCTTTTAGTGGGAAACCTAATAGATTCTCGAGTCTCGGCAGAAGGTTTTGATCTTTTTGAAAAATTGCTCTCTTGATCCATCGGACGCTTTCTTTTGGAGATCTCAGGTGAAGGGCGGCCCATCGTGCGTTTATCATTGATCTCAATTTGATTCACGGAGGAGCTATTGTACCTGCTTTCCCGAGCGGAGGAACTCTCTGGTGGATGGATTTCAGCTGCACGAGGCGAAGAATGTCTTTTAAGAATAGACTTCGAAGATCTCGCAAGTTCAAGGCTCGGGAGTCCTTCGAACCTAGTCCCTGTTCTGTTAGAGCGAAGAGATCTCTCGGAGAGATCTGGATTTGCTGCATCCATCTTGGAACCTCGATTTCTTTGAGTGTCTGGGCTTTTACCAAGCTTCTGCGCAGATTGGCTTTGCTCATTAGGCAGAGGCGCTCCTGAACCCGAGAATCTCGATTTAGTGAGAGGTTGCGCTCCGGCTCCCCCGTATCTAGACGATTCGCGGCGGTCTTCTTTCAAATTTGCTGAGCTCTCGCGGGCATTTGATGCAGGATTGGAAGTTTTAGTATCGCGACGTCCACTAATTTCATTGCCATACTCAATTTTCGCAGTTTTCCTGTTTTTGCTCGCCTTCTTCTCTCGAGGAAGACTAATGGACTGGCATGCGTTAGCGATTTCGCTCAAAAAATATGTAAATCTCTCATGGTCAAAGTTTGATACCAAGCTCCTGAAATAATCTTCCAAGAGATCGGCCACGCCAGATCGGTAGTCCTCCAAAGACGACGTCTTGTTCTCAATGCTTCGAAGCTCAAAGTAAGCATTTTTATTTCTTATCCGTCTCTTGACCAGGTTCATATCATCCGCCTTCAAATGTTCTAATATTTCATCCATTTCATCAAGAACTTCGAACATGGGTAGATTCTGTGTTGCGTCAAATCTCGTCGATTTTTTTACGATGACAGTTTGATCTTTTTCTTTAGGGGCCGAAACTTCTTGCTCTGATAACGATTCTGCCTTGTTCTCCTCGTTTAGCTCTAGTGGTTCCGTAGAAGCTACCTTTTCACTTCCTAATCGCACAAGACGCTCATATTGTGCGATTTCTTCCTTCTCTGCTAAAAAGGCTCGGTCTTCGTCCTTTAACTCAAAATGATATATGCTCCGCAAGCTCGACGAGCTCTTCAACCGCGCTTTGAGGTGCCCGACTAATGCATTGCTGGGAAGCTTGATGTCTTCTCTTTGGTCTTCGACGAGGTATCTCTCTATAGCCCATATTAAGTATTCAATGTGCTCCGTGGCAATGGGAAATACGTTTGAAAAATATTTCATGCATTCGATGCCATTACGAATGGACATGTAATTCTTTTCCATCAAAATGTCTACCAGATCATCAAGAAGTGTATTGTGAAGGTCGAACAACGAATCAAAACCACTTTCTTCCTCATTTTTAGTCGCGCTCAAATACTCCGTCACCATTTCAAGGAAAAAACCAATATTGCTAGCCTCATGAGTGGTTGATGAGAACAGCAAAGTTCGGAGAATGCCCGAATTTACAAGCATTTCAAAAATTCGGAAAACACCAGCTTTTTTGAACACATTGGAAGCGAAATAAAATGCGTACATCGCATCGCATGGAGAGAAAAGAACCCTGGGTACCATGCAAAGCTGAATAAAATCTTTCATTTCTGCTTTAGTCCAGTTCCATTTCTCGGCCACTTTCACCAAATACGTGGACGTTCTATTGAATGTTGCTTGGTGCGACAAGCAGCTAGCCATTAAATTTTCGATCTTCTTAGAGAGTTCAGACAGTTTTTTATCAGACTTGGTTTGACGCTTAATGGTCTCCAAATAAATTTTCTCCTCGTCATATACCGACCGGTCAAAATGGACTTCGTGAAGCGAAAATATCCAGAAACTAAGGAAAAGTGGCTTCTCTAGATTTCCATATTTCGTTTTATCACTTATGAAGAACATTTCGTCTTCGATAAGATCAGTTGGATTGTTGTTAGTTTGGTTTTTCAAATAAAAATCTCTCCACAATTCAAATGCCCACTCAATTGAAACGTTTTGGTCATTAACCAAGGTGCTGAAGGGCAAAACATGATCCTCAAATGTTTTTGCGTCTAAAAAGTATTTGCACGTCGATATGAAGGACCAAAGTAAAGAATTCATATCGTCGCATTTTGATGACAGCACTTTGTAGTGAGTATCTTCAAACATAAGCCGGAGCTGCAATCGGTAAAGGATGATAACGATCTCGGTAAGAGAATCAAGAGCGATAAAATCAGTCAAAAGTCTCTTTGAGCACCTCCGGTTATCATCTCTAACATCCCGAATGATGCGCCTTGCCGCAAGCTGAAGCGGCTTGCCAGAATTCAGCATTATCAGCTGTTTCTTGTTGACGTCGTATTGGCTTTTTATTCCAGCAACTGTGAAAAGCAATTGTCTCAGGATGACCAAAGGTATATCACTTCCTTGCCGTAATGTCTTGACAATAAATCTCACAATGTTCCCAACATCCATTTTAGGACAGTTCTTCACTAACTCGGCAATAAAATTTGCTAACCTGGACAACCATGTCAAAAGATTGATACCATCGGCCTGCACGACTGCCCTTCCTGATGTCAGTCTTGAAAGAAGAATATATTGAAGCACATCATAAGCAAATGGACTGAAGAAAAGAGACGTTTTCACAACCAATTCTGAAACTTTGTCGTAATTCTCAATTTGATTAACGATAGGATGCAGGGCACTCAGTGGGTTGGCTGATACCAGCTTCCCTAATCCAGGAGCTCGAAGATCAATGTTATCAACGCTTAACGATTTCAAAGCACTTCTTGCCTTTTTCTCGTACTTATTCCACGCGACTTTGATGAAAAGTTCGTCTTGAGAAAGCTTCGAGTACATCTCATTGTACAGATAGCAGCGTGTTTCAAAACGAAACAAGCGCATAACATTGTATACTTCATTCACAGTCGGAAGGTTCTCTGAGAGAAGCGGAAGCGCTGGGAAAATGAATTTCCTAAAGTAGTCAACCCAACGAGAAATGTTCTCTGCACTTGAGTTTGTTTCTATGTCCCTCAGCGCCATTCGACATAGCTTGCTAATGGTTGTCGGTACGACTGCCAGTCGAGGGCCCACGGAAGAGAGCCATTCGTGAGATAGCTGGAAAAGGGCTTCTATATTAGGGATCGATGGGACATCACTCCCCCAATCTTCGTGGTAAAAGCTGAATATGAAATTCGACTCTTTCCACATGTTTGTATCATGACTCTTAACCTCTCTGAACCTATGGCCCGGCGTCTGCGGTTCGTCAAATTTGGACTTACTTAACACGGAGTGATCTTTGTTCAATTCAGGACCAAAGACCATTGATTTGTAAAGCGGAGTCAAAGCAAAATCAAAGGCCTTGATCAGTTCCTTAACAAGGCTGTCCTTCAGTAGCGCAAGTCGTTGAAATTTTAAGAAACCGTACATGAACGGTATTGTCAAGCCATGAACAATTAATCTCTCTAGAAGTAACAGTTTGCCTCCATAGAATATCCTTTTTTCTACTTCTTTTTTGCTGTCAGCAATATCTTCAGTAATAGCTTCCTCTTGAGTCGTTGCAGAGAATTTCGCGTAATTCTGTCGTTGTTCATTGTTTTCCTCAGCTTTTCCTTCACTGTCATCAGCGAGTGCTGCGGCCATTGCCAAGGGATTCAGAATTCCTTGATTACTCTCAGATTCCAAATCCCTATACCTCTTCTCCGTATAATCATTGATCTTTTCATCATCGGGGCCTATGTTCTCAAATATGGAGCCGAAAGATATAAAGCCGCACTTAATTAAGACACAGCACATGTCATAAACTTGGACCTCGATGGTCCGATCGTTAAGTAGTTCTGATAAAATCTTAGCCGCCACGATGCTTCCTCCTCGGCCTAAATTGGAATCAGCCTCGAGGTGAGAGGCCTCCTGCTGAGGCCAGAAGTCCGAAGCGCGCAAAAATTCAACAAGAAACTTATAACCTTGAGGTAAGTAAAATGCAGAGGTCCGCAGAATCACTTCCAAAGACTTTATGGGATCTAAAGAATATTTTCCAATGATGCACTGCATCTGACTCCAATAGTACTTTACTCTCATGTCCTTGTAGCCATCATTATACGCTGTGAATAGGAAAGTGATCAGGGAAGAAAACCCCACGGCATGTTCGCCCAGCAAGTTGTATTTTTTTATAATGTATCGACTTTCAAGCAATTGTCGCTTGAATAGTCCTCTCTGCTGAGCAGTAAATTTTCCGGCTCTTTCTAACAGCTTGTCATCTGAGATATAAGTGCTGAAAGCGTCATTTAATGAGGGAAGGGATATCATGAGCTCAACCAATCGATCCGTCTTGTCCGGAAAAGAGTTTATCATTGAGATAAATACCTTGGCATTTCTTGGTGAGTTCATTGAGCATACCTCAGTCACCAACGCACTTAGTCTCGTCAGGTCTATAGTGCTTTGAAAAGCGTTGGGATCAGCCGTCAACAGCAGACAGTCATAAAATATCAATTTTATTTTGTCTTCTGCTTCCTTTTCGTTTGGTGCATCTCGTAGCTCATTCATAAGCTTGGCAGATCGCTCCTTCCAATTGACAGAGAATTCCTCATCAAATATGAATTTGCTGGATAAAAACTCTGTCCCTGATGCAGCGAGACCAGTGATACGACCTTCTACGATACTCATGGTCTCTAATTTCTCGTTTTTCTTACTGTCACGGTAATCTCTTGATATTGGTACATAGGCTAATTTTTCAATATCATAAGTGTCTTCAATGAACTAGTCGATGAGATTGGAAAACCAGCGGAAACAAAATGGTATGGCGGCATTTTTAAATCACAATTGCAACTACTGGCGAGTTAGGCATTTACTAACTTCAAGTCTTAGTCCGACAAGCATAAAGAGCAGCAGCTTTTTCAAACGATGAAGCACAAGCACCTGGGGCTTGGGAATGAATCGACGACGAAAGAGGAATGGATGATCCATGTTAAACGAGATACTTATTATAGTCTTCTGGCCCATAGTATGTCGGTTGAATATTTAACGCTGTCCAGAGACAACACCAGCAAAAGGATCACTGAGATGGAACTTATCAATAAAATGTGCGACGACCTCTGCAAGAAGCCCAGAAACGGCTTGCAGAGCGATTCGCGTCCCATAAAGATACAGCGGACATGAGGCCAAATCAAGTATTTTTGAGTCTAAATATGGGAGACATACTTCTTCCTGCCAGTGGTCAACTGGTCGAAGCAATTTCGGCAAACACAACACGCCCGTCGACGTTTGCCCTATCCACTTTCCTCTGTATAGTGCGCAACAACGAGACACTGGATTTCTCGAACCACAATTCGGCTATTCCAGAACCGCTGGGCAGATCTACCAAGTTCATTTTGAGTACTTTGGCGGGTGAAAGTTTCTCTACGAAAACAATGAGGGCCTGAGAATCAGTTCCAATAGGCAAGTTTCGTATTCTCAAAAACTCTGCAGCCCTTTGACTGCTTAGCGACACGTACAGACTCGACCCATATGGTTTAGGAGCCGGTCTAGAACTTTTAGTCACCTGCTGCTTCCTGTTGCTGTCCTCCACTTCGAAAGGTTTTCTTTCGCGATTAGCGAATTTCGCCTTTTTTGGAGCATTTTTCGACTGAATTTCCCGCAAAAGGAGACCAACATCGCTCGCACTTACCAATTTGCCATTGATTACTCGAAATCCATCTTTTTGACCTTGTACTGCTCCTTTTTTCACGCCCTTCTTGACCGGTAATGATAATCTATCAGCTAGCGTTTTTTCACCAATATTGGCTTGTTTAGAGCGCTTGTTTTTGGATTTGGCAAGTAATTTTTGTCTCTTCGTTTTTTGCACCCCCATTTCAACTTAACTGTCTCTATGTTGAGGTATTCTACTGCGTTAATGTCTGCTCCTTTCAAGCGATGATACTGTCGATCTTCCAATGTTTAAGATTCTGAAAAAATTTTGACTTAGTTTGATATAGGGGATCTCTTTTAATATCACTAACTAAAGAACAAAGCTCAAGATGCCCGAGACCAATTCGTTCGCCATCCAAGGATATAATCTTTCAAAGCTTTTGAAAAGACTGGAAGATGCTACCGCGAGACTGGAAGACGTGACGCTATATCAAGAGGGCTACATCCAGTCTAAATTACAGGCAACTGAGAAGGGAACTGCTGGCCAACTGCAAGAATTGGGAACTCAAGGTCAGCTTTCAGGACCTTCAGGTGCCAAGGAGACATTACCCAGTACTGGTGCATCAGCAGGTCTGAAATCAGACGTGAAGAAAGAAAAGACAGAAGGAGCGACTGAGACTGAACCAATATCCATAAAGGAGCTCTCGACACTCATTAGGACGACCATCGAACCTCTTTCCAAATTGTCAGAGGAAATCGACCCGCTGGTTGGAGAGTCAATACACTATTTTCTGGGGGCTTTTGAAGCCGAACTTGAATTCCTTAAGGCTGCCGTTGTTTCCAAAAAGCCCGATTACGCGTCAGATGCATTTGCGAAGGCTTTGAAACCAATCAACGAAAAAATCTTGGCGATAGGATCTTTGAAGGATAAGAACCGTCAAAGCAAAGTTTTTGCATATCTCAATGCTGTCGCGGAGGGCGCACCCCTTTTTGGGTGGATTGGTACGGACACACCGGTTCAAATGATTGCCGATTTCAAAGATGCCGCTCAGTTTTGGACTAATAGGGTTTTGAAAGAATTCAAAGCTTCCGATCCTCACAGTGTCGAATGGGTTAAAAGGTTCCTAGCAACTTTCGATGAACTCAAAGCTTATGTTAAGCAGTACCATACCACTGGTCCCTCTTGGAGCACTAAGAATGGAATTGATTTTGCTGACGCGTATGAATCTGTTATCAATGGAGGAGAAACATCAGCGTCGAAGCCAGCGGCTGCTGCTTCTGCTGGCAGCGCAGGTCCTCCGCCACCACCTCCACCTCCGGCCCCACCATCATCAGTGTTTGAAGTTGAGAAAGATTCTGAGGAAAAGGGCGGCATGAACGCCGTTTTTGCACAGTTGAATCAAGGTGAGGATATCACTCATTCCCTAAGGAAAGTTGATAAGTCGCAGCAAACACATAAGAACCCTGAACTACGTGCAAGCTCGGGGGTACCTTTGGCGAAAACGCCACCCCCAAGGCCAAAAAAACCCAACACTCTGAAGACCAAGAAACCGGCCAGAAAAGAATTGGTCGGTAACAAATGGTTTGTGGAGGGATTTGACAATGAGGCCGCTCCGTTGGTCATTGCAGCCAGCAAAGATGAGTCTGTTTACATTGGCGACTGCACCAATACTCTCGTTCAAATCAAGGGCAAAGTTAACGCCGTTACTTTGAGTGGGACACTTGGTTGTAGCGTTGTTTTGGACAGTAGCATTTCAGGTATGGATATTATTAAATCCGCTAAGTTTGGAGTGCAGATAGAGCAATTCATTCCTCAGATCAGCATTGATAAGAGTGACAACGGTAACATTTACTTGAGCATGGAATCTTCAAATTCAGAGATTTATACTTCTAGTTCAACAGCTGTAAACGTGAATCTGCCAATTGGGGATGATGGTGATTATGTTGAGTTTCCAATTCCCGAACAGTTGAAGCACACCTTTGCGGATGGCAAAATGAAAAGTACCGTCTTTGAACACGCAGGTTGAGGCTTGCTCCCATAGCTCGAGGGAATTGTCTTTCATTCTTTTCATTACATTGGGCTTATGTACAGGGGATTCATATATACATCCAATCCATTGTTCATCTTGTAAAATCCGCTTATTTACCTCTTCTCACGTAGTACATGTAAGCACGCTCGTGAGTTGGCATGCCAAAGGGAGAAATGACTTCCGAGTGGCCAGGGCGCGCCACAGGATCTCTCAGGTAAACGGCATGGCATGTTTTGAAGGATATTTCCAGGTGATGAGGAAGAATTGCAAATGGTGCAAGGAATGGTCTAGGTTTCCAAGGAGTAAAATAAGATCTCGAAGGATCTTGACGTCCAAACACACCCTTCTGCCATGGCAGATGTATAGCATTTCTTGCCTTGTTTTCATCTTCTCCCAACTCCTTCAAATTCAATGGAGCAAGAGTTGAAAGTCTTGACGCCCACTTAGAATCGAAAGGAATAGAAAGCGTTTGCTCGCTCGCTCTTTTTGATTCGTAAAGCTTTCTTACGTAGTCGTCCTGCGATGCTAAAAGCTCCGACACTGTATTTTTGGCTGCTCTCAAAGATTTTTTGGCGCCGTCTGACAAACTCTTTTGTGATTCTTCGGTTGGATTGAGAAGGCTTCGTGCAATCTTCTCCACTTCCGCCTGCTTCTTCCCCTTTATATCTCTGACTGGCAACTGACCAGACTTCAGCAAATCCTGGTAGCAGCGTAGCGCCATTTTGCCCAAGACGCTGTCTCCATAGAATTGAGGTTGGAAATCCTCTGCAAGTGGTGAATCTGGATCAGAAGCCGACGTCCCAGCCTGGATAAGTTTCGTTACAACCGATTCCTTAGTACAGTTTTTGATCTCTTTTTCCATTCTGGAAGTCAAAGTAGCGTTATAATTTTGCAAGAACTCAAGATACTCCTGCTTCTTGGGACTGGAATCTTCCAGGGATCTAAGCTTGTCCTGTTTCTTTTCCCACATCTGCCGAGGCGATGACTTGGCCTCTTTCACGTACTTGTTCCAAACCGCGACTTGGACCCGATCGACTTTGAGTGCTTCCTGAAACCCCGGTTTCTTCGCGCCCAAAGCTTGAAGAACTTTTTCTGGGTTGACGTTGAACACATCACCTGCCTTTAATGTATATCCAGGCTGTGTGATTTTGACACCATTCACACGCACATTTCCATGCAAAATGAATTGTCTGGCCTGTCTCACCGAAGACGCAAACATCGCCCTAAACAGAGCAAAATCTAACCGCTTTTCAAGCACGGCAAACGTTTGAATCAAAATGGGCGTAGGCTGCATCTCACCACCACGTAAGGAAGCGTCCAATTGAGCAACGGAATGCAGTTTTGGCGTGAAAAAAGTTTGCCAACGGCCCTCGGTCAAATGCTCACCATGGTACGCTCTCGTTTCTTGTTTTGCTGTCCATTTCTGCTGGTATAAAGTTTTGGATCTGAAATCGACATTGCCCTTTTTGTACAGATTGAAAAGGTTATATTTGTTAAATGAAGTTCTTATCCGCCCACGACTCAAGGACTTCAGAAGCACAGCCTTTCTAGGCATTTTGAACCCTTGGATGGCACGTTGAAACCAGGCTTATTTGGTTCAATTTTGGCTCTTCATGATGGCTTTCCTCAGTAGATAGCAGCTCATTTTCTGAAAATTTTCCAAAATCATGAAACCACGTGATTTGTTATTGAAGGATTTTATTTTGAAAGTACCATCAACATTAAGCATGCTGATTGGCATTAGCGCGAAAACAAGCCCGGACAGGATAACACTGCCGGCAGCGGCAATTGGCCATGAAACATGAGTGAGCCGTGGAGCACTGAGGATGAGATCCGCTTGCTGCGCTGGATCGGCGAATTCAAGCCAATTGGCGTCAACAAACATTTCCACATGATCAGCATTTTGGAGAAATTGAACAATCCGGACAAATTCCCAGTTGTTTTGTTGTTTGACAAGCTGAAAAGCGGTGCCCAACGGACGTATCTTGCGCAAGACGTGTGGACGAAACTTGCTGATTATTACGTCCTGGAAAAGCTGGATAAAATGGACGATGCATTGGAAGCCGAACATGAGAACGGAAATCGGGACTCTGACGGTTTGTCAGGTCCAATGCGTACGAATTGGACAAGTAAACGTGAGTTTTCCCTTCCCTGGGAAGAGTACGGGGAATTGATGGTTTCGAACGCGCGAGACGGCCTCGAAACGGCTCCTGACGCGAAGAATGACGAGGATTCGATATCTCCGGCGTCAGTGGCGTCAGCGGATAATGGGCCCGTACGCCGCGTAACACGCTCTGCTGTGACGACCCGCAGTAATGCGCGGACCACGCGATCTCACGCTACGGAAAGCGACGCGGCCCCGCAAGACGTCAAGGATTCGGCGCCTGAGCCGGTCCCGGAGCCGGAATCTGAACCGAAACGGGAGCCGGACCAACCTATCAGCGACGACGACGACCACCAGGCGCCCGCTGAAGCGCGCAGCAAACCGGAACTCGAAAAACCGCCCCTCAAGAGGACACGGGTGTCGACGCGCACCCAGACGGCATCTGTTGCGACAGCGTCAGCTGCGACAGCAGCTGACGAACCCCTGCAACCGGTGCCAGAGACCGCGGACGACACGGCAGCCGCGGGCAAAAAGGGCAAAAAGCCCAGCACCGCTGCTTCCAAAGACACTGCGACGCCGGCGCCACGCGCGAGCAGTCGCGTGGCGAGCCGGCTGCGGAACCGGAAATGACAGAGTGCGGTTAAAGCACGGGACTTTGATAATGATACGTATCTGATATAGAAGCGGCTAGAAGTCTAGTTGATCTTCAAGAGTTCGACGTCGAACACGAGGGTCGCGTTGGGAGGGATTAGGCCAGGGAAACCACGAGGGCCGTACGCGTACGGACCTGGAATGGTAAGTCTGGCCTTTTCACCGACAGAAAGTTTTGGGATGCCGACGTCCCAGCCCTTGATCACCTGACCAACGCCGATGTTACATTGGAAGGGGGACCCTCTATCGACGGAGGAGTCGAATTTTTGGCCGTTTTCCAACGTACCAACGTAGTGGATGGTCACCAAGTCACCAGTCTTTGGGAAAGACTTGGCGTCACCTGGCGCGATTCTGTCGATCTTGACGTTACCTTCGATGACTTCAGACATGGTCAATTGACTTAATACCTATGTAGAGACACAGGTTTCATGGCAAAAACTGATTTTATAGATATTACAGCCTCTGTAGAACGTCGACGACGGTAGAGTGTTACCCGGATACCCACAAAGCCGGGTAACAATAGCCTACAGAAAGTACATCAACCTGTCAGAGCGGGCTCGTGTCGCGTTCTACGAGTATGAGTACTCAATGAGTAACGTCAGTGTCGAGCGTGCGACAGGCGGCGAAACGCTTTATTCCAGTAAATAGATCTACAGCAGCAAATCACGGGCTACAGTGCACTTGAGTTTGATGGCCCTCGACTTCAGGAACGCTTTCCACACTAGCGACCCGTCCACCAATCGTCAATAGTACTTCAACACACCAAAAGAGCACCGCGTCAGATACCGTCTGTTGCTCGAGTTCCGAGATGCTTGTTTGGGCTTTCACTGGATGCATTGGGTCAGCATCTTCATTCTACGTGGTGTCAGATTTGAGTGTTCGTACAAAATGGCTGTCCTACGTCGAGGTAACTGTGAGCGAAGAGCGTAGGCCGCACCTGTGCAGCGGGTAACCGCTGGCGAGATAAGACCCTTTCCTTACTGTGCTACTGTGCTTCTTACCTACCGGGCACGCAGTGCCCGGGGACGGATCGTGGCCGGATCAGAGCCGGATCGGGTCCAGAGCGCTCGGCAGGCGCACTCTCATGCGCCTCGCTCGTTACGTATGCTGGCCAAACCAAATTGCAACCGGATCGTCTAGAACACATCTTTTTTTTTCTTGGCGCGCCAGCGCCGAGATGCCCAAAGCCTTCCAGAAGGTCTGGAGCCTGGCACGAGCAGCAGCGAAGGAAGCGAAGCAGCGAGGGCCAGAACATATCGTCGTCGGAATGCAAGAGAAATCCAGGTTCGAAATAATATATAATGGTATGTAGCCTACCAGGGTTGCCACGATGCCAGCCCTTGCCTAGCGTTACTTCCGCCAACCACAACATGAACGGTGTCTACGGTTTCCAAATTTTCATTTTGGTAGTGTGTCAGCTGGCGGAGTTTGCGCTGGCGCACAATGCGAGTTTCAGCGTCTCGGTAAAGGACCCGAGCGCCGTTATACGTGAATTCGAGGCGTGGCAGCAGTCCTCGCAGTGGAATGGCGAATTTCTGTCCAACGGCTCGGACGTGCATTTGCCGCTTACGGCAGCGACGAGTGGACTCGTTATAGTTGACATTAGCGGGGCCGGCAGCAGCGGCGGCGGCGGCACCGCCGCCGGGCCTGGCCTCACCTTGTACGTCAGCCGCGACGGATATGCATCCGTAGGCACAAGCGCTTGGATCACCGTTGGCAACGACGGTGCGCTGACGCTGACAAGAAACACGTCGTCTGCCACGAACGGGTTCTTTGTGGCACAGGGTCTGCTCAAGTACCGCACAAGCGAATGGTACCTCTACGAAGAGACTGGCCAAATTGGGATCAAGGCTGCCACTCCCGCTTCCGGTGAGGCCCCAAAGACGCTAGCCGATCCGGTCTACTTGAGTGCAGTTTCTACGCAGAACTCTCTTCGCAAGCGGTCTGCGCACCACTGGAACGGAAACGCGAACTGCACGGAGGCGGCGGACCCAACGCAGCGTCGTCTGAACTGGAATGCAACCCGGCCGCTGCGTCAAGAGTATAGAGACGTGGCTATCAGGTAGAGGTTCTGGAGATAGATTATGGATATATCGTTTTGTACGGGTCAAGTTCTGCAATAAAGAGGTATCTAGAGTTCGTGGTAGACGGAACAGGCCGTTTCCTGAGCTGCGCAAATAGTGGTTTTTCTTGAGTTTTACGTCAGATGCGAAGTGGACGACAAGAGTTCGAACAGGTTTTCTCTGAATAGTTATCCACGCAACGCATTCGCACGTGTTCGTCCGACTTCCTCGACTTTCTAACACGACTGAAAGTCAATATCCGCCTTAAAAATACTAACTCTACAGTCTACAATTTTACCGTCACCGCCAAACGGTGATCCGCGCGAAAAAAGCTAAACCCGTATACATTGCTCAGCTTGCCACGCGTAGCCGTTGACACTGGTCATCGCGGTTTTCGTTAGAGGTGCGGGTCGTACCACGCGGTAACCATGCATGTAGCAGCCCAGTAACCTGCGAGGTTTGAGAGTAAGAGTTGGGAACGAGAGTGATGGGCGACAGAACAACATAAAAAGACGGTGAGATGCCCGACACGTTCGACCTAAACGCACAGGTGCTGCGTTGCACGTTTATCGAGCAAGATTGCCATGAAACTTGCTTTCACTTTATTTTTCACGGTTGTCAACAGCTTAGCTGTTAGTGTTATCAATACAGACGATTATCAGGAGTGGGCATTATCAAACCCAAACAATACTTACGAAAACGTTGTCGAGCCAATAGAAAGTTGTAACGTTGTAACACTTGAAAGCGTTGACGAGAATGAAAATGTAGTTGATACCTTCCAACTGGAACTTGATGGCGATGCTCTCGAATGGTGGTCTGAACAGACTAACAGTTTGATACCGGCTAATGACTCCAACTACACTACATCAATAGACCAGACACTGCAACCTCAGCCTACGAGTTTATCTACTACTGCTGTCTCAGGCGTAAACAGTTCTTTATTCAAGCGTTTGCCAGCCACTATTAAGAACTGTGGATGGTTTTGTGGCTTGAGCTATCACTGCCGTGGTGCTTTAACAGCCTGTAAGAATTGTCGTGGCTTTGGTAAGAGATGGCTTAAACATTGCGTTTTATCGTGGTGAAATTAGTCCGAAGTAATTATGAAACAAAACAGTCACGAAACGTAAATGTACCTGAATCTAGCTATCTTAACATCGTACTTGAGGTTGTTGGAAGGGGACGGCGAGAAGTCACACCGTCAAGTTGCACATTCAGAAGCGCGTATCACGTGACTACACCGACAGAATAAAATCAGCCTAACTCAAATAATTATTCGAACTAGTCTCCACAGATGGCAATGAAACTACCTCACCTAAGCTGTTTGCTTGTATCTCTTTTCCCTTTTAACTCTTTGGCGGGGTTACGACTGATCCAAACAATATAGGAACTTGTCCCTCAGGTGAAGCTGTCAACATCTATATCGCTTTGTACGGAAAACGTTCGGTTTAGAGTATAGCTTATCCTTCATCCTTTAGCTTACATTCTTTGGCCAATTTTCGGCTATGTCGCTGCACCCTTGAAAGTCAAAAGTATCCGGCGTTAAGCACTTGCCGTTGTCAATACAAGTCACGTGACATCTCCTGTATCTTCCTCACCTCCCGCACATCTTTCCCATTTGGGTTTCCTCTTTCCCCTTCAGACTCAAGCCAAAGTCAACGGATCATTACCCGTGCCGGAAATGACCGGAGCACTAGGTTCCGCGATCCGCGCAAAAAAGATGAACAACCCATACATCACAATGCTACCTTCACCACCCATACCCCTTTGTATTAAATAAGCTCCAACCGGTTTTCCTAAAGGGGCACCCGTGCCCCTTTTGCAGTAGCCAAGTAAACATTCTTGGCCGCGTAGGGCTCGCATAGAGCCCACGCAGGCCCTACGCAGGGCCGCGAAGGGCCGCAAAGGGCATACTACCAAATCCAGCTAGACCCGCGTCTCAAAGGCCTTGTTTTTCAAATATAGCGTACCGTCCCGGAGTCTAGATTAGGCTCTATTGCCTAACTCGTCACGCCTAGCTGTTTCAACAGGCAATCGCTGTTGACATTGGTCGCGGTCTTCGTTAGAGGCATGGGCCGTAAACAGTGGAAACCATACTTGCTGTGGCCCAAGAATGACATGTGAGGATTGAGAGTGTGAGTCGAGAACCAGAGTGGTGGCGGGCAGAAAAGACGTATAAATACGCTAACAGATGGAAAGCTCTTCGAAGAGGTTCGTAGATTTCCTTTGCATCTCTCACAAATACAAGGATTGCTTGCTCAAGATCACACATTCGCTTCTAGTCTGCACTTACTCCCCCAATCAAACCTAACGTTGAACAAAATGCAATTCTCCACTGTCGCTATCATCGCCGCTGCCGCTGCCGTTGTCTCCGCTGACTCCACTGTCGCTGCCGTCTCTCAAATCACCGACGGTCAGATCCAGGCTACCTCTGCTCCAGCTACCACCGCTACCACGGCTGTCACCTCCGCTTCTGCTCCAGCCAACGCGACCTCCATCTCTATCCAGACTGCTAACGGTGCTGCCGTTGTCGGCTCTGGTGCCGCTGCGTTTGCCGGTTTGGCCGCTGCTGGTGCTTTCTTGCTTTAAGCGAGCTTGAAATGGCCGTGTGACAGCAGGTGCTATCGCACCTGCTGTTCGATACCCTTGCGCGGCGTCTCCCGGATTCTTATGGTTTAGCACTACGTACGTACTTCTTTTTAGGCGAAATATGAAAAAAGAAGCTTTTTAAGGTTTTCTATGCATAACGGTCTCCTGTGACTTCATAACGATGGCTGACGCGACGAAGACGAAACAACCAGCTGTGCTATTCGAGCGATGTGTAGTGCAAGTTTGTGTAAGCAGCTGGCCGCGAGCGGCGCGGGTCGCTGCCCCGGTGACAGCGATTAAAGCGCTATAACGAGCTTTTCGCCCGAATTCTTGCCTGTCTTGATCGCCTCTAGCACCTTTGGGACATCCTCAAGCCCGTTCTTGTAGACCTTGATCGGGATGTGGTGGATCTCGCCGCTCGCGAGCTTGGGCCTGATGAACTTCAAAAAATTGATAATGGTCTCCCGGTACTCAGGGCTTGCGGGAAAGGTCACAGAGCCAAACGGAACTTCGTGTCCTGTAACTTGATACAATAGCGTGCCGTCGATGGTCACGTTGGATCTGCGGTCCGCATTAGGGATGGTTTCCTCAGACATGCCCGTCAATTGCACCAAGCGCGCAGGTTTCGTGCTTGCAGCGACTTTGTAAACCTGCTTGATCGTGTCCTCGTTGGACACTGCGTCCACAAGATGCGGGATTTCCGGGTATCTGCTCTTGATCTGCTCGATGACGTCCTTGTCGTGGTAGTCGAACAGCTCGTCAGCGCCGTACTCTTTCAGAATCTGCTCGTGCTTCTTTGACGCTACGGTAATGATCTTGGTGTACCCGTGCAAGCGCTTTGCCAACTGGATCAAAAACTGACCCACACCGGTCGCACCACCCCAGATAAGGATGGGGAAATCGTGTTGTGGCTCTTTGGGTTCCCAGACCTGTTTGTTCTTGAAATTGTTCTCAAGGATAGCGCCTGCAGTTAACAACGAAACGGGTAACGACGCAGCGGCTTCGAACGTCGTGACGGGGCCCTCTGGAAGCGTAGACATATTTGCCGGTTTCAATGGCAATTTGATGGCTAGCTTCGAATCTAAAGCAGAATACTCTGCAAAAGCACCATTGTCCGGGAATTTAACCGATGCGCCATGAACTAGCCCGAAAACTGTGTCACCGACCTGAAAATCGGACTTATCCACTTCCGATCCCACTTTCACGACTTCACCAGCCACGTCACACCCAACTATCGAACCTCGAGGTCCGATCTTATAGGCAATGTGTTTCCAATCGGTTGGGTTTCCGGCGGCGGCCTTTACTCTGATAAGTAAACCTTCTTTGCCAATCTTCGGAGTTTTAACACTCGACTTAACGACGGGCTTGTCGCCTTCAATGACAACAGCCTTGATAGTTTCTGGAACAGCCATTTCTTCTTAAATTCTTTTCAACTGTTATCGTTGTCTCCAAGATATTTTTCAGTTAACCCGAAAGGACCTGCCTTAATGCGCGATGTGCCCCTTATATATATTTCTCGGATAGACCACTAATCTTAGAGGACAATCAACTTACTAACAAGGGCGTTGCGGATAGACTATAAACGGGATAGTTTGCCAACGGGATAAGTTGCCTAAAGGATCAGACCCCAACATTAGATGTGCCTGAAAAAGCTTAAGCCCATTGGCATACTGTGGCTTCTCATGTTTTGTATTTCAGAGTAAAATGGGATCTCGCTAACAAGTCTCAGAGGAGTAAAGCTCCCCCATCGTCGTGGGCTTTTCACTTCTAATTGTGTTCAGCGGTCGTATAAGTTATGAAATTAAATCTGAGCACTGCTCTCATGACTTCTCGATCTTTCGAGAAATACCTCAACTGCTCGTTTCTCTATTTTGTTTCTTAACCAATGCCCTTGATACGTGTTTTACCAACTTTTGACGTAGGCATGTGTCCAGGAGTTGTGAAACTAGGTTTTAGTGAGCCTTGTAGACCGAGAATCGAAGTTTCGTAAATTACAGATCAGCTTGGCCCTCCTGCAAAAACCTTACAAGATTGGAAGAGGGCAGATTTTCATCATGAAGATCTCGATGTTCGCTGACATAACAAAAACGAACCAAACAATTGTTCACTATATATAAGTATTGTAGCGTGTGTTTTTGCAAGCAGCCCGACCGCAGCGGCGCCGGTCACTGCGCTTAAAGCGCTATAACGAGCTTTTCGCCCGAATTCTTGCCCGTCTTGATGGCCTCCAACACCTCTGGGACGTCCTCAAGCCCGTCCTTGTAGACCTTGATCGGGATGTGGTGGATCTCGCCGCTCACGAGCTTGGGTCTGATGAACTTCAAGAAATTAATAATGGTCTCCCGGTACTCAGGGCTCGCGGGGATGGTAATAGAGCCAAACGGAACTTCGTATCCTGTCGCTTGATACAGTAGCGTACCGTCGATGGTCACGTTGGATCTGCGGTCGGCCTTGGGGATATTTTCCTCAGACATGGTCATCAATTGCACCAAGCGCGCAGGTTTCGTGTCGGCAGCAACTTTGTAAACCTGCTTGATCGTGTCCTCGTTGGACACTGCGTCCACAAGATGCGGGATTTCCGGGTATCTGCTCTTGATCTGCTCGATGACGTCCTTGTCGTGGTAGTCGAACAGCTCATCAGCGCCGTACTCCTTCAGAATTTGCTCGTGCTTCTTCGACGCTACTGCAATGATTTTCGTGTACCCGTGAAAGCGCTTTGCCAACTGGATCAAAAACTGACCCACACCGGTCGCACCACCCCAGATAAGGATGGGGAAATCGTGTTGTGGTTCCTTGGGTTCCCAGACCTGTTTGTTCTTGAAATTGTCCTCAAGCACAGCGCCTGCAGTGAACAGCGAAACGGGTAACGACGCAGCGGCTTCAAACGTCGTAACGGGGCCCTCTGGAAGCGTAGACGAGCTTGCTTGCTTCAATGGCAATTTGACGGCAAGCTTCGAATCCAATGCAGAATATTCTGCAAACGCACCATTGCCTGGAAATTTGACCGATGATCCATGAACTAGCCCGAAAACTGTGTCACCGACCTGAAAATCGGACTTATCCACTTCCGATCCCACTTTCACGACTTCACCAGCCACGTCACACCCAGATATCGCACCTTGGGGTCCGATCTTATAGGCAATGTGTTTCCAATCGGTTGGGTTTCCGGCGGCAGCCTTTACTTTGATAAGTAAACCTTCTTTGCCGATCTTCGGAGTTTCAACATTCAACTTAACGACGGGCTTGTCGCCCTCAATGACAACAGCCTTGATAGTTTCTGGAACAGCCATTTCTTCTTATTCTTTTCGACAGCTGTAGTTGTCTCCGAGGTATTCTTCAGTTAATATGAAAGGGCCTGTTTTGATGCGCCCCTTATATATATGTTTTTCGGATAGACCTCCGATATTGGAAGACAATCATCTTACTAATAGGGGCATCACGGATGGACTATAAACGGGATAGTTTGCCTGGAGCATCAGAGCCTAACATTACACGTGCCTGAAGAAGCTTTAGCCCATTGTCATACTGTACTTTCCCATAATATGTGTATTAGTGGAAATGGGATTCGCTAGTAAGTCTCAGAGGAGTAAAGCTCCCCATCATCACAATCTTTTCACTTTCAACTGTCTTCACCAGACGTTTAATTCATGAAATTAACTCTGAGCAGTGCTTTCATGGCTTTTCGATCTTTTGAGAAATACCTCCACTTTTCGTTTTTCTATCTTGTTTCTTAACAAGTGCCCTTGATGCGTTTTCTACCAAGCTTTGACGTATTAGTATGTCCAGGAGTGGTGAAATTAGGTTTTGGGGCTCTTTTGGACTCGTTCCGCAGTCTTTTACACTTAGAACCGAGGTTTCGTAAATACCTGGTCAAATACGTCTCCAGATTTCGTCTCTCGCTCTTAATTCCATCTCGGTTTTCTTCGATAAAATTCAACTTCTGCACGATTCCGCCTCGTGAAACTGTTCTTTTCCTTCACGAGGGAGTTGAACTCTTTCTGTTTAGCAATCGCATTATTTCTGAGCTGCTTCTGTAACGTCTTGCGCTCCTCTGCTTGCGACGCCGCCTTTTCTTTAGCTTGTTTCATTTTTCAGCTTCTAATTGTGCTCAGCTTGTCCCTCTTGTACGAACACTACAAGATTGAAAGATGGCGCTTCTTGATTACGACGATCCTGAAGCTCGCTGACAGAATAAAGACGAACCAAACAATTATTTGCTATATAGACTCTGTAGTATAGTTTTGTAGTACGTGCTTTCGTAACCAGTTCGGCCGTAAGCGATGCCGGTCACTGCGCTTAAAGCGCTATAACGAGCTTTTCGCCCGAATTCTTGCCCATCTTGATGGCCTCCAACACCTCTGGGACATCCTCAAGCCCGTTCTTGTAGACCTTGATCGGAATGTGGTGGATCTCGCCGCTCACGAGCTTGGGCCTGATGAACTTCAAAAAATTAATAATGGTCTCCCGGTACTCAGGGCTTGCCGGCAAGGTCACAGGGCCTAACGGAACTTCGTGCCCTGTCGCTAGATACAATATAGTGCCGTCGATGGTCACGTTGGATCTGCGGTCGGCCTTGGGGATATTTTCCTCAGACATGGTCATCAATTGCACCAAGCGCGCAGGTTTCGTGCTTGCAGCGACTTTGTAAACCTGCTTGATCGTGTCCTCGTTGGACACTGCGTCCACAAGATGCGGGATTTCCGGGTATCTGCTCTTGATATGCTCGATGACGTCCTTGTCGTGGTAGTCGAACAGCTCGTCAGCGCCGTACTCTTTCAGAATCTGCTCGTGCTTCTTCGACGCTACTGCAATGATTTTCGTGTACCCGTGAAAGCGCTTTGCCAACTGGATCAAAAACTGACCCACACCGGTCGCACCACCCCAGATAAGGATGGGGAAATCGTGTTGTGGTTCCTTGGGTTCCCAGACCTGTTTGTTCTTGAAATTTCCCTCAATGACTGCAGCTGCAGTGAACAACGAAATAGGTAACGACGCAGCGGCTTCAAACGTCGTAACAGGGCCCTCTGGAACTACAGACGTATTGGCCGGTTTCAGTGGCAATTTGATTGCTAGCTTCGAATCTAAAGCAGAATACTCTGCAAAAGCACCATTATCCGGGAATTTAACTGATGCGCCATGAACAAACCCGAAAACTGTGTCACCAACCTGAAATTCGGACAGCTCCACTTCAGGTCCCAATTCTACAACTTCACCAGCCAAGTCACACCCAGATATCGCACCTTGGGGTCCAATCTTGTATGCAATTTGTTTCCAATCGGTTGGGTTTCCGGCGGCGGCCTTTACTTTGATAAGTAAACCTTCTTTGCCAATCTTCGGAGTTTTAACACTCGACTTAACGACGGGCTTGTCGCCTTCAATGACAACAGCCTTGATAGTTTCTGGAACAGCCATTGTTTGGAAAAATCTTCAGTCGACTGGTATTGCCCTGTCTAACATTCTGTCGAATTCATCTGGAAGCACCTTGCTTGATGCGCCCCTTATATATGTGTTTCGAATAGGCCATCGGCCTTAGACGACCAGAACATCGTACAAATGGGCGCGTTACAGACGGCTCTAAAACGGCAATTGCTTCGTAATAGGATTAAATGCCAGCATTTGATGTACTTTGAAGGAATTGCTCTCAGGCCTTATCGGTTTGTTGGGAAACACCTCCACTGTTCGTTTTTCTATCTTGCTTCTTAATAATGCCCTTGATGCGTTTTCTACCAACCTTTAAGGTAGTAGTATGCCCAGAATTCATTAGACTAGGTTTTGGTGCGATTTTGGACTCGTTTCTGAGCCTTTCAGACTCAGAATCGAAGTATCGTAAATTGCGGGTCAAATACGTCTCCAGATCTCGTCTCTCAGTCGTACTTTCATCTCGCATTTTTTTATAAAATTCAACATCTGCATGACTTAATCTCGTGAAACTGTTTTTTTCCTTCACGAGGGAGTTGAACTCTTCCTGTTTAGCAATCGCATTATTTCTGAGCTGCTCCTGTAACGTCTTGCGCTCCTCTGCTTGCGACGCCGCTTTTTCTTTAGCTTGTTCTATTTGTTCAGCTCGTGATTGTGCACGCAGATCAGCTTGACCCTCTTGCACGAACCCCACAAGATTTAAAGACGCCTGCTCTTGATGTTGAGGCATCTTAACATATAAAGCGTAGAGTATTCCTATCGCACGTATCTGTATTGCCGGTAAGTCTTATTTCATCTTTTTTTTTTTTCAGAACGAAAGTGCGATGCGAACTGAGCTTGTTAAGCATCGGCTCGATACAGTTTCAAGAGTACTCGATCATGAATTTCGTATGTAAGCTGTTTTTCGAAACACGCATACAACTCGAAGGGATATGCCTCATGGCTAGGACAACGCTACAAGGCTAGAGTACCTAATACAATGATATACATTCGCATGCCTAGCCTTACGAAAGGAACGCTTGACCTTGGTTAGTACATTCGCAAGTGAAAAAAAGGACAACTTGAAAATGAGGAAGCTCTGCCCTCATATTTATTGAGATTACAATTTTGCATCGCCATCGACATGGTAAGCGCGGTGCGGTTAAATAAATGAATTCTACAGTTCCAGATGATGTTCACTAAGAGCTTGATGAAGTGAAAAACCTAGGCTAATCAAAAGGTGCGGATTTAGCTCAGTTGGGAGAGCGCCAGACTGAAGTCAACTTTAGTCGCTGTTATCTGGAGGTCCTGTGTTCGATCCACAGAATTCGCAGATTTATTTTTATCATCCTTGATGATCATCTACTGGTGATAAAAGCTTGGTTCGTCAAATAATTCGCCGCCTATTAGCACATCACTTGGTTTTGCGTTGGCAGTGAATAAACGCCGCCCGTAATTTTTGGAAGGCAATGGACCGCGGAGCATGTTTGGATCGGCATCTAGACCCAAACAAAATGAAATATCCATGGGATTAGCATTCGCGAGTCGTGGGACGCTGCCACTTTCCATCTCTTTCGATATGTTGGAACAATGGTGGTAGTTGTAAGAAGTCTCAGGATTGGTGAAATCGAAACTGTCCTCTCCACCTAGGTCCCGAGACGCATGTGCGGTACGGTTACGACTGTCACTTGCACTTGCTTTCGATTGCAATTTTCTCCTCTTTTCGCATTGCTCAGAAGGTGGACGCGACAGCATCGAGAAGACACTCATACGGCGATTATCAAAATGATCGTCGTTCATTGAGAATGGGTCAAGTCTCGAAATGGACACTGGCTCCGAATCGTAATTTCGGTGATACGAAAAATTGAGTATAGGTCGCAGTTCAATATCCTTCATTCCTATGATCGGTGCCAGAAGAGCTGCTGGTCGTGGGAGCAACTCGGTTTTACCGTCAGAACTGGACACTGTATTCGTTGCCACGTAATTTCTATTCAGGACTTTCTCAATATAAGACATTGTTTGAGGAGCGATCTCTTCCCCATTTTCGTCCAGGACAACGTTTCTAATCTCTGGACGAGGAAGAGCGGGCCTTTGGATATTTTCATTATATCGGTTCGTGATGTTTTTCAGACTGTAGCTGTCTACAGATCTCAAAGATCTCTTGAGAGGTTTTTCGAAATTGTGATCGCTTGTGGACGAGGACATTTCTCGCGCTTGGCTCGCACAACCTTCTGCACGACGGGTTGGCTGAGGATTGTTACTCGCATGGCCGGTGTAGTTAGAAGGTGATCTCCCACGAATGACGAGTGGCGGCGTACGCATCTCTGAGACTGGAATAAAAGTTTCCTTACCGCTTCCCATAAGACAGTCAAGGCCTTTATACTGCGAGCCTAAATTTCGACCTAATTGCGTTCCATCAACGACGCATCCTAGGACGACTCTCAAAATGAAATGCTTATTCTGATGGGAAGGTTTTTTGGCATTGATGGATGAAGAAAATTGAACTCTCTCGTATCGCGCCACTTTCCGTATTTGATCTTCCGGATACGTCGAAAGAATGGCGTTCTTGCCGACTTGGCCACCGACCTCGTCGCGGTGATAAAAAAACAGAGAATCATATTTCTTCATTTTGGTTTCGTTTCGAACATTAGAGGCGTCTCGTATGGTCTGATGGTTCGGAAGCTCTGCGGGCACTAAAGCATGCAAAGGCGGTGCGAATTGCGGTCCTTTGTCGCGCTTGGCGGTGTGCTGTACTAGATTAATTTCGGACTTGTCCTCGTCGCACATGGCAACAATTTTCACGGCAAAATACAGTATGCGACTAGGCACGTGACTATTGTTACCATCTTCACCTACTGCAAGGAACCCGCTGCGTAGAAACTCGTCTGTAGGCATGGAGGCTTCGAAAGATGTTACAAGAGTGAAATAGTTGCGCTTGTACCCAATCCATTCGTTGTCGATAAAATCGAAACCTCTGTCGATTCTTGGAATCAAAGAAACTTTCACCTCTTGCTGCGTGGTTGCGTTAAGCACCCGAAAGTAATTTTTCGCGACTGTAAAGGAGGGTCCCACTTTGAATTGAAGTGTAGATCTTGGTGCAATCTTGAGTTTCCGCTTGTCAAAATAGCTGCTGGTGGTACCATCTTCGTTGACACAAGTCTGCATTCCTGTTTCTCGCGTACTGTCGGCTTGTTGCTCCTGTGAGTCTCTATCACAGTCATAGGAGTCAGCTTTACAGCCATTCACGTTCCGGCGATTGACTATATGCTTTCGTGTGTAGCCCATGTCTTCACTGCTTGCTTTTGTAACTTTGAGTAACTGACCTTGCAACCGTATAGCACAGATCTTATTGGAGTCAAGCGGCTTCTTAATTTACCTATTTTCCGGCAGAAGAAAGGTTGGCTTTCTAAAGAAGGATAATGACAAGAGATCGGCTACTGAGCTTGATTTTGTGTTTGTGGAGTTTTGCCCCCCTTTTTGTATCGTCTTTTGTTTCGCTGCGGGCGTGATTTTTATTAGCCGCCGACGTTAATGCGTCGAGATCATTCCGCATGAAAAAGTAAATTGCAGGGCAGAGAGAACAAAAAAGGGGCTGGGGCAACAAGGTTTTTTTTGAACCTTTCGAGTGAAAAAGGGAAGGAAAAGGTATAAATAGGAAAGGTTTTTCCTTGTAGCTTGAGCTTGCGCTTCGTGCTTTTTTTGCGGAAATGCTGTTTCAAAATTGGGAGATCCATCGTAGCTTTACATCCTAAGAAAGTGAGATTCCGTTTACAAAAGCTGTAGCTCTTGATAGTCCATGGTAGGGGTGAAAGCGAGTTCGCTGTTGCATTTATGTGAGCCTTTCACTAATTTGATCGTTTTTACGACCTTAAGATTCATTAAGTCCTTGAAAAGAAATTGATCCCAGGAAGAAGTATTGTGGGGGAATTTTGATCTTGAAAGATGCATAGGTACGACTTGGAGGAACGTAGAAATGTCATAAAAGATCGAATTATACGCTTCAGCTCAGCAGGTATTACCATTTGAAAGCCATCGAGACTCATAGCCCCAGGTACTCTTTTAGGACTCCAAGTTTTGAGGCTATGCCATTATGGGTTCCCTCAAGGCTCAGCGGCTCCCAAACATCGCTCCCATATATGCACGTTGAACTTTTTTCTTGCTTTTTTCCCGTCAAAAAAATTTACTTTCAGGTAAAAATCAAGAGATGAGATGCGCACTGAACTTAGCCAGAGCCAGACAAGAGTGTGCGACTCACAACATCATTCAGGCAACATGGCTAAAAAAGCTATTGATTCAAGAGTCCCTGCTCTCATCCGGAATGGTGCTCAAACGAAGCAGCGAAGCTTTTTCGTCATTGTAGGTGACCGTGCGCGGAACCAACTGCCGAATCTGCATTATCTGATGATGAGCGCGGATTTGAAAATGAACAAATCCGTTCTTTGGGCCTACAAGAAAATGCTTTTAGGATTTACTTCGCATCGCAAGAAGCGTGAGGCCAAAATCAAAAAGGAAATCAAGAGAGGAACGAGAGAGATTAATGACCAAGATCCATTCGAAACATTCATTTCCAACCAGAATATCAGATACGTCTACTACAAAGAGACTGAGAAAATTCTTGGTAATACGTACGGGATGTGCATTTTACAGGATTTCGAAGCTCTCACTCCGAATTTACTTGCCAGAACCATTGAAACCGTGGAAGGTGGAGGTATAGTTGTGATTCTTTTGAAGACGATGTCATCATTGAAACAGCTATACACAATGACCATGGACATCCACTCCCGTTACAGAACCGAGGCTCACGATGATGTGGTGGCGCGTTTCAACGAGCGTTTCATTTTATCTTTAGGAAGCAATGAAAACTGTCTTGTTGTAGATGATGAACTAAATGTCCTACCCATATCCGGCGGTAAAAATGTCAAGCCACTTCCACCAAAGGATGATGACGACATTTCACCCAAACAACAAGAGCTATTAGAGCTCAAGGAGTCCCTAGAAGATGTTCAACCAGCTGGATCGCTCGTTCAAATGGCTAAGACTGTCAATCAGGCGCAAGCAATCCTGACTTTCATTGATGCCATATCTGAAAAGACTTTTAACTCTACTGTCGCACTGACGGCTGGGAGAGGTAGAGGTAAGTCTGCTGCCTTGGGTATAGCTATTGCTGCAGCCGTTTCTCATGGTTATTCCAATATTTTCGTTACTTCGCCCTCACCGGAGAACTTGAAAACGCTTTTTGAATTTGTTTTCAAAGGATTTGATGCAATGGGTTATCAGGAACACATGGATTACGATATCATCCAGTCTATCAACCCGGCTTTCAACAAAGCGATCGTAAGAGTAGACATCAAAAGGAATCACAGACAAACTATCCAATATATCTTGCCAAACGATTCCCATGTTTTAGGGCAGGCAGAATTAGTGGTGATAGATGAAGCTGCTGCGATTCCGCTTCCCTTGGTGAAAAGCTTGTTGGGACCCTACCTCATTTTCATGGCGTCTACCATAAACGGCTATGAAGGTACTGGGCGCTCACTTTCATTGAAACTCATCCAGCAATTGAGAGATCAAGCTGTCAATGGGCCGACAGGGGCATCAGACACTACAATTGTTTCAAGAGACAACCAGAACCAAACTTCTCAACACAGCGGCCGTTCCCTGCGCGAAGTTGTCTTGGATGAGCCTATCAGATATGCACCAGGAGATGCCGTTGAGAAATGGTTGAACAAGCTATTATGTTTGGATGTCACATTAATGAAGAATTCTCGATTTGCTGCCAGAGGCACACCACACCCTTCGCAATGCAATCTTTTCATTGTTAATAGGGACACCCTGTTCTCGTATCATCCAGTATCTGAAAACTTTTTGGAAAAAATGATGGCATTATACGTTGCATCTCACTACAAAAACTCGCCCAATGACTTGCAACTGATGAGCGATGCTCCAGCGCACCAGCTGTTTGTCTTGCTACCACCAATTGACCCCAAAGATGGCGGTCGTATCCCAGATCCCCTCGTGGTTGTTCAAGTGGCACTGGAAGGTGAGATCTCTAAGGATAGTGTAAGAAATTCTCTTTCTAGAGGTCAGAGAGCTGGAGGAGACTTGATTCCATGGTTAATCTCTCAACAATTCCAGGATGAAGAGTTCGCGGGCCTGAGCGGCGCTCGTGTAGTGAGAATTGCCACGAACCCGGAATACTCATCAATGGGGTACGGTTCACGCGCCATTGAGCTGCTGAAAGATTATTACGAGGGTAAGTTCGCAGATTTAAGTGAAGATGGCGGCTCTAAGGAGTATAGTGTCAACAGAGTCAATGATGCCGATTTGAGCAAGTCTAGCCTGAGGAGAGATGATATCAGATTAAGAGACGCCAAAACACTACCTCCGTTACTGCTGAAACTTTCCGAAAAATCGCCTCACTTCCTTCACTACCTAGGTGTTTCTTATGGACTGACAACCAGTCTTCACAAGTTTTGGAAAAAGAACAAGTTCGTGCCTGTTTACTTGAGACAGACTGCCAATGAATTGACTGGCGAGCATACCTGCGTGATGTTGAATGTTTTAGAGGGCAGAGAATCCCAATGGCTAGTAGAATTTTCGAAAGACTTTCACAGACGTTTCTTGTCCTTGTTATCCTATGACTTCAAAAAATTTACAGCAGTTCAATCCCTAAACATCATGGAGAGCGCCAAGCAAGCCATGAAACTTTTTGGAGCGGACGACGACTTCGTTTCTGGGATCGATGTACTGGCACGCGATGAGCTTGATCGTATGTTCTCTCCTTTTGATCTGAAGAGATTGGATAGCTATGCTAACAATCTTCTTGATTATCATGTTATTGTCGATTTACTACCACTTTTGTCAATGATCTTTTTCGGCGGACGAACAGGCGATGGCGTAAATCTTTCAAGTGTTCAAAGTGCCATTCTACTTGCAATTGGACTTCAGCACAAACGTATTGACGATATCACAAAAGAGTTAAACTTGCCCTCAAACCAAACCATTGCAATGTTTGCCAAGGTCATGAGAAAATTCTCGGTGTATTTCCGCGAAGTGCTCAGCGATGCCATTGAAAGTACTTTGCCTAAAGCCGTTGACAACAACATTGCAGAGATGAATGGAGCAGAGGTGAAAGCGATCGATGCTGCGGAGACTTTTGACAGAATGCAGGATGATCTCGAGGAGGCGGGCTCTCAGGCAGTACAAGCTCTGCAGGCAAAACAACAAGAACTGATAACTTCATTGGACCTTGAAAAATACGCCATTAATGACGATGATGCCTGGGGTGAATCCCAAAAGGATCTAGAGAAGGCCGCTAAGATCAATGGATCCGTGAGTTTGAAAACGAACAAGAAGCGTAAGTCAGAAAATGCCGAAGACGTCTACAAACAGGAAATGAAAGCCATGAAAAAGGCTCAAAGGAAGAAGAAGAAATAATCTTCTCCCAGTAACATAGCTCAGAATTGTATGACTGGCTCGCTCTTCAGCACTATAGTGAGGGTCTCTGACAGAAAAGGTACCTGATAATTGATCACGTGTAACTAAGTAAAGAGGGACGATTTTCAAGTTATCAACTTAATAGAAAAATTTGCACTTTTGTCTTCAACCGAGACCAGGCTAACTTGTTATTTTTGATTCTTGATACAGGTCATTGGTAACTTTAGTATTCGATCTTAATTTGAAAGGAAATGGTTGAACTCGCAGAAATTAAGGAAGACCCGCGTCCTTTTGAAACGGAGGAAGAGGCTCAAGAAGTGCCTGCGCAACATTTGAAGCAAGAAGAAGATTCATCTGACGAGTTTTCAAGTGATGACGAATTTGACGAAGAAGAGACTATGCTTGAAAGACTTTACGCTCTAAAAGACATTGTTCCTCCAAAACAAAGACAGACGATAAGCAGATTTTTCGATTTTACAGCGTCCACCATCAGAAGCACATTTTCGAAGGGTGGAAATCTTGTGTGGGCGGTGACTACATCGGCTTTGCTGCTAGGTGTTCCGCTTTCTCTGTCCATTTTAGGTGAACAACAGTTGATCGAAATGGAAAAGAGCTTCGATCTTCAGAAAGATGCTAATGACATCCTCGCGCAGGGCGAGACTGCTCAAAGTCCTTCACCAGTTGCTGTTTAAGAACAAAAATTTAGATACGGACGAAACGAATTTTAAGGCATGACATCGGGAAGCAAATAACCTTTCTAGCTTGTACATAACTGCTGCAGTGAATATTATGAAGTCAATCTGACAAGATGAGCGCGGGATCAACTAGCAGCTTAGGCCTCCTTGGGATGCTTGATGGAAAGAGCGTAGATGTCAAGGAAAGTGGTGAACTCGTAGATGACTTCAGTGACAAACATGGCATGCAACCCAAGCGACAGTCCTAATCCAAGCCAATTGAGAGGACTGAGTACTGTAGCCGAGTCAATACCAACCATTTTGGAAGCAAGTTGAAACAGTAGTTGAAACAAGGGAATGAACATAGGTGGATTAATGATTGGGAATGATTGCATTGTTAAGTGCGAGACTATGACCCTTCCGACAGAAAAGGCCATAGTCAATCCAATGGTTAAAATGAAGGGCCAGCTGATTATGCGCGGATCATAAGCAATGACGATGAAAACTGTTGCAAAATAAAGGAAAAAAGGAATCAAACCTGCTGTGGCAGTTTGAACTTTCTTGTTAGCACTCTCAGTTGAATTGCTGGTTGACCTATAGTGTTGAACAACATTCCTTCTCGCGGAGATAATATTGAAAACAAGACCAACAGCACAAAACGCATTGACAATGTCAATTGTTTCAACGACGATGAAACGGCGACTCAAATAAAACTCGAACACCTTTGTGTGCCAAAGGGTTTTAGGCCCGTAGACACCTGTTAAGGTGAAGGCAGACACGATCATCAAGATTCCTTCGACAGGCCCAGAAAACTCGCTTAAAAATAGCTTATGAGTATGGTACTCTTCCCAGGTGCTGAGGTAAAAGTTGCAAAGCAGGGCAAATTGAGACAAAACAGTGAGCTTTGTCATTCCGGTGCCCACGGCTGAGCAGAAAACAAGCATTGATATCGTGGTGTTCAGAGAGTCAATGCAGTGATCAAAAAGTTCGCCCAGAGGACCTGATTGACCCGTTCTGCGAGCATGCGTACCATCGCACGCATCGAAAGTTTGATACATGAACAGCCCAAGGGCATATGAAAAATAGACCCATCGAGGCGCTTCTTTGGTCAATGTTGGATCATAGTAAAGTACAGTGACAATGTTGACCAGAATAAACCCAAATCCGCACAGCGTGACAACATTAGGAGCCATCCACATGGGGAAAACGTTGACAAACTTGTGCCAAAATGGTTTCAGTATATATTTGGTGATCAATGATCGATCCTCACTCTGGTATCTGAATTGTCCGTGGTTAGTTTGAAAATCTTGCCAATATCAAATAAATAAACGCAATGCCTCGGTTCAAACATACTTATATGCCCTAAGATTGGGCAATTTTGAATGCGGAATGAATATACCCATCTTCAACCCTGTCGATCCTTTATAATTTGCTTGACCTTTTATTTACCTTCCATTTCTTCGAGAGAGAACTGTTCATAGAGTTAACTTGATCGTTTGAAAATTCCCGTCTATTGCGACTCGCAATGGCCTTTTTGACCTCGCTTACTTGCACGTGCTCAACATTTTGGAGACAACACCCAGCAATTGGTCATTTTCACAGGCAGCTGCTACACGTTCCTTGTCATTGAGTTGCTTATTCACCTGATTTTCGCTTTGATGCGAGCCCTCTTTGAGTAAAATCGTCTTTCTGTATCGTGGAGGCAAACATCTGTCTAGCCTGACACGGATACCGAGTCCTAGCAGAGTTGCCAGCGAGCAGTGCGTTATTGTAGGAGTAATTTTCACTATGACTTCCGAAATACCGGTTTTATTGTCGTTTTCATGGACTTCGATATCTGCCAAATTGACAACGGCAAGCTGGCCCAAAGAAAGCGGATGCTCTGGATCTGAAATGTGGGCGATCAGATCGTATATTTCTTGTGGATCAAGTGGGTCTATTTCTTCATCTTCTTCGTGCTTCTGGTCGAGCGACAAAGCCTTCATCTTCAGATCGTTCACTTGCTTGTTTTGTCGCTCGATCGTCATTAGCCGATCCATAGCTTCGACGTCTTGGAAAGTCTTAGACGGAATCGAGCGCACAATCTTGAGTAGATTGCGCTTTCTTTCCAACCCAGCTTTCTGGACCTCATTTTCGAAAAGCACATCAAGCTCATCTTTACTTCTTGTTGGAAGCTGACTTTCTTCTAAAACATCAGGATTTTCGTTAATGAACTCAGACATCCCACTATATCGGATTTCTTCAGTTTTGACCAATTAAAAAATTGTTGACAGTACTAAACGCGGCGAAATGATTCCAGTTTAGTCTTGTTTTGGTCTTTCTTTAGCTTGTTGAGATTGAACAAGCTCAGTTCTTACATATCATCTTATCCATAAACTTACCAATAAATCTTTGAAAAGACACCACTACAAACATAACAACAAGCAATGAGCCAAAGAGACGTCTTGATCGTTGGAATCAGTGGCTGTTCATCCAGTGGCAAAACGGTATGCGCTTTGTTGTCGAATTTTTGTAGTTCGGGTTCGAAGTCTTGTACTAACTGCGTATAAGACAATTGCAAAACTGATAGCAGAGCTTCTACCTGGCGCAACTTTAATTCACGAAGACGATTTCTTCAAGCACGATGATGAGATTCCTTTAAATAAGAAATTTGGAGTCAAGGACTGGGATTGTCCTGAGGCTCTAGATTTGGATTTATTTGGTCAGGAACTGGATCACATCAAGGCTACAGGCAAGATTTCCGCCAAATTGGTTCATAATAACAACGTTGATGACGTATCACGATTCTGTGTAAGTAAAGAGACCAAGGAAACACTGAGAAAGGAATTTAATGCGTTTGAAGCTGCCAGTGACGTTCACGTTGTAGTCGTTGATGGATTTATGATGTTCCACGATCCCAAAATCGCCTGCAAGTTTGACCGCAAACTATTGATAAGGGCACCTTACGCCTCTCTCAAAAGCCGGCGTGCAGCAAGATCTGGATATCAAACGCTTGACTCATTCTGGATCGATCCACCCTTTTATTTTGATGAATTCGTCTACAAATCGTATGCTAAAAACCATGCATCTTTGTTTGAGGAAAACGATGTGGAAGGTAGAATAAGGAAAAATTCGGGTGTCCAAGACTATGTGAATGACGATGGCATGGATATAAACGATGCGCTACTTTGGGCTTGCCATCAAATCGTCTCGCCTTTGCCGAGTTTTTCTTCATAATGTGCGACGCTCGATGCCAGTATTATTAAAGAACAGGGCTTCTAAAATACGGTTTTCTAAGCGATAGGTACATGTGTGATATAGTGCACTGACAAGACTTCCTCAATAGTTACTACGCCCTTCAATTAGCAATTTTTGACCAAGCTATGATGAACATTCTCAGCTTTTCTCCAGGGACGCTGCTGAAGACAATTTACACAGCCCCGCTAAATGTGCACAAAAATGATTTCGGATTATCGCTAGATGTATCCTACATTACGCAGCGGCTAATCGTATGTTCTTATCCGGTCATTAAATATCCAAAAATGTTGTATCGCCATAGCTTGAAGGATCTCGTGCTGTACTTAAACCTGACCCACGGTACTAATTGCTGGAGAATCTATAACTTCAAAATTGAGGTCGGAAGCTCCGACTATAGCGATGAAAACTTGTATTCGTTAGTGAAACAATCTACACCGCCAGTTTGCTCAACAATTGACACAGGAACATACTTATCTGTATTTGCCGACAGCTCTTGCAGATCTTCATTGAGTGAAGTGTGTACTACTCGAGAAACCACTACGGAGGAAGTCACTGAAATTGAGAAAACCAACGCTATCATGCGATTTGGATGGCTGGATCACTCTCCACCGCCTTTTTTGATGCTGCAGGATATGATAGAAAGCGTTCATGAGTTTTTATGCGAAGATAGCGCTCGAGTTGTGGTATTCCACTGCAAAATGGGCAAAGGGCGGTCAGGAACAGTTGCCATCGCCTATATGATGAAATATATGCAGTGCTCTCTCAAGGAGGCCAGTGAAATTTTCTCAAACAATAGATTCAGGGGTGGAATAACTAAAGGAGTCACGATAGCGTCACAACTTCGATTTTTAAGATACCATGAGATGTTAATGTGCTTTGGACAAAGGATTGATGATCGGCTTGTTACAATGGAAATTGCCGCATGCAGGTTCCGCCTTGTTGAAATTGAACTCCATGATATAGCTACATTTCCTAGCATTGGTGTTGGATTTTCAAAACCTGTTATCGTTGCCAAAATGCAAGCTTTTAACAAACAGAGAAGCGCACTGAACGATTTGCTCTCAATCAATTTCGATAGTACCAACAACAACTGCATTTTTGAGAACGGAACGTCTTGTAAAGGTTTAGCAGCTCTCGTCCTCGATACTGCAGACCTTCGAGTTTCCTTCGCCATTCAGTCCGATGGCCATGAATTCATTAAAAACATTACACAACTCACTTCCTCGGCTCATTGTTGGCTCAATCTGTACTGGGAAACTGTTTTGTGCAGCAAAAGCGACTCATCCACTTACTATCGAAAAGTTGAGCTTCTCCAAGAACAAAGCCGCAGCCGAATATCGCCTAATCTCGCCGAATTCAACATCTCATGGGACGAACTTGACGGAATGAAGGGCTCACAGGTCAAGGGGTTGAGGCTTTTCCGCTCCCTAACTTTGAAATGGCATCTTTTGTAGTTTTTGAATGCTTTCTCAATTACAGTTTCTCTTCTAAACTTTACGTAAGAGCTCGAAATTATATCTCAATGCGATTAACCACCCTTCTCCTCACTCTCCAATTTCTTCCATGCGCCTTCAACGATTTTCGTCACCCATGCAAAAGACTGTATAGTAGCATCACCTAAAGGTTTTATATTCTTGGGCAGATAAGGAGGATATATCAACACTTCTCCTAAGACAACAATGGTTTTCCCATTCCACTCAGATTTGCTGATACTCTTATGTACAGCATCAAACACATATTGGCCCTCAGTAGTAACGTTTTTACCGATCAATTTACTTCTGCCCTGAGCACGCTTGATCTCACGCTGAAGGCTCTCTTCAACTTGCTTGATATCAACCTCATTAGGTTTAGGTAAATCTTTTCGAAAGCTCTCTGCTTGTTTGAGGTCCGACAAAACGTCTAATCGCTTGATGAAAGAGACTTTGATGATCTTGAATTGTTGTCGATGATTAGATTTCCCAGACATGGTTAAAGTAATTGTATTATTCGATGAGTTGTAGGAATAGATCCGTCCGACGGTAACACCATCAAGGACATTTGTAATCTTAACCTTAAAGCCCAAGATCAGCTCCAAGTTGATGCTCATTTATGGATGCTCGATAGCTCGCTCTGTCTGCCAAATTTCTTCAAGATTACAAGCTAATGATATTTTTTAACCTAAATCGATTAAAACTTGAAAGCCAATAGAGAAACTCCACTGGTAAATCGAACAAGGCTCATTAGCATGCCGGAGTCTGGTAAGACGCGTTCACCCCTTATAAGATCAATTTCTTCGAAAGAATTGAGGTTAAAAAGTGGGAGAAATAGCTTTTATAGCCATGAAGATGACAAAAACCACGATAATCGTGAGCGAGCCAACGAGGTTCACGATCAGCTCTTACATGATTTAGACCATCTATTTCATCGCAAACTGCACTTGAGCGAGAGCGGAGGAGAACGTGGGAAAATACGTAGTCCTCGTGGATCAGAGTCCTCTTTGGAGGTCAATAATGATCATAATGAGAACGATGAGGATATGGAACATGAAGCGGTTGAAGCCGAACAAGAAGAAGAAGATGAGTCTTTTGCCAATGTTGACGAAATAGACGGTCCCATTTCGCCTTCTTCAAGCGCGGGAAGCCTCAAGGATATGGTCAGAAAAAGCGGTAATGATTCACCAAGTGCGAAATCAAAGGCTCGAACTGATTCCGCACAGGAGAAAGATTATAACATGAAGGTGGATCAGGATTACCAAAAGAAACTAGACGAGAGAGCTGAAGAAATATCTCAGGGCATATTTGTACACCATCCCTCGAAAACAACACTGAATTGGACCCTTCAAGATTTTGTGTCCATGCGCGAAGAAATTCCAGATTGGTTTACCGCTGCCGACTACAGCTGCTTAAAAGTTTGCAAAGAGGCATTTGACAAGAATCACGACGCTTCTAGATATCTTAAAGACGGTAATTACTCAAGCCTCGTCCTTGAGCACTTGATCAAGGCCATTGACGATGATTCAAGGAATACAGAGATATTTTCTGCATTAGCTTATATCTCGATGGGGTTTTATGGCTCAACCAATAGCATCGAAAATCATTTGGCAGCGATAAACAAATGCAACGTCTCCTTGGCACCACATTTCCAGAAATTGATACACAGCTTCAAAGTGCACGCTGAACTATGTAGAGATGAGGATACACATCTCGGTGAACTGACTTCATTATTCTTCTTCTCTAGCACGATTGTGTTTTTCATCTGCAATGTTCTGATAAAGGAAGAGGCTTTGGAGTTACGGCTGAATGCCATCAACATAATCAACGAAAACGAAGTACTAAGTTTTTTGACCGAGTATATCGATTGCTGGCGTTGGAAAAGTAGACTTTGCATGCGAATTCGCAATATAATTATACTTTTGCATCGGCTCCTCCTATTACAGTTCGGGGATGGCGGTTTTCTCAAAGCGACGAAAGACTATGTGTTGAAAAAGCACAATCTTGAACATTCCAAGGCGTCTAGTAATCCAAGCGTACTCCAAATAAGTCCTCTGGATTACCATTCGTTTCGCGAAGACGTCGTGGCAAGATATCCCGCGTTTGTTCCGCCCGAATCGATAATGCCCGAGAGCTTTGACAATCCCACTTCTTTGTCTCAATTCTTAGAAATCCCACGTCCCAGGGCGAGAAGTACTATTAATTCGAGTCTTCCGATACCAAACTATAACCTAGCCACACCGGTTCCATCTCCTATTTCGTCTCCATCTCCGGCAGATTCACCTGGAGGGAAAGTACGAAAATCGTATCAAACAAATTTGGCATTCCCGTCGCCTTATCCTTCTGATGACGAGGCAGGTAACGATGAACTTGCATGTAGGATGGATTTACCCGATGAGAAAAGAGACAGTGAATACATACCGTACAATATTGTCGAAGCTGCTGCTATTCTGAATAAGAACATACGATGCAAGCTGTCTACGAAACAATTATGGGATGAGAGGAAATTGTTCATGGCACAAGAGAGGGGCTGGGCTAAAAATGCCGATAATATTCACCATGAGGTTTCATACGAAGATGATGACTGTAATGAGGCGCTAGTTATGCAACGGACCGAAAAATTTTACGCTGCATCGATGCCGAATTTCAGCTCTTTGATATGTGTGCTGTTGCAAATTATGGAAGCCAATTGCAGTAACTGCACTGTATTTGAAGAAGATCTCGCAAGTGGACGCTCACCAGAGACTTTCAAATCTCAGCTCGAAATGACGAGGTCGAAAGAAATCACATTGAAAGCGGCCTCGGGTGTCCTGTTTCTGTTGCTGAAATGGTTCAAGCTCAATCATATTCTGAAGTTTGAACATATGTGCGTTTTACTTTACGATTACCAATATATCAACATCGCCACTGCTTTGCTAAACAAAATATCCGAGCGATACTCAGACCGCATTTTCAATAAAACTATTGAAGCTCGGCATTCCTTTTGGACGGAGTGCGCCAAATTTTCTCCATCTTATGAAACTTCATTAAATGCAGAAATTCCACCAAAACTCAATGTAAGACTTTTGACAACAGAGGTCTATATTCTTAAAGTGCTAGAAAAGACAATAAGTTCAAAGACTCAGCGTCTAAAAGAACTTCCCCTATCGATAGGCTCTCTGTTCAAAAGATTCTATCAGTTCTCCAACCCTGACATCTATCATCCTATATTGAAGATTGTGCGCGAACTGACTCCATTCAAGAATAAAAGATGGAAATCTGAACATATGGATTTAATATCGGGTGTTTACTTGTATGAAAAGCTCAAATTAACAGATAATTGGGTTACAGGGAAAGACATCACCGGTGAATTGGGCGACGCTTGTGGTCAAGAAATTGCTTTACGAGCTCTTCTACAATTCTATAATTTCTCTCACTATCAACAATGCATGGAGCACTTTGGTTATGGCAAGAAACGGGATGATTCTTTCTTTGCCAAGGAAGCTGAGGTACTTGCTGGGAATTATTGACCATTCAGTTCCAAGAAGACTCCTTCGTATAATGTGATCAATGAATTCAGTGAACTTGTGGATGTTTTATTTACCTTTTGTTGTTGATGTTGTAGACGATAAAGATGATGAACTAACGCCAGATGGAGATCGAATCGAAGCTACTTTCTTTACTGGATGCTCTTGTTCCGGCCACAGCACCTGAAGATACGGCACAACGTCTAACGATTGAGGCCATGGCTCTTTTAAAGTCGTCAAATGTTAGCTCTGATCAAGTGATGAGAATAGTGCGAAGTAATGAAACGAAAACTGATTTGAGTGCACAGAACAACGTACAGTGGCGAAAAGTAGAAGCGATTTTACAGATGGCAGCCGGTTTGCAAGACATGCAAGAAATGTCACAATACTTAACGTTTATGGAAAACATGATGATGCGTTCACCTGTACCGAAAAGAGCAAATATCTATGGCTACCCGCTGAACCGACAATTGCTGGAAACGCACGATGGGTTTTTGGGCTCACCCCAACCTTTAGGCTCTTATGCCGAGTCTTTCGAAAACATAGATAAATTGTCGGATCGTAGATCTATGATTTCATCCGCGTTGCATCAAGACGATTCCAGAGCTCAAAATGAGGTGACTTTGTCTTCTTTGTCTTCCGCATTTTTCAGCACCATAGTAAATGAAGCCGAGATACTAAGGTATCTTCCCTATACGCTTCTGGGCACTACGTCAACTCTTTTTCTTATGGAAAACGGCAAGATTTCGATACCAAGCAACATTCCAAATGGTGAGAGTGGGATTTTACATCTAATATTTGAGGGAGCTTTACTGTATCAGTCTCTTCGTGACAGCCTTGAAAAATACAAGAAAACTGAGCAGCTCTCTCCCCTCAAAGTGTCATTTTTAAGCCATATCGCAGAAGAATTGAGCAATTACATGGCTTTCGTAAATCAGACTTTCAATAGGTTGCGAAATGGCACCCTTAAAGCTTTTTATATCGAGTTCATCGATTATATTTGCGAATTTCGAATTTATCACAAACTGACGCGAAACCTGGACGGTGTATGCGGGGCTGATCTACTCTCAGAACTGTACATACTGACTAGCCATGGCGATCAATTTGTAAGTCTTTTGGCCAAAAAACTTTTCGATAAGCTTGGTGCCCTTTATTTTGAATACCTTGTTAGCTGGCTAACAAAGGGTCAATTGAGTTGCCATTCGGAGTTCTTCGTTCAAAAGAATCCTGATGATAGCTTGATGGGATTGCCTTACCAATTGGTCAATGAAAAAGTGCCGACCTTCATTCCTTCAACAATTTCAAAGGAGGTTTACATGATAGGCAAAACATTTGTCTTTCTCGAGAAATTTTGTGGGGAAATACATTGGATTAATAGCCTATCAACAGAGTATCATCAGAAATACCGCAAGTTAAACAATTTCGCTGTGAATGAGGATTTGTTTGAACTGATACATTCCCAGCATGCAAAGATCAATCACTTTTGCAGAAGCATTTTAGAAAAGAAGTTCTTTTTACGGGAAATCCTGAGCATTTTAAAAGATGTTTTGTTGATGGGTAGAGGCGATTTCATCGAAGTCATGATGCAGGGATGTTCCTCCTCATTCGATCAACCCTCTAATATGTTACCAAGTTACCGTCTGACGAGATGTCTGCAAGACTCAATAAGACAATCGTCTCTACGAAATTTACTTGACAAAAGTGATCAGAATCGCATAATCAATGGTATCGACGCTCGGGTGCTTGAGCTGGGTCATGGTTCCATAGGGTGGGATGTATTTACTTTGGATTATGTCATAGGAAATCCCCTATCTTTAGTGCTGAATGTGGACGACAATGACGGCAGGAAACAATATCTTAGAATGTTCAATTTTTTATGGAGAATCAAGAGGAACAATTATGTTTTCCAGCGAGAATGGAAGCGAAAAAATGCTCTGGTTCGAGACTTCAAAAAGCTCAAAAGAAGTGGGTTTCTCGTAAGAGATATAATAGCCAAGTTGAACAAGGTTGATATTTTAAGGAACCAATTTTTGCATTTCTTGAGAAAAATCGAGTTTCATTGCCTTCAAAACATTGTGCAAAAGGGGTTCGTGAAGTTGCAAAGTAGTTTAACGTCTTTGGAAGAGAATTCCGAAGAAGGGCCTCGATTTACCTTCACAAAAACTTCTTTGAAAGTTGTTGATGGTATATTGGAACCTAAACAAGCATATTTGTCACAGCTTGCTCGTTTCGTCACGCCAAGCCAGACGCAAGTGCGCTACAACATAGATGATCTGCGATCTATTCACAATAGCTATATCCAAGGCATCGTTTCCGATCCGATGCTCAGCTCCACAAATCCGGACAAAGAATTGGGCCCTTACTCTCGTCAGCGCTATTCAACGACGCTTATAATACTTTTGGGAGAAATGTCTCAGTTCATCGAGCGTTATACACAGTTGAATGATGTCATATATGACATTCTGATTCAACTCAATTTGCATGGAGGCAGCGACGCTCACCCTTTGTTGGGAATTTTCAATGACACTTTGAAAAACGTTGTCTCTCGTTTCAAACTTGTTCAAAGTCAGTGTTTCGTTTTCATTAAAGACGTTAAAGCAGATGGGAATCCGGATTTGCGGAATCTGAGCAAGATTCTACGATGAATAATTTTGTAATTCACGAATATAAAATGAGCTCATGCTTTCAGACCTTCATAGGGTGACACATGCGACGAAAGTAGTTCTTCAACCCAGGTGACACCAGATCGCGTTCACGGAGACGGTTTTTACCGAGTTCACGATCGTGACTAGAACATTCTTTTTCGGAGATTCCATCATGAGAGTTTTCGTGATGAACCCAACTGTCAAATGAGTTAATTTTACTCTCCAGCTTTTTCCGCACACTATATTCGCGTAATAGAAGAACTAGTAGAAGGGCGCAGAAAAAGCACAATCCTGCAAAGATTTGAGTATGAATGTAGGGATTAGTTGGGTTCTTTTCTGTAGTTAATGCTTGAGCAACCACTTCACAGACAAGAAGGGCTGGCGCTCCAGATCCCATCACATAGCTCCATGCAGGTATGAAATCGCTAGGCTGAACAAAGTCTGCCACTAGGACGGTGCTCATTACATTGGCAACACCAATGCAAGCGCCTACGCAGATGGAGAAAAAAAGTAACTGAATGAAAGTATGGCTGGGGAGCCAAAATGCAAACAAAAATATAGTCAACGTCACTGTTAGGATAACAGTAACATTCATCCTGCCGAATCGATCTCCCAAGAGACCCATGGCTGGCCGCCCAAGAGTCTGGGCGGCATTGAGGGCTGTAGTCAATATAGATGCTTGATGGGGGCTCAAACCTCTGGCGACTGCGTACGGGGATAACGTGAACACCATCAAATTGTACCCAAACAAAGAAAGCGTAAACCATGCAGCGACGAGATTTACGCTGTACATTTTTGCCACCCGAGCTGAAATAGTCAATTGAAACTGCTGCTTTATGACCAACCATGATTTGGATCCTGTCGGTTTCAACGGAATGCGTTGTTTAACCAAGATGGCAGAAACAAGGCATGTGATAGCGCAAGCGATCGCCATCATTCGCAATGGCCAATTCTGATGACCGGTTTCCTGTATCAGCTTGTTAACAGCCAACGTATACGTGACGCCGCCGGCACCTGTTCCCATGAACGAGATGCCTATACATGCCGATCTTTTTTTCAAAAACCACCCCGGGAGAACTGTTGTGGCAGGTGCGAAGCTTAAAGAGATTCCGATGCCTACTAAAACTCCCTGCGTTAGATAGAGTTGCCACAATTTTGTGGCGAAGGATGCTAACATGAATCCCGCGAACAAAAAAATGATCCCAATGTACATCGGAATTTTAAGCCCCCAAAGTCGCATCAATAACGTGGAGATCGGGGCGAGACCTTGTCCCAGCGCCACTGTAAGGCCAGCTATAATGGCATAATCGTATTTCGAAGCTCCGGGAAAAACGCCGTTATTCAAATAGTAGGCCAGGTAGACACCAAATGCCGAGTTTGAACCCCATGTACTGAACATAATTAACGTAACGCATATGCAACAGACCCAACCGTATCCACCATCAGGCGGGAGATCTAGGTGGCCTGTGGACCGATTTGTGAACACTTTGGACACGATCTGTCCTCCATCTTCATATTGCTGACCTTCATCTTCGGCGTTAATGGCAGGTTGGCCCGTTTTGGCACCATCGATATTACTTTCCAGTCGCATCGCGTCTTCGACGTCAAATCTTTCAGTCAATATTCTGTTCAGCGAATGGGAGTCGATACTTGCATTATTATTGGCTTCATCATCATCATCATCAATATCACCTTGAGCTCTGCTTGTACTTCGCTGCGACCTGCCTGTCTCTGATGGTCGCCTGAAGTTGTAACGGGACAGTCGACTACGATGCCCATTCAGCACAGGCATTTCATTAATTGATTTTGGAACTCCGCCACCATCATGTAATGTGCTTCGAATAGAGGACGCTTGAGAGCTTTCTTCGCTACTCATCTCCTCCAGCAGCTAGTCGTTACTCTTGCAGCATCTAATGACCTGACTTTCAGCTCTCTATTTCTTATAGATCTTCGTCTACGTGCTATAACAAAATCTAAGCTCTCGTCGTGAGTCAGCTCTCAGCTCTGCAGTCGCTGGTTACCTTATCACTGCTTGCTAAGTCCCTGTGTGGCGGTTGTGTGTTCCCGAGGCTAGCGAGTTTGTCGGTCCGGTCTTTCCTTATTCGTACGTTGCTGCATAGATAGAGATGCTATGCTGGAGATTTCTTGACGAAATTGACGTTCAAAGCGAGCAAGCGATTTTGACAAGGCTAATTATCGATAAACGGCAGGCAGGATTATGTGTTAAACAGACCCTCATCAAGTAAATTGTTTTCGGATAATTTTTTTAAGGTTTGATTTTTCCGCTACTTGTTTTTCCGAATTTTTTTTTTTATAATTTTTTGACACATTTTCGGACTTTCCTAAAGGGATATATTTCGGAAAAGAAACTCGTAGGACCTTACAACAGTTTGTACCCGTATTCGTAAAGCGGGTGTTTGTCAAAGAGGAAATGTAATGTCATCAAAATGTTTTGTTAGAAGTTTCTTTTTTTGTCTTTGGCGTACATAGTGATTGGTATTTCAAAATCAGAGACTTCGAAAGCGATGAGCTGACAAGAACAGGACGAACGGCATTGAATCTTAAACACATTGACTATAGGAAGTGATTTTTAGCTTAGCAGAATACAATGACCGAGACTTTCGAAAAAGCTCTCAAAAATTCAAAAGATACGGCTCCTGTTAGTCTCCAAAACGACGTTGATTTGGCAGATATCGAAAATCTATCGAGCGATGAGGGCGAGGTGTTACCGTCGAAAGCTTCGAATGAAAAGGCTGATGAAGAAAGAGCTGATGTGAGGTCTGAGAGCAATTCTTCGCTTGCAAAGCCCGACGAAGACGCAGGTGTTTCGAAAGACCCTGTCGCAGATACGCTTTCCGACAAGGATCCCAGTAGCGATGAGAGTAGTGAAAGCGAATCAGACGATGACGAGTCTGTGTCTTTGGGTGGTGACGCTGCTGATATTGGTGCTAGCGCCGACGAAGACGAAGATGCGACACAAGAACCTATTCGATCCAAAAACGAAAGCGCTGAAGAACCACTGCCTTCTCTTCCTGATGGATTTGAGGTCGGGCCTGAGACACCAATTCACGAAATGGGGGTTTTGAGTAAAGCTTTCGATTTTAATCTCATCATCCAGGCTACAACCTCTGCTGAACAGCGGGTTCTAAAAGAAGGCTCAGTTCTTTGTTTAGAGGATAGAACCTTGTTGGGGCCGCTGTGCGAAGTTTTTGGGCCACTTCAATCTCCGTTCTACAGAGTGTCGTTCCCCAAAGATCAGAAAGAAGCATTTGATAGACTAAAAGCATTGACAGGGCAAAAAGTCTTTTTCGTGAGGCCCGAAGCGCACTGGCTCGATACCTTCGATTTGAAGCGTACAAAGGGTACTGATGCCTCGAATGGCTTCGATGAAGAGCTTCCAGAGGACGAACAAGAATTCTCCGACGATGAAAAGGAAGCAGAGTTCAGAAAAAGAAGAAAATTAGCGAAGAAGAACGGTGACGGTGAGAAACTAGAGACGATGGCCATTAGTAAGAAGCCTCAAAAGTTAGCTGTTGCTCGAAGTGCAAAGAATTTGCCTGGTTCTGCCGGAATAGCTTATAGATCCCGCAATGCAAGACAAAGCGAGAAAAAAGACAATCATCAAACTACAGGCGGTTACTCTGCTTCTCAACCACAGGTACCTCTACAGTCTGTCGCGCAGGCGCCGCCAGCGCAACTGGGTTATGGTTATATGCCAACATACGCTAACCCGTACCCGCAAAATTCGTATCCCACGCCCCAGGCGAATGTCATCTATCCGCAACAGGCTCAATTCTCAGGATATCCAGGTGCGAGTGGGGCACCGTATTCACCTCAATATGCTGCAAATTATGCCAATCAAGCACAATTATATAATGCGAACTATGGCCAGCAGCATTCCCAATATCCACCTTACGGGCATTTCGCATTCAACCCTTCAACATACAATCCAGTTTCTCAGCAGCCGCTCTACCAAAACCAAAACGCCGCACAAGTTGCAGAGCTTCAGCGCATTCTAATGCAGCAACAACAACAACAACAACAGCAATATCCACAGCAGCATCCACAACAGCGTCAGCAGCAGCATCCACAGCAGCATCAACAGCATCAGCCTCAGTAAGACCAACTTTTTCAAATAAAGCACATAAATAACACAACGACACTCTTGTAACAAATACTTTTTACGTTTTATTTAGGCTAAAATTCTAGTAGCAACCTCAAGGGCATCTCGTGGGAATCCCGCCACTTTCGCAATTTTCAACGCATCTGATGAAGTACAGACTCCGGGCTTGAGCTGGTGATCATAATGAAAAATATTATTCCCGCTCTCCACAATCTCAGTTTTAAGGCAGCTTATCTTTTCTCTAATGCCTTCTCCCTCGGAACCTTGCATGATGTTTATTATTTCGCTACCGAAATGTGTAGCGAAGAGAGAACGACAACGATTAGATTCCATTAAATATTTGAGTGTTGCAAATGCAATGCTAACTCCTTCTTTGCCGCTTGTGCCGCGTCCCACTTCGTCCAATATTGCAAGAGACTTTTCTGTCGCACCTCTCAGGATATAACTCGTTTCCACCATCTCGACCATAAACGTGCTCATTTCGTTATACAGATCGTCGGCTGATCCCACCCGACTGAAAATCTTGTCAACTAATCCAACATGAGCCTTTTTGCATGGAACAAAGCATCCGATCTGAGCCAAAATTACTATGATAGCGTTTTGCCTCAAAAATGTGGATTTCCCACCCATATTTGGGCCTGTTACCATCCATAGATCTCCTGATGATAGACGGCAATCATTTTCAGTAAATCGACTCAGTGATTTAGCACCAAGGGCTTCTTCGACGACAAGATGTCTTCCGCCAACAACATGTAAGGTACTGGTACCACTCACCTCCGGGCGCACAAGATTTTTTTCCTTGGCAAGTTTCGAGAAAGATGTTAACACGTCCAGATAATCCAGCGCTTGAGCCACTGATCGAATTTCGGCGCTCTTTTTTATGAAGTTAGACTTTAAGGCCTCTAAAACTCTTGATTCTTCTTCTTTTATCTTCGAATTCGTGTATTCGAGCTTTTGACCGATAGATGTCCAGCTTTCATGGCTCAGCCAACAGGTTTGAGATGATTTTTGAATGATATGAAAGTTGTAACCGCGAAATGAAAGTTCATTTTTGACACCTTCAATCAATTTCCTTAAGTTGGTGGGAGTTCCAGATACATAAATCGCAAACTCATTAGTCTGCTTCAATTTGAGCTCAGCATTTCGAATTTGATACTTATCAACAAGAAACAGCGTATAGTCGCTTAGTAATTCCTTTCGCTCATCGCACAGAACTTGATATTGATGGTGCAATCGCGCTAGCAGTTCACTAGAATTATGCCTGACGACCCACGGAACGTAGTTTACCCCTAAGTCTGCTTTATCTGTCACTTCATCAGTCGAGCTTTCTGATTCCTGGCCGCTACTAAAGTAAAATTCTGCCAGCTTTTCTTCGTCTAGTGAAGAAAGCACATCGGAGACTAAAGATTCATCGAAACTTAGCATTTCGATCAAGTTCGAAAATATGCTGCCTCTCTTTGAGTACCCACCCATCGCTATCAGTAATTCTTTAATCTCTTGAGATTTTTGAAGAGAATGTGACAGTTGTACTAGTTCCATGGCATCACCTTTCCCAAACGAAAACTTCTGCAAAATTTTTGGCATATCAAATGTTTGTTTCAAGATATCAATCAAGGAACTTGAGATCTCTGAACGTTTTTTAAAAAGTGACACTAGGTCGTGTCTTAGCTTGATTTCAGCAAGATCCATGGTGGGACCCGCCAACCATTGCGTCAGCAATCTAGTACCCGAGGGTGTGACAGTACGTCGTATTACCGACAGTAAAGAACCCTTCTTAGAGTTGGTTCTTACCGTGAAATGTAGCTCTAAGGCAGAAGACGTTCGGGAATCTATTTGCATTACGCTGTTTGTCGATTGCCTCTTGGGAATTTGAAGATTAATTGCAGTATCCGGCATGTGATCTTCCAAATACGCCAAAATGCGCTTGAGAGCTCCTCTCTCTTTCTGTGTGAAGTCCTGGAAGATAATATCGGCGTTTTGCTGGGAGTATGAAGCAAAGGAGGCATTGAAAAGACCGGAAAATGACTCTAGAGTTCTGTAATGGGAAGGCAGTTTCTGGTATTTCAAAAAGTATTTTTTAAAAGAAACAAGCTCTGGGTACCAATCACCGGACTCAATGCTGAATTCCATGATGCTTTCATCTAGAAGAATTTCTTGGGGCTCTACCCGCGTGATTGCTGATACGAGATCTTTCAGGTGTACTTGTTGAGCAAAAATCTCACCTGTAGAAACGTCACACCAACATAAACCCACCTTGAGATTGATGTCAGCTAAATTCCTCATACAGTTTTCAGGGAAGTCAATACTCAAAAGGTACGTGTTTTCCTCAAGATTCTCAAAAGCTTCATCGATGAAAGTTCCCGGTGTTACAATTCGTGTAACTCTCCTAGAAAACCGCTGAGTTTCATTGTTCGCTACTAAATCTTTCTTGAATTGATCTGCAACTGCCACACTATAGCCGTGATCTCTGACTAAAACTCTTAAATGCCGTCCGAGCTGGTGAACGGGGAAACCCGCAAACGACACTCTGCCCAGCGCGTAATCTCGACTAGTTAAGGTCAGATTTAGCTTCGGAGCGTATTTTTCGGCATGTTCGAAATATAATTCGTAAAATGATCCCATTTGTGTGAGAACAACATGGCCCTCATACTTATCCATAATTTCTCGTACATATCGAAGCGACGGTGGCAGAGCTTTTTCTCTCCGTTTCTGCGAACCAACCAGGCCTTGATCAGGTGCTATTTCCGCAGCAATTGGAACTTTGGTACTTATGCGCTCATTTTTAACTGCGGTTTGCTGAATCTCTTCCCACTTTATTGTAAGCTTTTCTACTTGAGGATGTCGAACTACTGCTTGTTTCAATCTTGCTATGCCTTTAATGGAGAACGCTCTTGAATGTAGTGCTATCAAATGGTTTGCTCGACCACATCTCACCAACATTCAATTTCTCTAAAGTGTACCTTAATGATGGGCGAACTGTCTGTACTGTGATTGTCAGAAAAATGATTTCTCTACTTAAAACAAACGAAAAACAAACTAATATTCCGAGAACACCTTTGACGAGACTATTAGCGCTGATCGCAGCTCATTTAAATGCGCTTAATGCTTGACGAACTCTTTAAACCATATGGCGTAGGAAGCAATCAAATGTAGGGCGCCTTTCGCTAAGGTTCATTCTCTGCCAGCGTATGTAATTCTACAATAGCTCAGTTTAGGTAGCCTTTGCAACTTGGAGCACCACAGAGACAGCGTAGTCTTTCCTTGTCGTCGGCTTCTCTTTCGAACTTATAATCGTAAGTAAGCTCTTCATTTGCAGCGATATCTCTTAGTGCATAAATTACAATTCTTTTCCTTCCTCCAACCCGTATAATTCTTGCAGTACAGCTAGGCTCACAGCAATGATTGATAAACCTAGCAATTCCACCTTTTTTAGTTGCATCGATGACTGTTGATTCATCAACTCTGAAGAGATAACTGGATCCTATACCATTTCTCAAATACCTTTCTTCTCTCATCTCTGATACTGGTTGTCTTAGAATTTCTCCCACATATTCGATAATCATTTCCTTCGCGGCGATCGGTTCTAAGGCATATAATCCCCAGTTGTGTATAGCCGACCGAGCAAAAGTCACTGGCTTTTTACGCTTCGTCAATTGATTCAAGGTCAGCAGTTCGGATTCAGATCCAATAATGGCCTTTTGGGCCTCGATATCCTGTTGGAATCTCCTATTCATAGCACGATTCACACGCGATGAAGAAATTTCCGGCATATTTTCCGTTTCCGGATTTTCAATTACGGTTTTGCTGACGTCCGTGGTGCTCTCCGTGACGTCGTTGTGATGATGAACTGTGTTGAGCGGCTGATGAAGCCTTCTTCTGTGAGGTAAATACAAGGTCTTTTGCTCATCTGGAATTTTTTTGAATCCTTGCGCTGTGAAGCTAATGCTTTTGCCTACTAATGGTATATCGAGGCAGCTATCACAAATAGCCTTTTGTGCTGTTACGACTTTCTTTTGCCTCAAAGCCATATTTCTCAATTTCCAAACCAAATATTCTATGTTCGTTACTGCCGAACGAGCTTCTAGCTCATTTTTGTCTTCATTAACAATCTCTGTAAGAAGTTCCATATCTTCCTCGTCTTCAATTGCTTGTTGGAAATCTAAAAGTGAAAGTAGCGTATGCCCATCAATATCAAAGTATCTTTCGGGGTATACGGGTAATGGTTTATGCGAAATGCGAGGCTTGAACTTATCTGAAATTCTAGCATATTCTTCGTGTCGCGGTTCGGTTAAGACGAGCTCCTTCGTGTCCGACTCTGGAGTAGTTGCTGCTGAAGTATCAATTTTTTGCTTCTTATCGTGATGCTCATCGAAGGTATCATTGAATATAGGACTCTCCTCTCTTTCCACCTCGCTTAATGATTCATCTTCCGACGTGGACTCGGGTTTTGGAGTGGCCTGCAGGCTGGAGCCATTTTCTTCTTCATTTAGCATATGCGCAGTTGGCTTAGAAAGACCAGAATCTTTTTCAGATCCATCTTCGTTGTCTCGTGAGGACAGCTTAGACGAGATGGACCCCAATTTCGTAAGTCTGGGCTTTCTGTTGCCCTTCAAACGTGCTCCGTATAAGTTAAAGATGTCAAATTTGTTCATATTTGTCTCTTTTTTTGATTTCATCTCATCAGCGGCCGCTTTGGCAGACTTACGCTTCTCTTTTTGCTCATTCTCCCGTCTCGCTAGGACGTCAGGGAAATTATGCGGATTTAGCGTATCAAAAACACCAGGTCCAATCAGACGTCTTCGAATGTCACGTTCTACTGCAACCTTCAACTCTTCTAAAATCATTGCAGTTGCAGTTTGAATGAGTTCATCCTGCGACTCATAAACTTTTCTTGACTTCACCTTGTTTTCTCGCCTGGCTTGCGGTTTTGGAGGAATTATGAGCTGAAATCGTATTTTGACCGGCTTTCTTCTCCGCTTAGATATAAATGACAGTCGATCATGTTCCATAACTTGACAAGCGTTCGCATCGGCTTTATCATTGAAAACAATATATATCCCGGAGGGATGCGCCAACACTCGAGAAAATTTGTATTTTGCGAGCTTAATTTTGAGATCTTCTGAGGTTACTCCATGAATAGAAATGAATTTCTTGGAAACGCAAAGGCAAGGTCTTCCGTTAACAGCCATTTCTAAATCTCTTGGAACCCTTTTGTCAGGAGCCGTTGCGGGCGCGGCAGCTTGCTTCTGCTTTTCAAGCTCGACTAAAACCTTTTCGGCTTGCTTTGCATTTTTTTTAATTATTCGGTCTTTGGCTTGTTTAAGGCAGTCACCTTTGTTCAAAGCCACGGCGAACTTAAAGCCTGCAACGAAATAGTTGCGCTCTTCATGGGCTTTTGCAGCTTTGTATGCAGATCTTGAGGGCGCGTCCAGATTTCCATGGGGCCCTGTAAACCTGATTAGGTATACATATAAAGGAAGAGCGCTGTTGGGGTCGTTGAAGCTCTCAAAATGAGAAATTTCGCCAAAAGTGGTGAAATAGTTTTTGATGATGACATCTTGCAATGCAGCTGTTGGCTCGCACATTACAGGGTACACGACAATTTCGTTCGGGGCAGGGGGGCCCACCGAGTTTTTGTCATAAGCAATCCTCGCTAACGGTGCAAATCCGCGCCTCAATTTTCGATGACTTGCAGTAAAATTAACGCCTCCCGTAGATCTAGGATCGGCAGCGCGTTGTTCCGGATGCCTTTGTTTCATGACTGGACGCCGCTTTCCGCCTACGTCTTCTTGCATTATGACATACCCTGTTGCAGGAAGTTTATCTGATGCCCAGGAATGCATTTCCTCTTTGTGCAGTAATCTCTTCGCAACTGGATCAAAATAGTGGTATTTTTCTCGAAATGATTCCACATTGTAGCGAAGTCGAGGCAGCGGCCTCTGAAGCGATTCAGGCCGATAATTCCCGCGAGACTTCTCTTTGTAATCCGGTAAAGAGCCATATTTATCATGATATGTGTTGGTCATATTGTGTTCGTATCTGCTTGTAGCTGCTCCAGAGTTCAATGACCGGTTATAGCGTCGATTGTCTCCATAGTAGTCTCCGTGGTAGTCGCTTTTTGAAAAGCCATAACCTCTAGATCGTTTCTGCGACGAAATATATGGTCTTCTACCGTACCCGGACATCAAATACGATTGAAACCACTTCGTTATTCAATTTTTCAGGTGTCCGTAAATCTCAAATCAAGTCTTGAGAGTAACGTAAACTGTAATTTCACTACCTTAAAGAGACCACGTTCAAAGCTGAAAAGCGTCTCAAATAATCGCTAATTTGATCAAATGATATGTGAGCCTGAATCAAAGAAGAAGTGCTGGTAGCAAATTACGAAGCGGAGGTTAATGTCTTTGACTTGAATGTCGTGAACTGGGTTAATTTAATTTTGTCAAGTGTGATGAAATTTACAATTGAAGACATCGCGATCCATAGTTACCGCGAGAACAGAGAATTTAGCTAGTTTGGCTCGCCGGACACCTTACGTTTAGCCTTGTATCTCATGTCCGCTCAACAAATTCGAAGATGTATAAGCGATATTTTAGGGATTTCTGCTGACGATTCTTCGAGCAATTGGAACCAAGGACGACTGAAAAAGCTTCAATCAACGACGTCAACTCTGTACAATATCTCGCTGTCGAAAGTGATGCTCAAGCAAAATGAAGAGATTGGAAGGGCACACATATGTGCATATTTGGCCACGGAACGACTTGCAGAGAAACATGAGCCTGGACTACGTTACTATTCGGACAAAATACCCTTGGAACCAAGGCACGCGCTCAAAGTTATGGAACTTTTCAAAACAGCGCTTTTGAAAGGTTCTCCGGCTAAACAAATAAATTGGTCTCCAAGCCCAAAGAAGTCCTTGAGCCCTGTGAAAAATGCCGGTCGCTTTACGTCAATGAACCCAGATGACCTTCGAAGACAACTTTTTGGAACACCTACGAAAAGCGATGTGAAATCTGCTACACCCAAAATTAAGCCAGCGGATAATCATGAAGAGTCATCTCGAAATGAAAAAGGTCCGAAGGATGCCTCTACAAGAAGAAGACTGGTCTTCGAAGATGAGGATCCTGATCCCGCTGTCGATAAGGGCGGTTTACGCGGTAAATCCATTGAACTGCAAACTTCAAACGGTTATAAAGTAGATTCGGAATCTAGTCCCGTTACGCCGAGAAAGAGGGCCAAATCTACGCAACTGAGCGCCGGTTCACCCAAGAAATCGCGGTTTCAAGACACTCCATACCGGTCAGAGCTCTCAGGTAGCGGTGATACTGCCAATCGCGGCTGTCTGCTTTACAAAAAATATTGTCGAGCAACGCCCTCTGAGATCGTTGAACTCTGTAACCATTTCGAAATCCCAAGCGAGATTACCTACAGAATACTGGACAAGTTCAGTGAACATGCCACTTATCTGGTGTACCCGTTTCGACTCGTTTGTGGCCTCATTTTGAACTGCTGTCAAGTCATTTTCAGTGACAAGAGAAAGCAAGACCCCAGAATCGACGAGTACCTGTTCAAGAAAATGGGGCTACTGGTCAAAACTTCCAATTTTTCAGAGATGAAAGAGTGTATGAAAATGGTGAGGGAAATCATCGATGGTGAGAAGTGGTATCGTGCTCTAAAGGTCAAGCACAATTTCTACGATGGTGTAGCCTACGAAGAAGCAATTGCTATAAGACTCGGAAACATGCTACAGCGATCCTCCAATATTGCCACGGAGGAACAATATACGTCTTGGAAACACAAGACGCTAACGGATTTGACGCTAAGAGATGGGTTTCACTGATCGATGATGCCCTTGATATTGGCTGAAGTAAGGTATCATGTGATAGTCCCGGGTACTACTTAGCTGTTGAAAAAATTTTGACCGCGATGAATTTTAATGAATACCAATAGAGGTTACGAGGTTAGTTGAAGTTTCAAGATTGAAACGATCGCCTTTTGGTAAGCCGAAATCATAGCATTATAGTATTGAGCATTTACACTTAATTTCCATTATTAAATTTGGATTTGAAAAATGGCGGAATTGAACGGTAAAAGGCCATTTCAAGAAGTAGTTGACATTTCTGATGAAGAAACTACAGCTAAAAGGCCCTATTTGGATGAGACCGACACATCATCGAGCGGAGATGACTTAGTTGAAGATTACTCGGAGGCCGAAAATATCGTGGGACATGCAGTAGATTCAAGCAGTTATGCCAAATGGCAAAACACGATATCGAAAGTAGTAAGCTCAGTCGTCTCTATACATTTCTCACAAGTCGCGCCGTTCGACTGCGATCCTGCTTTGGTATCAGAAGCCACGGGATTTGTGGTAGATTCAGACATCGGCATAATTCTTACCAACAGACATGTGGTTGGAGCGGGTCCATTTGTGGGCTACGCTGTTTTCGACAATCACGAAGAATGTGACGTGAAACCCATTTACAGAGACCCGGTTCATGATTTCGGGTTTCTGAAATTCGATCCTAAAAGCATCAAATACATGAACGTGCAAGCTCTCGAGATAAGACCTTCGCTGGCTAAGGTTGGCTCTGAAATCAGAGTCATTGGTAATGACGCTGGTGAAAAGCTCAGTATTTTGGCAGGCTTTATAAGCAGACTTGACAGAAATGCACCTGACTATGGTGAATTAACCTACAATGACTTTAATACCGAATACATTCAAGCCGCCGCCTCGGCCTCAGGTGGCTCCTCGGGGTCTCCTGTCGTCAATGTCGATGGACACGCAGTTGCGCTCCAAGCTGGTGGCTCTACAGAGGCCTCTACCGACTTTTTCTTGCCTGTTGATAGAATATTGCGTGCATTAAACTGTGTACGCGAGGGAAAACCTGTCACGAGAGGTACTATTCAAACGCAGTGGCTTTTGAAGCCTTTCGATGAATGTAGGAGACTTGGTTTGACTTCAAATCGGGAAAGTGACGCACGGAAGGCTTTTCCAGATAGAATAGGACTACTTGTTGCCGAGACCATATTGAGAGAAGGGCCAGCAGATGGCAAGATCAAAGAAGGTGATACGTTAATTTCAATCAACGGGGATCTAATCGCTTCTTTCATTCAGGTTGACGACATTTTGGATAGCAGCGTTGGCAAAGACATTAACATTCTAGTTCAAAGAGGTGGCCGTGATATTGCATTAACTTGTACAGTAGGCGACTTACACAGCATTACGCCCGCCAGGTACCTTGAAGTGTGTGGCGCGTCTTTTAATGACCTTTCATACCAGATGGCTCGCTTTTACGCTCTTCCCGTACGAGGCGTATTTCTGAGTAGTGCATCTGGTTCTTTCAACTTTGATTCGAAGGAGAAAATTGGGTGGATCGTCGATGCTATAGATAATAAAGAAACGCCCACTCTTGATGATTTCATCGAGGTTATGAAGCAAATCCCTGATAGAAACCGTGTGACAGTGCGATACCACCATCTGACAGATCAGCACTCTCCACACGTCACGACCATTTACATTGATAGGCACTGGTGCAGTGAATTTAGACTGTACGAACGTAATGATGAGACTGGAATTTGGGACTACACGAATTTAGCCGATCCTATTCCGCCTCAAGGGATTGTACCGCATCAAGCTAAATTCATCGATTTACCTATTGAAAATAAAGCACTTTCAACCTTGGCAAGAAGCTTGGTCATGGTGAGTAGCGTATCTCCAATTCCACTTGACTCACTCTCGGCGGAACCTAGAAAAAGTTCAGGTCTTGTCATTGATGCAAAAAAGGGTTATGTGGTTGTCTCACGGAGGACCATACCTCACTATTGTTTGGATGTGTTTGTCACCTTTGCGGATTCGGTGATTATTCCAGCATCTATTGTTTTCCTACATCCTACTCAGAATTACGCTGTGATTAAATATGATCCAGCTCTCATTGAGGCCGATGTTGTGACGCCAAAATTCTCTTTCACAAGATTGGAGCGCGGTGATAAAGCTCAATTTATTGGATACACTCATAACAGCAGGTTGGTCTCTTCTGATACCAAAGTGACTGATATATCATCTTTAAGCATACCCAGCAATTTGATTCCAAGATATCGCGCTACCAATCTAGAAGCAATTGGAATCGATTGCAACGTTAGCACAAGGTGTAATTCTGGTATCATTGCAGATGAAGATGGTACTGTACGTGCCCTCTGGTTGTCTTTTTTAGGTGAAATTCAGGACGGTAAAGAAAAAGTGTACCTTATGGGATTGGATTTGACGGATATGCGAGAAGCGATTTTAATTCTTAAAGCGGGTCAAACGCCCAAGGTAAACATTGTTGATGCAGGCTTTGGATCGATCACACCTTTGAAAGCCAGAATTCGTGGGGTTCCTGAAGAATGGATCAAGAGAATGGAAGACGAGTCTGAGGACAGATTTCAATTCATGACTGTTACTAGGGTGTCTTTTGCGGTTGAAAAAACTCTTGCACCAGGCGACGTTATTCTTTCTGTCAACGATAAACTTGTCAAAGAAATGCGTGATCTTGATGGCATAATTACAACAGAGGACGACGCCAGTGCACCTCAGACACTAGCATTTAAAGTGATGCGCGGGGGCAAAATTTTAAATCTTAGCGTGAAGACGCGGCAAATCACCGAAACAGACCATCTGGTCGTATTTGCGGGTTGTATTCTTCAAGCACCTCATCACGCGGTTTTGCAGGCCATGTTGCAAATACCAAGCCGTGTGTATTGTACTTTCCGAGGTCAATCGTCACCAGCCACGCAATACGGGATTTCATCTACCAATTTCATCACGCATATCAACGAGATTGAGACTCCTGATCTAGACACGTTTTCGAGCGTTATAAAGCAAATCCCAGACAACACCTATTGCAAAATTCGTCTTGTCACTTTCGACAATGTGCCATTTGCCATTTCGCTCAAGACCAACTACCACTACTTCCCAACGGCAGACTTGAAAAAGGATCCAGTATCAGGAAAGTGGATCGAGTCTGAGTTAACAAAAACGGAGGCAAAAGCATAGAAATCGCAAAACTATCTGAATGATTTTTATCAACCTTGTTGACACTTTACTTTCCTTATATATACATGTCGTTACGTAAAAGGATTTTGACTATTCTGAACTTCCCCATCCTTCAATTGTAAGGCAGCAACCTTTTGAGATGTTTCAAATGCGTAGTGTGTGCCAATGCTCGTCCACTGAGACTTTTCAATGAGGATCTGCTCCAACCTGCATTTCCATGATTTCTTCCAGCTTTACCTCTCTTGAAGCTCGTAGATGTCTTTCTCCATCGTTTAGCAGTGCCCTTATGTGTTTTCATCAACGTTCTAACTTGCACAGGAAACATTGTACCTTGCAACCCAAATCCCACTCTTGTAAGCCCGTTGAAAAGCCCTGATTTTAACAAGAAAAACATGATCGAGTGTTTCCTGGTACGAGAAGCTACTAGAGGCTATCGGATGTAATCAGATGCTTGACATGATATTCCTACAAGATGAGTTTCGTTGATTATCGTAACAATTCTGAATTTTTTCGAGAGTTCATTCATACGAAAGACGAAAACGACGGGCATCATGTCTGTCACTGACACTAACGAAATTCCAAGCAAAGACCAACAATAACCTGTGACAGATAGACAAACATTCACAGGTTTGTGATCTGACGCCAAAGACATAACACGTAATTGTATTGTTATACATACTTTCAAAGTGTTCATTCTTGCAATTTTGAGTGACGGAAAATATGGACTTTGTTGATAATCGTACAGGTTCGATTTATTGTGACGAAAGAGATTTATGCGATCAAGTGAAGGCACAAAACGTTTTGCTGTGGAGTTATCCTGGTCAGATAGGAAAAACGCATATGCGTGAATGTCGTAGAGTTGATCGGTTGTACAAATTCCAAAATCCACATGGTGGACTAGTATCGTTGCGTGAGGTGTGCGATAAATTAGATGGAGTTACGGGAGGTTGCAAAGATGGCGGAATTTAATGATATTTTGGTGATAGTTGGGAATTTTGGGGAGAATGTTTATATTATTATAAGGTTTACATGTCAGTGGAGTTTGGAATTGGAAATATGTCAAAAAATAAGTAGGAAATAGCTCTTATTTAATGTGTAAAGGTGAAGAGCAGGATATGATCATTTGTCTTTGCATATATCATTCAGGACCACTCACATCTGTGAAGAGCTTTAGTGCCCACATCCCTTGAACCGGGAGTATTGCCAATCAGTATATACAGTCAAAATATACGAGACAAGAAGAGTTATGCGGTATGTGTAGTGATGTCTAGCTTTAGATCATACCCTGGGCCCTGTAAGAGGCAAGAGTCTCCTCGATCTTGGCGCTGATGATAGGATCGGCTCTTATCTTCTTTTGGATTTTGGTGGCCTCTGCAAAAGTAGTGGCTTGTAGCTTTTCATCGAAACTTCTGGCCAAATCGGCAGCTTCTTCGAACAAATCAATAGCTTCGTCGACGTCTTCTTGTTGTAGTTTCAATTGTGCAAGGCCAATCTTGGCTTGTTCAGATCTAGGGTCTTTGTCACATGCTTCTTGAAAGAGACGTGCAGCTTCAATGAAGTTTTCTGGAGAAGGCTCCCTGGCGAGAAGAGTAGCTTTGCCGACTAAGGGACCCACACCAACGTGTATACCATCAAGCGCATCCTCAAGCTTGGCCGCGATGTCGTATTGTTTCTTAGCCTCGTTCAGTTTGCCCTTATCAGCCAAAGTCTCGGCATAGAAATTTGGAACTTCAGGTGAGGTTGGAAATTTTCTTCTAGCCTCGCTGAACATGGTTTCGCAGTCCTCGAACTTGTCCTCGCGGTAAGCGAGACATGCAATTTGGATGTAAGGGAAAATATTCTTGTCGTTTAGTTCTTTAGCCTTGTCAAAGTCTTCACCGGCCTTCTGGTAGTTTTGAGTTACGAAATACATTTGACCACGGTGATAATAAACGGCGGCGCAGTTTGGGTCCAGCTCAAGAGCTTTGTTGAAGTTGTCAAAGTATTCGTTTGCTTGTCCCTTGTCGGCCATGATTAGCGCAATGTAAATATAACTGTTTGGTCTTGGGAAAAGTTCAATGGCGCGTTTCAAATCTTCGTGGGCCGAAAGTGGGTCGTTTTTCAAAAACTTGAAAATACCAACGTGTTCCAATGCGATGGCGGTTTTCTTCTTTAAAATTTCGTCGTCTGGGGTTTCTTTCAACAACTTCTCAAAAGCAGTTTGCGCTTCAATGAAATCCTTGTCAGCAGCTTCGTAACCTTCAGCAGTTCTGCTGTACAGGCTTTTCAAAGCCTCTTGCAAAGATTTGTCCGCGTCGCTATTTTCGTCAAAGTTTTCAAACGTAGTCTCCGGTTGGAAAATACCGAAAAATGAGGCCAGCGAAGTGTTGGAAGGCAAAACATGTTCTTGTTTCTTTTCGAGTTTTTCTTTTAAAACAAGCATGGCTTGTTTGTTCATGTTTCTTTCAAGCATGGGCTCAATCGACGCACCGTTGAAGTCACCGTAAAGACTGACCGCTGACAGATCAAACATGGCATCTGCGAAGTTGCCCAGGGACTCATTAGCAGAGGCTCTGCGCAACAAACACTTGGAATAGTCTGGTTTCAATTTCAACGCAGACGTCGTGTCCTCCACGACTTTCTCAAGTTGTCCCAAAGAAACGTAGCATGCAGATCTGTTAGAATAGAAAACGGGATCTTCTTTTACTTTCAACGCCAACGTGTAGTAATTGATCGCGTCTTCAAACTTCTTTGCCTTGAAATACTCGTTACCTTTGTCCTTCAGCTCAATCGCATATTTATTCTTGGTTTCCACGCTAAGTTTCGCAATATCACCTAAATCTGGTTCTCCCTGTTCGTTGACTGGATAACTGGGACTCACACTACCTTGAGACTTCTTCTTCTTCTTACTCTTCTTTTTAGAGCTCTTGGTCTCGGTTTGTGTTTCTTTCGTGACGTCTGACTCAGAACCAGCTTGCTTCTGCAACTGCTGATAGTAATAGAATGCTCCAACTGCAGATGCTCCGGCAACTGCCGTCGCCATAATCGCAGTCTTATTTCTAGAAACAAACCCAGCAAATGATCCGTTTGACGACATCTCACAATGGTCTATATAAATGGATCTTCTTTCTTTATGTTGTTCGTTAAGTGGAAAGCTTGGTTTTCGATAAATCTTTTTCGATTTCTGTGATAGTTAGCAACTGTCTAAGAGAAAATTTTTAGCATATTAACACTGTCACTGAGTATAAGCAACAAGAATCAATTGAATATTTGTAGACAATACATATACAAATTAGATTTATGATAAATGCTTATAATTCGGATAGTTTAGAACTTTGGCTATCTGGAGCCGTTATCCCCGTGAAAAACCGTCCACTCCTGGAACTTTTATATAACAAAAATTGGACGTCTCCAGAATTGTAAGCTATAACAAGCATCTTGCCGGGGATATCGATGATTTGGTAGGTATTCCGCTACTAGGTGACCCGTCATTAAGAAGCTGGCATTTATTTCCTGCAAGACGACGGCGAGGTTCTCAGAGTCAGAATAGCGACAATCACAGAAGAGAAATCACTAGAATTTATATACAGAGGAAGATTGAAAAATCCATGAGTTACAGTGTCGGTCATCCACAATTCAGCATCCACCACTGAGCATCCACCACAGGGTGCTCTAGAAGCTTAATTGTCCTCTTCACTGCCTTTCTTCCATAGTTCTAATCTTCCGTAATTGTCAATTAAACATTTCGGTCTTTTGTAATTCTCAGTTCAACTCCATTGAGTAAGTTCAATTCAATTGCGTTAATCCAATTCCCCCGCTATAGTCCCCTGCTAATTGGACTCCCATTGTCCCCTATTTTGACGTCTTGCCCGCAACCATTGCTTCTTACATTCACGATAAGCGTCAAAATATTCCCTACATTTGTCGCGATCGTAGTCGTTCGTCTCCAAACATCTAGTGCTCATGTTTGCTGACTCTTGACACGGATCGAAAAATCTGCTGGCGTCTTTGGCCGAAAACCTATACTTATTCAACGTAGATTCCGGGTTATCGGGATAAAATTTAAATTCTGCCGGGGTAGCACTGGTAGGCGCAAAATCCACTTTGGTTTTGTCGGTCTGCACATGGGGATCATGCACATCGGGCGCAGTATCGCCTTTCTTTGGAACTTCGGACATCAAACAAGATCCAGACTGCGTATAAAAGTCGTTAAAACGGTGTTAAAACCCCTGAGAAATATTCAGCAAAAGTTACTTAAAAATGAATATCCCGCAATTACCTGAAATTAGTCTAGCTGGTGGGTTTTTGGTTCTCACTACTGGCCTTTCCCTTCACTCTCACCATAGCTGAACATTGAAAAATTTGTCCGAGATGATAGCTCATCGCGAGATCGATGAGCTGATACTGAAGGATTTAAGAGAAACTAAGATACACTTAAATAATGATTATTGAGACTGTATTATGCCAGCGATGCAAGAAAATTGACGCGGTGTTATGCTCGAGAAAAGAGTACTTTTGCCCGGTTTGTTTTGAGAAATTTGTTTCGTTGAAGCAGCGGAAGCAGATGATGTCTGATAACTACTTTCAGGACATTTTTAAAGTGATATACGGAGACAAATTGAGGTCTGTTGAAGAGGCCAGTACTATGAATCGTGAATCGAGGGTTCTGGTTCCCTTGTCTTTCGGTTCCTCGTCGCTTTTAACATTAGATATTTTGCATGGCATCCTGAAAGAGCAGTTCACCGTTCATCGCGGAACTGTTGGGTTTACGCTGGATGCAGTGACGTGCTGTAGATATCAAGAGATGGGTGAGGTGCGGAGAAGGCTTCATAAACTCAGAGACAGGTATAGCGACTCTGGCGTTGAAATCAAATTTCATTTGATCGATCTTGACAAGGCTTTTGAGACTTGCAACGACCATATTCGCATAGTTTTGAATGACAGCACTTTTTCAAGCAGATACGTGGCTCTAGAACGTTTGCAAAAGGTTTCCATGTCAGATGTTCTTAAAGAATGTGGTGGGAAATCGGCACAGGAAGATCTAGTGACGGCTTTTACGGATCGAATTGTGAAGGATTTTGCGCAGCGCGGCAATTACAAGGCTATTCTTTGGGGACATTCGATGACCAGACTAGCGGACGAGGTAATATCTTTAGTGGTCAAGGGCAGAGGAGCTCAAATTGCGGACACACTCAACACTTCGGATTTTGACGAGAGTTTCGGGGGGGAATTCAAACCTCTCTATCCCTTGCGAGACGTTTTGCTATCAGAAGTAGATGCTTTGTGCCATTTGAAGGGTCTTGCTCCGCTGTTGTATAAATATGCTCCAAATTACTCACTGCTTCTAGTCAGGCCCTCGGAAGCTGATAAGATCACACCAAAACCCAAATACCTACCCAAGAACATGACCATAAATGGCCTTGCTAGAAAATATTTCGATGACATTGAGGATAATTATTCCAATGTTATTTCTACGGTGGTGAGAACTGGCGCAAAGCTAGCTCCTCCGACGTGTGAGGTTGACAACGCACCCAACTGTACACTCTGTCGAAGCATGATTTACAAAGATGCACCTGGATGGTTACAGAGCATCACAGAAAATTTAGGGCATCCCATTGAAGATGACGCGGATTTCCAACTATATGAAGCATGGTCCAAGTCTCAACTGGGAGAAGTCCACGCCGATTATATCGAATTGACAGGAGATTTTCAGCGCCGAGGAGATGATGCATTACTCTGTTACGGCTGCATCACTACGGTCCTAAGTTCTTCTACTAAGAGCTTGGTCTGGATTAATAGCGACAAGCAAGATGCACTTGATGACATCAGTAGATACATCCTGACAGATGAAGAAGATTGAGCAGGCATTAACCTCCCTAAGCATAATTTTGACATCCCTGTTTATAAGGACAACATTAAGTCATTGTCTCTTATGTAGCATATTAAGTAGTTCATTTGCCGCCCCGCGATCTGACTGCGATAGATTAAATGCGTCAACTCCATGAAAATTTGGAGCGAATGCTATGTTATTTTGTGGACTGCTCATATGGCTTGCCGGTTGGCTAGCAGACGGGGAAGTCACAAACGGCAAAAAGTTACCAAGATGCGAGGGCGTTGAATATGGTGAAGTGGATCCCGTCAATGTGGAAGGTGGTGGGTTAATGGCATTGGGGGGATTGGGCACCTGATGGATGGGCTTTTGATTTTGAGTCGGCTGAACATCGTGTTGCAGAGCTGCGTTATGTTCTCGATTACCCTTCAATAGCTGGAGCAATTCCGTCCCTGCTCCATTACTAGAAGCGGGGCCGGTCTGGACTGGTGAACTTTCAAGAACTGGTTGGTCATTGTGAGGCTGTGCTAAGCTTGGTTTTTTTAAAAGTTTTAAGAGCTCTTGCGACCCTGATCTTGGGTCGCTTTGATTATTAATACTGGGTACGGTATTGACGAAGTTTTCTGGATTTGGAGCTGGCGATTCTTGAGGTGGTACAAACGCGTCCATATAATGAGAAGCGCTTCTCTGGACATCGCGATCGTTGGCTGGAGTGATCTGTGGCTTGCTCTGCAACTGGCCGGCTCCGATTTCGTTGTTCTTACTGCTACCATCTCTTGAAACAACGTCTCCTAAAGTTTGCCCACGTCTTAAAAGTTTGATTTTTGGCTTGTTTGGTACTTCATTTGTTTTTTTGACCGAATCTCCATCAATTGAACATACGCTCATATCCAGTTCAGGATCCACATGAGGAATGGCGTCGACGTTAATAAAATCTTCTTTCAAAACCTGTTCTTCTGCTGGGCCAGATGGATCTTCCTCCGCTTCTAAGTTTCTTAATTGCTCAGTCTGCTCCTCGTGATCATCTTCTGAGCTACATTCAAAGTCCTCATAATCCGAGCTTTCCTCAGTAAACGTACTTGCAGGTTTTGGTGGCGGAGGATGTTGATAGTTATTCCCGTTTGTTGTAGCCTCCTTTTTGATTATACTTAATAAATCCGCACCATTGGTCGCTGTGATTTCGTTGACGTTTGAGCTTTCATTAAAAGCGGGCTGGTTTGCATTTTTCAGGACATCTAGCAGAATTTTCGAATCACTTCTTGCCTGAGTTTTTGGGATCTGAATTTCTGCTTCCCCCATAGGGGGGCTTTTATCATTGAAATTTGGTTCTTCACCCCTCCTTAAGAGCTTCATCTTGGGTTTAGGTGAAGACTTAGGAGTAGCGTTTTTCTTCTTGAGCAAATTCAAAAGCTCTCTCGAATCAGAGGTCTGAACTTCATCCTCTGCGACACTGGGTTTTGCGTTGACATTCATACTGGGGATTGGAGGAGGTCTTGTCATGTCATGTACCTCGCTAGTGGACTGGGGAACGGAACCTATTTGCATTCCGGATCCGTTCATGAAGGGAAATGGGGCAAACGGCTGAAAAGCCATGAAGGGGAACTGCTGCTGAAATTGAGGTGGTGGTGCCATGAATGTTGGCGCTGGGATGGTGAACGGGGGGATGTGATGAGTTTCTTCTATACCTGCACCGTTCTGCTCCGTGCTAGCATTTGAAACCTGCGGATTGACGGCTTTTTGGAGAATATCTAGGAGCTCTCTGCCAGGATCAACGGCATCTTCCTTTTTAATACCCAAAAGTACCTTTAATTGTTCCTCGACTTGAGATTTGAGTTGGTCCTCGTTTTCGACCTGTTTCTTACTCTTGACCCACAGAGTCAGTGGCCGGATCATTGAGTTCACGAGGTAATACCTGGCGTTGGGCTTGCCGTTGCCGCTGCCGTTACGTGTAATTTTTTTGAATTCTCTCCATTCAATTTTCTCGATTTCGTTTCTAACGCGTGGTTTGAAATCGAAATCTTGAGGAACCCCACTTACCAGGAAAATTTTGTAGTTTTTGCCCTGTATGTTGCGCTCGATAAATTGTTCCTCGTCGATGTAATCTGTGAGGTCAAAGTTGATTTCTTCCAGGACTTCACGAATGCAGCAGTCGACGTCGTTCTCGTCCTTAGAGATTTTACCGCGCGGAAATGACCACGAATCAGATTCTGTGCCCTTTACGAGCAAGATTTTCGAGAAGCTTTTGTTGAAAATCGCAGCACCACGTACTGGGATGCTTTTTTTGTACTGGGAGAATTTCTGAAGCGCTTGTTCTGCACGATCGTCCCATTTCCATATTAAGGGGCACAGTTTGATCACATGCTGCGCAAACGACTTAATCTTCATGTTGGGCAGATTTGGGTTCATGAGCTTGATAAAATCGGTGTAAAACCATGACGCTTCTTCTACATGGAACAGTTCTCTTTCTACGGAAGAGAAATCTTCAGCGGGACAATTAATGATAAATCTGACTATTAGGTCTTCTAGGGCCCGGTCAAGAGAAGCCACATTTTCCAGAGGTCGTCTCAAAGGTAATGACATCGACTATGGTCCCTATAATGGTTTATCTTTATGGCTCTTTTGGCTCTGTCCTCCTAAGAGAACTTTACCTTAAATATTTGGCGTTTTGGGTAGGTGCTTAAAATTCATTAAAATTTTCCCCATCCGTACAACGTGCTTTATAGTTGTCCAGGAAATCGAAGAGCTATGGAATGCGGGCACTTTCTGCAAGATAACATCCCATTAGCGAGTTGAAAGTAACGACTTTAACATATTTATTCGAGCCTGTAGAACATCTCAGTTGTCATGGTCGTTAAAGTTGGCTTTGTGCCGGAGCACTTCTCTACGCCTTTGCATTTTGCGTTGACAAAAGGTTATTACCAAGAGGAAGGCGTCAACGTGCAATTAATTCCATATCCAAGTGGGTCAGGACATTTAATCCAGTCGTTGAACAGTGGAGAACTGGATGTGGCCGTGGGACTGACAGAAGCGTTTGTGCGTGGAATTGCAGACACAGAAAAGGGCACCAAACCCAATTACCAGATCGCGGGCACGTACGTAGAATCGCCGCTGGAATGGGCCGTGTCGACAGGCACGCAGCGTGATGATTTGCTGAAACTAGAGGACATGGAAGGTGGCAAAGTGGGTGTTTCGCGAATTGGAAGCGGGTCTTACGTGATGAGTTTTGTGCTGGCGTTGCAGCTCGCGTTCCGTAAACCGTTTACCGGTTTCCTCGTATGCAACACGTTTGCGAGTTTGCGCGAGAGTGTGAACGCTGGAACGAGCGACATGTTCATGTGGGAATACTTCACGTCGAAAAAGTACTACGACAGCGGCGCGATCAAAATGGTCGGCAGTATCAAGACCCCGTGGTCGTCGTGGGTTTTGGTGAAACGCACTGCACTCGCGGACGAAGAGTACGCCAAGCTTGCGCGTGCTATCAGTCGCGGGATTGCGTATTTCAATGCGCATGGCGCAGAGGCTGTGGATTTCATCAATGCTAATTTTGATTATTCTAAAGAGGACGCCGCTGCATGGTTAAAGACCGTAACATTTCGCACGAACGTCGCGGCCGCGACAGGCGTCGCAGAAATGGTTCGAAACACAGTAAAGGTACTCAAGACAGCAAACGTGCTCTTGCACGGTGACGCCGCAGCTGTGCTGGATGCAAACGTTGCTGCAGGGCTGTACTGCGAGAAAGAGTGCTAGTGGGTTCCTACTGTTTCTTAAGAATGCCCCAGAGCCACGAGCCCGCGTCAAACTAGCAGTTCAAATAGACTATGCTCGCGTAAAGATCAAGTTGCGTCTTCAGACAGGTTAACGGCTTGAATAGACTCCATAGTCTCAGAACGTCCCGAGCGCTGCATACACATATGTAATGAGTAAGACGGTCACATGACCTCCGCGACAGAATAGCTTGACTTCTCTTAGAAGCCATTGTATCCGCGCCGCTGAGTGGAAGAGAGTTTTGTGCCTTACCTATGACGAAATGACGAAAATTTTGGAATTCAAGCAGACTTGTACCAAACTCACCCTCCTTCCTAGCCAAAGTAACGGGTGCTGAAGTTGGAACCCTATATAAGAGTTGTATAAAAGCAGATTACACGCCCGGCTTTAGAATGGTCAGAGTATTGAAAATCACGGAGAGGTAGAAACACTCAACGTTTTACTTGCTTTGCTATTTAGATAAATCATTAACGAGTTGAGCGAACAATTCGGGAACCCACCGAACTCTGACGCCGGTACTCCCCAGGAGATTGACATAACCTCATGTAAGAAATCTAAACCAGCACCTTCTTAGACTCCAGACACATGAGCACCATCAGGAATGGCTAACAAAACCCTAGTTAGTATACTGACAGGCAACGAAAACAATAATTGACCATGGAGTAAAACCAATAAGATCTTGCTGTAGGAAGGAGATAGCGAGGAAAAGATATTGTCGAATTGCATCGGCACGTGACCACAATGACAGAATAAAATACAAAGATCGAACAGACGGTTCATGCTGAACTTAGCAGGAGAACATGGATGGCACCGCCATACCATCGCTACGCAAGTGGCCCATATCTTGTCTCGAATGAGCATGATGAGAGGGGGATCAGAGGGTGACCTTAAAAAACGGTATGACTGTGTTAGAAGGCTCCCATTGTTAAGATAATCACCGTGATACAAATACTCAACACCTGATACATTTACAATCTATAAAGCAAGAACCAACAAGTGAACAATTCAAGAACCTAATTACCGCTGCTTGATCTCGATACCAGTAATCATAGGGGAGCAAGAAATACATTAGGCTCATCACGTCTTTGTAAGCTCCCATCTCTCGCTTTGGGCGGGTAACTTCCCTCATTCCTGCTTTCGTCCGGAAAATCCCACGCTGGAACACCCACTCACCCTTTCTCCCCCCTTTCGTCCCTCGCTCGGTCTAATGCGAAACTGCGCTCCTTTGCGCCGCAGCGCGTTCGGAACTCGCCGGGCTCCAGCCGCCCACAGTTGCCCGCATCGGACGAAATGCGCATACGATAAGAGAGTAATGACAGATGAACCCGCGTAGATGCAGGCGCGCAACAGGAGCGGACGAGAGACGCCCTCGCTAGGCTAGACAGGCGTAGGCCCACGCCTGCCTGGGCCTCCCCCGTCTGGGCCACCCCTGCCTGTCAGCCCGCCTGGCCAGGCAGGCTGACAGGCAGACTGGGAGACTGGCAGCCTGGAGGAAAATGCCAGTCCTCCTATGTGACGGTTTACGACAAACGGGATCCGCGGGTTCGACCGAGGACACGGAGTATATAAGGGAGGCATGCCAGGGCTTTAGCGGGCACAGGCGTTCCCGAACTTTACGTAACAGCTAGAAACACAAGACCGGCAACGTACCAGTTACACACCGTCAATATATCACCAACAATGGTAAAGGTAACGCTCAATAACGTTCAATTGCTCGTGGACATCGATTCGGATCCAAAATTCGAGCCCAGCAGGACCAGTGTCGCGGACATCCTCACGAAAGAAGCGCTAGAGTTCGTGGTGCTCCTGCACCGTACGTTCAACAGCAGACGCGAACAACTGCTCGAGAACAGACAAACCGTGCAGAAGAAACTGGACTCGGGCAAATTCCAGCTGGACTTTTTGGCGGAAACGGCTGCCGTGCGAAATGATCCGACCTGGCAAGGCGCGATTCCGGCGCCGGGTCTCATTGACCGGTCCACAGAGATCACGGGTCCTCCGCTCCGGAATATGCTTGTGAACGCGCTCAACGCGGATGTGACCACTTACATGACAGATTTCGAAGACTCGGCGTCGCCTACCTGGGCCAACTGCATCTACGGACAGGTCAACTTGTACGACGCGATCCGCAACCAAGTCGACTTCAAGACCCCACGCAAGGAGTACAAGCTCAAGGCCCCCATCGCGAAGTTGCCCACGCTCATCGTGCGTCCTCGTGGCTGGCACATGGTCGACAAGCATCTGCTTGTCGACGGGGAGCCCATTTCCGCGTCTCTGTTCGATTTCGGGCTCTATTTCTTCCACAACGCCAAGGCGCTGGTCGCGATGGGCAAAGGCCCTTACTTTTACCTGCCCAAGATGGAGCACCATCTCGAGGCCAAGCTGTGGAATGACGTTTTCAACGTGGCCCAGGACTACATCGGCATGGCACGCGGCACGATCAGGGCCACTGTCCTGATCGAGACTTTGCCCGCGGCGTTTCAAATGGAAGAGATCATCTATCAGCTCAGGGCCCATTCTTCGGGGCTCAATTGTGGTCGCTGGGACTACATTTTCAGTACCATCAAACGGCTGCGTAACTTGCCTCAGTACGTGCTACCCAACCGAGACCTCGTCACCATGACGTCTCCGTTCATGGACGCATACGTGAAACGGTTGATCAACACCTGTCACAGGCGCGGCGTCCACGCAATGGGCGGCATGGCGGCGCAAATCCCTATCAAGAACGATCCGGCCGCCAATGAAGCTGCGATGACCAAAGTGCGCAACGACAAAATCAGAGAACTCACAAACGGGCACGACGGCTCCTGGGTCGCACACCCGGCATTAGCGGTGATTTGCAACGAAGTGTTCAGCAACATGGGTACGGCCAATCAGATCCATTTCGTTCCCGAGACGACTGTGACCGCACAGGATTTGACCAACACCAAGATCCAGAACGCAGAAGTCACTACGTTTGGTATCAAACAAAACCTGGACATTGGCCTGCAATACATGGAGGCATGGCTCAGAGGTTCCGGTTGTGTTCCTATCAACAGCTTGATGGAAGACGCCGCCACGGCAGAAGTGTCACGTTGCCAACTCTACCAGTGGGTCAAACATAAAGTAGTGCTGGCCGACACGGGCGAACCGGTCACTCCGCAATTGACGAAAAAAATCCTTGAAGAACAAGTCGCTGCGCTATCGGCATCGAGCCCCGTTGGCGACAAGAACAAGTTTAAAGTGGCCGCCAAATATTTCTTACCTGAGATCACGGGCGAGAAGTTTAGCGAGTTCTTGACCACATTGTTGTACGACGAAATTGTCACTGTTAAATCTGCACCAACGGACCTGGCCAAGCTGTGATGTGCCCAAAGTTAACGCTATGTATTTGCACGGCCAACGGTGTAACGACACATTTCGATTCTGGCTCATTATATATTTTAATTTCATGAGCGTGCTATTATCTTGTTGTCCAGTCAGTGTTGTCAAGGTCGCGTTTGGAATATTATCGAGACACACAGTGGTCCCAACGAAGCCGTAAGTGGCGCCCCACTGACCCATCATCAACCATTTTTTTTCAAATTTGCCAGATCTCGGCTAGGGTCTCTCGTTGTTGATATGTGTGATCCATTTGAACGTTTGATTTCATGGACTTTATAAAAAATGTCGAGTTTTCATAGGAACCAGACAAGCTGTTAAAGCAGCTGAAATTTTGGTAGGAACTTCAGGAATTGGTCTATATGTTGAATCTCTCAATGCTGCTGGTTGGATTGTGATTGCCTCTTCTTATAACATGTTAGTCCACCGTTTAGATTAACACGTGTTACCGATGAGTTTACATTTCATAAAAGAAAGTGCTAAAAAAATTTCACGAAATTGGATTAACAATCATCAGGAACCAGTCAAGAAGACAGATTCATATAAACTCGACCAACTTTTGAGGTGAGTTCTGTGGGAAACTTGCGTTTAAGGAAACAGAGATTTCCTGAATAAACTCTGGGGACTCGATTACTGCAAAAAAGATTGTTTTTCAGAGACCCTATTCGGTGCTCTTCGTGAGGTTTCAGGGAGCATAATAATGACAATGAGCGGACCTCCTAGAGTCAACAATGGTCGAAGGGGATCAGCCATCAATAATCTGTTGAATTCAATGGGTATAAGACAAGGATCTGGCGCCACGCAGGGGTCCGGAACCGTTGCAACGACAGCGACTGCGATGTCGAATGGTACACAGGGAGCAGTGGGGAACGCCACGCTGCCACAACGGAGCAACGATATACCCAACTTCGGAGGCGATGCTTTGCAGTCGCAGGCTGTGAATTTTATGAGCTCAGATGAAGAAGATGCGGGATTGCGCGATCAAGACGATCTCGCAGTGGCGGCGTCTCCTAACATGATGGGAACGACTCCGTTCGACCAGATGCAACTATCGACTAGCGGAGCAGATGGCAGTGGGAATCTTGTGGACGAGCTACCTATAAGTTTGACTCTGGGCGCCAATGACGGGACTGGTGCTATAACGCAGCCGGTTTCATCATTGTCTAACGACGCATATCAGACTCTGAAAGCAGTGCGGCATTTTGTCTACGGCTCTAAGGCTCCAGAGAATGCTGTCGAAATGCTCAGTTTAGAACTCCCCCGCTCCAGTGCCCCTCCAGAATCTATTGACGAAGAAGAATTACGAGCACGCAAGGATAAAAATGGGTTGTTCAGTTTAAGATTGACGCCTTTCTTGGACCATTCTCAAACTACGAATCCAGGCCTGTACTTTGAACCCATTGTCAGAACGGCGGGACCATGTTCTCAGTTGGTAATTGGAAGGTACACCGAACGTGTTCGTGAATGCATTAGTCGTGTGCCAGAACAATACCATCCAGTAGTTTTTAAGAGTAAAGTGGTATCAAGAACGCATGGATGTTTCAAAGTCGATAAAGAGGGGAATTGGTATATACGAGATGTCAAATCTTCGTCTGGAACGTTTTTGAATCATCATCGTTTGTCACCAGCATCTACAATGTCCAAAGATACTATTCTTAGTGATGGAGATGTCGTTCAACTAGGGCTAGACTTTAGAGGGGGTATGGAAGAAATATATCGAAGTGTTAAAATGCGCGTCGAATTAAATAAATCCTGGAAAAGACGCGCAATGAGATTCAATAAAGAAGCGCTGCAAAGAATTAAGAATTTACAAAAAATGACTACCGGCAGTGAAGAAGAAGACTGCTCAATTTGTTTATCAAAAATCAAACCTTGTCAGGCCATTTTCATATCGCCCTGTTCGCATAGCTGGCACTATCAATGTGTTCGTCGTCTGGTCACAACGACATACCCACAATTTGTATGCCCTAATTGTCGCTCGAGCTGTGACTTAGAAGCTTCTTTGGACAGCGAATTCGAAAGTGACGAAGAAGATGACTTTGACCTTGTAGCTGATGATATTAAGGGCATTGATATGGCCCATAGTGATGAGCAGGTGCTCTAATGGATGGTAATATGTAATTTAATGCAACAGGCGATCCCTGATCTGCTGTGCAATTCCTGGATCGAAACTTAGTTTAGCTTAAATATCAAGAAAGTCCTTTCGCATAAACGGCAAATTGCGTTTCCGTCATGCTTCACTGGATGAAACGAACTTTTACCAAAATTTTATTACCGCTTACAGAAAAACTCAAATTGATACAATTTTTGTACTAATACCTATCTTTTTCCTCGATCAGTCTCAACAAGACGTCTTGTAGTTCCTGTTTGGCTGTCCCGAACTTGTAGACCTCATGACCACCATGCAAAACTTTCCATTCCTGCGTCTTGGAGGACAGTTTTGTCAAATCTCTTTGCCAATTGCCCCACTGGGGCGATTTTTTAATAAGCTCATTTGAGCTTGCGACGCTCAATTTCACGTCCTTGAGCTTTTCTTTACTATTCAGAACATCTTTATAGCTTAGCAACGAGCTTGTGACGCTCTCCAAAAATTTGGCCCTTAAATAACGGCTTTGATACATCATATCGCGGCCAAAAATTCTTTCTTTCGATCCGTGGTGGGCAAGAAGCCAAGAGGTTTGTAGCTTAATACCCAGTGTTGACCAAATACCCTGCCACCAAAGTATGAAACCATTGTGTCGCCTTATTTCAGGGGGTAAATGACTTAAGTCGTCAGGATCATTGTTGTCATGATCTGGAGGGAGAATCCTTTGCAGATAATTCTTCAACAAGAGATCCTCATGCCAGGACTCGACGAGAAGCATGGAATCGACGACATCAATGTTTTTCGCTGTGAACACTTGAGTAAATAATCCTCCCAGATCATATCCCACCGTAGTGAATGGTCCCTTGATCTTAGCATCTGTCAAAAGAGCATATTTCAAAGCGTCTGCTACCATTGCGATGGAAATGGGTGCAGGAGCAGAGTCCGATAAACCGTATCCAGGTCTCTCGTAAGTGCAGTACCTTTGGACACGATTGAGATGGTACAGCTCTTGGATCCATGTTGCAGACAAAAAGCCTGTGTCTGCTCCTCCGTGCTCGAAAAGAATTATAGGTTGCTGATCTTTCTCCTCAGCTAAGATATCTCCATAGCAGGCTATATGCAACTGATACGTTTTCTCCTTATCAACCCAGTGAAAGGCGTCATAAGAAGCGGATGCCTCAGCAGAAAGGTCCCTCACACTGGATGTAACCCTCACGATATCAAAGGCGTAAAGTAGTGAGTTGAAAGTGAACAACACGAAATACAAAAGAATGAGGCCCTTAGCTACGTTTCTCGTACCGATTGAAATCCACTCCTTTAAAGTGTGCCTCGAACCACTTTCGCTTCTCATGTTCTCCGCTTCCTCTTCTTCATCTTGCTGTATGGGGTTGAAATCTCTAATGAAACTAAAGAGATACCAATCCAAGACTGCTCCAACCAAGAATGTCAAGGCGGCCCACAGATAAGTGAAAGAGCCCACAAAGCCTATTCTCCTCCTCGTGTACGAAACCATCAACTCCAACAGCAAGTCGAATACGGTGTACAACACCAAAATGATATTCAACGACTGATCTATGGGGGAATACAAGCCGATTTTGTTGAACCACAGGTTCAGAGCGTTCGCCATGATAGAGATGAAGATCAATGTCAAATCATTGAAACTCGTCAACCTGTTGCTGCAGCGTAAAAACCCTATTGTCAAAAAAAAGTCGGAAACAAATTTTGTCACCAGCCAAACGGTATTGATTATTATAAGCACATTGAGAACAACTCTGGAGTTATCCGTAAACACTCTGTACTTCTTGCGCACTCCGAAAAGGTGCTCTTGTTCACCTTCATAGTCCACTGGAAACCGTTCTGTAGCTGTTGATGGCCCCAGCGACCGGTGAGAAGCTCTGGTCTGAGTTCCTAAAAGTGGTTGTCCCTCTTGTGTACTGTCGCTAGCATGATTTGCAGTCGCATTTGCCTTTGGAGATGATCTGTTGTTCCCAATGGCCGCGTCAGGGTCCCGACTTGAGTCTCGTCCTTCTTGCTCCATGCTCTTAAACTTTACTCCAGGATATCTTTCTCCAGAGTTGCTTTCCTGATCAGGTATATTTCCTGACTTTGTAGAGCTCTTGACTGACCGATTACTGGTGGATATCGATTTGCTGACCATCCTCAGCGCAATCCTTCTTATACGCAAGACAGCAAACCCTGAGTTACCGCACACCCCTTTCCAGGATTGTCATTCGGGCAAGATATCGCTTCTGACGTCGCGATCGGGAACCCTGCCCAACTCAATCCAAGACAGATTGGAGACTTCACACCTTGATAGGCCTGAATGATGGTCACAATGTGCTTTAATTGTGGTCCCTTTTTAAGATCTTCATAATAGAATTTCAAAACTTTTTTCGCAGTGATTTTGCCCCATTTGTTAATCATCATTGTAAGCAACAGTTTCTTTAGTTTACTATGGTAATTTGTGAAGTCAACTGCAGTAGGATGTCGGAAATAGACCCTTATTGCCTGTATTTTCACCGTATGTCCAGCCGCTGCCGTCGTCTGCCCTTATAACTGATATGGTATCATTCTTGGCGAGTGAAATCTCGTCTTCACCTTGGGCTTGATAATCGTAAAGCGCAGTCACGGTTTTGAGCGCGTTGACCGTCTTCCGAGGAAGTGGTGCGCGGGGTGGCTCCCTTGCTTTTTCGTGAATTTCAACGTAGGTCGTTGGCACAAGTCCAGATTGGCCGGATGATTCATTCCTGATTTTTGTCCATCCGTTGCCAGAATCGCTCGAAATCAGCTTAATGGCATCACCAGGTCTTACTGTCAACTCATCAACATCCTGCTTCTCGTAAGCGTAAAGCACACGATTCACCGGTGTGCTTTGGCTCTCGAAGGACTCGTCGTCGGCGAGCGTACTTGAAAGCGCAGACGCATTGCTCACACCACGAGCACGCCTTTTGAAGACCGAGAAACGATCTAGTGCCTTATGCTTTGAGTCTGATGAGAAAACTGACGCAGACTCGGCTGTATCCTCGTTCTTGACATGCGAGTTTGTCGATGATACTGTGAGATTTTTGCGCAGTTTACCGAAAAAGCCGCCTTTCTTCTTGAGCTTGGATAAATCGATGCCCTCGGTAGATAGATCGTATCCAGCAGGAACATTGTTTTGAATACTGCTTATTTCGACCTCAGCATCCAATTTGCTCGTCTCATGATTAGTAAATGATGAAATAATAGTGAGATACTTCGACAGTAATGACATCAAACTGTTGTAGTCAACGTCCGAGGCCTTTTTCAAGTCGTGCTTCTGTTTGTTCAGAGAACTCAATTTTGACATTTCCTGTTGAGCTATTGAATCCATCTGTTCATATGCTTGCTGTGCCTTGGCGAGCCTGATCTTCAAATCCTGCAGCTCTACATCTGACGCGACGACGAATTGCTCGTCGTCGTGCCAAACAGCAGAAGGGATATAAGTGAAATCCTTTGGTTCGTCCCAGTGCTTGAGGTTATGTTCTATGAACATCGAACTGTCCAAGGGTGGTGAGTTCTTGTGCACGACAGAATCAGCAGTGGTGAGCCTCGTTTCGATTCGTTTCCCGAGGTTTTTCTCCAATGTCGAAGCTGAAACCCAAATCTGGTTGACGACGCTGGTCTTGCATTCGTTCAGATCCTGTAAAAGGTCCAGCACTTCTGGTACGTCCTGAAAATAGTACTTATCTTTCAGCCGATTGGCTTGATTGATCTTAATCAAATAGTTGTTTTTGGCGACATTCATGTCGTGCTCTCTGTGATCCGCCTTCCGCTGAGCTTTGTCACTCGTGGACTTGGTCTGCTTGGCTCTGGCAGATTCCATATCCGAACAGGACTCGTCATAGCTTTTTTTGGCCTTTTCCAACGATCCAAAGGTCTTGTCCTTTCTCTCAGTCAATTCCGAATTGAATCCATTTATTGTGGTTAAAACGGAATCACATTTACGACCCAAGGCTACAAGCTGATCTGCGACCTGAAACTCGAATTCCTGTGCCAATTGAGAATGGTCTTTCGCGATGGTCTCAGTCTGGGACAGAATTTCGTTCCATGCAACCAAAGAAGCTGATTCCAATGATCCTGGCGTGGTCGATGGCGTATCTCCGACAGATAATGCCACGGTGCCACTACTTTTCTTAGCGAAGTATTCACTAGTTAAATTGCTGAGTTTATCACTGTATTCCTTCTCGAGCTTAGCACGATCACGATAAAATGCTTCTAATTCATTCAGCCATTTCAGGTTGTTAATCACCCATTTATGAGTCTCTTTATATCCATCCTTGATAGAGTTACCAATTGATACCTCAGAGGTCATCTGGATGAGTTTTTATGTCCTTCCTCTGCTTTTCGGTATGTTGTCTCTAAGCACAACATTCTGATAAATTAAGCAACTTTGACTAAATATGGTTATCAGACATCGATATTTCGAATTGTTGATAACACGTCCACAGAAAAATGGCTACAACCGAAACAAAAGATCTCAGCGAACATCAGCGCCTGCAATTGCAGTTTCAGCTCTTCCAGGAGTCGCTTCCTAAGGTTAATGATGTTGTTTACCGTATGCTTTTGAAAGAAATGCTTCCGCTAGCTATAGCAGTGGATAAATCCTTATCAGATGATGAGAAAGAAGACGAAAACGACAAGACTGAACAGGAGCACAGAGCCGCTGAAGAAAAGCTTGCTAACTTGTCTATTGGTTATAAGGGTACGCCTTCTCACGTTCTCATCAAGGAATATGCAGACTCAGATGAAGAAAGACGGCTAAGAATTAGAACCAAAATGATGAAAATGGGGTATCAAATTGGGAATCAAGTGTCAGAGTTGCTCATTTTCAGTAACAATCCGAATTTGAATTTTAGGGACATGGATCTTCTATCTGTAATGAAGTTCATATGTCGCGACGTATGGAAACAACTTTTTGGCAAACAGATCGACAATTTGAAAACCAATCACCGTGGCACTTTTTACTTGTTTGATTACGATCTCAAACTTCTAGAAGGTATGGCATTGAACGAAGATGCGTTAGAGAAGGAATTGTCGGTGTTAGAGCCGTATCTCGATATTCCCTGTGGCATTTTGCAAGGCGTACTTGCATCTCTCGGGTACGAAAATAATGTCAGCTGTCAAGCAACTTTCGTGGATGTGCCTGAAAGTAAGGCTGGCGGCTTCAGGAGTTTCCCTAAGGGCGTGAGTTTCAATGTGCTCGTAAACGTGAACCCGACAGCCGGAGGCGAAAAGACTGTCGATGCTGGGGCGAAGGGAGCAGGGGCTCAGAGTTTCCCGGTTTAAAGTGAAAAATAATAACGTAACGGAATTTTTGCATTTACACAACTCATATCATGAAATCTATGGGCGCTATCTGCGCCGAAAACAGTGATCGTCTCCAAGATAAGCTACTTTTTCTTTATCACTAGGTTTGGGTTTCGTTTGTTCTTATAATGCCTGAAATTGATGGACCTTTCCATCCCAAAATGTGCAGTTCCTGTTTCGGCTATGATCCTGTCAATTAACGGCTCCAAGCCTTGAATCGCATTAAGCTCGTCTTCGACCTGACTCTCGAACGTCTCGCGAGCATTGCGTACTTTTTCCCGGATTTCGTCTTTCTGGGCGTCGGTGACTTGACTTTTCCACACCCGTTTGCACTCTCTACACATCTCTTGAAAGTTTTTCGTTATTATCTGCTCTTGCCCTTCGCTTGCACCTACGTTATGGCTAATGTGTAAGAGCTTGATTACTCTTGAGGAACCTGCCCCCATTGACTTTCTGCCACTGCTCACTTTTGCCGCATCGCGTTTTCTTTCGAAACTTTCCCTAAACCCGTTTCTAAAAAGCAAATATTCGCTGTTTAGCGGAATCGGTATTTCCAGTCGCTTGGCCACCTGTTCATAGTTTAGAGTTGCGTAGTCAATTCTCGTATACCGGAAGTATAATGCATGATAGAGTCGCCTCTTGGAAATCGATAAACTGTGCCAATTGCGACGAACGAATTGCTTGAACGAATTGTTCCCTCTTATAAGATTTTTTGGCTCTTCTCCAGCATTACATTTGCTCAAAGCTTGTACCTGCAACTGGTAATAGTAGGTAAAAGCAGTCTGTGGGGTCCTGTCCAATCTCTCAAAAGATTTCTTGCTATGCACCGCGAATTTTGAGACCTGGGCGAACAGGCCTGGGCTCGACCTCATTTTATTAAAGTTTGAAGCTAGCAGGGCGACTATTCCAGTCTCCAAGATCAAAGGGCCCTTAGAGATGTGATCTAATTTGAAGTTTTTGAAATTTTCGTGAATTGTATTAAAGACAGCACGCGAAAGGGACGCGCTATTGGCTGATGGATAGAAACAAAGGCAATAGAGATGGTATTAAAGGAAAACATCGAATCAACAAATTGAAATATAACGTTACAAAGAATCAAAGATATATGCTAAACGGCTTTCATGTTTACTATTCCTATTGTGGATATGAAACGTTCTTAAAAGGCAAATCATTCGGGTTATGGGACGTGTTGTGAAATGCAGGGTTGTTATTTTGGTCCAGTGGGAAAGTGAACTCGTTGGTATCAGGCACATGAGCGGACGCCACGGTTGGGTCGGACGCTGCCTCACTCGCATTTGAGCCACTTCCATCATTAGTAGGTGTGCATAAGTTGTAGCTGAGATGATCTGAATGAGAACCATTTCCAAGATTCTTGGCCGGGTTCAAAGCCTTTGCAGCTACAAGAGCGGCCTCGTGGCTTGGTGGACCAACAGGCAGACCAGGCGTCGAAGGTGAATTCTGACTTGATTTCATTAAAGCAGGCTCTCCTGTGGCTATTCTAGTGTTACCTTTCCCGCGTCCTCTGATGCCACGATTAGAGTTTTTGTAAATGTCTGCAAAATAGTCGAGTAATTCTCTCTCTTCTGGTGGTATCTTTTCATTAGCATCCATCTCGGCCAATCGCTGTGTTAATTCGTTCAACGTTTGCAAATGGAATCTGTTCTGATGCGCTTTCATGTTGCCTAGTTGGGTAAAGCTTTTGTTGCACCCGTCCAACTTGCAATGGAAAGGTTTCAAATTCTCATGCGTGAGTTTATGGGCAGCCAAATTGCCCTTGCGCGAAAATCGCCGCCCACACTTGTCACATTCATAGGGCTTTTCGCCGGTGTGTAGTCTTACATGAGTCCTCAAATTCCCTCCCTGGGTAAACCGCTTACCACAGTAGTCGCACTGGAACGGCTTGTAGCCGATGTGAGACCTAACATGAACTTCCAAATGAGTAGATTGTGTAAAACATTTGTGGCAATAAGGACACTCGTGCTGCTTAGCGCCTCTTGCTTTGGGTTTTTCCACACCGCCCACAAGTTCGCTAGCAGGAGGAATGATAGATGGTGCACTGTCCAACAGTAAAGAGCCATCTGCTCCTCTGAGTACTCTGTCTGTTACTCCCTTCTTGCGTGCCTGGATAACTAGCATGAGTTGGTCCACTTTTGTTGCCCCCAACAAAGGACGACCATCATCTGCTATTAAAATTGGATCCTTGGACTCGAAAAGTCCGACCATGTCTTTCATGGCCTCTTGTTTAAGTTCGCCCTCTGCTTTTGAAATTGGATTTTTCCTCCTTTTCTTTGCATCGTGTTTGAGACTCGAGGTGCCATCCGCGGACTCGCGTCCTGCTTCTTGTAAGACTGGTGTGAGATGCTTATGAATGCGAGCTTCAACGTCATCTTCTTGTCTATGGATTGGAGACACGGAGCCAGAATCCTTCTTCATGCTATCCGCGGCATGTTTGAGCATCGGTAGATAATTGGAGGCATTTTCTAACGTGCCCCGCACCGACGAATTACGTCTTTTGAGTTGGAAATCGAAATCATCGGCAGAAAATTTCATAGAGTTCTTTCTCGAAGACAGCCCTTGCGCGAAAAGCGCATCTAGATCCGGTTCTTGAGCCGCACCAGTGCCTGACTGGGAGACAGGATTGATCATAGGTCCCGGAAGTGAGGCAATGTTTGAGGCCGAGTTACCACGCTGTGGTAATACGTGCGGCGGTCTCATCATCACAGTTGAGTCGCGCTTTCCACTTGGATTCAAAAAATCTAAATCAGGCGCATCCGTCCCTGAATAGAATATAGAACCCCGCTTGGAGCTTGACAAAGTGTCGCCCCGCGCACCACCCGGGGGCGGGATGGGCTGCTGTAGCTGGTTGGATCCGGAACGCCCGGACGAGAAGCTGGGAGTCTTGAATCGAGGCATGAAGGGTTCGAGTTGCTCGCTTTGTCTCCGCATGGTGGTGAACTGGCCAGCATCCGGTATGCCCGCTGTGCCAGGCCCTACACCTGGCAACCCAGGCTGAGCCTGCGGAGTAGCCCAGAAGTTGTTAATGATCGAATAACCTCTGGAATACGGGCCCAAATCTTGTACACGTCCGGATTGTTGCTGTTGTTGTTGCTGGTGCGGCAGCTGTTGTTGTTGTTGTTGTTGTTGTTGTGCTGCCTGCTGTTGCTGGTGAGCTTGCTGATTGTGGGGTGGGGGTTGCGCGCCATGTGGCAATTGGTGCTGGCTCTCTGCTATGTTGAGAAAAGACGACAACGACGTGTCCGTAGAGAGCCGCGGTGCGTTGAAATTTGTGTACATTGAGATGGAATCCGCTCTTTGGGATCCCGGAGGCATCCCGTGTGGCGGTCCCGATGGCGGGGGCATTGTCGCCGTGGGAGGAGGTTGGGTGTTTCCTTCACTTTCGTGTTTTTCCATCTGTGGACGATTTCACCCTGATGATTGCTGCACTTTTGCCGGACGATAGCTTTGTGATTTCTTTTCCTGACACACTTATCCCTAGGATCTTGGATTTTTTTTTTTGAACCCCGTGCTGTCGTTCTATCAGCACTGTCGCGGAAGGTTTGTTTATCACCGTGGTTTGCTGTGCCCCCTGCAGTTTGACGGCAAGGTTAACGTTGAGGGAAAAGAAAGAAAAAAAAAAAAATAAGGATAAATGTTTTTGGGGACGGTTCTCGTGAAGCCGGGTAAGGGAACTCCATTATGGGGAAGATGCGCTCACATGCACACGCTGCGCATTTTACACCCAGACCTGAGTCAACTTGTTGAAACCATACGATCACCCCAAGCTGGCTCAGTTTCTATCAACCTGAAATACGGAAGTCTTGGCAATCTCCATCTGCGTTTTGCCCGGTTCGTTATGGAAACGCCTCTGTCTGTCGTATAATATGACTAAAATCGTCTCCTTGTTTTGGCCAACCCTTGGCGGCTAATAATGGCCCGGGGTCACTGTGGGCCCCAGGACTACATGCCACATAAAGGGAGGATAAAACAAATGCGTATAAACAAACATTACATAAAAGTCACACCATATGTCTGTCTCTCTGTCTTCTTCTTGAAAATCTAATTTAATCTCCGCACCCTCTAGGCCGGCGCTTCGAAATGTGAACTAAACGAAGTACCAACAATCTAAGGAGTCCGAGATCTCCCTCGAGCTTTTATACCCCATTTTCATTGTGTATAGCAAAAAATTGCGCTCAAGTGTGCGTCCAATGAGACTCGGCGGCTGCGGCTTTTTGGATACGGTACGCGTATTTCTGAGAAAAAAATCCATCCCCCCATTCTCGAGAGGGGTAAACAGGAAGTGAATGACCCTGTAAGCGGCAAAGAATCAGGTATAAAAGCAGAGCATGGCGGGTACCCCGCCTTGAAGGACTTTCATCAGTTGGAGACAGCGCCAGCTTGTCAATGTGGATATTACGTCCTTGCGAATGCATCACTGGCTTCCAAGTATAGTTTTAAGTAGAATTATAGTTTTCACGTTGGCTACACTATTTATACAGAAGCCGGGAAGCCGCCAGCTATTAGGATTAGCTAAGCCAGGTCAAATGTAACCGGAGAAAGGCGAGGAAACAGCCGCTATTCTTCAGCGATTCTGGAGATCCATTAGCAAGAGTTTGAGAGCCTTTCTTCTACTATGACTGCCACCGGATTATGTGGATCCGGAACGACAAGGCTTCCTAGGGTAAGAACGGCCATGGTGTCTGAAGGGCGCTGACTGACGCAAGGAGAGTGTGATTACGTGACTCGTTCTGTGTGTCCGCAAGTCAACTCGCTCTCACTTGAGACGGATATGTTTTTTGGTTTTTGTCATTTTGTCACGTGGTTGAGTTTTCGCTCTTACTAGCTCACTACAGTCTAAACACTCAGAGCTGAAAAAAATTTTAGAGAGGAGCAGAGATGAGCTTAGGAATCTCATCTGCAAGAAGACCATTGACAGCGGGAGCGATATATTCACACGCAACGCGAAGCATGGCCAGCGGAGAAAACATGAACATCGCAATCGATGCCAAAAGCGAGACTAATGGCACCAACGGCAGCGCCGCTAGCGCCGCTAGCGGCGCCAGCCGTGAAGTGCACACGACAGAGATCGAGCAGCCTTCTCGCGATTTACAAGACGTGGACATGATCGACGAAGACGACGAAGAAGTGGACAAAGAGAAAATCAAGTTTCTGCCGCAAGCAACGTCTGATGACGGCTCGTGCGCGTCGTTTCAAATCACCGAGGAAGACCACACGCTCGGCAACGCACTCCGCTACATAATCATGAAAAACCCAGAAGTAGAATTCTGCGGGTACTCCATTCCACATCCAAGTGAAAATCTGCTAAACATCAGAATTCAAACCTACGGCGAAATCACTGCGGTCGAAGCCCTTCAGAAGGGCCTCCAGGACCTCATGGACCTGTGCGACGCCGTCGAGGACAAATTCACGCAGCGCATAAGAGAGATGTGACAGCTTGATCCCCGTTCACACTACATACTATGTACACTAACGAATAGCATTACGGGCGAGACACGCCTGGGAAACAACTCCACGAACTCAAAGTCACATGACATCCACGTACATCCCGTACCATATGACACCCATGCACCCAATAATTGCTGCTCTCGTTTTCGCATTTCTTTTCTGAAACGTGAAAATCTTTTTCGAGTTTCCCACAAATAAGTATAAAAGGGCGATGAGCATCTCATCGCCGTTCTGCTCTATGAAAAAACAAGCACTGGTATCTCATATCACTCTTATAGAACTCGTACTTGAATTATAACATTTTGGACATGACCTACGGATCTAGAGACCAACAGTACAACCAGGACAACTACGGAGGCCGTGGTGGTGATTTTCGCGGTGCCAGACCCTCTGACCGTCAATATCAGAGCGGCGGTGGTTTCCGTAACGGTGGCGGTTTCCGTGGAGGAAACTACCGTGCTCCTCCTTCGCAACCACAAGAATTGGTTGCACCAAACTGGGACGAAGAACTTCCAAATTTGCCAAAGTTTGAGAAGAACTTCTACGTCGAGCACGAGACCGTGAAGGACCGTTCGGACTCTGAGGTGCAGCAATTCAGAAAGGAAAATGAAATGACCATTTACGGTAAGGACATTCCAAAGCCAATCACATCTTTCGACGAGGCTGGCTTCCCAGACTACGTTTTGGCTGAGGTTAAGGCCGAAGGTTTCGAAAAGCCAACCGGCATTCAGTGCCAAGGTTGGCCAATGGCGCTTTCTGGTCGCGACATGATTGGCGTTGCTGCCACTGGTTCTGGTAAGACTCTTTCTTACTGTTTACCTGGTATTGTGCACATCAACGCTCAGCCACTGCTATCTCCTGGTGATGGGCCTATTGTTCTTGTCCTAGCTCCAACCAGAGAACTTGCCGTTCAAATTCAAAAGGAATGTTCCAAGTTTGGTAAATCCTCTAGAATAAGAAACTGCTGTGTCTACGGTGGTGTTCCCCGTGGTCACCAAATCAGAGAGCTTACTAGAGGTGCTGAAATTGTGATTGCTACCCCAGGACGCTTGATCGATATGCTCGAGATCGGTAAAACGAACTTGAAAAGAGTCACTTACTTGGTCTTGGATGAAGCTGACAGAATGTTGGACATGGGTTTCGAGCCTCAAATCCGCAAAATCGTGGACCAAATCAGACCAGACAGACAAACCCTTATGTGGTCTGCTACTTGGCCAAAGGAGGTTCAACAACTTGCTAAGGATTACCTACACGATGCCATTCAGGTCAACGTCGGTTCTTTGGAGCTAGCTGCATCTCACAACATCACTCAAATTGTGGAAGTTGTCTCTGAAATGGAAAAACGTGACCGCATGTTAAAGCAACTTGAAGCTGCTGCTGAGGACAAAGAGTCTAAGATTTTGATTTTTGCCTCTACTAAAAGAACTTGTGACGAGTTGACCAAGTACTTGAGACAAGATGGATGGCCTGCTTTGGCGATTCACGGTGACAAGCAACAGCAAGAGCGTGACTGGGTTTTACAAGAGTTTAGAAGTGGGAGATCACCTATTATGGTTGCAACGGATGTTGCCGCTAGAGGTATTGGTATGTGTTAAATTTGTGCATATTTGCATTTGTGAAGGCTTTCTTATCGGCTGGACTGAGATGGAAGCCTCTACATTAACTTATTTTTGCAGGAGAGGAAATTGAAAATGGCCACAATGGCCCGTTAATCTTTGGGGACGAATATCAAAGAAAATGAAAAAACTACCGAATTGTTAAAAGATGATGAAATTACTTTTTTTTCTACTTCAAAATCAGAGCTTTGTACTACTTTATGAACGAACTGGTGGATTTTATAACCCGTTTTGAAGTTTCGGTATGGCTCTGGGAGGTAGACGAGGACAGCACATGTTACTCGATTTCTTTTTGAAGTCGAGCTTTACATTTTGAATTCCGCCGCGCAGTTTATTGAGGTGCCGTTGTAAATCAGTTGTACCGTTGAGATATATGGAGAATGCTCGCGCTTTCCGCTAGCATTTGTTTTTCAGTGTGCGGATCATTTTTGCTGTTCTAGTAATGTCTTTTTACATTTTGTGTAGCTTTGGTATTTGTATTTGGTCCTCCTGGACAGGCCCTTGTTGACCATACACTGGTGTAAGCGAGGGACCGCTTTAGCAAAAGGTAATCTCTTCACTTTTTATCTCTCTCCTGCTTTCAACGCTTCTCATTTGGAATTAGCACACTAACATAAGGAACAGATGTCAAGGGTATCAACTTCGTCATTAACTATGACATGCCAGGTAACATTGAAGATTACGTCCATCGTATTGGTAGAACCGGTAGAGCCGGTGCCAAAGGTACTGCTATTTCCTTCTTTACCGAAGCCAACAAGAGCTTGGGTGCCCAGCTTATCAGCATCATGAGAGAAGCTAACCAACAGATTCCTCCAGAGTTGTTGCAATACGATAGAAAACAATATGGCGGTCACCCAAGGTATGGACGTGGTGGATTCGGTGGTCGTGGCGGCCGCGGTGGATACGGACGCGGTCGTGGTCGTGGTGGCTATGGTGGTGGCAGCTACGGTGGTGGCTACGGCGGCCAAAGATCCAGAGATTCTGGTTGGGGAAACAGAGGTAATAGCTACAACTATTAGAATGCGTGTTTGGCTTTTGCTTTATACCCCATATATGTATATTATTAGTATTCGAAGAAATAATCGAGAATAGCTCCTTTAGCTAACCCGGAAGGGATGATGTATTGGGATTGATGAGGGTTTCTCTGTCCTCTTATCTGCTTCTGCTAAACTTCGCCTTACAGCGCTACGATGCATGTACTCAAATGAAGTAGAACAGCTTGGTAGGCTCGGAGACGAGTGCAGAAAGATTCAATGGGGAGACGAAAGCAAATTGGCGATGTCACTTGCAAATGGCCAGGTAAGATCTTGAGTTTCAGGATACCTACCAAGCAGCGTCCCAACCATCTTCTTCCTCTTCGTCATCCTGAGGCTCTATGCTTTGTTTGGGGCGTATGGTCCCAATTGATTGCGACGATTTTTTAATGGTAGAATTGATATTTTTGGGCTCGTCCCAGGCGTTATCCCAATCATCGTCATTCAGATCATCATTCCATGATTTTGTAATTTTTACTTCCGTAGATTTAAAAGCGCTACTGTCGATGTTTGAAATCGAAGAGCCCTCAGTAATTATTGCATTTTTCGAAACGCCGTTAACTGGCTCGCCGAACCAATCATCTTCATTATCGCCATTATCCCAATCATCTGTCGTTTTTTCTGAGACAGTAACGTTGGGAGAAGAGCGAGTTGCCAATACTTCTGCTGGTGGAGACGAAAGCTTCAGATTTCCTAAAAAGCTTTGCACTAAGCTGACATCTTTATCGTTGAGCTCTGCATCAAAATCGATCTCAATCTTTTCACTATTGTCGGAGGGAATTTTTTGAGCCTCTTCCTCGAGGGCTGAAGAATACAGCTTGAAAAGAATTTTTGCCTTAGAACGAACTTGCAAATTTCTATCAAGCAAACTCGGGGCAATAACAGTAAGAATCTTGTCGGCGATGGTATTTGGCTCAAAAAGTGGTAGCGACTTTTCCAATCCGTAAAGCGCTGCCAGTCTTGGTTTTAAATGAGGATCCTTGAGGGACTTTGTGAAAGCTGTCGCCAAAATGCCACTTCTGTTGCTCGATGCGGATAGCAAACTCGACATTTTACATATTATGAGGATTGTCCAAGTTCTTATTTCAGGATCTGCGTCAACCTGAGTCTTGGCCAATAGTCGAAGAAGATCATTATTCAGTTGTCTTTCGGTAATGACAGAGATTATTGCAGGAATGTGCTTCAGAGTCTGTATTCTAACTGTGGGGTCAGAATCTGAAAGTCCTTGAATGAATCTGGGGAAGATTTCAGTTGACACTTCGGAATTGCTCAACTTTTTGATATAGCCTGAGAAATAGACCAGTAAAAGGAATCGTAGCTGCCTGTCCGGCAAGCGGAAGTTCTCGAATATCAAAGGCTTGACATATTTTTCAAAGGCAGCCGGTGAGGTCGAAGCGGGCTGATGTGAACATGTCAAATCAAAAATGATTGCCAAAAAAGGTACGATGATTGAAACGCCTGCAGACATAGGCTGACTTTGAAGGGTAGTTACCAAGGTGGAAAGGCACTGAGATATTTCGGGTATGAGAAGACCATCAATGAATTGGCTTGATGCCTTACGCAATGTATCAGCATTTTCCGATACCTGCCTTTGCAGATCTGTCATGCAAACCAACTTTCCTTGGTGGTCTTTCAACGGTAATTCAACTAGTATGTCGTAGATCGTAAGTAGAGGTGATTCTAAAGTCGCCTGGAGCTTTTGGCAAGCTTGGGCAATTGACATTGAGCCTCTACCCAGACCGGATACCATTTGTCGTAGATGGCCAGGTAACGGTGAATAGAGTCTGGATATTAAACCTGAAAGAAGAACCGAATCAATTGTGCTAAAAGCGGCATGTTGGATTTCAAAAGAAGTTCCACCCATTGCAGATCTATAAGCGGAGTTGCATCTTTCGAAGTGAAACTGTTGAGTTTTTTTACAGCAGAGTTCAAGTCCGAAAATTCGCCATTCTCCACGCTCATTTACCACAATTGATCCCTGAGACAGCGTGGCAAGCACCACTTCCGCCTGTGTATGTAGAATATCAAGTGTTCTCGTGAGTTGAATGAGCCCCAGGGATATCGCATCGCGACTGAGCTGTTCCAGTTTGACCGCATGCACGCGTTCGGTCACGATATAGGTATTTGATTGATCCGTGTCTATTACGTCGATTACACGCGCCAATCCGGGGATTTTTAGAATTTTGGACATTTTAGCAACGTTTGCGACCATCTCATTTGCCTCAGGACCATTATTTTGCTTAGAATACGTGAAAACCGTGACAGGTGTCGAATCGGCCTTTTTAGTGCCCTGATTAGCACAATAAAAGGGCGAACTGAAAGCTGGTTCAGTTTCCAGTGCATAAGGAAACTGGAAATTCGACAGCGACTTGAATAGAAAATTCATGTGCTAAATTCGAGGCTGCGTATTCCCACCGGGAGCTACGCATTTGTTATAACGCGAAAATATCAATATCTGTTAAAAGTTCCTGAAAGTTAGAAACCCTTCGTCTCAGGTGACATCGACACCTTTTTCCCAGAGTCTCACGTGGTTGAGTCTTCCCAGGATTCATCGCTGTTCACTCATCGCGTTCAGCTCACCTCAAGCTCGAATTTATAAATATTATCTATCTCTACTCTACAAAATTAAGTCACCTCGACACATCCCCGGTAACTTCAGTTATTCCTTGCGAGAATTCATGTAAAAGTAAACTACAGCGGCCATCACGGCCAAAAGAGCCAAAATCATGAGCCCGTTACCCTCGCCACCGGTGGTGCTGGAAACAGGCTCTTTGTCGACTTTGGCGATAGGTTCACTGTCTTGGTCAACGTCTCCAACGTAGAGATCCGCTAGCATCTTTACAGCATCATCAGAGTGACCGATGTCTGCAAATGGTCCCGTGGCGTCCTGTCCACCGAGATCTAGCAACACTTCTTCGCCACCAGGATGTTCGTCAATGAACTTTGTACAGTCGTAGACTTTTCCGTCAATGATCATCCACAGATCTTCCTGGGTATTATGTTCCGCGATTTCCTTGTAAGAGAAAAGTTTGGCCATTTTTGTCGTGTGTATATTTGGTTCTCCTGTATCACTGTTACACCACTATAATCGTGCTTTACCGTGGAAAGATCCAGTCTCAGTAACGCTTTGTTGAATTCTATGTTTACAATTGTAGAAAAGAGCTTTTTCTTATATATTTGAGATTCGTTCATAGTACATTTTTTCGTTCTTCATCGGAAAAATTGTTGGGAACGACGACCGATATGACCGGAACGTAGTTGTAGACGGCGTGTGTCGATATCGAGAAACTGTGACGAAGAGCTGCTCTCAATTGTAGGAACCTTCTTTCAAATTTCGGTTGCTCTCTTGCGATTTTTCGTTTTTCACACTGCGTTGTTGCGTCGGTAAGTTAAGACTTGTCAAAATTTATTATCTAGTATACAGGTAAATGGATTTAGTAGTGAGCCGCATTAATAGGGGGTCAGATTCTTGTGGTGCTGTTCACCACTTGAAGTTAATTCCTTGCTCTTGTAATTTGGAAATGCGGTCTTGATGCTTTTCTTCGGCCCTCTTCTTGAGGTCAGACGTTGTTTTCTTGACAGGAGCCTCGGAGAATGCTCTCCCTCTGTATTTGAAAAGCTTCTCGATTTTTTTGCCCTTGGGCAAGGCAGTGACCTGCAGAAGATGACCCATGAGCAGATAATTGTTCATAGTTTCCTGGGCCACGAGAGCATCGTCCTTGTTCACGAACTGAATGAACCCGTAATGACGACTGTTGCCCGTCTTGCGGTTGCGTGCAAGTCTCACTTCTTTCAAGTCACCGAATTGTGAGAAATATTTAGCCAGTTCTCGCTCGTGGAACCCTTTAGGCAGGCGGCTCACGTAGACGATGCCCGAAAGTTTAGTAGAATGGGACGCTGCTGTACCAGCAGCCTTGGCGGCGTCCTTTCTAGACACTTTCACATTCGTACTAAGCTTCTTGATCGTGTGAGGACCCGACTGTGACTCTTGTTCCAACTCTACTTCAGATTCGCTACCAGAAAACCCAGCAACGTCTCCTTCGTCCGAGGAAGACGCCGAAAGTTGCAACTCATTATCTTCGACGGCGTCCGCCGCTTCTACCGTGTCTACCCGCTTCTCATCAGCCTTAGACATGTTGCAGATGGGTGATGAGCTAGATTTTTCAATCCGCGATGAGCTGAAAATTTTTTAGTTTTTTTAGCTTAGAAAAGAAAATTTAGCCATCTGACATTTAAGTCACGAGGACCTGAAGACTTGGATCTGACTTTGCATCGTTCAGGCCTTGAGAAGCGGAGACGGACTCTGCGAGGTTGTTATGCCTCGAAAGCTGCCCTGTAAATAGCTTTAAAGGTCCTGTTTAGAGGAAGACCGACAACGTTGAAGAAGTCACCATTGATTCTCTGTATCATTGATCCGCCAAAAGTTTGAACTTTAAGGCCTCCTGCGACCTCTAACGCGTCCCCGGATTGTACGTAGTCGTGGACAATGTCGACGGGAAGCTCGTTGTCGAAATATATCTCGGTTTCGTCGTCGTACGACGTAGTAGTGAAATCTTGCGGACTGATCCACTTGATGAGATTCACAGCCGTTACAACACGTAGAGGCTCTCTGGCATTACGGAATTTTAGCAAATTCTCCAGCTGTAATTCCCATTTTTTGGGCTTTTCGTGAATATTGTTCTCGGGATCTATTACGACGGTATCGGCACAAATGACGAGTTTTGGTTTGATTTGTTTGCCATTGGATTTGTTAAATGATTCTGCTAGATCCGCCCTTATTCCTCTTGCTTTTTCGGCACTTGTGTCTCGAACATAGCCCTTTGGGTTGTTGACATATTTGCGCTTGTCGAGGTTCTCCTCGAAGGATGGCTTCATCAAAGTTATGTCGTTAAACCCCATAACTTCGTGCAGGATCTCGTAACGTCTGGCAGAGGACGATGCAAGAACGACCTCGAACTTGTCACTGACTTTCCGCACGATTTCAGACATTCTTTCGTGTTTTGTTCGTGTTTTGTTCGTGTTCTGTTCGTGTGATCTTTGCCAACTAGCTAGTCTGGTGGGGTAGATTTGGTTTTTGAAAATAAAAATGTCAATTAAAAGCTCCTTAAGAAATTTACCGCGGAAAGAGACCTAATTGCTGGCTGATGTAGTTAATCTAGTTCAATGTCTATTTTGTTTATAAAGGCTTCAAATTTTCTAAAACCACCCTATCTTTTATCCTGTAAATCCGCTCTGGTCCCAAATCTTCTTCCTCTTCTGCGGCAGCAGAAGCCACACTGTCATTTTCTAAATCATCGTCCTCTTGTGGTACTCTTTTCTTGATCTCTGCAGCATTCGGCAATGCAAGTTCGGTCCCTACGAGTTTCCCCCAGCTTCCTTGGTAAATTTTGTCCCCAATTCTGAACAAAGGCTCATTCGTCTCAAGACCAGAAAACTGCATGGTGGCACTAGTGTCAATCTCGCTTTTCTGCTTGCCACGCTCGCCAGGAACGTCGACGCTGACAAAAACATGCTCGAATTCTGACGAGTCAGGAGCGGCAACAGAGGGAGATCGAGACCCTTCTGCTTGTTTACCCTCTGCCAGCGCCCGCCTCGCTTTCATGTCCGCGTCAGAACCGGCTTCGAAACCATACTGGAAATCCCAGTGCATTTCTTCGCCCCTGCTTAGAAACTCTGTGTTTCCGTTCATTGTTAGCGTCCAATGCCGTTTACTAAACGGTATTCCATCGGAATCTACGTTAGCACCCGCAGCGGTAGCAAGCTCGTATTTATCTAGAGAGCAGCTTCCAGACCTGATAATGCTACCATTATCGTCGATAGGCTCGCGACAGCTTTTCAATCCAAGCAAGTTCACACCCAAAGCGATCTTCGTAGCTGCGTGTGTAACCAGTAAAATCGTTTCGATATTCGGAAACAGAGTCTCAACCTTGTCGACGAAAAGAGGCAAGAATTTTTGACATCTCTCGTAGATCTGTTGTTCCGTTTCTCCCTTCCCACTTGGAATCACCGTGCTTTCCCATTCGGGGTCCAATCTTCCCTTGAAAAAATTCTCAAGCACTTCAAAAGGTGCAGGTTCTGGAATAACGTCTCTATCTGGCTTGTACCACTCTCCAATGCCTCTCTCGACGTTAATAGGTAATTCCAGAAGTTTGCTGATTGGTTCTGATGTTTGCAGACATCTGTAAAACGGCGAAGAAAAAAGCATCTCCGGTTGATTCTCGATCGACAAGATGTAATGTGCAAGCTCTCGGGCCTGGTTTACCCCGTGTTCTGCCAATGGCACATCGCTATTTACCCCAGTCGGTGGAAGTGGATAAGGTCCTTTTGGTAACCAATTTGATCGGTACCCATGCTAATTGGAGACTTGTTAATACCTAATCGTGTGATATATGCCACAGTAATCCATAGTACGCCTTTACATACCCTTGCAATGTATATGGTCTTTATCGTCATTACTGTTCTGCTTGTTCTACTTTAATCAAGGTTATATCAGATAGTTGGTCTTTGAAAAATCGAGTTCGCTTCTTATTATAACATCGACGAAATCGAAATGGCGCCGGTTCCAGCCAAAAGGATAAAGACGCTTTCCGTGTCACGGCCCATCATCTATGGTAATACGGCCAAGAAAATGACAGGCGTGAGACCACCCAATGCGCCCGTGGAACACACGCATATGTGGACCATTTATGTCAAGGGACCACAGGGCGAAGATTTGTCAACTTTTATCAAGCGAGTGGTGTTTAAGTTGCACGACACGTATCCGAATCCTACGAGGAGTGTCGAGACGCCACCTTTTGAGTTGACAGAGACCGGATGGGGTGAATTTGAAATTAACATCAAAATCCATTTCATCGATGAAGCGAACGAGAAAATGCTAAATTTCTACCATCACCTGCGGTTGCATCCGTATAAACAAGGTGAGAACCCGGTCGTTAAGAAGGAATCAAGTGGCGAGGAACCCATCACCGAAGTTGAGTCAGTATTCTACGATGAAATCGTGTTCAATGAACCCAATGAAGACTTTTTCAAGATTCTGATGAATTCTACAGAAAGCGTGCTTCCGTCAAATAAAATTGAGTCGCAACCGTTCTCGCGACAGTTGGAACAGGAAGACGTCGACAGACTTTCCATTGGGATCAGGAAATTAGATAAAGAAATTGAAGAAATGAAAGAAAAACTGACAGAAGAGATAGCCAGTGGGTGAGATTTACAAATTAATACGAACGGAGATGACCGCGATATGTGATTTTTTCGACTATAACAGGTGCGTCTTCATCGGTAGAATCAGTAGAGTCGTTTTCTGAATCTGAAGCGTTTCCGCTGATCAATTCCGGGAAACGCTCTTCGATCACTTTCAAAGTTTGGCTCAATTGATCTTTTTGAGGCGATTCCAGTAAGCATTTCCTCCACACACTTCCGCTGATTAAAACGTCAAAGTATACCTCCGGGAAGACTCGCAATTGTCGTGACAATGTCTCATCAAACGTTTGCACTAATTGAACATTGGCCTTTGAGCTGAAACATATCAATTCTATTATATTGTGCCATTGAAGACTAGATCCGTAGTTACCGAAAAAAATCGCATTCAAGAACGCCCACTGAAACTCGCCCAAGAGTGAATACATTGATGAATTGTGGTATTTAGGCAAGATAATGTTAGACAAGTACCAGCTTTTGTCAAAAAAATCTTCCATCTTGTGATCTGGCCTTAATGCCTCGAGAGATTTGAAAACAACGGGCGTATAGTTGAGAACCGCCTCCGAGACTGGTGCCACGATGTCAGCCTTGGATGTGTCAACTCGCCGCCTCAAAGTCTTGAATAATTTCAGGTTTTCCTCGCTTGTCGTGATACTAGAGTCCACGTATGCGAATTCGCCACTGCAGCCCGCTCCATACTGTACGTCGCGCCATTTAATGTATTTCGTGAGTTCATGCCACGAATTTTCTTCGTCAATTTGTGGGAAAGGCATCATAAAAGCTTGAAGCGCGCCGAATTTGTTTTCGGCATCGCGGCGCTCTTCATCTTTGTTGAGTGTCCTCGGTACATAAATTTCTTGGCCCGCATCATAGTTTAACTCGACAAAGTCACTACTTTTCGATTGAAACCAGTAACCGTATCGAACTCCGTTTTCAGAACTTTGAAAGTGAATGACATGTAACTCGGGCTCCGACGGGACATTTTTGATCCCGTGAAACGCTTTCTCGGCGTTCAATTCGAAAGAGGCCTGGTCGACACCGGCAATGAGGTGGGTTGGAACGCTGTCGAAGAAAATATGCATAGCAGCTAAATGACACTAGCAAGTAAAATCAAGCTCGCAGTTATCCCAGGGAAATTAATCTGGGACTCAAAGAGAGAAACAAATCCTGCTGGCTGATGAAGCTTATTCTTGATCGGGCCTTAGATGCTCAATAAATTAGCCCTAATACAATATTTCGATGACCCGTATGCAATTACACATTTCAGCTTTTCAGACTATAAAATGTCTTAATTTTCGGAACTCACCAACATCACTAGCCCTTCCTTTACTCCGAAAACGAGTAGACAAATGCTTCTGTAGCCCGGTCCCAAGCGGCACACTAGGATTTTAAACTGCCGTTATAGTATTGCAAGAGTTTCCGAGGGTCAGAAGACACTTTTAATGCTTGCGATTTCGACTTCTTGCAAACTCCTTTTCTTGTAACATCGGCTTCTATTTTCATGATGAAAACCATAACACAGACCTGTACTGAATTTCATATCATGCAGAGAAAAATTATTGCCTTTTTAGCTGAACACATTAGCAAGCCATTAGAGTAGTCTCACTTGAATTTCACAATCCAAAACTGGAGCACCACGGAACTCAAATAATCCGGCGCACCGATACACTATAGAGTTTTGCAGATACCGATTTTTCGGCATACAAATCGCCCAAAATTATGGTAGAGACATTGTATTGCGTCTTGCAAAATTAATAACATTTTACATAATGTAGAAAGAAAATGACCAGCGCTTGTGAATGGTTAAACTTGAACCACTTATTTCTTAGCAGTCAATCTTCTCAAGTAGAAGGCCAATTCTTCACCTTCCAAGATGTAACCGTCACATCTACCGGATTGACCTGGTCTGGAAGAAATGCAGGCGTACAGTCTACCGGAACCGAATTGAGCCTCGACAGCATGTTCGACCTTAGAGTCGGCAGCTCTGGCAGCCCATTTTCTCTCGGTAGCCTTGGACTTGGCAACGATTTCCTCCTCAACAGCACCCTTCTGGTTCTTCTTCTTTCCTAGGGATTGACCGTAGTGAGATTCGAACCATTGCTTGAAAGGAGTGGCATCGATCTGAACAATGGCAGATTTGGTCAAAGTGTTGGTTCTGACCAATTCGTTGTTAGATGGATGGTAGACAACACCAGCAATTCTAGTCTTTCTAGCAACACCTTCAGAGGCCCAGGAGAAGTTACCGGTCTCGATTCTCAAGGCTCTGAACTTCTTGTTACCACCTCTGGTTCTAACGGTGTGGATTCTCTTGGCACCGATCTTGGTGTTAGCAGGTTGACGGCCCAATTCGAACTTTCTCTTCTTTCTGAACTGAGCACGCTTGGCACCGGTAGCAGCTCTCTTGTGGCGAGAATCACGAGAAATACCCATTTTGAACTATTATAGCAGTTAGTATTACCGACTTCTAAAATTTCTTATTGGCTTCCACGAGGACTATCGAAGAGTCTTTTAAATGCGAACGTAGGAAACAGTAGGAACACTCGATATCGCTTAAACTCTTTACTCCACTCCACTGTGCAGATCTTCCAAATACAATTGAAAAAATCTCCTAAACACACGATTCTTCGCGCTATTCGCCGTGCTGCGTCTGTTTAAAACAGCCGATCATCTCTTCAATCTCTTTGGTCCTCATAAAGCACCCTATTACCATAGTTTAAACATACGTTTTGTCCTGGTGATTGTAACTATCCTTCTTAGCCTTTACTAGTTTCGAATTTCTTCAACATTTGTTCAAGAGAGGTAGTGGAGGATGCGTGTCACCAGCCAGCTGCTCGCACGGGCACCTCGCGTCGGAGGGTTGAGGACCCCAACGGTAGCTTCCCTGCGTGGTTCCGTCCGGCAGAAGGGAGGTGAGGGCCTCCTGCGGCCCGGAGCCAGGCTACCGCTGGGCGGAGCCACGTAGCCTGGGCAGCCCTCACTGTGGTGCGGCGCCGCATGCCACCGACGATCTCAGTGGCCAACCCGGCCACCGGCGAGGGACGCGCGCGCGGCACGTCGAATGCATGCAATTAGACTTCTCACCATCTCAAAATTGTATAGGGTTCTGGGTGTAATCAATAGTCACCAAAAGTCTCGGTGTATGGGTCATGAGGCAGTCAAAAGTTTCCCCACAAGAAACGACTTAAAGAGTTGACAAAAAAAAATTAAGCAACGGACTAGCTCATCGCATGGTAAAATAATCATATGTAACTGAGCCGGAAGGCGTTTTACTGATCGGGCTAAAGTTGAATCCATTATGTCTACTTACGATCAAGTTGAGATTGAAGACATGATGTTTGATCCGGATACGCAGATGTTTACTTACCCATGTCCATGTGGGGACAAGTTTCAGATTTACATCGATGACATGTTTGACGGAGAAGAGGTGGCAGTCTGTCCGAGCTGCTCTCTCATGATCCAGGTGATCTTTGAGAGGGAGGATCTACAGGAATATTACGAGGAGGCCGGGACTCAGCCACCAGAACCCATTGCTGTTGCAGCTTAAAGGGTAGTGGATCCTATGCATATTTCGATTAAGCGACTTGATGATGATGTCTGGGAATTAGCACAAAATTCGGATTTTAATAGCATAGCTGGCTTTTAAGAGTTGTGGAAGCAGTGCTGGCAATGTTTGTACGGCGAGCTGCTTTAATCAAATGGCTTATTTGCGAACTTATAGAGTCCTGAGCGTTGCGAAGATGTCAATAACAAGTTTTGTTTTGTTCAAATCCTGGAAGATCAGAAATCCTTTTCGTTTGCGAGGAAGTCGATTACTTACTCCTTCTTATGGTAGGTTACACTGCGTCAAGCATTGGTGGCCTTCTCTTCACAAAATGTCGATCGTTCGCTTGAAGAATTAAATAACCGACGGTTGTAATATCACTCGATTTTAGGGCACCTTATTTAAGTCGTCGTTTCTATCAAAATGTTTTACAGATTGGATTCCTGGTCGTTTTTGCCTAGCCACTCAAAAAAGAAGCTAACATCCTTGGAGACCGTTTTGGCGATCATGGTGTTCTGAACCCATTTGGGTACGTTTCCGCCCGCGTCACTGGCCGTTCCCATGGTCCATTTGAGCGTTTCCGTCGCATAGTCGTATTCAAGTAATTCCACACTTGAAAACACCGCATGCGTGTGGGCAACGGGATCCCGCAGCGGAGCATCGGCCGCCACTGTAATGACCATTGAGCGTTCTTTCCCGTTTGCCAGTTTGTACGGTTTAACAGGATACACCCATTCGTTGAACTCTCTTGTTGTAAGCGGCTTTCCTAATTCGTACTCGAGGTTCACCAGAACCCAGCCACTTTCCGTGGTCTCGAGAACGTCGACTTTAGTGAGCGTCTCAATGTAATCTATTTCACGCTGAGATCGAAAAGAACGCGTTGGAAGACTCCATTGGTCTTGAGACTCGCGTATACTGCCATTTAATTCCCGAACCATTGCTACATACGTTTCTTGTCTCAAATGATGCGTGCTAGAGCGACAAAGCCAGTACTCTCCTTCGAAATTTGCGCTATAAGATTGCACAGCAACCTCATCACCATCGAGAGTCGGATTAAATGCGAGCTTGTGCTTGTAACACTTGCCTTCTTTCCATTTCTTGGAAAAGTCCGAAAACAGGGATTCCGCTACGTCAATGACGCTATTTTCATCCTCGGGTAGTTGTGCTCTCGTAACCGGTTTTGCTGTCAATTTGAATGTCATGAAGATGTTAGTTCGGCTCCAATTGATCAGCTATCCAGTCTAAGTGACGGTTATAGTTTTCAAGGATTCGCTTTTTTTCCGGTATCTTAGAAATCTTGATTGTCGATGATTGTTGACATATGTCCATTACACCCATAAATCTTGAAACTTCAAGTAGATTCATGTCAAAATAGAGGATATCCTGTGATAAGCGCTAATCAAAAGGCATAAGCTGTGTCTGATAATACGAGACCCTTTGAAACTAATTTCAGTTTAGTTTTGCTGGTTTTCCCTCATTACTTGCCTTCCTATAAGGTAAATCAATTAAAAGGCGGTTCATAAGAAACGTCGTCTTCATTTGACTATGCTCTGCGAAAGATTCCTAAGCACGATGATCTGCTGACCAATTAATTCAAATGCCGAAACCTCGTTACAGGGTCTCCTTTCTGAGTCTCTTTCCTGGAAGGTCTTTAGTTTATACGATCTAAATGCCAAATGTGGGAAAACGAGCAATTGACTAGACTTATATTGAAACTATAATTAAACTTTGACAAGACTTTTCTGAGCGTAACTTAGACTATGTGTTTCTTTAGATTTAGTGCTTAAATGCTTGAGTTGTCTCCCTCCGTTCCTCCTGTGATATTTTTTAAACAATACGTTAACTGCAACGGTTTGACATCACGGTCACTGAGTGTAGCCAGGATCAAGACGCAAACGCGTTTGTAAATGCTGTATTAAACCTATTAAATTATTAATTGTCAATTCTAATGCTGTAGTAATGATGAAAAGCAATAGATGCATGGAGTGCGTTGATTTGAGCGGAGGCAAGTTTCATTTGAGCAGACGCATTATTCCTCTGACTTACAACAAACGAAGGCCTTGCTTTTCGGACGTGCTTGTAACAAGCTCGCTGTCAATCAAAATTGGCGTACACGACGCTTCGGCTCGAGGGTCCGATATTCTTTCAATTTGATTGACCCTCCTCATTTTGGTGTGAAATAGCAGGATTCTACCTCTTTTTATGAAGCAGGAAGAACGCTGCCTAACGGTTTTCAATGCAAGCAAGGTACCCATGGATGACGAAATCACTGTAACTGTGGCTTTAGGATCAAAAGCAAATAGCAATCTTGTGTCAACAATAACTGTTTAGCTTCGAAAGACCTGCTAGTCTTCACATTGCGTTAAAGAGATGCGGGAGACTGCCAATTAGATTTTGCCTTTTTATTTCCACGACCGTCATCACGATCATGCCAATCAAGCATTCTTTTACTAAGGTCTACGTCCATGGTATCATCGAGAAGCCATTTCTCCATAAGCGCGGGAGGAGCATCCATGGACGGTAATATAATCTCTATCATTCGTATTATCCCGTTTTTAGCAAAATTCTCATCATTTACAAGAGCTGAGAAATCACCAACAGTCTTGATTTGACGAGCATCGTAATTCAAAGCTCCAAATGTTGATAGTAATTTCAAGTTATGCCAAGGTTGGATGTCATGATAACCAGCATTGGATTTTCTGTGCAGCAATCTATCAATGGTGTAACCATTATTATTCATGACAAAAATATAGGGCGTCAAGCCCCATCTTATTATTGTAGAAAGCTCTTGGACAGTGAGCTGTAAAGCACCATCTCCCACAAACAGAATAACTCGACAACCTTTTTTTTCCTCGAGAGTTGCGAAAGACGCCCCTAGGCATGCTCCTAACGAGTATCCAACCGAACCCCATAAGCTCTGGGAAATACAGTTAGTGGAGCTGGGAAATTTCGTTTGATTGATGCCGAAAGCAGAAGTTCCGGTTTCCGTTATTATAACATCACCTTCTTGAAACCAATTACTAATTTGACTCCAGACCCATTCTTGTCTTAATGGAACATTATCCATTAGCTTAATTTTGGCTCTTATTACTTCAGGCACCGGTTGAGGCCTATATCGAATCTTCGTAGGATCAAGTTTAGCTATCAAAGCTCGTAGTAAATAAGAAAGCTCCAAGTCGGGGTACATGGCATTCTTCAATTTTACAAAATTGGAAAATAGCAATGCTGTATTTTTGGCCCGATAGGAAAAGTTGAAGGAGCCGGTGTTAAAGTCTGAGAGAAGAGCGCCGACGACGAGAACGAAATCGCAGAAATCAACAACTTCCCGGACTTCTGGCGAAGACATGGACCCTACAAAAGTGCCTCCAAAATGGGGATCTTGTTCATCGAATGCTCCTTTCCCCATTGGTGTACTAAAGACAGGAAACTGCGTCAGTTCCACAAGCTCGTGTAATTCGGCTGAGATGTTATACCGGGAAACACAACCGTCGGCGATAATGGCAGGAGATTCGGCTTTATAAATCAAATCGAGCACTGCATCGACTACCTCATTTTCAAGCTCTGGATTGTTCGGAGGCATACTCAAGTCCAATGGTATACTCAAAGGAGCTGAATCAACGAGAGCGTCTACGAAATTGACGGGAATTCCCACGTATACGGGTCGCCTTTTCTTATACGCAAGCGCAATGCATCGGTCTATCTCCTGAGCACATATATCGAGATCCGTAAGAACAGTAGTATGCTCTGACACATCGCTTGCCAGCCTGTGGAAGATGCTGTAGTCTCCGTTACCGAGTGTATGATGAAGTAGCAGTTGTTTGACTTGTGCAGATGTCGGTGGCATGCCCACAATGTGTAGAACGCCAACATGCTCGGCAAAAGATCCCGCTATGCCGTTAATGGCGGAAAGTTCACCAACTCCGAAAGTCGTCACCAGACAAGCCAAATTTTTGATCCTGGCGTAACCGTCTGCCGCGTACGCCGCATTAAGCTCGTTTGCGTTACCTGCCCATCGAAGCTCTGGAATAGAATATATTTTGTCCAGTAAAGGCATGATAAACTCCCCTGGAAGACCGAAAATCGTATTCACATTCAGCTGTCGGAGACGGTAGAAGAGATAGTGACCCAGACTAATTTGACTCGGTAAACCACAGTTGCCCCAAACTTCAGGTTCATCGAACGGCATGGCACTTTTCAAACGTTTGATGCACACCAGTTCTTAATTGCTAACCTGCTCGCACTCTGCTCGCAGGCCACTTCAAATCTCGATCTGGCGACAAGTGAATTTCCGAAATGCTAACGGTTTCCTTCTCGGCCCACTTGGAGTCTAAAAAAAACCGGCCGATCAACAACTATGAGAGTCCTGGCCCCGTCAATTGGAAATGTCACAGGCACAAATACAAAAAGCCTGGCCACGATTGTTGGAAAGAGCCACTCGAATATCATTTTACATAAAGAATTCGGCCTTAAGCACCGTGGTGTGCTTTTCTTGCGAGAAAAAGTCACGTGTACTTCGTTTGTTGAAGAAATTCCCACAAGTGAGGTTAATGGACTGCGCATAATAGAATTCACAGAAAAGAGCATTTAGGCCCAGCTCGTCTCATTTCGCATTCAAATTAATCTGCAAGTGAGGCAAGAATTTTTAGCAGAGACTTTTTTTTTTAGAGTTTTTGATTATTTCTGGAAGTCGTAAAATGGCATTTCACTTTATCGTTGTCCCAGTGGGAGTTCCTTTAAATCCTCCTTTTCTTGTAGAAATTCGTTTGCACTTTGACAAATTGTATGTAACTGCGGATATATCTGGATGCTGACTGAAAAAGCTCAAGATACTTTGGCAGCATTCCGCGGATGGCATAGGTGAATGCCTGCGACATTCGGGACTATTGTCTACTCGCCTGTTATACAGTAATGAATTATTTGGGAAATACCGCACTATGGTCTTGCTAATTTGCGTCCCGTCTGCTTTTCCAGATTACCTTCTTTCCTGTTTGAAAGATATCTAGCGGAAAAGATGGGTAAAGGCTACTGACGAAAAAAAAGCTTGTCTGTTATGATCCTAGTATCAGCGGCTAAACATGCGAAGGTGATATTTCAACAGATAAGAACACTAAGCAGGCCTTTGGCTTTGCTTAGGGAATCCTGGGTTTGGCATTCCTCTAGTATTCAGGTCTATCAATCCTTTATTTTCTGTCGGGCTTCAAAGGGACTATTTTTACCTAACGTCGTGAATTGCTGGAGGAGGGCCACCGCTTTGACTTGTACTTCACGGCACCGGAGGTTGTGCCATGATGAAGACTGTGATTGCCTCTCATTGATCCCTCCAAATTTGTAGAGGTCTTATTTAATTAATGAATAGTCGTAGAATCGAGTATTCCGTTTACTGACGGACGAAGGACAGAAGAAAATACCACTTCCCAGAACAAGTTCCGAAAAGCAAATCTCATTAGTTTTGAATTCTTTTAGATTTTAAATACTTCAATCGAGGCACACAATTCGCGTAGGGGTGGCTTTGGTGCCTCACTTTGGCCAATATGCTAGGTGGATGTGCCATGCTCATGAGTGCAAATCAGGATAGGGTCGGAAATGAAGATAATATAATTAAAAAACTGATCGTTGACGTCGTAAAAATAGTTGGGACTTGCGCGACAGCATTCCTGTGTGGTGTGGCGTTTGGATGGCCCCTGCTGACGTTCTCATGCACTCAGATGCGCTTTGAAAGCGGAGAGCTCTTGCGGGCTCAAAAAACCGAGTTCGGTCTTGTCGTCGTATTCGAGCAGACGCAACGCCTTCACGATGCTGGTGAGACCTGAGTCGGACGTCGTCAACAATTCGTCAAAGTAAGGGGCCGTCAGACAGTGCACGGCGGAAAACCTTTGGGAGGGATCGTAGCGCAGCACGTCAGCCAAAAACTGGACCGTCTGTGGGTCCTCACGCTTGAACACTTTGGCAAGCGGGATGGGTCGGATCTGAGGGAACTTGTGCTCCATATAGTTGGGGTTCATAGCACAGATCTCCTGTTTGGAGGGCGTGCCCAGGATCTTGATGATCTCGACCAACTGATCGATGCCGCTCTCGCCCGGAAACATGGGCTGGCCCAGCAGCAGCTCGGCCATGACGCATCCGCTCGACCACACGTCGATCTGCACGGAGTAGTTGGTGGCGCCGAAAATCAGTTCCGGCGCGCGGTAGTAGCGCGAGCAGATGTAGGAGACGTTGGGCTCGGAGGGCTTGAGCTGCTTGGCACTGCCGAAATCGCACAGCTTCAGCGCGAACGTGTCTGGGTCCACGAGCAAGTTCTGGGGCTTGATGTCGCGGTGGCACACGTTTGCGCACGTGTGCAGATAGTTGAGGCTTTTGAAAAGCTGGTACATGTAGAGCTTGATCTCGAGACGGGGCATGTTAGAGCGCTGCGCGACGAAACGACGCAGTCGCTGGTACAGCGACTGCGGCATAAACTCCAGGATCAGGTTCAGATACACCTCGCCCTGCGGGTCCGTCTCGTAGAAGTAGTAGAGCAGATCGATGATCTGCGGATGCTGGAGCTGCTTCATGATCTCTAGCTCGCGGTTTTTGAACCGCCGGTCCTGGAGCACCTTTTTGATGGCCACTTTCTCGCGGGTTTCTTCGATTTGCGTCGTGAAAACGACGCCAAACGATCCGTGGCCGACCACCTCTGTGGCCGGATATGACACGGACAGAGGCTGTTCCTCTGCCGACGACCCGTGGCCTCTGTATACCTGCTTGTGCACTATTGCGTTGTTAGTAATTGCATTGATGTCCATTGCGTCCCGCTTTCAGCCCTTGCGTGCGATGCGAAGCGGTGCGAAGCGGTGCGAAGCCTTGCGTTCCGGGACACCCGCTGTTTTGTCTCCAGTTGGACGCTGGTCGGAGCCAAACCGGTCCACCGAGCACGGCCCCTATAACTCACACGCACACACGCACACACCACCACCTGCGCCAGACGCCGCTCGTGCGCAGACCATAACCCGCACAAGCGGCTCGCCAACTTTTTTTCCCTCCGCGGGGCGCCTTACCCTGCCTGGCCCCAGACCCTGCTTCCGGGGCGAAGCCCGCAGCCGCAGCGTCGCGCAGCGTCGCGCCGTGCACAGTGCTGAAAGACCCGTGCACCCGTGCACCCATCCACCCACCACTCACTTGATACATACCGTTCGTGCCCGCCCGGGACTCTTGTACGAGCTGCTCTATGCGCTGCTTTGTCAGCCTGGCCTTGGACTTGCGCTTCTTCCTCGTGTCGCTCTGCACGGCAGCGCCGTTGTTACCCGCGGCTGCAGCACCAGCCCCGGCCCCGGCCCCGGCCCCGCGGCTGCCGCGGCGTCGCCGCAGCAACGACGCGTCGTCGTCGTCGTCGCCCCCGGCAACGTCGTCTTCGTTGTCGTTCTGTACGCGTTCCACATGCTCCGCCTCCCACTTGAGCTCGTCGGCCAGGCGCGTCGAAATGCGCTCCAGGTAGTTACCCGCATCAGCACCGGCGGCAACGCCGGTGCGCGGCCGGGTAACGTCACGCTCCCGGTCTCGGCCCCGGTCGCGTTTCTGGAACAACGACCGAGGCGCGCCGCTCGGCGCGCCCCCGTGGCTCGTGTAAGGCGAGATCTGGTGCGTCAGCTTTTTCAGGAGAGTTCCGCTTGTCTGCAACATCGCGCTACAGGGAACAAGGGACAGAATAGAAGGGAAAACAAGTACGGGTGAAAACCAGAACCCAAGTCAAAGTATAATCTGCGGTATAACCAAAGGTATAACCAAAGGCACCAAAGGTAAAAACAAAACGTACTCGAATTGTGTGCTAGCCGTATGTGACGGCAACCTCGAAACCTGCAGTAGTTAGTGTACAGTCGTTAAGCTTGGCCAATCAGTGCACAGCGCGTGTGTAGTTCCCTTAACTAATACCCGGTACAGATATACTTGTGGGGTGGTAGCGCTCGGCACAGGGCTCACGGACAAGCGTTTGTTGCTTTGTGGGAGACGCCGGGGTGTGCGGGATGAGCAGGATGAGCGGGGACGCGGGGCAGCGGGGGGCCGAGGTGAGGGAGGGACGGTTGGGGTAACGCGGATGGGGGAAAGGGTTGGTGTGTGGGTGGTGCTTACGTGATCATCATCACTATTGACGCGGATACCCATGCGACTCGCATTGTGTACGAAAGCACCAGTCTGTCTTTCTGCAGCGAACGTCGGTATACAGGGCCGTCTGCCGCGACAAAGGCCGAGAAGAACAATAAAAGGGACCGTGCGAAAAATAGGCCCACTGGAAAACGCACTGAAACACTTCGGCACAGATCAGCAGCAGACCGTCGGCAGTCTCCACGTCCCGCATGGTTCCCACGAAGAAGATCATTCGCAAAAAACAAGCGGTGAAAAGGGACCCGCTCAAGGCCCAGCGCCTCGCGTGGTCCGTCGGCCACATCATCACGCTCGTGTGCACCGCCATCTACAGCATGTTCTACTTCTACGACACCCTCACCATGTACCGGTACCGCTCCTGGAAGACCCTGTTTCTGATCGCGCGGCCGCCGCCGCGCGATCGCGTTGGCTGGCTGCGATGGCTATGGCAGCTGTCGCCGCAATTGAGCTACCGCAGCGCGCTTCTGGGCGTGCTGGCTTCGTACTCGGTCAGCAATTTCCTCGAATGGAGCCAGGTGAACCCCTCCTGGTACGACCTTTTGGGCCAAGAGAACTTCCAAGGCATCCTGATGGCCGCGTTGTTTCTGCTCAGTCGCGCGTCTCTTTTCAAGTTGCTGCCCTTTGCGCTCAATTCGTTTCTGCAGATCACCACCAAAGCTAGCGAACCCAGCGACAACCTGCCCGCCAGAACGCATACGCTTTTGCACGTGATCGCTTACTCGGAGCTCGTGGTCGCTGCGATTTTGCTTCTCGACACCCTCACTTTCAAAGACGGCACTTCGGGATTCGTGCTCGCGCTGTATATGGGCGTCTATTGGCTCCGCATCAACTTCTCGCCCTACGCGCAAACGACGGTGCTGCGCTTGTTGCTCAAGCTCGACAAAAAGGTTCCTCCCAAGTTCAAGAGCGAATGGGACCAGGTCAAGCAGTTCATCTACATGCGCATGGAGGAAAGTAGAAACACGCGACAAGCAATGCAGCGCAGATTCTAGTTCGTTACTCACGAAATACTATTTTACTAAACGTCCATCTTTGTAGAGAACAACTGCTCACGACTCTTACGACGTCTACGTTTGCGTGAAGTAGAGACCTAATTTGCTGATCAGATGTAATTGAGCTTTGGTAATATTGGTTATCTTCCTCCTTGGTTCAGAAGCAGAACTGAAATTTATTTTTATCATCATGCAAATTGAAGCCCTCGGATCTACGAGTTTGGTACTGGTACTCCCACAGCGCTGATAATGAACTGATATTTTCTGAGGGTCAGATGGTGATGCATGTTTAAATCCGCGGCACATATTTCAAAGAAATCATCGCCGGATTGAAGGACAGTGGAATGTCATTCATCATTTTGAAAAAATCCGGTTTATTATTCAGCTGCTGATCCATGTTCTCATGGACTCAGGGTCAATGTATGCTGCAACGTCTTGCGCAGATCTTATGCTCGATTTCTAGGTCATAAACGAAGAATTCCTAAATAACAATAAAGTCCTGCATGTACACCTCAGACTAAAATGATTGCTTTTATAATCATGCAAAAATCAAGCCAATCTAACGTGTCGTTGGCAACTCATTGACCTGGTGGACTATGCAAATGCCGCACATGTTCGTAAACACAAATGACTTTCTTCTCCTATACTCTTGGCCGATGTTGCGTGGTGATACTTTTCGTAGCTTTTATATAGGCATTTTTTCCAAAATTTTTCTTCATCGCGAATACCGTGGAAATGACGGTTAGGGCTCAGAAACGGATCAACTGGCAACTGACCAAGTTGAATACCCGTTCTGACACTAGAATTCTGAAGCTGAATGTACATTTTGCACAATAAAAACCTAGCTAGGACAACTATTTAAACTATTGCATTTATTCGGAGGCAGTGGCTCTGGTGTAGATAGCTTGCTTAGAGTGCTTGGAAACTGGGGAAATGATGCCATCGTTTTCCAATTGTCTCAAAGCGATTCTAGCCAAAGAACCACCGATCTTTAGTCTGTCCACTAGAACAGAGACGGAAACGTATCTGTAGGTTGGGACCTCCTTCATGATTCTGTCGTACTTCTCTTGGTCCAAGACGACAGCGTGCTTAGCCTTGTCCTTGTGGGACTTCTTAGACCACTTCTTCTTGGACTTCTTACCACCAGCCATGGCGGCGGCGGCTTTAGCGGCCTTCGACAATTGCTGCTTTGGAGGCATTTCGACTAAGATAATTGGTTAGTAAATTGGTTCAACAGTCTGCGACGAAGGATGGAAGATGAAGAGATTGTGCGAATGGTGCGCAGTTCGCCAAAGAGTACTCAAAAGGTTAGATTTTGATATCGAAGTCCACGCACGAATCACAACAAAAAACATCTTTAGGCAATGTAGCAGAGCCCATTTTGATCAAATTGATTCCGCTAATCTAGCCTTTAGCTCATTAAGTCCACTAAAACTATCCCGTAACGCTCCATCTCTTTCTCTATTACATCTCCAATCTCGCTATCGCTCCAAGTCCCACATTCAAGGCCCTAGGGGTCACCTCACATACTCTATTACTCCGATGCTGGTTTACGCCAAATTCAAACTCTTAGCAACTTCTACAGGTTCTTAAAGAGTATATTATCTGAAGGTGGTACCAGAGGCTTCCGACATGGAGACCGCGTTGGTCGCCCCAACGGTGCCACGAAGGAAACTCGTCGAACCCAGGCCCACGCGCGGTAGGGACACTGCACGGGAGGCGAATGCAGCCTTGGGGTCTTGCCCACTAGGGCGCGGTCCCGGCTGCAGGCCGGGTGGCCGTGTCGTTCTAGGGACTCTCGAAACACTTTCAGTCCAGCGTAGCAATCAACCGCACATGGGTTCATCGCATTTCCGAGTGTCTGGGTTTACACAAATAACTTTTTACAATGTACTGATGTATAGCAGTCAAACATAAATTTACTCGTCTCATAGGACGCAAAAAGTGTGCTTCACTACATATCAAGAAGCGGGCACGCGAGTCAAATGCTATGAGTAAGAGTACGCCAAACGTCAATTGAGATTCCGTACCAAAGGCGAGGTCGAAACAACTTTCCCTGGGCTAAGCGACATATTATATTGACACACGTTCTTAGCCACACCTATTGGTGGACGTGCTATATCTGATACGTAACCATTTTCCGATATAGTGTAACGGCTATCACATCACGCTTTCACCGTGGAGACCGGGGTTCGACTCCCCGTATCGGAGTTTATTTTTGTACTTCGAAGATTTTTCATCCTTTTGTACGGGGTATTGTTTAACAGTTTGGGAATATCTCATAATTAAAACAAATTGAACTGATCAAGACCCAAGATCGAGTATATACCAAGGTAGTTTGTAATAGGCTAAGCATCCCATTGGGATCAATTCAAATTATGGCCAAAAGAATAGCCGATGCGCAAATTACGCGAGAAAACTTCCGGGAAGATTCCGACGGTGAAGAGAACGGGAATAGCACAGTCAATTTCAAGAAGGCATCGGAAGATGTGATGCGCAAGAGAAAGATCGCACAGCCCAGAAAAAAGCATATGTCGTTTCAAAGCAATTATAATGAGTCTTCGATGGCCAATGCGTTTTCGCTTGGCAAGAAAACTGCAGAAACCAAAGAACAGGGCGCACCTTCGTCGGTCTCAAGTGGTGAATCCGTACCAAACTTCAACACGAAGTTGAATGCGCTCAACCTGCAATTCAGAGACAAAGTAAACGAGTTTATTACAAGTAATCCGGTGGTGGATCTGTCATCTGTGCTGGATAAATACAAGGCGTATTTGGATAAAATTCATGACGACAACGTAAAAACGTTTGCTTCTGCACCAAAGGAAAAAGTGCCAAAAAACCAAGAACCTGTAGCCAGCAGCACCGCGGGTGCTAAAAATGACAAGGGACCCACCTTCACGCTCACCGAACAGCCCAAGACAAGTTCTCCTGTCTTCACGTTTGGTCAACAAAAGAAGAGACAAGCTGCCTTGAGCGATAGCGAAGATGAGGTCGAGATAAAGGGACCCTCTTTCACTTTTACTGGAAATGATCCAAAGGCCAAAAGTCCCTTTACTTTCAAGCCTGCAAGTGAAAAATCACCCGCATTCGGATCGAGACCTTCTCAAGCGGAATCGAAATCGGTCTCGGAAACTAAGCCCGAAGTTGTTGGTCAAGAGAAGGAGCCTGCATTCAATTTTGTCTCTAATTCGCTCAAGTTCGGCCAGACTCCCGCGAATGCGAATGCGAATGCGAGTGTGGATGTGAATGCAGCTCAGCAGGCAAATACAGCACCCTCTTCCAGCTTTTCCTTTGCTTTTGGAAAGCCAGCCGAATCTGCTGCCAAACCTTCCTTTTCATTCGGAACCGCTACTTCAGCGCCAACTGAGACAAAATCTATGGGCGACGCGACGAGCACCTCTGGTATTAAAACATTCAACGATGACCAGAGCAAGGCTCAGATTACCACTGATTTTAAAGCAAGCTCAGGATCTCAAAAGGAGCCTCAAATCAATGATGAAGCGGGGGCTAGAGCACCTACGTCTCTCTTCGGCGTGTCCACACCATCGGCTTCAAGCTCGGAAAAGAAGCCGGCATTTTCCTTTGGTTCAACAACCTCCACATTCGGTAAAGATAATTCCAGAACGTCTGCTCCAGCAGCGACCCCATCTTTCACATTTGGCAAGTCTTCTGAAACTTCCTCGTCCAATAAAGAGGCCAAGCCTGACACAGCTAGTGTTGTCCCAAAACCCTCTTTCAGTTTTGGAAAATCCACTTCAACTAATGATTCGAATGGCACCACATCGAGCAAGGGTTTCACAGTTGGTGTTACCTCGCGAGAATCAAACCAAAAGGCGGGAAGTATAGCTTCAGCGGGTGCCGCCAAGCCTGCCTTCACTTTTGGAACAACTTCTCAAGAGTCTTTGCCGTCTAAACCTGCCTTTTCTTTCGGAAACTCAAGCGCCCCATCTGTGCCAAGCTTCAATTTCGGAACTAAAAATGACACGAGCGAGACATCTACAGGCAACTTTAAGTTCTCTTTACCATTTTCACCTGAGAAAGCTGCCCAGAAAAAGCCAGATGCCGAGGAGCCTAAACAGGAAGAACAAGTCCGGGGCAGCCCAGAGTCAGAAGATGAGAACGAGTCTTCTGTGGCTACAAGCATGACGAATGGAGAAGAAAATGAAGAGGTACTATTTTCGCAACGCGCCAAACTGATGACGCTCAATCCAGAAACGAAAGGTTATGACTCGAAAGGTGTGGGAGAGCTCAAAGTTCTACGTGACAAAGAAGATAAGTCAAACGTAAGGATATTGTGCCGGTCGGATGGGATGGGCCATATTCTGCTAAATACAAAGCTGGTAAAAACTTTTAAATATGTTTCAGCAGATGAAACGAAAGAGAATTTCGTCAAGTGCCCAGTGGTTAATTCTGACGGAAAACTTCAGACATATATCGTCAGAGTCAAGCAAAAAGCGGATGGCAGGCAGCTGTGTAAATCTATTGCTGATGCGCAGAACTCTATGTAAACTATATAGTGAGACATTACATTATATACCATCATCTGTTAAAAATAATGCATTTTAGTACTCAGTAACGCCGAGCTCTTCATTTAAAAGACGTTGAAAATTTCCCAAGGCCCATTCAATACGCAGCGTTTCTCGCTGCTGCATTTTGTCAGACTTACCTGTAGAAAGATATTTTTCGTAGTGCAGATTATCCTTTAAAAACCATTTTAAAGCTTTGAGAATAACTGTCCGATTCTCTTGCCTAATTCCATTGCTTATGGATCGGTACATCATATCATTATTGAAAGTGACTTTTTTAGCTGCACCCTTCCCAGTCTTGATTTCGCTTCTTTTAGCTATACTCATGAAGTATTCAAAGAAAAGCACTTCGATAAACAGTAAACCGTCACTATTCAAACCACCCATAATGGGCACATGCTTCAGTAGATCAAGCTTTAATGTAGAATCGGCTAAGAGTCCTCCAAATAATCTGGCCAAATTTGAATATTTTCTCAATCGCATGTCTTCATCCTCAATTTCATTGTCGCTGTCGTCAGTTTCGCTATCGGAGACGTCCTTGGCCTCTAACTTCTTCACAACATTCCAAAATGCGAATTGGAAAGCCTTCAATACGTGATGGTTGTTCTCACAAAGTTTTGAGCTCAGTAGCGTGTAATAAGGATTGAAACCTCTAGATCTACTTTCGGCAGACAGACAATGGATAATGACCTTAGGTATTTCTGCGCTTTGCCTGTTTTTTAGGTTCAACTTTTCTATCATTGTGAAGGCATCCATGAAGTCTTGTGCTGACATCACACTTACAAAGACAGCACGCCGGACATCGGTGTTCATTCGATGCTGCCTTGCAATTGTATCCCAGTCGGGGAGCTCTTCTAATAAAGTATCATTTATGACAAGGCCGTCACCACGGTTTTTATGTCTTGATCCCGTCTCTTCTTTACCAGTTTTGATATCGAAAGCGGAATTCATATTGCCTTTCCATGACGCTCCTACGAGCCACCATTTTCCTCTTGAATCAACGTTCTTGATGTCATCTAATGAAACCTGAATGGGCTCGGTGGAAGAAGCAGAACTCGATTTGGTTAAGGGCTGAATCGCCTTCTTGACATCGTTATGGCTGAGGGCCTGAATAGAAGGTTTCAGTCTGTTATTCTTAAGATCGGACATCGTCTCAAGCAAAAACTCCATCCTTAACGAGTGCTTTGTTCCACTTACATTCTGAAGCAATTCGGTCATGATCTCCTTCAAAGCGGCTGGATCATCGCCACGTATCAGTTGACCCGATACAGACACAATCCTCAAAAGAAGATCGATGGAGAATTCATTGGGATTCTTTATGAGCATCCTTACAACGTCATAGACAAGCACGCTTGAGATTAAACCGAGGTTGTAACAATAAGCCAAGAGTGTCACGAGATTACGGCACTCTTTCGAGAAAACGACTGGTTCTACATCTGATTCCTCGCGAGCCTTTCTAGCAGCTTCAAATGCCCGTTCCTGGATTTGGAATCGTTCAAGGAGCTTCTCAATGAAGTACTGAATGAATGAAGCACCCAGTTCGTTTCCTCGCAATTTCCAAAGTGAAAAGATGGTGGCTGCGTAGGTTAAAATGAATCCGTCTAGCAATTTGTTCCTCGATGCTATGATTTCGACGACTTGCTTGATCAATTGCTCGGTGACGTACTGCCTTGGATGCTGGCCGTAAAGATCATTAAGCGCAGAGATAATAGGAATTAGGTTCGTTTCGGACAACTTGTTCAAAGATGATTTTATCTTCCTTTTGATTGCCGCAACTTCCGCAGATTCTCCATCACTGGTATCTTTCTTGCGCATCGATAAGGAAACGTAAACGTTGGCTCCGGAAGTCGGTGCGACATATGGGTTTTCTTTCTCTCTCGGCACGCCATTTGTTTCTTCTTCTTCGTCGTCATCTGACCCTTCCAACTCTCGCAGTTGATTCCATTCCTCCTCATTGAGATCGTTGTCGCTAAACTCGTCAAAGTCGCCAGACGAAAGTTCGTCGTCTTCAGAATATGGGTTTGCCCCATGATCCTCATCAGCATCATCTTCTTCGCTTTCCGAAGCAGACACTTGGTTTGGACCAAAAGACGACTCCTCTCCATAGTTTTGAAAATATGGCAAGTCTTCTAAAAGACCACCAATAACGTCAAAATCGTCGGTTGCAGTTAATTTTTGATGTTTGCCCTTAAGACCCAATTTTTTCGCATAGTAATTCATTTCCTCTTCTTCTCGCTTAGCTTGTGCCCTTTCGTATGGTGTCAAAACAGGATCTGACGATGCTTTCTTGGTCTTTTCTTTATGGTTCTTTTTGTCTTTTACATTTTTTAGCGCAGCAATCGTCTCTTCCACTGTCATCACCTCTTCCTCACTCTCAACACTCTTATCACTGTAATCAGCGTTAGGCTCTGCTTCTTTGGAGGGTTTTGTTTGTTTCTTGTCTTTCATGGCAGCGAGCGCCTTCATCGTCTCTTCCATAGACATCTCATCCTCCTCGTCACCAACTTCCCCAATGTCGCTAATGGCGCCAATGCTAGATCCATCACTATTCTGGAGCTCTTGTTCTGAGTTAATATCACTAAAACCTTCAAAGACTTCTCTGTCGCTGTCGTTCTCGTCCTTGTCGTCTTCGTCTTCGTTGTCGTTTTCAACACTCTCCTGACCAATATCTTTGTCTTTAGCCATAACATTTCGTACAGAATTAACCTTATCTCTGCGATTCGCATTCTTATGTTGTCGTTTGGCTGCACGTTCCTGTTTCCGTCTCTCTTTCCGACCCAACTGCGTTTTTCTTTTCCGTCCACCTCCTTCGAATCTAGAAGTATCATCAAAGTCATGTTCATTCACCTCATCCAAAATCTGACCAGGAATTCTAATTTGATGCTTTTTAACCATTACTATTGGGTCTTGTTCCGGTAAAAACCGCTTTAATTATATGCTTTTTGGCTTTTACTTTGAAGCTCATCTCATCTCATCTCTAAATTTTTCAAAGTTGATATTTAAGATATTAGGAAATGGACAACTCAAATATACAATACCAGTTTATTAGACTGTAAAGAGCCAAGAAAGTCGTGTAAACATGGCTCGTAGTTTCGACTTGAAGACCTTGACGGATGTTTCTATTCTCATAGGAACTGGTATCTCGCTTTATTACTTAGTGAACCGGCTTCTAACGGAGGCTGAAGGTGGACCTTTATCTGGAAGATCAAAGGAGTCTCGTCAGAAACAGTCGCAACAATGGACGCGATTAGTCGCTGCAAATCCGGGGCTTCAAAACGCTACCTTAAACTCGTATGAACGGAGTGTTTTGGCTTCGGTGGTGATGCCTCAGGATATCGACGTAAGTTTTGAAGATATTGGGGGTTTGACAGAAATCATAGATGAATTGAGTGAGAGTGTGATTTATCCGTTGACAATGTCTGAAATTTACAGTTCTTACTCGCTGCTGACCGCCCCCAGAGGTGTTTTGCTGTACGGTCCACCAGGCTGTGGGAAAACTCTCATTGCTAAAGCGTTGGCACGCGAAGGTGGAGCCAACTTCATCTCGATTCGCATGTCTTCGATCATGGACAAATGGTATGGTGAGTCCAATAAGATCGTCGATGCTATTTTCTCGCTTGCCAACAAAATTCAGCCAGCCATCATTTTCATTGATGAAATCGACTCGTTTTTGCGAGAACGGTCTTCTGCAGACCACGAAGTGACTGCGATGTTGAAGGCCGAGTTTATGACGCTTTGGGACGGCCTCACGAGCAATGGTCGCATCTTGGTACTTGGAGCCACGAATCGGATGTCAGACATCGATTCTGCGTTTCTAAGGAGATTGCCCAAACGATTCTCGATTCCTTTGCCCGCAGAACGTCAACGTCGCCAGATTTTGGAAGTGCTCTTGCAGGACTCACAGCTTGACGAGTCCGATTTTGATCTCGATCTCATTGTTTCTGCCACCCACGGCAAGTCGGGATCCGATTTAAAAGAACTATGTCGCGACGCAGCTTTGAATGCCGCCAGAGAGTACATCAGATTGAAAAGAAACCTCCCTACTTCCACTAACGACGACGAAACTGCCACTTTGAGCATAAGGCCCCTGCAAACCAAAGATTTTTTGAAAAATCTCAAAATGAATGCAGACACACCTCTTGGCTCTGCCGCGTTGGATTAGAGTTTCAATATGAACCGTGAGGATTTAGAAGTCAAAAATTCCCTGGAAATCACGCTCAGATGCCCGTCAAAGGACGAGGATGGACCCTTGGTGGTCTTGACCACGTGACTACTTAGTCATCATCGATATCCAGTTTTCATAGTAGATGAATTGATTGAAAGTTGAACAGGGCCTTTCCTCAAGAGATGCTACTGATGCTCTGAAGGCCAGATTGATACGATGACTAACGAAGACTCCAATCACCCAACATTTTCTTCAAAGTCCGAAAAGGGTATCACCGGAAGGAAAATCATTTACGATAAGGATGGGAAGCCGTATGGTTTTGAATTTTCGAAAGATATCATTTGCAAGATACCAGAAAGCATTGAACTAACAGATATGTGATCAAGTTGTCGAGCTTGTAATACACTCTTGGATTTCCAGTTAGTCACAGGGAAAGTTTCGGATTCGGGCCCGAGTACAGGTTTGGGCAAGCTCGGCAGTTCATTAGGTGTGTTAGGTAATCAGACCAAAGTCAATGGGTATGCGAAGGAGGATCCGCCCGATGTCGAACAATTAGGACGATCAAGCTGGAGTCTACTTCATTCGATAGCTGCCGCGTACCCTGTGTCACCGAATGACAAACAGCGGTCAGAAATGAAACAATTTATGACCCTTTTCTCGCACGTTTATCCCTGCTGGTGGTGTGCGAAGGATTTCGAAGATTTTATCAAGAAGAATTCGCCGAAAGTTGGCTCAAGGGACGAATTGGGACTTTGGATGTGTGAAGCTCATAATGAGGTCAATGAGAAGCTTGGGAAGTCCAAATTTGATTGTTCCTTCTGGAAGAATAGGTGGATTGATGGATGGGATTAATGAGAAATCCCCGATGCGAATACATATGTGACACTAGATGTCTTGTAAATAGGATTAATTGAATCAATTTCAAGTGTATAGGGACAGATTGAGCGGCACACTACTACCGCGTCCGCTTGGATAAAGTTTGATTTTGTTTTGAAAGGCGCGTGGTTTCGGCAGCTGAGACGCGTTGACCCATTTGAATTTACTATCGTCAATTGTAATCTTCTCTTTGTCAAATCTCACCCCAGTTGTTGTGGTACTGCCGCTTATCGTAAAGTCATTAGCTTTAAATTGGGTGTCATCCGTCGTTGCAGACATCTTTTGCTCAGAGTCAGAGAAGAGACGTTGTTTGTGCGCAGCCGGAGCTATCGAAGACGGAGGAGCAGGCGGTGGAAGTTTTGAAGACTTTGTGTCTTCTGTACCTGGGGAAAATTGATCTGGAGGAGGTGGGGGAGGCGCGTGTGACGTTGAAACTTGAAGAGAAGGAGGAGGAGGTATACTACTCAACGGCGGTGGTGACGAAGGCAAAGGTGGAGCTGCTGCCCCTGGGATCGCTGGTGCTGTAGAAAGCGGAACTGAGGGTGCCGACATGACGCTCGCACTTTTCCTTGACCTTATTCCTGAGCCATCAATAACATGAGAGTCATCCCGCTTCTTTTCAATTTCGGCCAAAAATGGTAAACCCCCAGAACCTGAAGGGGAAGTACTCGTAGGGGGCGGCAATGGTGCTGCTGGTGCTGCTGGTGCTGATATTGTTGGCTGCGCTGGCGGTACTGGCGGAGCTGGTGGTGCCGGAGTCGCGGGTGGCGGAGGTGCCGCTGAAGATGGCAAAGGAGGTGCGCTTGGCTCTGAGTCTCCACGTAGTGGCGTGTGTGTGGTGGGGATAGGAGGAGCAGCACCAGAGGGAAAGGCTGGAGCAGCTGGGAAACTCGATTGCAGGCTTGTAGGCACAGGTGGTGCAGGAGCAATCATAGGTGGAGCGGCACTTGATGGCGCCCTAGTCCCTGACCCGTGAGTTTGATGGCTTTTAAGTTTCGATTGAATTTCGTCCATGAAAGAAAACGGACCCCCAGAAGAGGGGGCCGATTCTGGTGGCTTGCTAGGCGGAGAGGAGGGTTGCGCGGTGGATTCTTGCTCCACTTTGGTGGTGTAATTTGTGTCATCGCCCACTACAAACCGGTCGTCGCGTTTTTTCTGTATCTCCGCCAGAAAGGGGAGAGCGCCACTAGACGAAAGAGCGGATTTTTGAGCTGGAGCTCCAGCAGATTTTGTCGTTGGCTTGAGCGGGGGCGCACTTGGAGGTGGTGGGGGTGCTTTCGAGGCATGCGCTGTCGGTAGTACAGGTGGTGCTGGTGGCGCTGGAGGAGCTGCTAAGTTTGGAAGCGCTGGCGCTGGCGGTGCTGGTGCTGGTGGCGCTGGAGGAGCTGCTAAGTTTGAAAGCGCTGGCGCTGGTGGCGCTGGTGCTGGTGGCGCTGGAGAAGCTGCTAAGTTTGGAAGCGCTGGCGCTGGTGCCGGTGGCGCTGGAGGAGCCGCTAAGTTTTGAGGCGCTGGCGCTAGTGGTGCTGGTGGTGCTGATGCGGCAGATACCGAAGGGACGGGCGGGGCCGAAGAAGCCGGTGGGGCTGGAGGGATAGAAGGAGGAGCTAGAGAAGGGGGCGGCGCTTGAGGTACTAATTCCTGACCAGTAATCGAAGGCGCAGAAGATGCCGGAGCTGGCGGTACCAGGGGTGTAGAAGGCCCACTAGGTCCAGAAACGACCCCTTTTTTCCGCTGAGGCCTATTTGCGGGCATGTGAGGTCGCGTTTGCGGTACAGCGGGCGCAGAAGACCCTGGAATTGGGGGTGCCGAAGAGCCAGGGATTGGCGGCGCAGATGGTGCCGACGCTAGGGGCGTAGGTGCAGGTGACGTTGGAATAGGAGGAGCTCCCATTGGAACTGCAGGAGTTCCTTTTGGCTCGGAAACACGTTTCAATTTGGGTATTCCTCCAGCTAGAATGTCACCTAGCCCTGGAACTCCACCACCGATATTAGCAGTAGGAAGCGGCGGCGCAGAACCGTAAGAGCTTTTCTGAGAGGCCTGTGAGCTTCCAGACGCCTCTGTAACGCCTCCTCCACCAACTTTGGGTGCACTTCTGTCGTCTGTGACAGCTTTTTTAAGTCTTGCGCCTTTTCGAATATCGCTTAAAAGTGCATCTCTCCCCTGGGGCATTTTGGCGGCTGCTGGTCTCGAAGAAGTTCCAGCACCTCCCGCTGGAACAGGAGGCGGTGGTGGTGGTGGTGCTTGCGCCATCGTGAATTATCTCAACGTTCGTTACACCCACTAAAAATGCCTACTTAGCTATGATTTGACTAGTCTCTGCAATAATCCCCTATCAGTCTCGTCAATGTTCATCTTTTTTGATAGCTGTCACGTGCTGAAATTGGTCATGTGATCATCCTCAATTCGAATATAAAAAGCTTCATTTCAATCAAAGTTGTCAATTTACTTTACACACTTTTTGTTTATGAAACCACGCAACTTTTCAAGTTTGCGAGTAGCATCTTCGAAGATCCACTGACCGTTTGACTTTAGATGGTGTTTGGATTCAAAGCGATGCTTAGAACATACTCATTGGGTTTGCTGCGTGTCTGCCGTTAAAGAACGGTATCGCACGTAGTTTTGATCGTTGAACAACGCTTTTTGGCTTTTCTTTAGGATCCGGTGGAACAGCTTTTTTATAGTTTTGTCGATGTCTTGAGCGTGCTACGCGCAGACGGTCGACTTGGCGTCGATTTTCTGTTGGAGAAGTTCCAAGAGAGCTGGGCCCCACTCTGGACGTCTCTTGTAGTATCCCAAAGAGTCTCCCATAGCGGTAATAGCATCGGAGAGGTCGCTTAGAATCTGCGGCTGCGAGTAGAAATCGTCTGCGAGAAAATCTTCTGCAACATTCCACATGTACGTTCTGATACTAAAGCATATGGCTTCGAACGGAGTGTCCAGCTTGAGCAGACACTGCCTTTCGGACCTGTAGAAGAGACCGCGCCCGTCGTCGAGGTCGCGCAGCGTCTTGGCGGCTATTGTGGTCGTGCTCTTGCCCTTGTCGTTGTCACTGGCGTGCAGTCTGTTGTGTAATTGGAACCCAAAATTGAGTCTGCACACAAGCCGTCCAGGCTTCTGGGTTTCGAAAAACTTATTCATCTTGGGCTTTAATTCCTGCTTGTAATGGGGGACCGGCTGATGAACAGCACTCAAGGGTCTTAGGAATTTTTCTCGGGCGTTGAACCCTGCTGTGGCAGTAAAGACTCCCGAGCATAGAACAAATTCATTGTTAAATTGTTTGCTTTCATTTGGCATCATAAGTAGCAAGTCTTCCTCAATCATCCGCGACAAGGCCAGAAGAAGCTCGTGGGCTCGTTTGGTCTTGGTGCATGTGACTAAAAATGGTGGATGGTTGGCATTCCTTTGCGAATCCGCTGCAATTGCGGATGCACTAGGAAAGAAGTCGACGTTTTGACACTTATAACGCGAGAATTTCAGGTCGTCGTCTGCCACCGCTAGTCATTTACCAGGATCGACCGGATGGAACTCTCGTAGAATTTTGTTGTGGAGTTCTCCCGCGTCGTTGCCGTTAGGCTCGCGAGTGATTTCAAAATACTCAGGATACCTTTTTAACAGAAATGAAACAACGTTCTCGTAGATATTGCAGAGGGTTTCGTCACAGTTTATGACGTCTTGTTCCGTGATTACAAGATCGCTTGCAAAAGCCGCGTTTCCGTCTTCTGATCGCTGCTGCTCGTGGTCCCCCCTGCGTGTTACCATTGCAGGATCCATGTGGCAAATAACGTCCATGTAATGACTTTTGATTATATTCCATTTTTCTTTGATACGTGCTTCATATGTGTTCTCAATCAAAAGCCATTCTTTCAAGAGAACAGGCCGCACACCCATTGTGGGCCTGTGAGCACCACCTTTGAAGGCCTTGTAAGGGTATGGTTTGGTTTGATTCCAAGTTTTATAGCCAGGTTCTTCAGACGCAGGAGAAACCTCGCGCATCGTCGCATTCGGTTCCCATCTCTCAGACCGCCGGACATCTCCTCTCGCATTCGCCGCGCTCACCTTAGAAGTACTCAAATCTCTGTAGAGGAGCCAAAGAACGGCTAACAAAACCGGGAACATCGTTTGCTTCCCTAATATAGTGCTAATGCTTATATCAATCATCGCGTCGAAGTATTGAAAGTCCTTTAACAAGTAGCAAGGCCGAGGGTCTCACAGGTCATCCATCACCTTCTTGAGTCGCCAGTATTATATATTCTCCCGGCCCGTGATTCCCGGGGAACAGCCGCGATGCGAGTTCATTGACCTGCTTAAAGGGGATCATTGAAAAAGGTTGCAAACCTAAAGTGCTAACTGATAACGGACTGTAACGCCGATAGCGAGTCTACCTTATAGTTTTCAAAATGAACTGTACGCTTAAGCGATTTCAATCATCTGTATACCGTTAGCAACGCTGCCGTTATCATTGCGGCGTGAATTTTGGAAAACTGAATTCTCTTTCGGAGGGGACAAGGGCCACGATCAAAACCGGTATATTCAATTTCCTTTCCAATAGTTCGTTCCGCCCTTGAACTACGTTGACAAAGCAACTTAGCGCATTGTACTGCTTGATTCCACCTTTTTGGGCTGGGGCATCGTCCGCATCGCCTCTTCTCATTTCCTTCTTGAAGATCTCTACTACCGTCACAGCTTTTTGCACGTGAGCGCCGTACGAATACAGAAGAATACTCTGGTGGGAGTCAGTACAGCGTTGTTGCAATTCAGCGACAAAGTCCTTGATCTGCGTGTTCTTGGAGACGTATTTCACGTAACTTTCCGCCAGGAGCTTTTCGCTCACCAAACTTCGCAAAACTTCCTTTTCTATATATTTGAAGCACTTGACCGTGTCCTTTGGGCTCAATTGAGTCGGTTTGCCCTCGAAGAATAGCATTCCGGCGCTACTCTTCGAATTCCGCGTGTCATGACTGAGGCCTTGCGGCTGTCTCTTCTGAGTCTCAGTCATATATTTCGATACCAGAAAGCGCGAAGGGCAACTGGCTTTATGGTAGTCGTTGAAAGGACTGTGTTCCTAGATACACTACCTTGTCGTTCAACTTCCGATTCAGCCGATAACGCTTTCGGATCCAGCTTGGTATTTACGGTCTATTGAATTCGAACCGATGAGCTCTCTATATACCATGGGACTTGAAAACGAATCATGTGCAGGTCTCGTATGACTGTTAACATCCACACATCTTACGTTTTCCGGTTACGATATTGTCACCCATACATTATGCAAGAATTCTCAATTCTGTGTTCCACAAAAACGATATCTAGAAAATACAAATGTGACGCGACGCACAAAGCTAAAACGAAAAATTTCAGAATACTCTGTCATCATGAACGAAAATCAGCAACTACTACCTGGTGCTGCCTGGGAACCTCTACCTCCTCTGTCCAGTCTCTCCAGTGTCTCGCTCACCGAAGAAAACGCTCGAAGCTCGAGGCTAGTTAGTTAACAGACTTAACTTCGTTTCCACATCAAGGAGAGCCTTTAAACATCCTATCAACAGTCTGAGTTCGAAATGGGAGGAGTCCGTGAAAAGAAAGCTGAGTACTTCTCCAAGTTGAGAGAGTACTTGGAAGAGTACAAGTCTGCGTTCGTTGTCGGTGTCGACAATGTGTCCTCGCAACAGATGCACGAGGTCCGTAAGGAGCTCAGAGGCAGAGGTGTCATTTTGATGGGTAAGAACACCATGGTGAGACGTGCCATCAGAGGTTTCATCTCTGAGTTGCCAGACTACGAAAAGTTGTTGCCTTTCGTCAAGGGCAACGTCGGTTTCGTTTTCACCAACGAGTCCCTAAAGGACATCAAGGAGGTCATTGTCTCCAACAAGGTCGCTGCTCCAGCCAGATCTGGTGCGGTCGCCCCAGAGGATATTTGGGTCAGAGCCGTCAACACCGGTATGGAACCAGGTAAGACCTCTTTCTTCCAAGCTTTGGGTGTCCCAACCAAGATTGCCAGAGGTACCATTGAAATTGTCTCTGACGTCAAGGTCGTTGAGGCCGGTAACAAGGTCGGTCCTTCCGAAGCCTCTTTGTTGAACTTGTTGAACATCTCTCCATTCACCTTTGGTTTGACTATTGTCCAAGTCTACGACAACGGCCAAGTGTTCCCAGTCAGCATCTTGGACATCACCGATGACGAGTTGGTCTCCCACTTCGTCAGCGCTGTCTCCACCATCGCTTGCGTCTCCTTGGCTGTCGGTTACCCAACTTTGCCATCTGTTGGTCACTCTGTCATCAACAACTACAAGGACTTGCTTGCCGTTGCTGTCGCTGCCAACTACATTTACCCCGAAATCGAGGAGTTGGCTGACAGAATTGCTAACCCTGACAAGTACGCTTCTGCTGCTCCAGTTGCTTCTGCTGCTGCTGCTTCCTCTGACGCTCCAGCTGAAGAGGCTGCTGCTGAGGAAGAAGACGAGTCTGACGACGACATGGGCTTCGGTTTGTTCGACTAAGCAGTCTCGCATGCTAGTATTTAAAATTTTACTCGTTATGTATTTGAGAATGTCTTGTGTTTCGTTAAGCTATTCCACTGTTTTACTGGTGGGACCAACTAGGGCTATGGGCCCTTTTAGGTTATTCATATTTCGATTTTCATTGTGTAGTAGTTGTTTATATGTTTAGTTGACAGAATCTGACATTGTGTGCAAGCAACAAAGACTCTGCGACACTATAAATGAAAACGCAAACTTTGACCATGTAACTTCTTGCATCAACAAATCCACAAGTACCTAAGACTCTTACAATGCTGCAAGATCCTTCTGAGCGACAACCTATCCGTCTCGTTTACAACACTGCAGATAAAAACTTCCAAACTAATCGAGCAAATGATGTCAAGCGTTCTATACTCCGAAAAATTCGGCAAAACTGTTGGTCACAATCCACCATCTCTGAGAGACATCCATGGAGTACAAACACTGAGCTTATTAATGAAAGAAGTACGGTAAAGGAAAAATCTGTTGTGTTTGACGTTGATTCTAGTAATGCCAGTATTCTGCGGTGCTCCATAAATTCTTCAATGAAACCCTCGGCTTTCCGTGACGGTGAATCGTACCAAAAATCAAGCACTACTAGAAAACGCTCGGCTGACAAGAAAACAAATCTCAACATTCTCAACGGGTCTTTGTCAATCTTTCTGGCTGGTGACGATCGTTCAGAAATGAGGTTTTCAGTCCATGACTACCGGAAGAGGATAACTTCAGCCGCCTTGCAAAAAGCCGTTGAGAACACTACAACGATTTCAAATGCAATTAAAAGTACCGACCAGCTAATTCACGTACTACACTCTTATTGTGAGAAGAACGCCGCCGGTGGGAATTCTGGAGACGCCAACGGATCGAACAAATTTTCTTCCGCAAAAAAGGCAGATGGCGTCCCACAGCTTCAAAGCCTGGCCACCCGCATTTTAGAAACGCATGTTTTGCAATTTGTTAGTTCCGACAAAGTGTCCTGTTTTAACAGCGCCCTCGAACGTCTGAGCGAGTGGCGTAGCAGTGAAGGGTACTGGAAACGAAGAAAAGCAAGAGCAGGGTCGAGTCAGAGCCGCATGGAACTCCATAGCGTTCCGCCAACCCTTCTTGAGTCTCTAGAGTTTCAAATCGAGGTCTCGGCGGGCAAAAAAACAACCCCTCGCAACGAAATTGCAGTTCTCGAGCTTCTCACTCAAACGTATGCCATTCAACTCTTGCAGACCAAAAAATTACTCCAAGCCGTAATCGAGACGCTTGAAATCACAGAAACAGCAGAATTTTGTGACCATCAGTTGGTCCTTGCATGCGTCGAGGGCCTTCTCATGAGCTCTGTTTCGAGCAATAACGCAGAATTGGTTGTCGGACTAGATCGCATAATCAAGACAATTGTTTATCGGGACCCAACGCGGTGCCGGGCCACAGAAAAATGGTGTATTTACTTGGCGAAAAAACTGGCTAATGATTATAGCATTGCTCGCTTATTCGTGGAGGAGGTCCGCGATATTTGTGCTACGGTGAACGATACGCCCAGCTGGCTCACTATTTTCAATACTGACAGGCCAACAGGTGCCATCGCGTCACGTGACAGCACAAGTACTTATGGCAACGAAACTCGAGGAACAACACGCCGAAGTGCCACTCAAAACACGGTTCTCTTGTCACTCGCCGATGCTGACACCGACTTAGGAAATGACGACGGACTCAAGCAATGGTTGCACCACGCGCGTGTCTCGCTTTCGCAAAACGTGCGCGAACACTTACAGGGCCACGTATCGAGTAGATCACGTGTTTTACGTAAGGCCTGCCGCGTTAAGCGGAAAGCCAGCAAGGCGATAGACGCTGCTAGGACCCACAGGGGTCCTATTAGCTTTCTGCGGGATCTCGTTGGGAAAACCAAGAGGCACCAGCCCACTCCGCCCCCAGAGATTCGCTCCGTGTGGCACCAGCGGCCCGCGCCGGACACTACCTATTTTTGCGACAACACTACTTACAGCGATGTGGTCATCAAACCCAGCCGTTGCGCATACCTACGTCAAAAAAAGGACAGATTCATGTTTGTGTTTTTTGGCGAGGAGAAATGGGGCTAGATATTAAACAAGGACGAAACGCTTTTAAACATGCGAATTAAGGACTCAAAAATCAAAACAATTTGCTTTCATTCATAGACACTAAGGACAGTGCTTGATAGTTTTTTATTTACGGATAATCAAAAAAAGAGAATACTTAATCAACTATAGGCATTCTGCTCTGAGCCTTGAAGTTATACTTGTTCATAGCCTAAGCACTTGTCATCTCTCTTAAGAGATTTTTACACTAAAGGTGTGACGCAAAAGCGATGATAAAACTTGACGATGCCTTACTACGACACCAGATTACGTCTTAGGACAATTTGAATATGTTCAAGAAACAATTCTCAAGTGGCTGGGAGGACCTATTCCTCATCTGAACCGTTGATTGTAACCGGGCCCATGAAATTAAGAATTCGTGAAAAGTAACACAATTCCATCAATTCGTCAATGCCTTAACCCTAAATTTGCCAGTCTTAAAGCGATAACAGAGAACGATAGCACTGTCTTTTATCACTTTTCAAGCTCAACGCGTCTTCCCTTACACAAATCTGTTCACTACCAACGGGCCATCATTCTAGATCTCTATCGTAGGCGTGTTGCATGACGACTCTGCACTGACTACAGCTTTTTTGCGGGCACGGATGCCCCCTTCTCGTATCTCCGCCGCTGAAGCTGACTTTCTTCCCTGTTTCGCAAGCGAATGTAGGGCGGAATAAACGTGGCTTTCGTCGCTGATAAGAAAAGCTATTTAATTAACGCGTATACAACGCGTGAAAAACAAAGGCTGCTAACGTGGAACCAACGAGGATTTGCGGGGAACGTCCAGACATCGCACAGGGATCGCTTTCGCAAATCGTTCAACTCGAGCACAAAGCTCTCTGCTGAAGAGAGGAAGACTATCGGTTTTTCAATCCAAGATTTGATCTTCTCATAAACAAGCAGACGTCTGCGCGTGCTATGTTCAGGCGCTTTCCGCACCGATTCTTGGCCAGATGCTACGGAACAGGTCCTATCTACGGGAACCACAATAACAACTTCCGCACTACGACGCGGCAGGGAGCTTACGGGAGCACAGAAGTGCTGAACAACGACCTCTTGTCGACTTCGATCCCCACCGTGCCCCTCGAATTCGAAGTGATCAACGAGCACACGTGCCCATGGACTAGACGACACCCGGTGATCATTTTACACGGGCTATTTGGCAATCGAGCCAATAATAGGACCATCGCACGGTACTTGAACGAGCAATTGGAACGGGACGTCTACCTGCCGGACCTACGCAACCATGGACTGTCGCAGCACATCGGGCGGCACGACTACCCGTCGATGGCTGCCGACGTAGAGCGGTTTATCGCAGAAAAGATGCCCGAGGACGACGTGAAGCCGATCATCGTTGGCCACTCGATGGGCGCGAAAGTCGCGATGAGCGTGGTCCTGCGAAAACCAGAGCTGTGTTCGATGCTCGTGAGCATCGACAACGCGCCGGTCGCAACGGCTCCGACGACCGCATTCCCCAGGTACGTGCGCAAACTGCTCGAGATCATCGCGTCGCCCAAGGTGCAGACACTGCGCGACGCAGAGATGTCGCTGCGCGAGATCGAGCCCAGCCCCGTAATCCGGCAGTTCCTACTGACGATTCTCCAGCGCTGCAAGGACGAGAAAACCGGCGAGACCCGGTTTCGGTCGCGGATCCCGCTGGGAATCTTGAACGACGCCATTGTCAAGGGGAATATCGCCAACTGGGAGTTCAATCCCTGGGTCCACCGGTGGGAAGGTCCTGCGCTGTTCATCCGGGGCACGCGGTCGCATTACATTGCAGACGAGTTCCTCGCGGACATCGGCCGGTTCTTCCCGCGGTTCGAGGTCGAGGACATCGACGCAACCCACTGGGTGAACACGGAGCGGCCCAAGGACTGCAGCGACCTGATCGCACGGTTTGTCGAGAGACATGAGGACGAGTAGTAGTCCGGTGACCGGTGCCAGCTCCATCGTACAAAACGATACAATAACACTCTATTCCGTTTTACGCCCCGCCGTGGCAGGACGTCCCGCGCTGCGATCACCTGAGAATCTCCCCAGGACCCAAGCGGAAAACACCCGTCCCTTCTTGTACAGTCCACCTTCTCTGTCTTTTAATGTATTTGTCCTATTGAACTTTCTTTGGCCTCCACCAATCCACCACGGGCTTGATAACCAAGGAAGTTCCCTACCCGTTCGCTACCCAGTAACTACATACGACAAAACGCGCCCGGCCTCCGTTCGTACGAAGGCTATTTTTATCGCAGACCTTGTTTCTTCTACCCTTCATTACAAACTTGTCCCGAAACAAATTACTCAGCTCCGTGCTTCAGTCATAACACAAGCCCATCAACGAGTTCGGACCTAGCTCAAGCGTTACTTTTACTTCTGCACAACACTATCGCTACAAACACGCGTGTTCAGACCTCCGACAAGTTCCCGTTTTACGTATTGACAAGGTTTTAACCGCCAACGTTGAATACGCGAGAACAAGGACATTTTTAGTTGATCTCGGACCGACCAGGTGACAAGATCTAGGTATGTTGAACTAACAGCTCTCAAATGAGCACACTAGCTCCCTCGAGGCCCTCGAGAAGTAGGTTTTAAAGATTTTCGTGCGCATCAGACACGTCGAAACATGATTTGCCCCTTCGAGACGGCTTACTTTTCGCTATGGAGACACTCAAGACGCGACTCGACCAAGGATGGGAAAAGGAAAAAAAGACGAAGAGAAAGCGAAAAGTGCAGTCACGTGACTCTTTCAGCGAATATTTTTGGTTACTTCGCGTTCTGGAGTCACGTGTGTGAGAATTAAGCATGGCCTTCTGGAAGAGAGAAATGAGAAATGAGAAATGGGACGGAGTTAGAAGCAAAAGCTTCTGTGCTACTTCGGTTTACGGAAGGAGTGAGTGCTACAATGGCGATAAGGGCGATGGTGATGGTCAATTTACCCGTTTTCGAATGGAGGTAAGGAGCCTGAGCCAGATGAGCTCCGTCCGACGTGACTTTCAGTGCTTCCCGCACTGGCTGTGGTGTCGTGATGTCATGAGGACAAGCGGTGTCCACTGTGTGTGCACACTGTGGGTGTGTGAAGGAATCTGAAATGTATCGGGCCCAACGTGCAGTCAGATGCAGGTCAAGCATAGCAACCGTTCCAGCCCTTCCTGCCCCATCCATCCAACCAGGTACTCTCAGCACGACCACAGGCTCGCGCGTAGAGCAACCGGGAGCGGATCCTCAATTCCGCAGCAGCTCCGTTTTTCTTTTTCCTTAAGGCCGTCGATTTCTGATCCCTTCAGGAATTTTTAGCAGGACACGAAACTCGGCTCTCATCACAGGAAGTAAAAAAAATTTTTCGTGTTGCGGGAAGGCTTTTCTTTTTCTTGCACTCGCGATTTGGCCGTCCGTGAACCAGATTTGGCATTGCGCATCTTCGTTTGTCCGATCTGGCACTTGCCAATATAATAGCAGCAAGGCTTGGCTTGGTTTAGTGCTTTTAGCGTGCGAATTTCGAAAAAGTTAGGCTCAAGAAGACTCCAACGTGGATCTGGTGCTAGTTTCTCAGAAAAACGGGATCTTGAACTCGACGCTTTTCATCCACTTTCGCTTTTTTTCCTATTCCCGCGCAAGGATCTCCCGTCTTTAGGCGAATTTCGATCCGTGTCGCTTGTTCAGTTTCGAGAATCAGATTCAAAATCTTTGAGACCTTTGAGGAAGATATACAGTGTGCTAGGGATTTACGTTTGACTTACTAACCAGTGTTTGTACAGGAAGTACCATCACCATGTCTTACAACGATCCGAATCAACAATACTACGATCCGAACGGGTACCCGCAGCACGGCCAAGATCCAAACGCGGCCGGCGCGGATCCTTACCAGGGCTACGAACAACAGCCTCAATATGACGAGTACGGCAACCCAGTCTACGCGCAGGACCCATACGGCGCAGACGGTGCCCACTACGATCCAAATGCGGCTGAGTTCTACAACCAGCAAGGCTACGATCCTGAACAGATGGAGTACAGCAACGGTGCTGCTTACTACGAGCAGCCTCGTGGCATGGGTCATGATCCAGAAAATTTTTCTGATTTCAGCTACGGGCCTCCTGCCACTCCAGGCTACGAAGGTTACAACGTTCCTAACAACGGGAATTACACGCCCTCTCAGATAAGCTACGGTGATCCTAGATCCTCCGGCGCTTCGACCCCCATATACGGAGGCGAGGGCTTCGACTCTTCGGCCATTGCCATGGCTTTGCCCAACGACCCTTACCCAGCGTGGACCGCTGACAACCAGTCTCCCGTGACTATCGAACAAATCGAAGACGCTTTCATTGACTTGGCCAATAGATTTGGTTTCCAAAGAGATTCGATGAGAAACCAGTTTGATCATTTCATGGTCTTGTTGGATTCCAGAGCTTCCAGAATGTCTCCACAGCAAGCTTTGCTTTCGTTACATGCCGATTACATCGGTGGTGACACGGCTAACTACAAGAAATGGTACTTTGCTGCTCAATTAGATATGGACGATGAGGTCGGCTTCCGTAACATGAGCTTGGGTAAACTGTCCCGCAAAGCCAGAAAGGCCAAGAAGAAGAATAAGAAAGCTATGGAAGAAGCCAATGCAGAGGACACTGAGGCGACTTTGAATCAATTGGAGGGCGATAATTCTCTGGATGCCGCTGACTTCAGATGGAAGGCAAGAATGAACAAACTTTCTCCTCTTGAAATGGTTCGTCACATAGCTCTTTACCTGTTGATCTGGGGTGAAGCTAACCAAGTCAGATTTACCTCTGAATGTTTGTGTTTCTTGTACAAGTGTGCCACCGATTATTTGGAGTCACCTTTGTGTCAACAGCGCACAGAGCCCATGCCAGAAGGTGATTACTTGAACAGAGTGATCACTCCTTTATACCGCTATATCAGATCTCAAGTCTATGAAGTCGTTGATGGTAGATTTGTTAAACGTGAAAGGGATCATAACAAGGTTATTGGTTACGATGATGTGAACCAACTTTTCTGGTACCCAGAAGGTATTGCAAAAATCATTTTCGAAGACGGTACAAGGTTGATTGATCTTCCTGCTGAAGAACGTTACCTCAGATTGGGTGATGTTGTCTGGGACGATGTTTTCTTCAAGACCTACAAAGAAACCCGTTCCTGGTTCCATCTCATTACGAACTTCAACCGTATCTGGATCATTCACATTTGTATCTGGTGGATGTACGCTGCTTACAGTGCCCCAACCTTTTACACGCATAACTATCAACAGCTGAGAAACAATAAGCCAGTTGCGGCTTATAGCTGGGCATCTTGCGCCTTGGCTGGTACCGTCGCTTGTATTATTCAGATTGTTGCCACGATCTCGGAGTGGTTTTTCGTCCCAAGAAAGTGGGCTGGTGCTCAGCATCTTTCCCGTCGTTTTTGGTTTTTGATGGTCATCCTAGCAATCAACCTCGGCCCAATCATTTTTGTGTTTGCGTATGATCCGATCAATGTTGTTTCTAAGGCTGCTCATGTTGTTGCTGTGGTCATGTTCTTTGTCAGTTTGGCAACCATCATCTTTTTCTCCATCATGCCACTTGGCGGTCTATTCACGTCTTACATGAAGAAATCTTCGAGGCGTTATGTTGCTTCGCAAACTTTCACTGCTTCCTTCGCACCTTTGGAAGGACTTAACATGTGGATGTCTTTTCTAATGTGGACTGCTGTCTTTGCCGCCAAGTTTTCCGAATCATACTACTTTTTGATTTTGTCTTTAACAAATCCTATCAGAGTTTTGAGCACGACCGAAATGAGATGTACCGGTGAGTACTGGTGGAATAATGTTCTTTGTAAGCAGCAAACCAAGATTGTTTTGGGTTTGATGTTGGCCACTGACTTCATTTTGTTCTTTTTGGATACTTACATGTGGTATGTGATTTGTAACATGCTGTTCTCTGTGGGGAGATCTTTTTACTTGGGTATCTCTATCCTCACTCCATGGAGAAACATTTTCTCAAGATTGCCAAAGAGAATCTACTCTAAAATTCTCGCTACCACTGATATGGAGATCAAGTACAAACCTAAGGTCTTGATTTCTCAAGTTTGGAATGCAATTGTTATCTCAATGTACAGAGAACATCTTTTGGCAATTGATCACGTTCAGAAACTATTATACCACCAGGTGCCCTCCGAAATTGAGGGCAAGAGAACATTGAGAGCTCCAACCTTTTTCGTTGCTCAAGATGACAACAATTTCGAGACCGAGTTTTTCCCAAGAGATTCGGAAGCTGAACGTCGTATCACATTCTTTGCGCAATCTTTGGCAACCCCTATTCCAGAACCTCTCCCCGTGGACAACATGCCTACATTTACCGTTTTGACGCCTCATTATTCTGAGAGAATTCTACTGTCGTTGAGGGAGATTATTCGTGAAGATGATCAGTTCTCTAGAGTGACTTTATTGGAATATTTGAAGCAACTTCATCCTGTGGAATGGGATTGCTTTGTCAAGGACACTAAGATTTTAGCCGAAGAAACAGCTGCGTTTGAAGGAGCCGAAGAAGACCCTGAGAAGGAGGAAGAAGGACTGAAGTCTCAAATCGATGACTTGCCATTTTACTGTATCGGATTTAAATCTGCCGCTCCAGAGTACACTTTGAGAACCAGAATTTGGGCCTCTCTAAGATCTCAAACTTTGTACAGAACCGTGTCTGGTTTCATGAACTACGCCCGGGCAATCAAACTTCTGTATCGTGTTGAAAATCCAGAAATTGTTCAAATGTTTGGAGGCAATGCTGAAGGTTTGGAAAGAGAGTTGGAAAAAATGGCGAGAAGAAAGTTTAAGTTTTTGGTTTCGATGCAGAGATTGGCTAAGTTCAAGCCTCATGAGCTCGAAAACGCCGAGTTTCTTTTAAGAGCCTACCCTGATCTACAGATCGCTTACTTGGATGAAGAACCACCTTTGAACGAAGGCGATGAGCCAAGAATTTACTCTGCCTTGATTGACGGTCACTGTGAGATCCTAGAGAACGGCCGTAGACGTCCAAAGTTCAGAGTTCAATTGTCAGGCAATCCTATTTTAGGTGACGGTAAGTCCGATAACCAAAACCATGCGATGATTTTCTACAGAGGTGAATACATTCAATTGATTGATGCCAACCAAGACAACTACTTGGAAGAATGTTTGAAGATCAGATCCATTTTGGCTGAGTTCGAGGAACTCAACGTCGAACAAATTAACACGTACGCGCCAGGCTTGAAGTATGAGGAACAGACTACAAATCACCCAGTTGCCATTGTTGGCGCCAGAGAGTATATTTTCTCCGAAAACTCTGGTGTTTTGGGTGACGTGGCTGCTGGTAAAGAACAGACTTTTGGTACGCTTTTCGCTCGTACATTGGCCCAAATTGGTGGTAAACTTCACTATGGTCATCCTGATTTTGTGAACGCTTTGTATATGAACACCAGAGGTGGTGTCTCCAAGGCTCAGAAGGGGTTGCATTTGAATGAAGATATTTACGCCGGTATGAATGCTGTTTTGCGTGGTGGTCGTATCAAACATTGTGAGTACTACCAATGTGGTAAGGGTAGAGATTTGGGTTTCGGAACAATTTTGAATTTCACAACCAAAATTGGGGCTGGTATGGGTGAGCAAATGCTTTCGCGTGAGTACTATTACCTAGGTACCCAACTGCCTCTTGACAGATTCCTATCGTTCTACTATGCTCACCCTGGTTTCTTTTTGAACAATTTGTTCATTCAATTATCTTTGCAGCTCTTCATGCTTACTTTGCTAAACTTGAATGCACTCGCTCATGAATCTATTATGTGCATCTACGACAAAAATAAACCATTGACGGACATCTTATACCCGATTGGCTGCTACAACTTTTCTCCGGTTGTTGACTGGGTTAGACGGTATACACTCTCTATTTTCATTGTGTTCTTCATCGCCTTCATCCCTATTGTGGTGCAAGAACTGATTGAGCGTGGCGTTTGGAAAGCAACGCAGAGATTTTTCAGACACTTGCTCTCCTTATCTCCTATGTTCGAAGTGTTTTCCGGTCAAATTTATTCGGCCTCGCTTTTGAGCGACCTCACTGTCGGTGGTGCCCGTTATATCTCCACTGGCCGTGGTTTCGCAACCTCGCGTATTCCATTCTCGATTCTATATTCCCGTTTCGCTGGCTCGGCCATTTACATGGGTTCCAGACTAATGCTCATGCTACTGTTTGGTTCAGTTGCTCACTGGCAAACACCTTTATTGTGGTTTTGGGCTTCTCTAACGGCCTTGATGTTCTCTCCATTTATTTTCAACCCTCATCAGTTCTCATGGCAAGACTTTTTCCTTGACTACAGAGACTACATTAGATGGCTTTCGAGGGGAAACAACAAATACCACAAAAACTCATGGATTGGATATGTTAGAATGTCTAGGTCTCGTGTCACTGGTTTCAAGCGTAAGCTTGTTGGCGACGAGTCTGAGAGGACTGCGGGTGATGCAGCAAGGGCTCACAGAAGTAACATGATTCTAGCTGACATTATTCCCTGTGCTATTTACGCTGCAGGCTGTTTCGTTGGATTCACTTTCATTAACGCTCAAACCGGTGTCCAAAACACTTCTCCTGTGAACTCCACTCTTCGTGTTATCATTTGTACATTGGCTCCGATTGCGGTTGACATGGGTGTTCTATTCTTCTGTCTTGGATTGTCCTGTTGCTCGGGTCCTCTGTTCGGAATGTGCTGTAAGAAGACTGGCTCAATCATGGCTGGCTTCGCACACGGCGTTGCTGTTGTTGTCCACATTGTTTTTTTCATTGTAATGTGGGTACTAGAAGGTTTTAGCTTTGCCCGTATGTTGGCAGGTGTTGCGACATGTCTCTACTGTCAGAGATTGATCTTCAAGATTATCACTGTGTTCATGCTCACGCGTGAATTCAAGAATGACCACGCCAACACCGCATTCTGGACTGGTAAATGGTACGGCGCTGGTTTGGGTTACATGGCTTGGACCCAACCTTCCCGTGAGTTCTGTGCTAAGATAGTTGAATTGTCTCATTTTGCTGGTGACTTTGTTCTGGGGCACATTATTTTGTTTTGCCAGTTGCCTGTGCTGTGTATTCCCATGATTGACAAGTTCCATTCCATTATGCTGTTTTGGTTGAAACCATCTCGTCAAATTCGTCCACCAATTTACTCATTGAAGCAAACACGTTTGCGGAAGCGGATGGTCAGAAAGTATTGCTCGCTGTACTTTTTGGTTCTTGCCATTTTTGCCGCTTGTATTATTGGTCCAGCCGTGGCTTCGAGCCACGTTGGTAGTAATTTGGGTTCGACATTGACGGGAACTTTCCAAAACTTGGTTCAACCAAGACACCAAAACAACAACGATACTGGTTCTCAAATTTCTACCTACTTGAGTCACTACTATACGCACACTCCAAGTATAAAGTCTTACTCAACCATTGCATGAAGCTGATCAGCGAAGGCGGGTGACTTTGTCTTCTTTCATGTCATCTTCGAATTAAATTTTGTATTTTTATTTTGTACAGTTGATATCCTTGGACTTATATATATATCAAAAACAATCGCTTTATGGATATGATACTAACTCATGTTCCTTTCTTAGTTTCCGATTTGTCTTCTAAATGGTGTTTTGCCTAACAGCGTGTCAGTTCGTGACAAAATGATATCTGAATAAAAAGCCAACAACGTCGTGAACACAAACACAAAGCTCTGACAACACCAAAACCATCACAGTCTTTATCTTCAATAGAAAACTTTCGCTAAGATCACTCATATTTGCTATGGCCATCTTGAGATTTCTATCAAACCTTTTAGCCCTTGCAGCCTTTTTGACTTGCATTATAATCAATGCTGAGGAATTTAAAATTGGCTCTCTGCAAGACTTTCAAGCTGTTGAACATTTGGCACCGATAGAAACGGTCGGATCGAAATTCTTTAATTCAGAAACTGGAGAGCAGTTCTTCATTAAGGGTATCGCATATCAACCGACCGATCCGGACGCTATAATAAAACAAGATTCAAAATATCTAGACCCTTTGGCAGATTCAACAATGTGTACAAGGGATATTCCACGTCTTATGGAACTCGGAATCAATACCATCAGAGTTTATTCCATCAATCCAGAACTGTCGCATGATTTCTGCATGGAAAAATTGGTTAACAGTGGAATTTATGTGCTCATTGATTTATCGGAACCCGACTTGTCAATCTCAAGAGGCCAACCTAATTGGAATGTGGAAACTTTCGAGAGATACAAAAAAGTCGTTGATTGCATGCAAGGCTATTCTAATGTGTTGGGTTTTTTTGCGGGAAATGAGGTTACTAACGACATAACTAATACTGACGCATCCCCGTTCGTGAAGGCTTCGATCAGGGATATAAAAGAACATATAAGAAACCAAGGATATCGCCAGATTCCGGTTGGATATTCTACTAACGATGACATTGATACACGACAAAATTTAGCAGATTACTTTGTGTGCGGTGAGTCGTCAGTAGATTTCTACGGAATTAATATGTACGAGTGGTGCGGTTATTCATCATACGGTTCAAGTGGTTACCAAGAGAGAACTGCTGAGTTCAAGGATTATCCGGTCCCCATATTTTTCTCCGAATTTGGATGCAATCTAGTCAAACCTCGTCCCTTTACCGAAATCGAAGCGCTTTACGGGAAACATATGTCCAAAGTATGGTCAGGCGGTCTAGTGTACATGTACTTTGAAGAAGAAAACGACTACGGTGTTGTGAGAATAATTTCTGATACTGAAGTTGAAAAGCTAGAAGACTTTGACTATTTACAGCAGGAATTTAAATTAGTCAATCCAAAAGGCATCAGGAAAGAAGATTACGCAAAGAGTGTTTCGAAACATGACGAAATACACTGTCCTAATCTCAACGATAAATGGAAAGCTGCTAAAGAGCTACCACCAACTCCTGATAAGTCGAAATGTTCTTGTTTAGATGAGACCCTCCCGTGTCTTGCGCAAAAATTGGAAAGTTCCGAAAAATACAAGGAATACTTTGATTATGTTTGCGGGAAAGTGGATTGTTCAGATATTATGGCAGACGGACAAAATGGTAGATATGGAGAGTTCGCTGATTGCAGTACAAGCCAAAAATTGGCGCTTCAAATAAGCAAAATGTTTTGGCAAAATGGCGGTAAAGGAAGAACGTGCCCAATTTCGGATAATTCCATTAATTTCAACATAGGAGCGTCGCTGCAAGGCAAGTCGGAATGCAGGGCGCTTGTTCAAAACGTGGAAAACAGATTTAAAAAACATCTGTCTGACAAAAACCACGATAAGGGAAAGACCTCCGGCGCTGAAAGGTCAGCACCTTACCAGTCCAGTATTTTTTGGCCTGTGACAGTCTTCATTTTAACGTTCATAACAACATTATTTCTATAGATAGAAAGAAATTGACAGCGCTATAATAACTGCCCTGGGTTGGTACTATTATTTGTTAAATTGTGGATAGGTGTGGAAGAAGAAGAAGGGCATCAATCTCTTATGTTTTTTTTGTCGCTAAATCGGTTTCATCTTCCACCTTAATGGACCTTTTCGACAACAAGTTTTGAAGGCATGTGTATATCTCGAATTGCTGTACAAAATGGAAGAATATTGACAAGGTATTTTGGTGGAGTAAATTCGTATCGCATCAAATTCGACTGTTAGAATTGTCGAGTAAATCATTAATCTTTTTCTTTCTTGGGCCCCCAATTGACCCCCAAGAAACCTTTACGTGGGGGTAAGCTGACCTTCGGCTTGATGAAATAGTATCTTTTTTCGCCTGGAACATCCATATACATGGATATGACATCCGGCACGTAACTTGTTTCTGATTGGCGAGCTTCCACGTGTACCAAAGCTAGTTTGGCCTTGGATTCGACATGAAAGCGCATGTAGTGATGTTCTTTCCCATCCCTACCAATTCTGCGCACAGAAGAAATGGGACGGTTTCTTGTCCATCTGTCGTCTGTCAGAAGCTCACCGTAAGCCTTCAAACGTTCTTTGTGAGATTCCGAGTCCTGGCATTGGAGCAGTTGTCTGGCCGCTGGGTCTGTTTCTACAACAGAAACGGCTCTATTGAACATACGAGTGTCCCCAGAAGGCGAAAACAGTTCAGAAAGGATCAAGTAAATGACCAGACCTGCTAGTCCAGAGGCTCCAACGACTAATACTCCCGAGACTGCAAACGTTGAAAAAGCTTTAAATTTGGCCCAAATCGAAATCTTCTTTTTCTTAGCTTGGCCAGAGCCTGATGAGCTCCCACTACTGTTCCCAGTAGCCCGTGCGTTAAACGTCGAGTAGCTATTTGTCTGGCCAACGATATGTATATTATTTGTGGGTTTAAACGAAGCAATGGGCTTCAACCACACATCCTGGCGCCCAAACTGTAGTCCGCCATTGTATAAGCCCTTGTTTTGGACCTTTTTCAGCAAGAGAGACCTCAACATTCTGGAGATATGGATCTCGTTCTTGTCTATGATTCGTGGTATTTTTGTTCATCGTCGTCATATTTAGGGAAGTATTTAAGAAGCATGAAATTTCTTCAATAAAGATACGCTATGATGGTTGCCAAACCATCATCTTTCAGTGGTCTTCTATGCCCCTTTAGTGCAATGGTTAGCATACATTTTTCCGGTGGATGTGATCCGGGTTCGAGTCCCGGGAGGGGCTAATCAGATCTTGGCCGCAAGATTAGTTTTTTGATAGATTTACATATTTCAGAGTTATAGAACTTGGACAATGATTACACTTGGAGTAGTTTCTTTCCGTCAAGCGTTACACCCGCCTACCAATTACACTCACGAGATTGTTAGCCGTTTATATTGTACTGCAGAACTCGTGAATGACGTACATGATGATATTTATTATGTGACTTATGCACCCATACATCAGCTATTCATTTCTTTCATGAAACTACACCCAGACATTATAAAGTTATCGCGACTTGTAAATTAAAATATTTATCTTGGTTTGAGTCGGTGAGTATACTGGTACGCTGTCCTCGCATCGGTGTCGGCATCTACGTCCGTGGCGGCCTGCTCGCTGGCACGCCTGGAAGAAGGTTCCCTAGGCTCGCGAGTTCGTCCCTCCGCAGGAAGCCTCCAGCGGCATTGGCCTGAGTCCCCGTAGGACGTCCTGGTACCAAACCGGCGCGCGGGTGTGAGCGCAGGCAGGGGACGGGCCCCCCTGCCTGCCTACGCACTCGGTAGGACTCGGTTGGCTTCCGCGCTGTAGCTCGCTGGCCTCTGGCAGCTTCGACAACGGACAATCAACCAGGTCAAATACAATTTATCACTGACGGGTGAAGTGATACGTAGCGCAAGAAGCCTCAGACGGTAATAACATAATGGCTAAGCAATCTCTAGGTATGTTTGCAGACGAAAGAATCACATCAATGAGCTGAGAAATGGTGGAAATGAGCGGATCGAGCAGTGTGTGAGTGCAAGCAGTTTGAATATTGAGAAATGAGAGTGGGTGTGGATTCGAGATGTGAAACCAATGACTTGAACCAAGTTGTGGAACCAAGGTATAGATAACGATGCGGACCGGCTGTATTACATTGGGTTTCAAGGTTAGACAATGTTATCGAATCCATGGTAAGCACGCGCGAACCTGGTTAAGACGCCCGCCAACCGCTTTGCACCTCTGAGCTTTGTCCCAGCAACAAGATACTAACAAGTTTCAGACGTTTCCTCCGACAGAAGAAAGGCCAGAAAGGCCTACTTCACCGCTCCTTCTTCTGAGCGTCGTGTGTTGATGTCCGCTCCTTTGTCTAAGGAGTTGCGTGCCCAATACAACGTCAAGGCATTGCCAATCAGAAAGGAAGACGAAGTTTTGGTTGTCAGAGGTTCCAAGAAGGGCCAAGAGGGCAAAATCTCCTCCGTTTACAGATTGAAGTTTGCCGTCCAAATCGACAAGTTGACCAGGGAGAAGGTGAACGGTGCCTCCGTTCCAATCAACCTACATCCATCCAAGCTTGTCATCACTAAGTTGCACTTGGACAAGGACAGAAAGGCTTTGATCGAAAGAAAGGGCGGTAAATTGGAATAAGCGTGTTTCAATCCAATTCTACCATTTAAACAAGCTTCTATATAAATGTAATTTACATTACCTCGACATCTTCATAAGACGAGTAGAGGAATGGTCGTTCCTCAGGCTAGTCACGTGCTCCTTCTGCTCTTGTTATTCGTCCCCAGATTCTTAAAGTTTAACAAGCCAGGAAATGGAACAATGACGAAATATAGTGATAAGAACTAAAACTCACGGCAAACTAGAGCGAGATATTGTAGTGGAATGAGCGATGAAATGACCCTTAAAGAGGGCTTTGCGCGAAAGAGTGAGGTCGAAAGCGTAGAACATGCGGAAACTTTGAGTATAACTACGGGGAATCACATGGCAAGAACCCGTAGAAGATGGTCGAGAAGCTCGCAAGATAAAAGGCATAAGGGACAAAATCTGGCAGATAATGTGCACGAGGCAGTCACATTTGATTACATATCACCTGGACAACTGTACTCTACGGAATCCGGGCGTCTTTTCCATGCGGGTAAGATTTTGGTCGTTTTAGTAGGCCTTCCAGCGACGTCCAAGACATTGCTGTCGGTTGCAATAACCAGGTACACCAAGTGGCTAGGTGTACGTACATGGTCGTTCCACGTTTCTGAGTACAGAAGGAGAATGGCAGGTGTGGGGCTTGAGGAGTTCCCAATTGACTATTTTTCGGCCAGGCCGCAAACAGCTGAGGGCAGCAAAGTGAGAAATCAAATTTTGGATCAAGTATCGAAGGACATGCTTGCTTATTTTAAGGAAGGAAAGGGCCAATTAGCCGTTTATGATGCGTTAAACATTCTGGCCGAAGAACGAGTGCAGCTGAACCAGCAATTCATGGAGATGGGTATCAAAGTTTTGTTCATAGAGTCGGTAATGAACGATTCTGAGTTGATTAAGCATAACGTAGAACAGGCATCGAAGTCTGCAGACTACGTTGGATGGTCCAAGGAGAACGCGATAGCTGACTACGTGCATCGCATTAAAATCAACAAGCAATTATATGAGCCCATGACTCGCGAAGAACAACTGAGTTACGTCAAATACATCAATTTCGGAGAACAGCTAATCGTCAATAACAATCATTTCGGGTATCTGGTCAATAAGATTGTGTTTTTCCTCATGAACTTGGGGGAAAAGAAGGGCTGTGTCTATTTTGCCCGCTGTGGTACCAGTAAGGACGACAAATATATTAGGGACGAAGTACTCAACGAAGAAGGTTTGCAGTATTCCGAGGTTCTTACCGATCTTGTATTGAAAACGATCAATGCAAGAAGGCTCACAAAATCTAAGAATGCGGTCATCGAGAGTTGGAAGAACTCTCCAAAAATAAGAGCAGCGAGCTCGGGGCCTGCGTCGCCATCCCCGTCTCCATTGATTCCTACTCACGAAACTTTAAGGCGTTCCGAATCTACAGGAAACACTTCCGTCCGTCAACCGGCCACTGGTGATGGTGGCGATGAGGATTCTTTTGTTGTCTGGACTGCTCCTCGGAAACGCACGTTCGACACTGCCAAGTTTTTCTTGGAAAAGGGTATCACAGTGCGTCAAAAATCTCAATTACAACAACTGCATCCAGGTCTAGTGGCAGATCTATCCAAATCTCAAATAAAGGAAAAATTTCCCGAAGAATATCGGGAGTGGAAGAAAGATCCTTACCATTACAGATTTCCGCGAGCGGAATCGTATCATGACTTAGCGGTGAGAATGGAGCCGTTGCTTCTAGAGATGGAACGTATGCGCGGCGATATTCTCATAATTGGCCACGAATCAACTCTCAGGGTATTATATGGCTACCTGATGGCATGTTCATGCTCTGATATTCCTTCCTTACAATTTACGAGGGACGAACTTATCGAAATATCTTTTGGACCTTTCGAAAACAAAGTTAGAAAAGTGCCAATGCCATCCTACCGAAAATGAGCTTAACGATGATGACGATAACACTGCTGAAAATTCTTGAAAAATGAATGCATCCCAATTATCTAGCCACATCTTTATAGGAAACGCGGCGTCTATAAATATTCAGATCCTAACCTTATGCATTTTTTTTCTCACTTGCCGCTAGGCAACGGGTGTGCCATTGCTCAAGTTCTTGGGCAAGACTTAGCGGACAATTGTTGAATGAGTCTTTGATTCTCAATGCGCGAGAAATTTTCCAGCTCAGGACCCAATCGATCAATCCTAAGTATCTGAGAATCCCGACTCCCATGAAATAAAGGCTACCCAGAAACCCACCCAAGGTAACACCGATTGAAACCTGGTCGAAAGAATGATAGCCGAGGTACCATCTGGAGAAAGCCACACAGATCGAACTTAAGAAAAAGGCCAAAAGGCTGACCGTTTTCCGAACCCTAGACAATCCCGTCCAGGACGTAACTATTTTCAGAGACCAATACATGCAAAAAAAACCCATAAATTGCGAATGCGCGCTGGGCATCCCATATTCAGATCTCATAGTATCCTTCTGGAAAGAAGCTCCAAAACTCATCGGCCTCGCGTGTCCTATCCAATTCTTCAAAATATTATTAAAAATCTCATTAACAACTTGTCCACCTGCTATTATCACCGCTTCCAGCTCTCTTCCAGATATAAACCAAGAGAAATAAAAGATTAAGATTCCAATTGGTAAAAGTGAAAAGTATACCAAAACGTATGCAAGCGCATCTGACGGATCATACAAGATGAAAGTCTCATCAAAGGGAATTCTTACAACGCCCATTTGAATCTAGGTACAACAAAGATGGTAAGGACTTTCCAGGTGAGAAGATTTGTACCCTTTTGCTTACTTTCCTGTCTTATAGGGCAGTTTAAAGATCTGTTAAATATCTCGAAAAACTAGAATCTGTCATTTATCATGAAAAGCGTAAAATCATTAGACATCAAAAACATAATACAACCTAAAGACCAAGCAGGCCTCTTTGGTTCAAAATAAAGGGCGACGAGAATCGAAGCATGCACAACAGCCCAAAATTGGACGACCATAATGGAGAGGGGTCAAACAATAGTAAGGCGTTAGAGAGAGAGAAGGAGAATTAAATAGAAGGTAAGAAAACGGGAAAAAAGAGGATATAGAAGCGGACAGAGAAATCGAGATGCAGAGGATTGTGAAGAAATGAAATGGAGGGAAAGAAAAAGGTAAGGAAATGCGAGTTGAGTCAATTTCTTGACATGCCTAGTCATTTTTTTTTCGCGTTCTGGGAAAAGTGAAGAAAGGGAAATGAAGGAAGAGTAACAGGTTTTAAAGCCCCATTTGGAATTTCTGTTGTTCTCTTGCCCATCTGGCAGTATCCTTTGTGGATTGGCTGAAAGAGGTGTTGCTCCTGGTTTTTTTGATAAATTCGGTTACCCATTCTTGAGAATAGAATTGTTTAATTCTGCCATCTGGAAACATAGCAGCGACGTCGCCAATTATACCGACTGCGGCTCTTGCGGTGGCGTCCTCGCTATTGAGAGTAGGATTATCGGCAATGTGACTCATAAATTGAAAAATCGTTCCCACGTAAGGGAACAAAGCGTCTGCATTCGATTGCAGCCCTGCCACAGTACCAACGTAAGCGTCAAGAACAGCCTCATGTACTTTGACGTTGTATTCCAATGCTTCCAGGGACCCATTTTCCGGTCTGGTGTTTTGCGCAGCGACACAAAGCGCCATGACTTGGTTTAGATACGGAATGAAATCGGAACCAATATTAGAAGCAATGTCTCCAAAGACAGAAAGCACAGCGGGTTTTAGTTCCTTTTTGGCATTGTCGGCAGAAATCATTTGTCCTAACACATTCATGAATGCAGGCGCAAATTGCTTGAAGTCGTCTTCCAAACAATTGGAAATATCTGCAATTAATCCAACTGCGGTAATTGAAACTTGCGACTGCACCTGGTTCAAAGCGCTGACCAAATAGGGAGAGAACGTTTCCAAATATTTCTCAAAGCCTTTCCCTAGAGCAGAGGCCAGCGAAGAGACCGCGTAGAACACGTCATCCTCAATATACGACACATCCTTTTTGTCTAACAATTTGATGAAAAGGTCCATCAACATGTCTGACACGGATGTAACAGAGGCTGGATTTTTCCTGATGATGGCGGACAAAACGCTTAGTATATTTGATTGAAGTTCTTCCAAGTTCTGTTTTGCGTCGGTAGACAGTTGAGAGTCGTCGATAGCCATGGTCTGACCCAATTTATCCAAGATGAAAGATGAAATAGACGCTGCGGATTCCGAAACCTGATCTGTGGAAAACTCCACTAACGTAGTCAAAGCAGAGAAGGCCGAGGCTCGAGCACTGTGTTCGTTTTCAGGTCGGTTGGCAGCCTTCATAAGCGCGTCCACTAAAATAGGGTAGTAGTTGTAAATAGGAGATGCGGGGGTGTCGGCCATTTGTTCGACCAAATTAATAATGGTCCAGGCACAATTAGTAGCGACCTTGGGGTGATCTTCAAGTCCTTGCAAACAGGCGTGAACGACATCGGATAGGTGATGTTGTGGATCAATGGCTCCTATCACGAGATCCGCGATCCGACCGATACACCAAGCGACAGTCTCCTTGACTTGAAGAACCGGGTCTCCCATCAGGGCCAAGATTGGAGGTAATGCTTGATGGATCAGGTTTGTAAGCTGGACCTTGTCCGGACCATCCAGAATGGATCCGAAAGCCATCACGGCGGATTCGCGGTGCCGCCAGCTCTCATTGCTAATATTCATTTCGACGTAACGCAGAACAGGTTCGACCACATAATTGCCACAATTTTGAGCAAACAGTTGCAAACAGGCACCTGCAGACATGGACACGTTCCAGTCGTCATCTTCCGGATCTTCGTTTTGTCTCGTTAGGAGATTCAAAAGGTTGGGAACGACTTCCTGGATCGACGTAAGCGCGAAATTGAAACTTTGCAGAGGTGACTGTGGAAATTGCGCCAGTTCGTATGCGATGTCTATCTCTTCTTCGCAAATTGTGGACCAAAACTCAACAGCCATGGAGGCCACTTTTTCGTCTGGCGATTGCATTGTGGACACGGTAAGTGCGTACAATGCCTGTTCCATGTAAGGTTTCATGAGGAAATAGTACAAAGACATGATTTTGCACAAACAGCCAAAAGCAGCAGCCTGGATGTCAGAGTCCTCGGTTTGGGTTGCCTCGCAGACGACTTGCATCAGGTAATTGCGCTCACCTTCGCGTTCCATGTTATTTTTGATGAACGCTAGCGAATCAGCAAGCGCGTTAAGCGCGGTCAGACGTACGAACCGCGAAGGTTCACTGGCCTGGGCACCCTGAACGATGGCAATGAGAATGTTGTTAGACTGCGCCATGAGCATCTCGTTGCCCGGATCTGCTGCTTCACAGATGTAACCCAATGCGAGTAACGAGGCACGTTTCACGTTTTCCGGCTGCGTGGCGGCCGTGTTGTCGACCATGATCTTCATGAGATCGGGCCAGTGGCCCCTAGGCAACTCAATCGTCGCGATAGCGGCGATGAGCTGCGCAGCGGCGTTTGCGACACGGGGCTCAGCCGCAATAAGCGACGACAGCGCCAATTGACGGATTTGCTGGCGAGAATGGTCGTCGACTTGCGTGAGCCATCGCTGCGCGAGTTGTTGGGTTTTAACCGGGTCTTTGCTGACGAGCTCGTTCTTGAGGGTAAGTGCGGCGAGGATACGCGCTTCCAAACGGGCGGAATCGTCTGCGGCCACCTGTGCGATGAGCGCCGCAAATTGCAAAAAATTCTCATTCGAGAGTTTTTTCAGCTGCGTTTCGCACTGCAGCCGCACGGATGCATCCGCGCTAAGAATGGTTTGCTCCAGGACCTGCGCTAGCTGCGCTGCTTCGGGCGACATGGATGGGGGCGACGGATGGGAGATCGAGTAACCAGAATTTGGGAAAATACAAAAAAAACCGCTCTTTTTCAAGTATGGGTGGGCAAAGAGGGAGTCGTGAATGTGCCGCTGAGTCGTGCTGCGACGGCTAGCTGGTGTGTATCTCTGTCTGTCTGTGTGTTCGGCAGTTCAAAAGTGGTTGGTTAGTCCGTGGTCTGGTGTACTTGCAAGGACGGTTGCCGGGTGGTGGGCCCTCGAACGTATGACGCGACATCACAAGTGACGAAAAGTCCTCCAAGAAAAAGAAACTAAAACAAATTCGTACATCGTTATTTAAACGTACAAAGCGATCCAGTAACGTGACCAACATCACATACCACGCAGAGCGTCACGTGGCACTCACGCGTACTTCTGTTCGAGGGATTCGACCAGGGCAATGTACTTCTGTTCCGCGTCTTCTTGGCTCATGCCCTTGACCTTGTCCCAGGCGTCCCATTTGTACTTGTCCTTGAAGTTGAATCCGCTGGGCCGGGGCTTGTCGTTGTCGCCAACGGTCGCCTGCTTGTAGAGCCCGTACAATTCCAGCAACTCCTCGTTGGAAGGGGTCGTAGGAAGCTTGTTAACGGCCTCTGCCTTTGCTTCGAATGCCTGCGAAACCATTGCTTGATGTTGAGAGGGGCGTGCAGATGCTGAGATGGAGATAAGATTTGGAGGAGGGGAGCATCAGTAGGGCGCCACCCTGTAGATATACTAATTGATTTATGGGGAACGAACAAGCCAATGCACGAGCCAGCTCGCGTACAAAGTGATGCGGGAGCGAAGCTCCTGCATTGTTCGCGCGGTGTGTGGGTGCACGTTCCAGTGACCCGCGCAAATGAACAGCTGTCTCTCTGTGCCAACGGATCCTGTGAGGACAGCGTGTACTCAGCGTGTTCTGAGGTAGCCTGTGGGTCTGTGGGGTGCGTCGAAATAGTGTGGTTTGTTGGATAGTCCAATCGCTTTGAACGACCAACGAGGCCAAAGGACACGTTGTAGCAGAAGTCTAAACAATTCCTATGGAGAGTTCCTGTCGCCTGACAAGAGTGCCTGAGCAAGAGTCTGGTGACGAGGAGTACGCTCTGGCTAAATACTTGCGTATATAGTGGAGAAGAAGAAAACACGTGACCAAACCTAGCCCCACTCAGGACACCGTACCAAGCGATGTTGCCCAGACACCACCGGTGGCTAAACCTTGCAAGATTTTGACCCTACCTGGTAATGAAAGACTCCACTCGCCGATGATGGGAGTCGCATTGGAAATCATTGGGACCGTTCTGAACTCACTGGGTAATCTCAGTATGAAATGATGGGTACTTTCTAGCATTTCGTACGAAATGCCCACCTAATCAACTCTGGGGAGGAACTACGTATCCAGTACGAGAATCGGGCCGTAGAGAATGCGCGTAGATTCACCACCAATCCGCCGCGCATCTGGCAAACTACAAGCACATTTCATCAACCACGCATTTCATCAAAAATATGAATATGGATATGGTGCATTTCCCTCGCGTTTCTCCTTTGACCTTGTGTCGATTGCGATCGTGGTTAACTTCTGTTTTGCTGAAGTCGGTACAAGATGCAACCCGTTATAAGTGATGAATTTATTGCCCCAAGTGGCTATTCGCAAGATTCGTCCATAGTGCTCAGTTCTAATTGCCGTCTTACAGCCGTCTGTTAATATCCCTTGGAACGGGTACCCGCGTAAATAGCGATATATACGTACATAGCGATATTTTCAATCCCCCTGGTATCAGCACCGGTGAGGGAAATGACATTTCTACGAGGAATGACCCAGCTATCGAGAAGAAAGTGTCTAGACAAACAGAAGCGAAGCTTAGCCACTGGAACATCGCTAGAGTACGACAGAGCATCAAAGTACTGCTAGAACATCAGAACACTGGCTCGGGCAACATAATAGGATCCACTGCCACCCCAGCTTCGCTACAAACCACACGACAGACACATTTCCGTTTCACAACTCTTCAAGCTCTTTACAGCCCTTCACAGCCCTTCAAAGCTCTTCAAAACTCCCCATAGCACGTCGCATGTCCCAGCTCAAGCCTATTGCCCCCCAGAGCAGTGCCAATAGTGGCGTCGAGCCCTTCAAAGATCATCGCCGCAGAAGATCGTCGAGTATCATCTCGCACGTCGAGCCCGAGTCCTTCGAGGACGAAAACGATCAACAGATGTTGCCCAATATGAACGCGTCCTGGGTCGACCAGCGTGGCGCGTGGGTCATCCACGTCGTTCTCATCGCTCTGCTGAAGCTTTTCTACAATTTGCTCCCTGGTCTCACCAACGAGTGGTCTTGGACTCTCACCAATATCACCTACGTGGTCGGCTCGTACGTCATGTTCCACCTCGTCAAGGGCACCCCGTTCGATTTCAACGGCGGCGCCTACGACAATCTCACCATGTGGGAGCAAATCAACGACGGCATGCTTTACACGCCGACCCGCAAATTCCTCATCGGCGTTCCGATCGCTTTGTTCCTGCTCAGCACCCACTACGCACACTACGACCTCCAACTCTTCGTGCTCAATTTCTGTTTCACCACTTTCGTCGCTGTCGTGCCCAAGCTCCCGCTCACGCATCGGCTCCGGATTACGATCCCGGGCATTACCAGTCCGGCTCAGATCAAATAGAACACAGCGCTAGCCGCACCACCTGTCATTGGGCTAAAAACTATCTATCCACATCCGCGACCAGCACACTCCGCATCTTCAACGGTCGCAGGATATCCACGCGGTACATACCACATATATAAAAATATTACGTGCGCGATTCCAGCGCGTGTATATCTCGCTACTTGGCGTCCGAACTCACGTCCTTGTAGACATCGAACCGCCGCTGCGTGGTCACGGGCACCGAGCGCCTCATTTTTGCAATCGACTCTGGGTCCAATTCCGCGTACACAATCTCTTCCCCTTCGCCGGCCTCTGCAATGACATTGCCTTGCGGATCCACCACTAGACTGTGACCATACGCTTGGTACCCGCCACCCGGAACCCGCGCAGGTGAGCACAGAATGGTGTAGATCTCGTTGTCCACACTGCGTGATCTCGCGAGCAAATGCCAGTGCATGGGTCCCGTGACGGTGTTGAACGCGCTGGGATAGATCATCGCAAATGCGTCGCGACGCGCGCTAATCATGGCCAATTCTGGGAAACGAATATCGTAACAAATACCGACTCCAAACGACCCAAACGACCGCGAGATCGTGGTCGAACTAGACCCGCCGCTCAACGTATCGCTTTCGCGAAACGTGATCCCGTCTGGAATGTCCACGTCGAACAAATGCATCTTACGATGCCGACCGATCAATTCGCCGGCGCTGTCGAAAATGAGACATGTGTTGAAAATGCGGTCCGTCGAAGGTTCCAGTTCCGGAATTGACCCGCCTACAAGTGTCACCTTGTGCTCCCGCGCTGCCCGGCTCAAAAACTGGAACGATTGCGAGTCAGGACCCACAACTTCAGCGTTCTTACGGAATTGATCCGTCGCATAAACGGAATTGAAACACTCTGGCAACACTACTAGTTGCGTGTCCGGTTGCTCCTTCATCGCCCTGGCGATGAAACTGCCAGCCCTGCTCAAATTGGCATTTTTGTCAGGACCTCCAGCAGCGACTTGAATCAATGCGATTTTCAACTTCTGCTTGAGAACGTTTAAGCTCATATCGAAAGTGGGGTTCGAGGAGTTTTGTAAGATGGGTTTCAAACACTCAAATGGTATTTTCAAGTCAAATCCAATCCTCACGGTTCATATTTTGTTCTGTTCGACCTGTGGGTCGTTTTCGCTTATCAAGACAAACGGGCCCAAAGCCGTTACGACCGTAGTAAGCAATTGATAGGAAAGACATTCATCAAATCACGTGACACAGGTATTTCCAAGAGTCGTTTTGCGAGTCGTTCCATGACTTGTTACCCGATTCATTCTACTACTCATTTCATGACTCACTCCACTACTCATTCCCTGACTCGATGATTGTCGCGACGCCGAAGAAGACTTACGTCCAAAACTTCCCATTGCAAAGGAAACCGCAGCTCGCATCGCAAATATCTCGACAGAGAGAAAAAATATTCACAGAAACCGCTTCTCGGGTTGCTGGGGTTCCCTCACGAAGGCTGACATTACGGTGGACAACCACTAAGTGCCGTTTTTCGCGTCTTTGTGGCACATACTCGAATGATTTACTGCATAGAAGCAGACGGTTGGTGATGCGGTCGACAATGGATGGTTTCCTCCGATGGACTGCCCACGCTTTGACTTAAATCTGACATCGAGGTCACGTGGTTCCATTGCCAAAAGAGGGTAGTCTTTTGTATGTGGGAACGAACCCGACTTATCTCAACCTACCCATTATGCTGAATATGACCTACATTCACTAAAGCTACTCCAGCTGACCAGACGCCTCCCTATTGTCACTCATAATCTTCCCTCATACAGGCCAAGAATGTCGAGGATTGTCCGAGGTAAATTTGATCATTATCTACGTCAATGCACCGGTTTCCCTGAGTTGCAATGGACTGGCCGATCTGAAACGAAGAGCTGGGCTTTATTTCAAGTCCTTTAATATTAGGCCTGGTGGCGCCCACAAGCTGTTTTTGGTGTCTGACAGCTCTCAGATTTAATTGCACATGGCGAGAACTATTACCTTTGACATACCATCGTCTTATCAACTCGTGGAACTCGTGGGCGAAGGAGCATACGGAACTGTATGCTCTGCGGTGCATAAACCATCGGGCACCAAAGTAGCGATTAAGAAAATCCAGCCATTCAGTAAGGCGATGTTCGTCACGCGAACGCTGCGGGAACTCAAGCTGCTCAAACTTTTTCACAGTCACGAAAACATTATCAGCGTTCTGGACGTCGTGAGACCACTTTCGATGTCCAAGTTTCAGGCCGTGTATCTGGTGCAGGAACTCATGGAAACGGACCTGAATAAAGTGATTAGCGGCGGTGGGGCGTCGCTCAGCGATGACCATATCCAATACTTCACGTACCAGCTTCTGCGCGCGCTCAAAGCGATCCACAGTGCCAAAGTGATCCACCGGGATTTGAAACCGTCCAATCTGCTGCTTAACTCGAACTGCGACCTTAAAGTATGCGACTTCGGACTTGCCCGCTGCCTGGCCAGTAGCTCCGACTCCCGCCAGAATCTCGTCGGTTTCATGACCGAATATGTCGCGACGCGGTGGTATCGCGCTCCGGAGATTATGCTTACTTTCCAAGAATATACCACGGCAATGGACATCTGGTCCTGCGGGTGCATTCTCGCAGAGATGATTACGGGCAGACCGCTTTTCCCCGGTAGAGACTACCATCACCAGTTGTGGCTCATCTTGGAGGCCCTGGGAACTCCTTCTTACGAAGATTTTGAAAACATCAACTCCAAGCGTGCAAAAGAATACATCGCGAATCTCCCATTGCGTCAAAAGATGCCCTGGCAAATTGTACTGCAAGCGCCCAATGTAAACCCATTAGCGGTGGATCTCCTGGACAAAATGCTTACCTTCAATCCTGACAAGAGAATTGGCGCTGCTGAAGCCCTCAAGCACCCATACTTAAAAATGTACCATGATCCAGAAGATGAGCCCGAATATCCTCCTCTGGATTTGGACGACGAATTTTGGAAGATCGATAACGATTTGAAGCGACCTGCAGACGAGGACTACGTACCGATGGACGTACTCAAGAAAATGCTGTACGAGGAAGTCGCAAGTCCGCTTGTATGACTTGTCGTGCCCACCCAGGAGAGGAAAATTCCAAGGCGTTAAAACAAGGAAAGCCGGCATAATTGATTGCGCATTTAGCTAGCAGCAGGTGTTGTCTGGCCTGCCAATCCTTGCCGACGCCGAGCCGCAAATGACGAAGCCCTGAGCAAAATGAAAAGCTCAAGCAAAACCTTCTTGCCACTGATTTCCATCGCTTGACAGTGGACATCTGTTCTCGTTCGACGGTGGTTCCGCCACAGAAAAGACAAAATTAGAGAATAAAAAACCTCTTCCTGCAAAACCGTCAACGGCTAGTGAAAGTGCTACGTTAGTTAGAGTCAACTCAGATGGCTGATTCACCAGAAGCCGAGTACAGTATAGGACTATAAGATATTGATTATAGATAATTAATGAACTAAGGAAGAGTCACGTGCATCTTTCTCATCTCAAGACATCGACCACCTTAAGGCTTAAACTGACCTGGGGTAATCCATCACATTTACCAGCTGGACAAGAAATGACAATGCTGCCACCTGAAATAATCTATCAAATCCTCTCACACCAGTTCCATGATATCATGTCCAATGATTACCCTAGCGGGCCAGAAAAGTTCTCTTCGAACATACAGATTTTCTTGCGAAGCAATTTAACCGTGAACAAAACATTTTACCACGTATGCAAAGTGCTATGTTATCGATACGTGAGCTTCACATCTGCCAGGGGATTCAACAAGCTTCTCGAAACTTTAAGACAGAACTCGAAACTTGTGCATTATGTGCAGGTCGTAGACTTTGAGGAATTGACGTCGATTGGACTCGGAAGGACAGGCGAGATGAACAAGAATATCAAAAATCTGACGAGCGACACACTTCTGGAGTTTCTACAGTTGACAGGCAAGAATCTGCGAGAATTTCTTGCCAGTGAACACATACAAGGCGATATGGATGAGCGAATAATCCGGGTTTTGCTTAGTGGGGAAAATGCTTTGAGCGTCTTCGACCTCTGCGGCTGTTCGAGACGTGATTTCAGCGAAGCTTTCCAAAATGCAGTAGATCGGCTTTATCGCAATGGCGAAATAATTGCCTATAATTACCAACTCACTTGTTTGGGATTACATGAATGTTCGGTCATTTCTTCACACACGCTAGGAAAGCTGTTAAAAGTTCTGCCAGAACTGCAAAAACTAGATCTTGGCCGTACATCGATCGACGATCATACTCTAATCAATGATTTACCTCATCTAAAGAATCTCACTCATCTCTCGCTGGCAATGTGTTCTCAACTTACCCCAAGAGGAGTGCTCGAATTTTTCAGTTACCACCCATCTGCTACAGATGAAAACAACCTGGCAACTTTCCAATGGCTCAATTTACAAGTTCATCCTCATAGTTCATCATGGACAGATACACAAACAAATTTTCTTCTTCGCAAACTCTGTCGATACGGCCACAATAAGACCCTGCAATACTTAAACATAGGCGGTATGCCATTGCACCAGTCAGATGATAGCAGTGTTGTAAAAACAAGCTACTATTGGAAGTGCCAAAGCGGTTTGGCTACGATCAAATGGAACTTCCCCAAATTAAAAGCGCTAAGCATTAGAGACAATGACATTCCCGTACCGGACCTCGTACATTTTCTGTCAGTGCCGCAGCGGATGGAGGATGACCTGGACTTCAAACCACCGCGTCTTAAATTCCTTAATGTGGCAAATAATGCTTACGTGAACCGCTGGTCTATCCAAGATCCCATACTATTGACGTGTTCGGAAACTCTGTCTTCTCTTGAACTTTCCTTCGAACCGTGGCAGCAAATCGAGGCCTCCAATTCGCGACATGAAATAGTCGGGCGTATGACAAAGCCCGGTTCTTTCATTCAAGACTTCTCTACTGCAGAAATGGTAAAATGGAGATGCTTCATCGACTCTGCATATGGTAGACGCTACTGGCTTTACAAAACCGATCCATATTTGAACCGAGAAGATCTCGACAGTTTTGCCAATATTACGCGTTATGACTCTGAAGGAAACAGGATTATAGATATTGTGAGACAGCCGGATTTCCTAAAATTCGCGCAAAACAAGATCATGTTAGGATGTGGAATAGTGAGTCAAAGTAGCATTCGGCGTAATCTCGAATACAGAGACGTCAAACCTCAAATTTCTCGGTTTTTTGATCGCGATGGGAAAATCAGCTCTGGCACACAGCCAGTAGCCATCACTGTACCTCCTATGGCTCCCGGTGGGTGGTTGATCATGGAAAATGAAGAATGGCAAGCCCCAAATTCTGCTTCTCTACTTCCTGCTTCATCTGACAACGAAGATGCCCGGAGCGAATCACCAGCTCGAGCATCAAGCAGAGGCCTCTATTGGGATCGGTCAATTCCCGACTTACCACAATATTTGACGACACATGAATCCGATGCTGATTACATGGAAATGCCCGAACTTCAACGTAGGAGATCTCAATTGTCATTACTCGGATTTCGAGCACATAAAAAGCATTCAGTTGTGTCCTCGTCCCTTTTTAACGAAAGATTTTTGAATTCCTCCTCCAATGACACTTTGATCAACAAACGAGATAATTTGTCAGAGGCTTATCGCAAGCATATCGATGTGGCTGAAGAATATGAAGTTTTTGGTTGCATTGAGAGAGGTATCTACCGATACTACAGTCTCAAGGTTTGATTTATTTGTATCAGCTAAAGTCGGCGGACTACATTAAATTTTTCTCGTCATCGCTTGAAGGTTCGGCTACTAAGGCAAATAATCCTTCTTAAACTTGGGCTTTCGCTGAATATTCTTGCAAAGACCTCTTGTTGGCAAAGAGCGACATCCTCGGGAATTTATATTTTGAGCGCGTCACAACTTTTTCAACGTTATCATCATATGAAAAACTGACATACCAGCGGTCTTATTGTTTAGATTTATACCAAAAGGGTAAAGAGATAACAAAGCATCGTGAGAGAACATACTCCGTTCAACTATCTGAGACAGACACTTCCAATAGCCTCATAATTAGGCGCTGAAACTCTACTGTTAATACCAAGTTTTGCATTACAAGTGCTCGGGTGACCTCTCAGCTCTGGAAGGGTTTTCGAAGATCTCTCATTCTACACCATTGGCAAACCCATCGGGGCAAAAGAAGCTGGGCAGCTAATCTGCACATCAATAGGTTCCAAGACGAGTTTGTTGGTTAGAAACTACTGGTGAATGTTAAACGGTAGCTCTGAGGACACCACAGAGGATTCTAATTTATCGTGCAATGGCAGTATCGATGTCGACTCTGAGCGCAACAGTCCGCGTAAAAAATGGGAGTCAATGTTTAGGGAGTCATTCGATCCATCCAGAAATCCATTCGTAAGCATAGTCAATGTCTATTTGGAAGACACTCAGCCGATTGAGGTTGGTTACGAATATGACAGAAAGCCCATACTCGAAAGATTACCAAGTGCCACAAATTCACATTTGGCGTCTTCCAAGATTGCAGAAGAACCAGCGACCCCTCCACAAACTCCAACTCTGCGTAGTTGGTCCGGTGAACTTGGGAAGCAGCCTTTAGGATCGACAGACGTATGCTCTTTCTCTACTCCACTTGTTCATGGAGGGTATCAATTCAGCGAAAATGCATCCGCAAATTTGTACCGTTTGTCTTCACAGCTGAGCGGTAGTGTTGAATCTGTGAACACAGATGTTCTTTTCAGTCGTCACTTGGCTTCCATGCTTCATTTGAGTGAGGATAATCACTCTATTACTACTGGCAGGCATAGAAAGAACCAGAAATCTGAGGTTGAGAGCATTTACGACACAACAATCCCACGAGCAGAACGTGCTACATTTTACACGATACGGAAAGAAAATCAAATTCAAGTCCCTGCTTCATTAGCTACCGCGTCGCAAGCCCACCACAAAACTGTGGTGTTTCGAGGACCTTCGGAACCGTCGTTAAAGCATGAACTAGTAGGCGATAAAGTTCTTTCGGATGCTATTAATGAGAAGCCAGACGAAACTTTTCATGCGCCTCCATCAGCACTAGAATCAGTCCCGAATGAAGAGGCTTCAAATAATTCAGCCGCTAGCAGGAAAGTGAAAGTAAACCTCCCAAAACCAAGGATTCCGTACGGTTCGTCAAGGCCGTCTTTATTGACTAACATATTGGTTCCTCCTCCCCGGATGCCGGCTAAGAAAAGGTTACGGAAAATTACCTCGATACCTGCGCTCCGAAAAGTTTCCGGTAGTTCAAGAGTTTCCTCGTCGAGTTCGAGCAGTGAAGTAGATGTAGAGCCGAAACCACCAGTAGGGGACCCAAACGTTGACGCCGCCGGGGATACTTTCAGAAAAGGCCACAAAATTCCTCCGATACCCACAAATCAACATCCGCACCGGACTTCGGCCAATAGCATGCTTCAAATATACCAATTCCGCGACGTGCGTGAAAAATACGATGTCGAAGCATGCATTCATTCTCAACATATTGACGCTGCATCTATTTCTTCTGACGCGTCGACTAAAACTGCATTATTTGAACTTTTCAGCCCTATGAAAATACTTATAACCCTATGCATATGCACAATCATACCGCCGTTGTACTTTCTGATAGGATTGGGTTCTCGTGGATTTATCAGTGACGAAAGATTGCTAAATTTTTTATTGAGAGACTATTATACTCACAATTTATTCGCCGGGTTCGCTTGGGATATCAATGTGTCCTGGTTTCGATTGATGTGTCTCATTCTGGGATCATTAGAGACATTCATTATTTTTGCATGCATAGCCGTAGGCTTTGCCGTTGGAAAAGTACGAGAGCGGTAAAGGCACTACGGCGAACTGACACTAATTCTAGTGGGCTCGGGACTATAGCTAATATAGTGATCATTACAAAAGGTATAGAGCAATGAGTACCGAAACATTTTTATTTTACGATTTTACAGAATGTCATTACCCATTTTAGCGCTCATCGGACTCAGATTCAGGTATTCTTATGGGCTCATATTCCCAGCGAAATTGATTTCACTCTGTATCAACAAGCAGATGACGTAGAAGCCATTGAATCGGGAAGATCTCACGAATCTCGGCACTTAGAGCCTTAAAGAAGTGAATGTTGTCGAGAGCGTAGATCGTGATAGCGACTTTATAAAGAGCTGTGTAGCTTGAAACTAACACTATGCGAAACCAGTCAAGAAGCGATGAGCTCCAGGAGGAGGAATCAGTATGCCTGAGGGAGCAACCGTATGGGAGTTCGAATGCCAGTATACCAATGACGTTCATAAAAAACGTAAAACTTGGCATGATGGGAAGCTAAGGTTTCATGAATCGAATAGCAGATTCCAATTGTATTCAGAACAAGATAACGTTTTACTGGGCAGTGAATTTGTAACAAATGCCAAGCAAATCGAGCATATATTAGATTTCAAGGGATTCGGTTCTGAGGAGCATAAGATTGCTGGGCGTTTTTTGGTTATTATACAAGAATTCTACGGCAAATGTACAATTGGGAAAGATGGACAACGACAGAATGGGTCTGTTCCAAACTTGCAAGCTGTCACTCGGAAGGAGCCACTCGTTAGAAATTCTCGGAAATTGGACACCAAGTATCAGGTGAAATCTGAATCAAAGTCCACATATCCAACAGTCGCCAACGACACTTCTACAGTTTCTTTAGCTCTCGATATGAGAAACATTTCACGGGCCAAAGTTGTGTCCCAGCAGAGGCGATTGAGCTCTAAAAAAGTCTCTGACCCCCAGGCTCCTTCGCAACGGAAACCTAAAGCTAATGTTACAGAACCTCCCAACCTTAACACAAGACATGCCTCTCGAACTGCTGGCACAAACCTTTTGTGTGAGACGGTGATAACGAACATGCCACAAGGCCAGTTGCAACGACGAATATCCCAAAGGAGCCATAGGATCAATCACGAACCTATTGTTTTGACCAACATAGGATTCAAATAGGTCCGAAAGTGCGCTAATTTAACTACTTAAACCACGAATATCAAATCTATGAATGCAGTGATGTGAAAAAGACAGTCCATGTTTCTGAACAGCATGTAAAGGGTGTTTCTCCAGCGGTCTACACTGGTGATTTATTGATTGGTTTTATACCAATGTGAACGTTTTCCAAAGAATCTTGTTGGTAGTGTGCCATGTTTTCTTCATTCGAAGCATTCATTTCCGGTGTAGTGGAATGGAAATCTCGATAAAATGCAGTGACAGTTGCCGCTTGCGCTTGATCAGGATGTGGCATCGATTGGGGATCATCTTGGAAGTTATCATACCAATTTGTTTCTGATGAAAGCTTATTGAGACTTAAATTCGATTGAGGTGGATTTGAAGCTGGCTTCTGAAACACCAGCTCTGAATTGCCATTTTCGGGTCCAAATGATTTGCGTCGTTTTCTCAACATAGATGGCTGAGATGTGACATTAAGAGGAATCCCATCTTGGGAACAGTCTAATGTGAAAAGATTGTCCTTAGTAACATAACCATGGCCGAGGTACCGGTCAGCGACTTCTGGAGAAATATCATCGGGTCCCATTTTGGATTTTCCTACAATTGTTCGTAAATCTTGCATTTCTGCTTCAGAGCAGGCCGTAAAATTGACAGATTTCGTCGCCATGTCCACGTTGGTGGGTATAATCGAATAAACGACTTGGTTAATATTCAATTTTCGAGTTGTTGGATTTATGAACATCCTTCGGTTTCTATAAAGCCGAGCCCAAACTTCGGCTGCGTCACTTGTGCTTTCTGAAATCCCACCCGAAACCGTAGAACCATCTACATTCGCAGGTGTCGGCACTATACCTTGACGTAACATCAGAGCGTCGTACTGCATTTGCCGATATTTTTCAATGCGCGACGCATCAATTGTCACTACACCGGAGTCCAGACATCGATCAAATTCCAAGAACAGCAGTCCGAGCGATTTGGTTAAAAGGGAAACTCGAGTTTCCAAAAGATCCACATATTCTTGATTGTAAAGTCGCTTCAATTTACCCTCCGAATACCCAATTGACCAGTCTGAATAGGTACAAATCTTATTTTCCGACAAACATCGTTGGCACGGCCGTTCTCCGTCGCATTTGGTCTTGGATTTACGGCAAGTGTCACAGGCTTTCGATACGCGTTTCTTAAGCGCCATACAATTGGATCTATCTAACCAATTTCCAAATTCCCACAAGCGCCAGATCCGCTTTTTATCTTCTGCCTTTATAACGGCTGCAGTTGAGAGATTTTAATGTCGCGGCAAAAAGCTCGGACTTTGGATCAAACAATGAAATTTACCTGCGCGGGTCTCCCTGTCTGATTTCTTGCCTGTTCCTTCACTTGCGGCTGCTGATGGTCGCAATTGGTCGAATCACGAACAGTATTCTACAAATGGTCTAAGCTGTTCTAGTACAATCTAGAATGTTATCAAGGTAAATCAAGAAGCGACTAGTAAATGACATAATCGTAAAAGCTAATTAGCTTGGTTTAAGTAGTCTACGTTCACTCGAAACGGTGGCTTTGTTAGCCTGAAGTGGAGTGTCTAGCTCATTTAACATCGATTTCTTGGCATTTCAGTTCTCCATATTTTCACGACTTTAAGTTTTGATTGTCGACTTAACCGGATTAATTTATTACGTTGAGCATGAAAATAACGCATTCGGTGAGAAAACAGACCGTTCGGCAGAAGTTCCAGAAGGAACACCAGTAGGAAATGCGAGATTTGGAAGAAGCAAAGGCAATTGAGTCGTTATATTTGAGAGGAACACAATAATTATTATTATATATCTACCACGCAGTGTGCGCAGCTCGCGCGGTCCACGCAGTAGGCTGACGTCTTGATTTTGTCTTATTTGTTTGATTGTTTCCAAGACCCTAAACCATAGGAGGAGTCTCGTTTATAGTAGGATTCATAACAGCGTAACGTAGCTCGCGGAGAGTAGTCGGATGGAGAATGGTTCCTGAATTCATAGTAGAAAAGAAAGTGCAAGGCTTAAGCTTGGATTTTCTTTTCAATCAAATCGAACAAAGTGACAATGTCGGCAGAGAACTTTCTGATACCATCCGCTAGCTTGTCAGTGGCCATGGCGTCTTCGTTCAAGGCGAATCTGAAAGCTGGCTCGTCAGAGATGTAAGACACCTTTTCTTCACCTTCAGCCTTGGCCGCTTCAGCGTCCAGAACTTTTGGAACCTTGTCCTGAGAGTTGTAAAGCTCCTCCAGTAGTTTTGGAGAAATGGTCAAGAAGTCGCAACCGGCCAAAGCTTGAATTTCGCCAACGTTTCTGAATGATGCACCCATGACAATGGTGTTGTAACCGTGTTTCTTGTAGTAGTTAAAGATCTTTCTGACGGAAATGACACCAGGGTCAGTCTCCGCCGTGTACTCCTTCTTCTCGTTGGCCTTGTACCAGTCCAGGATTCTACCGACGAAAGGCGAAATCAAAGTGACCTTGGCCTCCGCGGCAGCAACGGCTTGGGCGAACGAGAACAACAACGTCAAGTTCACGTGGATGCCATGCTTCTCCTCTAGCTCCTTGGCCGCTTGGATACCTTCCCAAGTAGAGGCGATCTTGATCAACACTCTTTCCTTGGAAATACCACTGTCTTCGTACAACTTGATGATGTGTAAGGCCTTTTCGATCGTGGCATCCTTGTCAAAAGACAACCTGGCGTCGACCTCAGTAGACACTCTTCCTGGAACGATCTTCAGAATTTCCTTCCCGAACTCAACTAAAAGCGCGTCAACGGCCTGCTCGGTTTTTTCTTCCACGCTCTTACCGTGCTTCTTACCGTACTGGATGGCAGAGTCTATCAACTTTGCGTAGTTCTCCTTCTTGGCAGCGGCCAAGATCAAAGATGGGTTCGTCGTGGCATCTTGTGGTGTGTATCTGGCAATAGATTCAAAGTCACCAGTGTCAGACACAACAACGGTACCGGATGCCTTCAACTGCTCCAAAGAGTTACTGGTCTTTTGCTTCTTGTCAACGTGAGACATTTTTTTGTGACTATAGGAATGTTTAGATGCTTATTAACAATTGAGAAGATAACACTAATCAATTGCAGCTAATTCAAATGCTGAAAAGTGGTGGATCAAAGTTCTGCTGAACTAGAATTAGGGCCCGCACCTTTATATACCCTAATGGAATAGGAGCAGCAATAAAAGAAAGGCACCACATAGACCTGCTCGACCCTCACACCCACTCTACATCACTAAAAACGTGTGACGTGAGTGATCAACAGCTTTCGGCAAAAAAAAAATAGCAAACGGAAAAAAGCAATAACATTTTTCTATCGCTTTCTAGAAAAAAATGATTTTTCATTATGTAATCGATAAGACTTCACGTGCTCTTTGTGGTCAGGTGACTTGTCGTACGAAAAGACGCTGGCAAACGTCACAGGAATGGTGATCAGTTAGACGGTAAACTGGTGGATAGTTGGCGAAGAAAGGGAAGGGTCGGTGAACGTTCATAATACCGTGTGTGTTTTGTCTTGTTTTCTATTTGCTTGTGATCATTGCCGCTGGTGGTGCCGCAGTGGCACATATTTGTAGATCGCGTTCATTACTCATTAGATATTCATTATGTCATACAAGACCAGCGTGCTCAAAGAAGACCTCTCTGAAATCAGAGTCCGGGCACGGCGGGGGATCCCAGAACGAGTCAATTTGCGAAGCACGCGCGGTTTCTGCCATTTCTGCTATAGCCTTTGTCATAGTATCGATACGAGCTTCGTATTCCTGGACTTGCTTACGTAAATTGGCATTCTGTCGATCGCTAATTAGGCGCGCAACAACGCCATCAACGTGGTGGACGAAAAACCAGTTTTGAAAGACCTTCTGATTTCTATCTTCCACGTCCAAAATGGTCTCTTCCGTCAGGGTGTCGCCCTCCAGGGAAGAATCGGAGTCCTGTTCGCCTTGCGTCAGCTCCTCTAGCGCCAACCCAGCCAAGTCGCGCAGACGACTGACGCGTACTCCAAATTCAGCATCGGTCAGGCTTGTATCCAGCATTTCCTCTGCCACTGCATTCACGCTTTCGATTTTGGAAACTATGGGCACATCGTTCTTACTCAGCGACATCGTGCCGTCTTGGCTGAATATCGTTCTTATTGTAGCAGCCTTGGCCAGCGCCTCAGGAGATTCCAAAACCGTTTTCAATATTCTTTCTTTGAGCTCCTCAGGCTGCATCGAAAGCACGGATTGCTCGTTTTTCAGCATACCTTGCAAAAAACTCCAGACTGTAGTTCCCAAGTGGTCTATTAACGTTTGACTCATGGACGCTGAATTGGTCGTTTCATTTTGAACAAGAGCTATCTTACGCACAAGATCCCTATCACTAGCGCTGGTTATTTTAGGGAAAAGCTTGAAGAAATTCTTCTTTGAAAGATCTTTCAAAATGCCTGTCGTAGTTCTGGAAGTCTCCTTCGAAGGTTTGGTAGAAGATGTGTTTTGTCCTTCAATCTCGCCTATCATGTCTTCAATTTTAGTTTGCTCCTTAACGCCCAAAAAACATGCACCAAAGTATACCAGGTACATAACTATGCCCACGACGTTAGTTTGTTGCTCAAGGAATAGCTCTCTGGTGATAGTAAAATTTGAACCGCCGTTGAACGCAAGAGACGAACATTTGTCAAGTCGATTCATGAGTTTGGGAATGATTGACAGGTTTTCTTGCGAGTTGTGAGCTTTCATGAGGTCGGTGATCATCTTCAAAACATCTTCGAACGTAAAATTCGAGACAAACTCATTATCTAAGCGTGAGTTTATCGAATCGTTCCGGGGAGTAGTCCTGTTTTCTTCAGTCTCACTTGAGTCAGTCTGCTGAACAGTTGCCTCTTCTACCTGTGCGTTGGATACAGACTCGGGGTCGACTCTTAGGAAATCCAAGCTTTCGATTCCTTCTTCGCCTATGACAAATCCACTCTCGTTTACGAGAGGAACAATGGGACTAGCAGGGATAGTTTCGTCGAGCCCTGGGGCTAGATTTCTCCTCTCGCTTGATCGAGTGCACTCGACAAGTGGCAAGATGTTATGCAGGAAAATGGTTTTAAGTCTAGCATGCGAGTCGAAGTGTTTCACCACATTTCTTATGGCGGGGTTGAATAAAGCTTCGGTAGGCGGACAAATTCCAGAATTTTTGAACGCTAAGCATATTTCATTGCCGCTCAAACCATTTTTTAAAACGTGATATAATGCATTAATGAAATTGCATAATATATCAAAGTGGCCATAGCGCAATTTACCGTCTTCGGTTGTTTCTGGTGAAGGACACCATTCGGTTGCCAGATTCCGTACCCTCTTTTTCAAGACACTGAATACTCCGACGTCGAGCGGCTGTAGTAAATGGGTTGTGTTTGGTGGGAGCAGAAGTAAAACAATGTTTTTGCTGGCGACAAAGTCCAATACCGGTTTACAATAATGGGAGTAGTGATTGTCTATAATGAGAACTCTTTTCTGATGGCGAAGCCCGTTCGACGACTGCACTAGGTGCTGCGTATTTTGGTCAAACCATTTGACGTATTCAATGAACGCGCTAGAGTTATTGTACCCGTTTTTCGTGAACACGACATGGACATTCTTGTGCGCGTCTTGGTGTAATTTCGGTTTGGCAAGGTTTTCGAATCTCATGTTGAAGTGACTGCAAGCGAGCCGGTCTTTGATGGTTGACGTCGCGACGGTAACCATGGGTGCGATAACGACGCCAGCCGCCGAGACACAAGCGGTAACGGTTGTGAGTGCCTTGGTGTCGTCCTCGGTCTCTTTCACCTTATAGACCACATTTCTGCGCGTACCTTGGGGCACGCCCACCGATACGAAGCGCGAATGCTTCTGAGAATTGTCAATGGTGTGCGAGAAGCCGATCTCGTCAGCATTGAAAATAAGTTCCGGTGGGGTCGAGCTCAGGATCGAGTAGGCATCGTCGCTGAGCCACATCGCGATGTTGTCGACGTTGGATGCCTTCAGTCTTCTGGCGTCCATCTTCTTGGCCTTCGTGGATGCGAACCCATTTCTGTACCGGAACCGCCAACCGAAATTCTTGCCGAGCTTGAGCTCCTGCTCCTTGAGCAGATTGGAGAGGTTGACGTGGCCGCTGGCGTCGGGCGTAAAGTCGAAAATATCCGATTCCTGGTAGTCCGTAGTGGTGGCCAGAAGCTCGCAAATGGCGTCTGCCTGTTTGACGCTAATGTGCGTGTTTTGCGCGCCACACATCGCGTAGAAAGTCGTGAGGAATTGTTCCGCGGAGGGACTGAGTTTCCGTCGCCGAATGCCCTCTGCAGCCTTGGATATCGCTGGGTTCACGGCCCGGAGACGGTCCCGTAGGGTCCGCTCTGGGATGTTGTACTTGAAGCACACTTCGGGGATCAAGCGGCACCGCTTGGATGGCGACACAGACGAATTCAGCACATTTAGTAGCGCTACACTTGCGACTCGCTTGCGGGACTCCGAGTCCGACGTCGTCCTGTAATTCATCAAGAGCCCGCTCTGGCCCTCGCTGGTCTCGTGATCGCGCTGTAGCCGTCTGACCGCGTCCGTCAGCGTCGAGAGGGACACGCCGTACCGGCTGGCGATGATGGACTTGGACGTGCGAGATGAGTTGTTGAGATAGTCCTTGGCGGCTATCCGTGCCTTTTCGCCGTTGAATTTTTTCTGCCGCTGAGAGTCCGTGAGATGCGAGTAGTCGCCGAGCGGGCGATTCAAAGCGCTAAGGTAGTCAAACACAGACACGGTAAGATCCCAGAAATACACAGTACCCACACGCATTTGGCTTGACACGCTCGAATTGGACAGCAGAACCGGAAATTCTTCGTGGTGCTTGAAGTGGTACGCTGCGCGGTACGCTGTGCGGTACGCGGTTAGAAGCCGCGGTTCTTGTTCTTCAGTAGTTTCTTCCGTAACCACGACCTCGGTCTTCTCCGCGACCATCAGCGGCAAAAAAAGGTTCACGCCGTTGGAATGCCGGTTCTGACACAAAAGCAATACCCACGCGTCGTTTTGTACGTTGACGATCCCGCGTTCTGCCAAGAACCGCAGCAGCTCTTTCCTAACGGTTTTGTATTTTCTGAAGTCCTGCTGGTGCAAGACCCGGGTGATTTCTGACATGGTGCTTGCGTTGGTGTGAATGACCGTGGGGCCGATTGCGGCAGCAATCGGCCTATCTCTTCTTATACAGACCGTTAGTAGTTCTTTGAACGCGCTTGCCGTGGGCGGCAGCGGGCGCCAGGGGCGCGCGCCCAGCCCACTTTACGCGTCGCGTTTGGACGCGCTTGCGCTAAGCTGACGCGACTCGACCGTTTTTCGCTCCAGAGGCTCGAAAACGCTGCTCCTTTTCGTAGCTGTGCGAGCCCCAGGCGCCAAAAACCGGGGCCCGCACGGGGGCCATCCATTGCCCCCTGTCTTCCCCCCTGTCTTCCCTTCCTGCCTCCCCCAACTCCGTGTCAGCACCCGCGGCGGGGTTCGCGGCTGTGCCGCAAAACCCGAGCGGAGCGTTGCGCGATGCGCCCGAAGTGAGGCTCCTCGGCGCTTGTGCCTCATCGCACGTTTGGAGAGACAAAAGAAACGCGGAGGGCTTGATCTGATTTTAGGGGCGCTGGCTCCGGCTCCGGCTCCGGCTCCGGCTCCGGCTGCGGCGGGGCCGCGGACGGCTTCTCGGAATAGAATATCTAATAACTGTTATTTCATACGTAAGATAACGGCGCGGCGACCGCAGCGCCACAAGCGCTACTTGCTCTTCTTACTGGTGCGGCTCATCTCCGCGAGCACGTGCTCGCGGTGCTCCTGCATGTGCTGTGGGAAGGGACAAGTGACGAGCGCGCGCGCGAGTCGCTTGTTGAAGCGCGAGTCGAGCTTGTCGTGGACCATGGTCACGTGCCGCGCAAACGAGTCCCGTCGGTAGAATTTCTTGCCGCAGTAGGGCGAGGGGCACTGCATCACGGGGAAATCCGTGTCGCCGAGTTTCAGCATGGACTTGAGTTCCTGCGGGATCTCGTGTTTATGCTGGATCGCGCAGTGACGCCGCAGCTCGGGCCGTCTAGGCAGCCCGAGGATCTTCCAGGGGCACAGCGGGAAGGGGCACTTGTATTGGCGCGTAATCTTGTACTCGTCGATGTGGCGCGCGTATTCCAGAACGTTCGAGAACATGCGTGGACAATGCGCGCACCGGTAATAACCGCGTTTGACGCGCTTGCTCAGCGCCCGCATGAGCGGGCCGTCGGCGAGCAGCTGCTCGTACACAGACATCCGCGCAGCGCCGGCCGCCGGCGGCTCGGGCTGATCGAATGCACGGTAGAAATGCGCCAGGAACGCGGGGGACTCGGTGTCGACAACGGGTTCGGCACACAGATCTGCGTCGATTTCTTGGTCGTCCTCGTTGTCCTTGGAAACAGCGGCGTCTTCGAACGTCTGGCTGCAGCCGGAGCTGCAGCCCGACAGACAGCCGTGCCGATGCGCGCAAAAAGCCGAGGCACGCGCAGCCTCGGTCAAAAGGGGTACGCTGTTAGAGCGCGGAGCGTGTGGCGGCCTGCGCCACTCAGAAAGTCCGGCGGTCGGCGGCGACGCCGCCGTGTGCGGCGCCTTGATCTCGAAGTAGGAATGCGCCGGCTCGTCGCAGACGCTGCTTTCCGGTGTCAGCTGCCACGACAGACTGGTCGGAGACGACCAGGCGTCGTGACCCGGGTAAGCGGCGGGCGCTGTGGCGGGCAGATGCGCGGGCAGCTGCGCGGGCAGCTGCGCCAGCGCGTCCCACGACGACGCGAAAAACAGCATCTCGTCGTTACCCGCCGTATGGGGGTGCGGGTGGTGGTGGTAGTTGGGGTACGCGTGCGGTTCACAAGGCTCGTGCGTAGCGCGCACGTGCATGGCGTTCAAGTTGGAGTTCCACATACTTTCCCCGCGAGCAAACTGACCTTGTTGCTAGCGGAAGAGGCCACCTGCCCAAGGGTCAACTTTTACTTGGCTTTTATATAGGCCGGCGCGCGACGCCGCACTGCTGCAACGCCCATACGTTTTCTGATGCAAGATCTGATGATAAAGTTTAACCTTGATCTCGATGTTGCATTGATCTGAAACGGTCTCCCGTAAACGAGCCTGCAACGGCTGAAGCTTCCCCCGCATCGGAGGGCACGTGCCTTCGCGCGTCAGTTGGAGAACGGCTTTGGATAACCTTATCTCAGCGGTGCGGGGCGAACTGTGGCGGACTGCGGCGTTGCATGGATGCGCAACCACGGCTTTTTCTGTGGACGCGCGTCCTTGCAGCTTTTAGGGGCCAGCATGCCTGCATGGCTTCTTCCTCGGCTGCCATAACCCCGGTGCAGAGATCGGTCGATATCGGCCTGCACCAGGGGTAACCACGGCGGGCGCACCGCTTCTTTCTGGCGCAGAAGTGGTCTTGCCGGATTTACCCGGGAGGCACTCAGACCCTGTGGAGTCTCTCGCCCGAGTTATTATCAGGCCTGGTTCGGAATTTTGTAGAAAAAGAAACGGCTTGCATTGGCCTAAGGTTGCTATTGCCGCTTCTTCAGTGCCGCTTTCGTTTTCGGGTTATGTCTCACCCGATAGCTGCGGACGCGGCCCGCGTCCGCAAGGTCAAAGACCTCGGCGACTTGCCCCCACGGCCTACTCGGCTTCTACCACTGCTAAGGCGGCCTCGAAACATGCACGCTTCGAGGACTTGCATTCGGACACAATCAGGAATGCTCGTCGGCGTCGGTAGCGTGACAAGGTTGGGACCATCAAGGTTAAACGGGAGAATGGGCCAGACCGGCTGCGTGAGAAAGGGAGGAGAGATCGGCGGCGCGCGGTAGCAGCGCGCGGTAGCCTGCAGAAGTACGAGAATGGTCTTTTGTTTCTTTTGCCGCCGACAGAGGGAAAGAGGGATGCATCTCGTACGTAGTGCGCGTCAGCGTTCGGCGTTTAGAGACTCCTGCCAAGAGAAAAAGGGTCCCGTCTTTACAACTTACAGGCTTTCGTTTCTTCATTAAACACAAGGGCCGCTAAATAACTGACTAAAATTAAAAGTATGGTTGCTGGAGTGGAACAAAAATAGGAAAAAAAAATAGGGAATAATAATGCATGCCGGCGATGCGCCGCGTATTATACAGTGTCCGTCAATTCATTTGACTTCGAGCGCCCGCACTGTCCGCACTGCGCGGTCAAATTTACTGGTTCTCAGGTCTCAACTTTCTGACCTCCTTGCCCACTTTCCAGATCTCCATGTTTCTGATGGTATCCAATTCCTCTTCCAACTTGGCTCTGTAGTCAGGGTGTGAGTTGAATTCCAAAGATCTCTTGGTCTCGGAACCGTTTCTGACGGACTCGTACAAGTCCTGGAAAACAGGCTTCAAGGCGTCCTTGAAGATTGGGTACCAGTCCAAAGCACCACGTCTGGCGGTGGTGGAGCAGGCGTCGTACATGTAGTCCATACCGTACTTACCGATCAATGGGTACAGGGACTGAGTGGCCTCCTCGACGGTTTCGTTGAAAGCTTCCGATGGGGAGTGACCGTTCTCTCTCAAGACCTCGTATTGGGCCAAGAACATACCGTGGATACCACCCATCAAACAGCCTCTCTCACCGTACAGGTCGGAGTTGACCTCCTTCTCGAAAGTGGTTTGGTAAACGTAACCAGAGCCGACGGCGACGGCCAAGGCTTGCGCCTTTTCGTCGGCCTTGCCGGAGACGTCGTTCCAGACGGCGTAGGAAGAGTTGATACCACGGCCTTCCTTGAACAAAGATCTCACGGTTCTACCGGAACCCTTTGGTGCAACCAAGATGACGTCGATGTCCTTTGGAGTCTCGACGTGGGTTAGGTCCTTGAAGACTGGAGAGAAACCGTGCGAGAAGTACAGGGTCTTGTCCTTGGTCAAAAGGGGCTTCAAAGAGTTCCAGGTCTCGGATTGAGCAGCGTCGGAAAGCAAGTTCATGACGTAGGTACCCTTTTGGACGGCCTCGTTGACGTCGAACAAGTTTTCACCTGGGACCCAGCCGTCCTCAATGGCAGCCTTCCAGGAGGCACCGTTCTTACGGACACCGACAATGACGTTCAAACCGTTGTCTCTCAAGTTCAACCCTTGGCCGTAACCTTGAGAACCGTAACCGATCAAAGCCAAAGTGTCGTTCTTGAAGTAGTCTAGCAACTTCTCACGTGGCCAGTCGGCTCTCTCGTAAACGGTCTCGGTGGTACCACCGAAGTTGATTTGCTTCAAACCACGGGTAGCAACCAAAGGCTTGACGAATTGTCTGGAAGCAGCTGGTCTCAACGTGGCACGAGATGCCACGGAAAGGGCCCTCTTAGCAGTGATCACACGCGAGTTGGCGATCAATCTGGAAGCTTGAACTCTCAAAGACATTGTGATTATAGTTGGTAGATCAAATCAAAGATTCTTAACCTATAGTTCGATTGGTGATAAAGTGCAGAAAGCGACCCAATGGTGTCCATTTATCTCGCTTTCTTTATATAGTTGAAAAATTTTTCAGTTTCCTCTGCGTCCTTCATGACAATCGAATAAACAATTTTCGTTCAAACTGCGCGATGAGCAGGAAATTGGCAAACGTGACGAACTAAGAGCGCGCTAACAAGATGACAACAAGACGTTGACCCTTTCTTCTCAATTGTTTTTCTCTTCATCGCTCACTCTATTGGTTAAGGTACCTCTATATGACTGGTTTTTACGAATGTTTTTGCCAACTCTTTCAGAGACGTTTTCATAGATATTAATTCTTATCTTAATTCCTAATGAGTCATAGAGAGTGAAAAAGTGTGTGTTATGTGTAGAAAGCTGGCTTTAATCTCTTTGAGTTCCAGCAAATCGTGTCGAATAGTGTCAATTGACATTTGTAAAGTGGGTAGCTTTAGTTAACCTTGCAGTGATATCGGTGCAATTCTTGATCTCAATCGACGCTTTTCTGTAGACAATCTCAATCTCAAACGTTCATCATTTGAAAAATACAATGGCTAAGTCTCGGTTTGAGTACGTGAGACAGTTCGAGACCAATATCAGACTACTCCCCGAGACATATATCGTGGTGAGGATCGATGGTAAAAAGTTCCACGAATTTTCGAAATACTATGAGTTTGATAAGCCTAACGATGAGCGGGCTCTGAGGCTGATGAATGCTTGTGCGAAAAACGTGGTGTTGCAATACAAACAAGACGTGATACTAGCTTATGGTGAAAGCGACGAGTATTCTTTCATCTTCAAAAAAGACGCTTCGCTATTTAATAGACGCGGTGACAAGTTGAGCTCGTTGATTGTGTCTCAATTCAGTTCCAATTACGCTTTTCTCTGGCCAAACTTCTTTCCCGATCGTGCTTTGCATGTTCGGCATCTACCTTACTTTGACTCGCGATGCGTGTGCTATCCAAATCTGCAGGCCATAAAGGACTATCTTTGCTGGAGATTTGTCGATACGCATATCAATAACCTGTACAACACGGTTTTCTGGCAATTGGTGATCAAAAGACAAATGACGCCACGAGAAGCCGAGCAAAGGTTGTGTGGGACGGTTAGCAGCGAAAAACAAGAGATTTTGTTCACGGAGTGTGGCATAAACTACAATGCTGAGCCTGAAATGTTCAAGAAGGGATCTCTTGTTACTCGAAAGGGCGAGATTTTGCATATTGACGTTGTGAAACAGATTGATGAACTGTTCGAAGGTTTCTAATGAAGGAAAACCTTACCGATGCATTCTTGGTTAATTAAAAAGTATATGTGATCGTTCAGCACTTTCAGATCATGAATGTAATCATTTGAAGACGCAACTTTCAAGGTTTCACTGTCCGTGATCATTTCCCTTTTAGTGTCGTACTTCCAGATGTAGATCTTACCGTTTTCGCTCCCAGATATTATTCGCAATTGAGAGATTCCATTCCACACCAGTTGGCAATCGATCACAGAGCATTTTTCAGTTTGCTTGAAATCTCTTTCGAATATGTGTACAAGATCCCAATCACTGCCTGTCCTCCTTCTGAAAAGGTGACAGCCAGAATTGGTGACGTTGGCTACGTAGAAACGCAGTGAACGTGTCGAATACCGCTTGGCTATCGCACCTTGGGCGGAAATCAACGTTTTCTCGTCGTCTAGCAGATCAGTAATGGTGAACTTTTCCAGCTTATTGCCCTCTAGGATATACACCTTATTGTCAAAGCATGAAAAGACCAATTCCGGTACTTCAATTATTTCTGTTTCTCGAGCTGTCGGTAGACACGGTGTGCATGTGTTCAAGGAGTCGCCCACTTGGTTCCTTATCTCAGAAATCTTTGTAAACGTACAAGTATCAACATTTAAGCTCAGCTTCACTATACTGCCGAGTCGAGTGCAATAAACAATATGCAGATAAGAGCCTGGTACATTAAAAGCCCAGAAAGAATTTATTCTGTCATGTAAGCCTAAATGGCGCCACTTGACTGGTTTCAGTATCTCACCGAAATCTGCCAAAGTGAACAGGCCAGTGCATGGAACTGCATGTATGCCATCGTGGGTACTCAAAACGATAAAATGTTCATGCTCAATCTTACCTTTAACTGGCCTTGTAACAGCAACAAATTGTATACAGGATTTGGCCTCATCAAAATTGCAGAGAGATGATATATCGACGGCAATAGGTACTTCGAATACTTCCTCATGTAATCCAGTTTTTGTCAACTTCAAATCGCATCGGCCACTCCCATCTTTAGCGTATTCCACGGTTATAAAGAAGTGGCCAGTGGGAGAAGCAGCGAAATCAGAGATTGAAACAGAACTTGCGTCGACCTCGTGTATTCTCTCCAGCATCGACTCAACGATATGCATCAAAAATACATCTTTCGAGTCTGGTTTAAGCTTAAACTTAGTTCGTCGATGGACTGGCTGCCCTTAAATTTCTTTCCCTGTATATTTAAAAAATACTCCGCGACGGGGAATTGAACCCCGGTCCCGAGCGCGACAAGCTCGAATTCTAGCCACTAAACTATCGCGGATGAGCTATAATCTTGATGGGAATCAAGGTTCATATACCTTTTACTTAACACGAGAAGCTGATCAACCACTCATGTTCACCTTTCATCTCTGGCTTATGTAGAGAAAGATCGCCTTCGGCCCAACTGATGTAACGCGATCGATTGTTTTGGAGCGTTATTAGAATATTCCAAATTTTCCAGTTGTTTGGGCTTTTCAGCGGACCTTATTGGTTTATTTTATATCAACTTGCAGCGCCACAGGAATCTTGAGTATGTATATTAGACCCTATGATCGACACCTCTGTAAGGCAAAGTTAGACAACCTTTGTATTAATTTTAAATAAACTTCCTATAAGATTAAGCCTGTAAAAGGCCTTTATTTTATGCAATTTTGAGTAACCTTGTTCACCTGAGCACCCTCTATGAAGCAGCAAAATGCTCATATGCTGAAAACGCTAGTAATTTCTAACGTTTAGCTCGTTTCCGTCTTCATCGAAATACTTATCTTCGTCGAGCATCAAGTCATTGGAATGGGATCCTCTCCCATCCGTTGGACGCCGACCGATGCTCCTCGAATGATCCATTGACCCGTCAGGATCCATGTCTGAACCACCAATAGGCGTGTCTGAGTCGAACTTGTTGCCAGTGTCCTTCCCCATCAAGGAGGTCCACCATGTCGTCAATCTGTTGCGGCTGTAAGCGGAAACAACCTGGCCGTCTGAATTAATAAAATCAGTTTTCTTCGTTCTAATGCAGAAAAAGTACAGTACGGCCACGAATCCAATCAGAAGAGGTACGCCAATGCCTACAACGCAGCCGATGACAATATTCCGATTCTTCTTCGAAAGACCGCCTTTGTCACCAGACTTACCTGCATCGGCGCCCGCTGTGGGTGAATAAGTGATAGTTGTGTAATGGTTTGAGAGCACTGTTTTACCATTGATGATGCTGGTCATAGTCGGGTCAGATGAAGATGATGGGCCCGAGGTAATGGTTGCGGAATCAGATGACGAAGTAGATGAAGACGGCGTTGATGAAGTTCTCGTGGGCCCTGAAGAGGAGCTAGACGACGACGAAGACGTTGTGCTGGTAGAACTGGTGGTTGGCGACGTGGAACGTGATGTTGACGAGGACATTTCTGATGAAAGACTGGACGAAGAGGACATACTAGCGCTTGCGGAGCTTGTTGAAAACGCGGATGTGGATGTCGATGAAGCGGAGCTTGAATCTGAAGAGGAGGCAGCAGAGGAGAAACTAGAAAAAGTCGACGACGAGCTCAAGCTCGTCGAGCTTGAGCTCGATGAAAATGATGATGGCGGAGACGAGGACGACGACACCGAAAATAATGAAGACGAGCTGGGCGTGCTCACGGTACTCAAACTGGAGGACGAAAGCGAATCGCTTGAGGAAGTGGACGAGACACTTGAGAATTCCGTAGAAGATGACATACCGGAAGAGCCCTGATTTGAAACCGAATCGGTAGACGAAGGGGGAACGGAGGACAAGCTCTGGGAGCTCAGATCGGTGGATCCGGTCTGCGGAACAGCACTAGTGCTATTAGTGTTGCCCGCGGCCCCCACCTCTTGTTGTGTCGACAGTGAACTAGCACATGCTATTAATAGCAGGAAGTAAATTTTAACAGAAAGCACACCAAGCATCTGTCGAAGAAGCAGCTGAATTGCCAGGGTACCGTGACAAGTTCTTTTTCGCCTCAAACAACTCGACCTTTCCAAGGTTATAAAAGTAGGTTTGAGTCGAGATGTTGGTTTTTATCCTCAGTTACTTTAATATTTAACTTAAGGCACCAGTTTTTTCAGAATTCTTTACTAACAGATTTTTTTCACCGTGCGATCTCGCCGGAACTGGATCTCAGATCTAAGAGATCTCTAGAACAGTCGCGTGGGCCACGTGAGACTGCCTGAGGGAAAAAATAGACTAAAAGCCTCGAACACCCGTTTATGCCGTTTCTCGAAAAGGTCCGTGCCGTAGGCAAAGGGCCATCTTTCAAGCGATCGAGTCGCCGAGCCGGGTTTCTACTCAATGTCTGGCTAACTTCTCGCCTAGTTTTAGGTATTTTGACATTTCAGAAGAATCGATTAGGAGGGTGCCTTGCAAAGTTGTGAAGACCTACATACTATATACGCCGCTAGGTACGCGGGCTTGAGTTTGTCAAGAAACGGTTTATTTGAGGTTTTTGATTCCGCTTGTCTTCGTATCTTTCAAGCGCTTTTACTGCTGAGCAGCGATCAAGAAAATCATCAAGAAACCCAGTGGACGAGGCCAAGCGTCAAGAGTACTAGGGAACTTCAAATGATTTTCGCAAGGAGCGAGTTGAGTTATAGCGATTCTGCAAGAGAAATGGGACGTAAATGTGGCCAGCCCTCTAACCTGAAATAGACAATGTTTCACTAAAAAATCAAACTTAACTAATGCAGTCATACTCGCAGAAAGAGACTGGATCAATCAAATCAGAACGGTAAAGCCGGTCAGAGACTATATTTGCGAACAACCTCATTTGCCTTCCGCTCAGTGCCAGGAACATTAAGAACGACTAAGGCGTGATTCAAACTTACTGCCCTCAGCTACTGTAGCTTGTGCATATGTAGACTTAATAAGTTTCTTGTACGCAGCTGACAAACGTAAAACAAGCTACTCGAGAGCTTGCACATGCAACAATGAAACCCACTGGGGTTCCACTAGGGCTAGAATTTTGAAATTGGTTCATAGCGTCTCTCGTTCTCTTGAATGGGGCTTAGTGCATAGAACCGTACAGCGCACCTGACACGTCTGACCGGAGTAGCGTCCAAAAAAACGAGGTTGTTGCGTAAACGTTTCAGCCTTGGCTATGAACATTTAGGAAGTGACTGTCATGTGATATGCTCAATAGGTTGTGTTTCGAGCTTGTTTGTTAGCTGGCACAACGTAGTTACTTATCAGTTTCGTTAGCGAAGCGCATATCTAGTAAACGTCTGCAATGGAGCATACAATGCTGCTCACGAAAAGCGTATTAAAGGTCCGTCTTAGTCGCTTGCTCTACGTGCCAGAACGAGAACCGAGTACAATCGAGGAATGTCGAAATCACTTACATTTATCACCTCCATTTTCTATCTTTTCAATTCGATTAACGGTATTTTAATTCCTCGTAATGTCGATCTGACGCTGGTGTCGGAGGTTGATGAAGAAGCGTCGAGTGGCGGGCTAATAGGTGAACAAAATTCTGGGAGTGCAGTAGCCGTGTCGATACCGACGAGCCAAAGCAGTAAAGTAACATCATCCTACACCTCAAGCCAGGTATCACCCACAGGCAGCTTCTACAGCGGTGCAACCGGTATCACTTATTCGCCATACCAGAAGGACGGCAGTTGTAAAACTGAACTTATGATCCAGTCCGACATGCAAACCATCGCGGATTTCAGCGTCATTCGCATATACGACACTGACTGCAATGCTATCCCTTTTATTTTGCAAGCCCTCATAGGCTCTCAGAAAATTATGGTTGGAATATACAATATCGATGCAATTCCGCAAAGCGTTTCTATCATTTCCAGTGCCTTCAATGGTGACTTCAGCAAGGTCTACGCTATATCGGTTGGCAATGAGCTTGTAAACAGCGGTATCAAATCGCCGAATCAGATCCAGACCGCAGTTAACTCCGCGAAGTCTCAGCTTTCCGCAATTGGTTATAACGGCCCAATTGTTTCTGTCGATACATTGATCGCCTACGTCAATAATCCGTCGCTGTGCCAATACTCGGATTTTTTGGCCGTCAATTCGCATCCGTATTGGGACGGTAACGTCGAGCCCTCAAGCTGCGGTACCTGGCTGGGCGACCAGATCTCAAACTTGCAATCCAAATGTGGAACCGACAAACCAATTTTGATTACGGAAACTGGTTGGCCGACTCAAGGACAGTCCTTTGGAAACTGCGTACCTTCACAACAAAACCAGATCAATTGTGTGAGCTCAATAACGCAAAGTCACGGCAGTCAAGTCATACTATTTACCACTTTCAATGACTATTGGAAGCAACCCGGACCTTACGGCGTTGAACAATATTGGGGTCTTTTTGGTAGCCCTTCATCTTGAGCATGAGCATATGGCTGACATAGTTGTATTATATATCGCATTTCTTTTATATATTTGCGAAATGAGCGAATAACCCTGTCACCATCACTATAAAAATTGTTAGAAGATGGGAGTAATGCCCGACCTTTAAGAATGGCTTGTTTAGTCTTTCTCTTATTACGTCTCACCTTCTTCATAGATTTTAGCCGCCGTTGTCACGTACAGCATGATTATTATTGATGAAAAAGAAATTTCAGTGAAAAAAAATTCATCAACTACTGTCAAGAAAATTTTGCAGGCCCATCTCATCTCATCGGGCTGCTAATTGCTAAATATCGAATTGTCCTTAATCACGCTCCCTAGTTGTTCTTGAATAACGTCGGAAATCCCAGGTAGGATGAGTGTGGTCATTAAGGCGCCTCAAGGTGCAAGGACTGCTCATTTTCGTACGTTAGAGAGAGAAAGCCGATTCGCAAATCCCCCCAAAGATAAATCTGCATATCCGCTTCTGCAAGAAGCTGTGGAGCCTCATGTTGGCTCGTTCAATGCCTTGACCGAGGGGCCTTCTGGTGGGCTCTTGAACCTTGGTGTTCAGGATATTGGATCTAAAATTGTGTTCGACGGGAAACTGTCCGAAGAAAATCCCGATTTCCTGGGTAACAAGTTAGCTCTCAAAGTTGAGCAAGTAACGATCTCTAAACCCATGTCAAACGATGGTGTTTCGTCAGCCGTTGAAAGAAAAGTATTTCCAGCGGAATCTAGACAACGACTTGCGTCCTACAGAGGTAAACTTTTACTCAAGTTGAAGTGGAGCGTTAATGACGGCGAAGAGAGTTTTAGTGAAGTACGGGACTGCGGTGGTTTGCCCGTCATGCTGCAGAGTAACAGATGTCATTTGAACAAGCTGTCGCCACATGAGCTTGTTGAAAGAAAGGAGGAAAGTGACGAACTCGGGGGCTATTTCATCGTCAACGGTATCGAAAAACTTATAAGAATGTTGATTGTACAACGCAGAAACCATCCTATGGCGATCATTAGACCCTCTTTCGCCAACAGAGGCGCTTCTTACTCGCATTTCGGTATTCAAATAAGATCTGTGAGGCCTGATCAAACTTCTCAAAGTAATGTTTTGCACTATCTGAACGATGGCGAAGTGACGTTCCGTTTTTCTTGGAGAAAAAATGAATATTTGGTTCCCGTAGTGATGATTTTGAAAGCGCTTTCGGACGCGAGTGATAGGGAGATTTTCGATGGAATCGTAGGTTCCGACACGTCCAATTCGTTCTTAACCGATCGTTTGGAATTGTTGTTGCGTGGTTTCAAAAAAAGATATCCTCAACTTCAAAACCGTCGCCAAGTTCTACAATACCTCGGTGACAAATTCCGCATCGTGTTCCAAGCAGCACCTGACATGACTGATTATGAGGTTGGTGAAGAAGTATTGAACAGAATTGTTCTGGTGCATCTTGGAGATGAGCAGGACGACAAATTTCGAATGTTACTCTTCATGGTAAGGAAGCTTTACTCTTTGGTTGCAGGTGAATGCTCGCCAGACAATCCAGATGCCACTCAACATCAGGAAGTCTTGCTAGGTGGCTTCTTGTATGGTATGATTATCAAAGAAAAGATAGAAGAGTATTTGCAAAATATAAGACTTCAAATTCAGTCTGATGTCAACCGTGGTCTCGCTGTGGATTTCAAAGACCGTAAATATATGAACAGAGTTCTCATGAGAGTCAACGACAATATTGGCTCGAAGCTACAGTATTTCCTGTCCACTGGTAATCTGGTATCTCAATCGGGTCTTGATTTGCAGCAAGTCTCGGGTTACACTGTGGTTGCAGAAAAGATTAATTTCTACCGGTTTATTTCGCATTTCCGCATGGTGCATAGAGGATCTTTCTTCGCACAACTAAAAACAACGACTGTTAGAAAATTGCTGCCAGAATCCTGGGGGTTCTTGTGTCCAGTGCACACACCAGATGGTTCGCCATGTGGTTTGTTAAATCATTTTGCACACAAATGTAAGATCTCGACCAAACAGTCCGATGTCTCTCACGTTCCTGCCCTCCTTTACAATCTGGGTGTATCTCCTGCCTCTCACACATTTGCCGCAGGACCCACGATGTGCTGCGTTCAGTTAGATGGTAAGATAATTGGCTGGTGCTCACATGAACAAGGAAGAATCATTGCTGACACCCTAAGATTCTGGAAAGTGGAGGGCGAGACACCCGGTTTGCCTTTGGATATTGAAATTGGGTATGTTCCGCCTTCGAGCCGTGGTCAATACCCTGGTCTTTACATCTTCGGTGGTCACTCCAGGATGATGAGACCAGTGCGCTATTTGCCACTAGACAAGGAAGACATCGTTGGTCCATTTGAACAGGTTTACATGAATATTGCGGTTACTCCTAAAGAGATTCAGAACAACATTCACACGCACGTCGAATTTGCCCCCACAAATATCCTTTCAATTCTTGCTAACCTAACACCTTTTTCCGACTTTAACCAGTCACCAAGAAACATGTACCAATGTCAAATGGGTAAACAAACTATGGGTACTCCGGGTGTTGCACTATGTCACCGTTCTGATAACAAGCTATATTGTTTACAGACGGGACAAACTCCTATTGTGAAAGCCAATCTATATGATGATTACGGCATGGATAACTTTCCAAACGGTACGAATGCCGTCGTGGCTGTCATCTCCTACACCGGTTATGATATGGACGACGCCATGATCATCAACAAGTCGGCCGATGAAAGAGGATTTGCCTACGGTACAATGTACAAGACTGAAAAGATCGACTTGTCTCTGAACAGAGGGCGTGGAGATCCAATCACTCAGCATTTTGGTTTTGGCGAAGATGAGTGGCCTAAAGAGTGGTTAGAGAAACTTGACGAAGATGGATTGCCACTAATAGGTACATTTGTTGAGGAGGGAGATCCCGTATGTGCCTACTTCGACGACACCCTCAATAAGACCAAAATCAAAACATATCATTCATCAGAACCTGCCTACATCGAAGAAGTCAGGTTGATAGGAGACGAGTCCAGCAAATTCCAGGAGCTTCAAACGGTTTCCATAAAGTACAGAATAAGAAGAACTCCTCAAATTGGAGATAAATTTTCTTCCAGACATGGTCAAAAAGGTGTCTGTTCTCGTAAATGGCCCGCCATCGACTTGCCGTTTAGCGAAACTGGGATTCAGCCGGACGTCATCATTAACCCCCATGCTTTCCCTTCGCGTATGACCATCGGTATGTTTGTCGAGTCGCTTGCTGGAAAAGCGGGTGCACTACATGGGGAGGCGCATGACGCTACGCCTTGGTCCTTCACCGAGGAAGACACGCCTGCCGACTATTTCGGTGAACAGCTCTTGCAAGCTGGGTACAATTATCACGGAAACGAGCCAATGTACTCGGGCGCCACCGGTGAAGAACTTCGCGCGGATATATATATTGGTGTCGTCTATTACCAAAGACTGCGGCATATGGTTAACGATAAGTTCCAAGTGCGTTCTACAGGTCCTGTCAACAGTCTGACAATGCAACCAGTGAAGGGTAGAAAGAGACATGGTGGTATCCGTGTGGGTGAAATGGAAAGAGACGCATTAATCGGGCACGGTACGTCTTTCCTTCTACAAGACCGTCTGCTCAACTGTTCGGACTATACTCAGACTTCCGTGTGCCGTGAATGTGGCTCCATTCTCACGACGCACTATAGTGCTCCTCGCATAGGCGCAGCTGCCGCCGTCCGCTGTCGTCGCTGTGCTCTCAAGCTCGAAGATGCCAAGAAGATTCTGTCACAAGCAAAGGAAAATGAATCCGTTTTCATCGACGATTCCCATATTTGGGAAGATGCCCAAGGTAGCAAATTCGTCGGTGGCAGCGACACAACCACCGTCGCCATTCCTTTTGTCTTGAAATATCTGGACTCTGAGCTTTCGGCAATGGGTATCCGGCTGCGGTACAACGTCGAGCCAAAATAATAAATAAAAAAAGCCCAACTAACAAGCTTTACCGGTATAAATATAAATCAAAGAATTTGCACTATTGAAACAGGATTGAAGGCTTGCTTATGATGTCAGAGCCTGGAATTTCAGCTTCAGTTTGGGTTATGTAGCTATGAGTCGACTTGCACACGTGACTGTAAGCTTTATGATGATATCGAAAATTTGACATATTATCATATTTGATTCGATACATGTACAAGTAGTACTCGAGAAGAGCCAAAGGCAGCATACACTCGAAATAGGCGGTTTAAGGCCCATTGAAGGGGTGATATTGACTTTTTGGCAATTGCATAAAACATTGCATCTCTTCTCGCTTAGCATTTGCATATTTTTGAGGCTTTACGTCTTTAAAACGTGGTCCAAATTGTGATCTCAATAGAAGAGTCTCAGATGAGTGAAAATCCTTTCGATCTTAACAATCCGGCCAACAATGCCGCCCAGGAGGCTCTTTCGAAGCCTACGCCTTCGATGGAGTACTGCACTAAAAGCGTCGAAGAGAGTGTACAATCTCTAGGGACGAGCGCGAACGAGGGATTGGCCAGCATTTCAGAAGCTAACCAGAGGCGATCTCTTTATGGCGCGAATGAGATAGAAGCGGAAGAGGATGATCCACTGTGGTGGAAGTTTGTGACAACATTTGCTGGCGATCCGTTGATTTTACTACTTATTGGGTCAGCAGCTGTCAGTTTTCTGATGGGCAATATCGATGACGCCATGAGTATAACTCTGGCAATTTTCATTGTTGTCACTGTTGGATTTGTTCAGGAATACCGCTCGGAAAAATCTTTGGAGGCCCTCAACAAACTAGTCCCTGCCGAATGCCACCTTGTCAGATGCGGCCAGGAATCCAAGGTTCTGGCCAGTGTGTTAGTTCCTGGAGACTTGGTATATTTTGGGGTCGGAGATAGAATCCCAGCTGATGTTCGAATCATCGAATCTGTTGACCTTTCGATCGACGAAAGTAATCTAACAGGAGAAAACGAACCCGTTCAAAAGACGTCCATGGCAGTAGACAAAACGGCGTTTAGCAACAATCCTCGCTCAATTGTACCGGTTGCTGATAGACATTGTATTGCTTTCATGGGTACATTGGTCCGAGAAGGTCACGGGAAGGGCCTCGTGATAGGAACTGGCAAAAATACTGCCTTTGGTGCCGTTTTTGAAATGATGAACTCCATCGATAAACCCAAGACACCCTTACAGCATGCAATGGACAAACTTGGAAAAGATCTTTCTTTCATGAGCTTCATTCTAATTGGTCTTATTTGTCTAATTGGTATTATACAAGGCAGATCTTGGCTTGAAATGTTCCAGATTTCGGTTTCCTTGGCTGTTGCTGCTATTCCGGAAGGTCTTCCAATTATCGTTACTGTTACTTTAGCTCTCGGGGTTTTAAGAATGGCTCAAAGAAAAGCTATTATAAGAAGGCTACCGAGTGTTGAGACTTTGGGGTCTGTCAATGTCATCTGCTCTGATAAAACGGGAACCTTGACAGCAAATCATATGACGGTTGCTAAAATTTGGTGTTTGGGCAGCATGTCTTCAAAGTCAAATGCCCTAAATCTAGCCAAAATCGGAAATCAAACACTTAAAAATTATCTTTCTGAAGACGTCAAGGCCACCCTTCTTACAGGCTCTCTATGCAATAACTCGGCCTTCTCCCAGGAGCATGCGAAGTATATTGGAAATCCTACTGATATTGCCTTAATGGAAGTTTTACCCAAATTTGGTTTGTCAGATCGCAGGTCCGAGTTACTCAGAACTGATGAAATTTCTTTCAATTCTAAACGGAAACTCATGGCTGTTAGAATCAAAGATCCTTCTTCGAATGGTAAAACGGTCATCTACGTCAAAGGAGCCTATGAAAGAATCCTTGAAAAGTCTTCGCACTTCTTAAATTCCGAGGGCAAGATTCAAAAGTTAGACAAGGCTCAGAGAGATCTAATTAACGATAGCGGAAATGAGTTAGCTTCAGAAGGTCTCCGGACTTTAGCATTCGCTCAAGTTGATGGCAGTAATATCTCAGGAAAGAATTTGAGTGAAGCCGATGTTCAAAAACTCGTTTTCACCGGCCTTGTTGGCGTTAATGATCCCCCAAGAGCTTCGGTAAAATCTGCAATCGAAACGCTTGAGGAAGGTGCAGTCCACATAATTATGATAACTGGTGATGCAGAAAACACTGCTATCAATATTGCAAGACAAATTGGTATTCCAGTTGTAAACCCCGAAATTTCAGTGCTCACCGGTGATAAACTCGAGAATATGAGCGAGGACCAACTGGCGAACGTTATAGATCATGTTAATATCTTTGCTAGGGCGACTCCTATGCATAAGCTCAACATTGTTAAAGCGTTGCAAAAGCGAGGTGACATCGTTGCAATGACAGGTGATGGTGTCAATGACGCCCCTGCATTGAAACTTGCGGACATTGGCGTTTCAATGGGGAAAATGGGCACCGATGTGGCAAAGGAAGCTTCTGATATGATATTGACCGATGATGATTTCAGCACCATTTTGACTGCCATTGAAGAAGGAAAAGGTATTTTTAACAACATTCAGAACTTCTTGACATTTCAGCTGTCAACTTCCGTGGCTGCTTTGTCTTTAGTGGCTATTTCCACAGCCTTCAAACTGGCGAACCCACTTAACGCTATGCAAATTTTATGGATCAATATACTGATGGATGGGCCACCTGCTCAATCATTAGGCGTTGAGCCAGTAGACCATGAAGTTATGAAGAGACCACCACGTAAGCGGACTGATAAAATCTTGACCCCAGCAGTTTTTAAAAGACTTTTGAGCAGCGCCGCCTTTATCATTGTTGGTACGCTTTACGTTTTCGTTAAGGAAATGACTGAAGATGGCGAAATCACAGCAAGAGATACTACGATGACTTTTACATGCTTTGTTTTCTTTGATATGTTCAATGCACTTTCCTGTAGACATGCAACAAAGTCTATTTTCGAGATCGGTATTTTCAACAACAGTATGTTCAATTACGCAGTGGGTCTGTCCCTGTTGGGGCAATTATGTGCCATTTATGTGCCTTTCTTCCAAAGAATTTTTAAGACCGAAAGCCTTACCATGGGGGACCTCGTTTTCCTCTTGGTCATAAGCAGCACAGTGTTTGTGGCTGACGAAGTGAGGAAATGGTTCGCCAAGAAAAATGATAAGGACGACCCTTACCGCCACTCAATCGTTTGAGTATGCTCATTAGTCTAGGCATTTAAAGTTACATTTTTGTCTTGTAAATTAATAAATTAAAAAGAAATGACCTCATTGGAGGCCGCTTTCCGTAGTCTGTTCATAATGGCGAGCCCCTCTGCATTTTCAGTTACCCCTTCAACGAAGATCATGTCAACTTCTTCAGCCTCGTCCATTTCTCTCAATAAGGCGAAGAGGTTGGATTGTATCTTCAACATGCTTTCCCCCATAGATCTTATAACACAGCGATCATCTTTAATCATACCGGAAGGGAAAAACGAGCCCGTTAAAACCGCAAATTTTTTAGAGCCAGATGCTTTTCTGTTTATGATATCGATCACGTTGTCTAAACGGCTTTCTCTAGAGCGCTCTTGATGTGTTGGAACGAAAAGGACAACTTTGGCAGTAGGTGAGTAATGTTTATATTTCATACCAGGTGTTCTTACCTTTTCCCCGCTTTCTACCGCTTTTTTGTTCTCGACTTTACAATTGGACCATTGAGCGCCTCCCATCTTTTTAATCTGTTCCCAAGTAAACCCACCTGGTCGAAGTAAAAGAGGCGGTGAAACGAGACCATCGACAACTGTACTTTCGAGTCCTACTTTGCACGAACCGCCGTCAAGTATCAATGGTATCCGACCGTTTAAATCGTGAAACACATGAGATGCTGAAGTGGGCGACGGTCTAGTCGATGTGTTTGCAGATGGAGCTGCGATGGGTGTATCGCTGAGGGCAATGAGAGCTCTAGCGACGGGATGCGACGGTATGCGAACCGCGAAAGTTGGCTGTTCCGCTGTGGTTAGACTAGACAAAGTTCCATTACGCGGTACCGGTAGTAGAATGGTTAAAGGCCCCGGCCACATCTCAGAAACTAGCGAATGATATATGGCAGGAATGTTTCGCAAAGGCGAACCCGAATCTACACCAAAAATCTTGCGATTAAGCTGATCAATGGAAGATACATGACTAATGAGAGGATTGTCGCTGGGTCTGTTTTTCGCATGGTATATGTTCAAGACAGACTTGTCATTTAATGATGAGCCCCCAAGCCCATAAACAGTCTCAGTTGGAAACCCTACAACCCCATCCGTATCTCTGATTATTTTGGCTGCTTCCAGCAAATTTTCGTGGGTTTTCGGATCAGAAAACGTTGGAAGGGCACCATCGATGTGAGCCGTCGGAGAAAAGTGGATTGCAGTAGGATCGACTTTCAAAACCCTGGTGACATATGACATCTTTGCAAGCTTTCTCAACATACAACCCTCCTGAAACTTCACAAATTAGCTAAGTAAAGACCCAAAAGGGATATTAGACCTCTTGAAGTCGGTCCTAAATTTCGAGTTCGAGATGGCTCATCTCTCGTCAAATTTTCATGCTGACGAGAATCTAATCTGTCACGTGATTTCTCACTTCCATGTAGCTCTGATGTCAAAAGCCGAAGTCCCTAAGATAGTGAGACACGTTGTTACCGACATCTAAGAGAGATTGGTATGAATCTAACCGATCTGTTTACTCCTTGGCAATTTTCTATAGGAATTTAAGACGGTAAGCGCGCCAGAAATGGTTTCCATTTTCCTCGTTCTAAGTGATGACGACGAAATATCACGTTGATTATGAGCTGATAAGATAAGCTGATAAGTCGATAAGCTGATGAGATACCTGTGTCGCTTACCACTTATAAAGCCCGGTGTATAAGACAAAAACCGAGTAATACGTTGTTCTATTGACCGAAAAGGTCGTCTATCAAAGACCGCATAGGTAAACCACAAAAATATATGACGTGTTTAGCAGGTCTCCTACGACAGTGTAGAAAATTAAAGTTTAATTTTTGAAAGATGACTTTCTTGAAGTTTGTACGAAAACAAAAACAAAGCCGATCAAGCATATGAGATTTATATTGACACACGATGCAGTGGTAGCGTGAACAAGTCCTTATGGAGATGCAACACCCCTCTTTCCATGTAAATACTCCAAGGCATACTTTTTGACGTCGTTTTTTGTAGATGAATATCTGGTCGATTTGATTGGAATCTTAGACTTTGTGGGTGTTACGTATATCACAGTTACCAAGCCCATAAAAGTTTCATATTCCATCTAGGAGCGCAAGTGGTTTAGTGGTAAAATCCATCGTTGCCATCGATGGGCCCCCGGTTCGATTCCGGGCTTGCGCAATTTTTTAATTTTAATGCTTTCGCGAAATAGTTGTTGGTGGAAGTCGCCGTAGGGATAAGCATATGGAGTGCTAACGACCTCCTCTAGTGCCACTTCTCGCCCGGTTTACAGTGTTTTTTTTACTGGTAATTTTAACACCGATGAGCCCCGTCAGTGATAATCATTATACACGAATACCGATTGGTCCTCACTTCTTGACGAAGAACATGCTACCGGAGGTACACATTGCCGTCAAACGGAGAATATAACAGCGCACAGATGGACGAACCTAATCCATTTGCCGACAACAAGGTCAATACGTACGGGTCAGAATCGGTCCCAATTGTGGTTCCAGATACGACTGCTGCGGCCCCAAAGGCTGGGACCGCGGCGCAACCGCAGTCCTATGCGGATCATTTCCAAGTGACACCAGAAATCGTGTATGCAAAAATGCGGACAGTGGTGCACTTGAGCGTTTCGCGGGAAATGTTTGTGACAGAACCAGATCTGTATGGGCCGGTATGGATCACGGCGACCGTGGTAGCAGCACGGTTTTTCACACAGACGCTCACGAGGCTGATAATAAGCGACATATATGGGGAAAATGCGGGTGGAGTAACCGCGTCGATGACTTACAAGCAGCTGACGACAAGTGCGGCGCTTTTTTTCGGGTACACCGTCGTAGCTGCCGCGGCCGTTACGTTGGTGTCGCGCAGGGTTTTACAGACGTCAGGTGACCTGACGTTCGTCGGCGCCCTTTGTATCTACGGGTATTCGAATCTGAACTGGATCGCACCAGCTGCCATCTGCAGCGTGCTCGCAACGTGCCTAGCGTCAAAACCTCGAATCGAGACCACAGTGGTCACGTGCCTACTCAGTCTTATTGCAGGTGCGCTTTCAGGTGTTTTCGTATTCCGGCAACTGGGCGCCGCGTGCGTCGAGGAAGAGAGACAGCCGCAATGGAGGAGTGCAGTAGTGGTTTTTTTTGCGGTCCACATGCTGTTTGCGTTGGCTGCCGGGTTCCTACTGTTTTAGCATGGAAAGTGATAGTACTCCTACGATCATACTTGACCAATGAGTAACCGGGTAGCGTGACTTGGGCAGCCATATGCATTATCGGATCCCCCACAGGGCGAATAAACCAGGTAACGCCGAGGAGCAAAAATTTGTTTGTTCAAATGTCAATAAAATACTCTATATAATTCTATAAATTCACTGAGTTTATCAGACGATACCGGCACTTGGTGGACAAACGGGCTCAAGTTCAATTGGTGTACACCAAAAAGGTAGTTCATCCTCAATGTTGAAGATGTTAACTGTAGGAGCGTTCAGAAGATCAGTAATGAAGCCAGGGCTGCAGCTTGCAACTTGCACGCCCCACATGGAAGCGTTGAGCAATTGACTTGCGACGCCTGTAGCAGCAGTAGAGTTCAAACTAGTGTAAGCAAAAGCATCGTAAGACAACTCATTTGTGACTTTGTTGACGTAGGGGACGACGGCATTATCGATAGACTGGAAATTACATTCGGAGTTTGTGGTACCAATTAAAGGTTGGAAATTGCCGGTAGAATTAATTGGTTGAATCGTAGTGAATCTTGGCAAAAACCGATACTCTTCGCTCAAAAACCGACCCCATGCGGCGGAAGGACCCTCGGCTAGGACGTCAGCTGGAACGAAGTAACTTTGACCAAGATATAAATTGGTTTCATTTTTCACCTTCAGCAGATAAGTACCGCAATGTGGACCGTGAAGCCCTTTACAGGTGATATTAGACCAACCAAATCTGAAAGCCTGTGCTGAAGCGGCGAAGATACTGAAAACGAAAAATGGCAGAAAAGCGAATTGCATATTCTTTGCGTGTTGGTTTTTTTCTTTCAAATTCTTTGCATTAACTAACATTCAGTAACATCCTTATATAATAATTGTTCATATTTTGGTAAACGAGAAGGGTTCGAGCATCATAGGCACCCTCGAGGACCTCATGCTGTAAGGTGTCATGCAAGGGTCGAAAAAATCGAGTCATCGCTAGTCAGTTTGCAGAAATCTCTTCAAGACCCTTAAGGTCACAGTACTTTCTTTTTTCTGGCTAGCGTTCACTTGACTGGTTATACACAATAAGCACTCAATTACGCCAAGGTGAAAATTCATTAGACAAACAATATAGACAATTTTTCCGCACCTGGTTTCTTTTGTATTTGTGGGTTGTCCATTTTTCCCCAAGCGTAGAGCTCTTGGGTGACCGATCACGCTATTCTGAAAGGAGTGATGTGAGGTCATCGCGTTGTTATTGTAGGCCTCCGACTAGCGCATAGAAACCGGGCGTAACCCGATTACCCAGAGAAAGCCCAATGTACCTCGAACAAACCCTTCTCTACGTGTCCTGGAAGGATCTTACGATAAGTAATATCGTAAGTATATAGGATTATAGCTGCTTAGTACCACGTGACCAATATGACAGATTAATCCGCGAAGGGCTTGAATCAGCCCAAAAAGCGATCTGACAGTCGCAGAGAGTTAATGTTGCCATTTCAATTATGAAGTTATACATCCAACGCTTGACGTTTGTGGAATTTAGCAAATCGAAAAAATACTGATACCCGCGAGATTCGAACTCGCGCCTCCGAAGAGACCAGGACCTCGACCTGGCGCCTTAACCGCTCGGCCAGAGTACCATCCAGATCACTGGAGGATATGTGTTTTTAAGTTTTTATCAAGAGGAAGGTTGGAACAGAGATTCCCTTCTGGAGGGATTCCAAAAGGCGCTTAGTGTGCTATATTCTGTTTAAGGCAGAAGTTCCGTGCGTCTGCATCCCTTTTCAGTGAAATCAGATTGCAGCAAGAGCAGTAAGGTCGTCACTTCGAGAAAACTCAGCCGGCAAGGAGATCTACAAAAATAAAACCCACCGGCAAACGCGGAGTAGCTGGTTTCACCAGACAAAGAGTGCACCAGGTGCTGCAGCCGCCAATTCTCATGACCGTGAACGTATCAATCGCAAGCCGAATTCCGTTACTGTTTGCAACTCCGATCGAGGATTCAAAAAAGGGACCAGGTATAGGGGGTGTTGGCTCAGGCAACACTTTGCCTCGTGCTCCGCATCCGGCAACTCGGTACCGAGACCTCTATTCGTATGCTATTCTGTGTCCATTTACACGACCTATACATGACACAGTAAAGCCGCCACCGCCTCCCGCCAAGCGCACTTCAAAACCCGACCGCCTTAAAGTCCGCAGCGGAATAAGCGGATAACCGCCCGCGGGCACCCAATTGCCGTTCCAGCCGCGTGAACACGTTGATGTCCATGCGAGTGTACCCCTTAGAGAACTGGCAAGCGCAGTCGGCGCTTGCCAGTTCTGCATGCGTTTCTGCGTCGGCGGCCTGTCGCTTGCGACAGGACGTGCAGGCGTAAAACGCCACGAGTTTGTCTATGTGTTTCACGAGCGTGACGGACGTAAGGTCCCGCGGTACCTGTGCGGCAATCCTTTGTGGCAGTGCGGAGATCTGCTCCTGCGTGAGCTCTGTGTGCAGCGAATCGCCTGCGACGTGCACGAGCGCCTCGTCTTGCGCGATGACGTCAACGGACGCATCGCATTTGATTTTTTTAGCGCGACATGCGTCGCAACTGGGTCCCGACCGTTGCCGCTTAGAACGGCCCAGGGCGGCCGCGGCGCCTGCGGCGCCACCTGCGCCGGCCGGCGCAGGTGACGTCCTTAACGGCTGGATGCTGCTGGTGGCAACGCCGGCAGCGCCGTTCGGAATGCGCTCGGGCGTGGCGGACGCCGCCGGCGCCGGCGCCGGCGCACCACCCGGCATTTGCTCGGCTTTGCTAATCTTTCTGCGCTTAGTCGCTTCTGCTGCAAGGGACTCGAGATGCGCCGGCGCGCCGCCTTTCGCTAGGAAAGGATCTTGCCAGAAACACGAGGGCCCGCCATTGCACCGGAACTCGAGGTAGTTGTGCGACGCACAAACGACGCCCGGCAGAAGAAGCGGCGGTAGCGACCGGTGTTTGCCGTTCTGGATAGCGATTGGCACCGACAACATTGCGAGTGTGACTTGTATCTTGTTTCGTGCGTGCGGCGGCGAGACCCGAACCGCTGGTACCCAGTGCTTCGTGGACCGATCTCCTTTTATGGGTCACATCCGCGAGAACCCCGCTGCGTGCAGCTCGCGTTCGCAGCCTCGCCATATGCGTGCGCGCGTCCGCGCGCACACTCCGTCCGTACTCCGCGCAGACTCCGATACGCCCTTGTGCGCAGCGCCGAAACAGGCGCTTCCGCAGAGAATTAAGCGGCAGTCGTGCTCGAACTCCGGCACGCACAGTGCGCACGCACTGTGCGTGCGCACTGTGCGTGCGCGGCGCCTTTTTGCAGCAGAGCGGCTGCCGATCCTCGGAATACAAATGCGTCAGGCGAGATGCGCCCGAAGATTCAAATGCGAGATGACTGCCGGCTTACCGTCTGGTTCGACTCCGGCACGCAGAAGACAGCGCACGGCTGCGGCGCAAAAGAAAAGGGGGAGCCCGCCCGGTGGCCGGTGATCGGTTCGGAGTGGCTTCGAAGCGGAGGCGCAAAACTGCAGGCACGCGGACGGGATGGCGATGGGCGGTGACGACCCGCGGACGTTGTCGCCCGTCGGGTAGAGAGGGGCGCGAAAAGCGAGACCCGGACACCCTGGGGGTGCACCACGAGGGGCGGGGAGAGCACTAGCACATGGAGGAGGACCTGAACGAACTGGAAGACAATGCGGAATGGGTGGGGTGGCGCAGTGGTTTCTTGTCGCCGGTCTCGGGGCAGGGCCAGACTTTACCGACGGGAAGGATTTTGGGATTCGCGAATCCAGTCTCTTTTGAAGAGGCGGATTCGTAATATTCGATGAATCCATCACTTTCAACGTGATGGGTGTGAACTAGCCGCCATTATCCAATGACTTATAACTTAAACTTAATCTCATTGAGCAATCTATAACCTATCCAGTAGCCTTATTTGATCTTTTGATAGCCGCGAGCGAGTTTTTTTTGTCAGTTTTGGCGTGTTCACTAGGCTTGGGATATGATTATTTGTGTCGCCTCCGTCGCTTGCATTGTTAGATTCCATAAATTCGTTATTCGCTGAGCCGTCGTTATCGTCATCCATCATCCGTGCCCCTACTGGAATGTCTTCAGTAATTTACGTATCTGAGCTCAAATCAAAACATTTCAATCGCTTGCGAATTATCATTGTACTTCTAAGATTTGCGCTCGCCAACGAAAATCTACTGTCGAGTACCTTCCTGCTTACGGAAAAGCACCTCTCCACATCGGCTGTCGATAACGTGGTATTGTAGAAGGAAGGGGCTAATGAGAAAAGGGCAGGGAGACGGGCTTGATTTTTTAGCCAATAATCCACATCCTATCGAAATATTGAGACACTATCTCCATATATTTGGTTTTTCTGTTTCTGCTATCGCTAGCTTTTGCAGTCGCTACCTTACTAACAAGACTGCTCTCATTCGTTTCAGCGAAAAAATTACAAAAATTGTTAACATATTTTTCAGCCAGCTCGAGAACTTCATCTCTGAAAGGTTTTTCGAAAGCTTTGTTTAACCGGTCTGCCTTAAGATGGGGTTGCAAAAGATGAGCCACCCAATACCCGGGCTCATTATAAGCGATCGTCCTATACTTTTCAAATTTGGGACGCGAGCTCAAAAAAAACCTAGTATCTGGTCCTGAGATTCCTCTGGTGGCAGATGTGACGGTTTGAGTCCGAGATTTTTCAATAACTGGGTGTTGTCCGAGCCGCTTAACAAATTCTCAACGAAGTCGTAATACTGACTTAAATTCATGTAGTATTCAGTTCCATTGATGAGAGAGATGGTAGACTCACCCTGTAGCAGCATCGTAAATTCTTTGAAGATGTGCGTTAAACGTAAAAAAAATGTGACAATTTCCACTTCTTGCTGTTCATAACAAAATGTCAAGCACTGGTCTGGCGTAAGCTGGTACTCATGATCAAATCGATTTTCAACTTTCAGGAAGACTTCGAGTTGACGATAGCGTGATAAAAACCTGGTTTGATTATGCTCAGGGATCGAACATGGAATATAAGGGCGAATCTTTTCACGAATGTAGACGTTGCTCTTAGTGAGATAGGCAGGTTTGTCGATTCTCGACAGCAACGAAGCGTGGTGTTCTTCGAAGCTCTGGAACAAATCGGCGAAGACCCCATTCAA